TAACCCTAACCCTAACCCTAACCCTAACCCTAACCCTAACCCTAACCCTAACCCTAACCCTAACCCTAACCCTAACCCTAACCCTAACCCTAACCCTAACCCTAACCCTAACCCTAACCCTAACCCTAACCCTAACCCTAACCCTAACCCTAACCCTAACCCTAACCCTAACCCTAACCCTAACCCTAACCCTAACCCTAACCCTAACCCTAACCCTAACCCTAACCCTAGGGTGATACCGCTGTAGGAGGTAACTACTTAGAGGCCAGCGATAACGATCTAACGACGCTGATTACTCTCCCGAAGGCCCAGCGATAATAGTACCAAGGCGCTCAGCCGTACCAAAGTTAGGAGAGCCGTCCGCATTCCAATTAACCTTTTTAGCTGCTGTGTACCGGTTGCCGTCACAAGCACCGGCGCTGTTCGGAGTGGCGTGGTACACATTCCAGATCTCAGTGCCATCAGGAGACTGGAAGAAACTATTTGGAAATTTGTTAGTACTCCTGCTAAATCAAGAAGCCTAAGAGACACCCACCCATTATGGCCTGTACCATAGTTTCCGTTTGCAGAGCTAAAATTCGGGCCGGTCTTAGTCCAACTGCTCGCCTCTGTAGGGTCGCCAGAGCCCTTATAGGTCAAAAGACCAAGTTGGTAGCTCGAAGTCCAACAAAAGCTGGCACTATAAGCTAAGAAAGTTTTGCCACCATGATACATGGCCGCAGCGCCCTCGTTGACGGGGGTATCAACGGTTTCCCAACTAAGTGTCGGCTCAGAGAGGATCTTATAAGCGCCAATAGAGGTAGGGGAGTTCATAGGAGCGATGCAGAGCGATTGCAGCCCTCTAGGGCTGAAGCACGAGTACACAAAGTACATTTTGTCCGGGAAGCGAAGAATTGTGCCATCAATGCCCCAGTGATCGGTTAGCTGAGCGGCGTAAGAGAAAGAGTCCCAAGGGGTAGCACCGCCTAGGAATAGTATATGAGAATCTTGCTTCTATCTTAAGTTGTAACTCTTCAGGTGACGTACCTTTAAGGACATGGCTTCGTTGTCCGTCTAGGTTAACATTTGTTCCGGCAGTGTAGTAGAAGTACCAGCTAGTATATTATAAGCTTATAAAGTCTCATTCTCTCATATCATAGTTTTAATAGCTCACATTCCGCCAATGTAATGCAGCTCCGGAGCCCAAACATTACAGCATCGTGTAGAGTTATTATCAGTCCACATAATCTTTCTTTCGCCAGTCTTCAATCCCTCCAAGGTCTTCGCGCGAGTAATCTGTAAGTTAGTCCAGGTGGTCGTTGTGAGGTAGTAATAACCACCAGTGTAAACAACATGAGGGTCAGAGCCGTCAGGGTTCTTTAACGGGTTGCTGAACGAAGCTGCCGAGCAAACGCCCAGAAGACCGGCAACCGAAAGAACGATATGCGAGAGCTTCATTTTGGTATGGGAATATATATAGCTGTAGTTGAAAGGATCCGTGAGCTGATTATCTCGACCGCTACACTTAGGACACGGTGGGTGTTGCGGGCCTAATCTAGAACATAGAAAACACAGAAGAAAGGACTAGTATTTAACAACGCCAGCTTGACGACTCGATGGTAGAAGATGATTATAACCGTATAGATAGCGGGTTAAAGAATAAGACGGGGTGAAAGTGCTATTGGCGCGGGTCGCTTCAATACTACCCCGGACGGGATAAAGTGAATGTCACGTAATCATCCGGGGAATTTGTTCCCAGGAATAACCTTCCTTAGTAGACGCCTATACCCCCGCCTCTAGTGTTTCAAAGTTTCAAAGTGATCAATTGATATTTAAGTTCAACTCTTCAACCCCCTAACCCACGCTGACATTTACTATACACTAACTACTAGTTACTAGGCGATCAAACAGGTGATATCCTCTTCTCATATCATTCCCTTTACTATGCTATAGTTATGAAAGAAGTATATATTATTAGGGTTAGCTATAAGAAGACGTGTCGCTCGCATTACCTATTCGGCCGCCATTATATTAAGGTAGGCAGCGAGTTCCATAACCTGAAGATATGCTACAGAAATAACTAGAGCATATAGTAGCTAGTATAAAAGACCTTCTATTTAGTGCGACTAGGATGCTAGCCCTTTACTGGTTTATTGCTAATCGACTTAATAGATGCGAACGATGATGGTATGAATGCGCCCAAGCGTTGAAAATATCATAAGAAACGATGCCTACCATAGCATGGGCGATGGTGCCAGCCTCGGGAGGAACAAGGGAGGGAAGGTTGGCCGGAGAGGTATCACGGGGACTGTGCTCGTAGTGAAGGTCGTATGCGCACTAGCGGAGCTCGGCGGTTCACTTGAGGAGGTGCACAGCGTTGCTCGTCTCGTTACTGAAAATCTTGCTTCAGTGGGGAGCTCAATGGAGCATGTCCATGTTCCTGGGCGTGGACCGATGGAGGAGCTACTGCCAGCTGGCCAGGTTGAAATTGGGATGGGGATCCACCAGGAACCTGGTTGCCAAACCACCGGGGCTCAACTACCACAAATTGTGGGAATGATGTTGGCCCAAATTCTTGACATAAGCGACCCGGACCGTGGCTTCGTACAATTTCAGCCAGGAGACACAGTGGTACTCCTTGGAAACAATCTCGGAGGCCTTTCTGTCCTCGAACTAAATGGCGTTGTTGCGGAAGTGCTAAACCAACTGGAAAACGAATACAACGTCGCGCCCGTGCGAATACTCTCTGGTTCATTTTTAACTTCACTTAACGGACTAGGGTTTAGCATCTCGATCTTACGCCTTTACGAAACCGGGTTGGGTAGCGGGAAGTCCCTCCTTGATTTAATCGATTTGCCGACGGAGGCGTCAGGATGGGGTGCACCTACTCTCAAAACCTACCAGCCATCAAAGCGAACTATCTGCAATCACAGTCTAACTAGAGAAGTCAAACCCACGAGTAAGCTTACCATCGATGCTAAGAAAGCCTATACGGCGCTCAGAAGTGGTCTAGAGAAGAGTATCGAAAGCGAACCCGAGACAACCCGCTACGATACTCAGGTGGGAGATGGAGACTATGGAGTGGGCTTGCGGCGAGGGGCGGAAGCTATCTTGACTATGCTAGACATCGAAGGCGAACCTGCTTCTTAAGATGTAGATGCAGTATAACTGATCCAATCCATTGTGTCAGCGGTGAGGGCAGCATAGATGGCACATCTGGGGTCATCTTCGCGATCTTTCCTGAACGCTCTAACGGCAGCTCTCCGCTAAAAGGATGGTGAAGTATCTATACCTAGAATGATAGGAGTTCAAATGTGGGCCGAACGCCTTTCAACCGCACTCGAGCATCTACGAAAGTACACACCTGCGGGCGTGGGTGATAGAACTCTGATAGACTCCCTGATACCTTTTGAGAACCTGAACAAGCATGGGGACGTACAGCTCGCCGCCGATGAAGCGAAAAAGGGAGCCGACGCTACTGAAGATAAAGGCTAGCTTAGGTAGAGCTGTCTATGTTAGTGTAGAAGATAAGTGGATAGGTTAGGTATCCTAAATCGAGTAAACTAGAAATGTTGTGGGGGTCTATTACTAAGGATTTAGTAGGCAAGGTCCTAGATCCTGGAGCTTGGGGGCTCTAGGCCTTCTTAGGCGGGCTTGCTAATAGTCTCTGATTGTGAAAAGACAACCGTAGGATCAATGGAGGTATGGAATCATATGATGGATTGCCCTTAGCTAGACGACCGACAATAGACTAGGTACCTACCCTTTACCAGTGATCAGAGCCTGCTGGCCGGTCGTATTTCCGGATACATAGATTCTGAGACGACGTTACACGAGAAGATATAACCTAAAAGACTATATGACTAAAACCTAGTAAGAAACTTTTCTACTTAACTTATTTATAGGTTTCTTGATCGTAGGCTGCTTACTAAAATAGGAAGGTGTGCCTATTAGGGGAAGCTACTAGATAGATGCTATCGCTTTATCAGACCTTGTGGAGGGCAAGTAGACATGCGGGGTGGAGTCAATCCTTATGAAAGATTTCATGCTTCCCTAGATAACCGATCGGATGGAGGCATCTATAGTCTACTCTCGGTACGAGGAGCATTCAACGAGAACGTAACCGATATACCCTATTAGGAATTATAACTCGCACTTTTATCTCGGGTATCTGTCGATGACTGGCAATGAAAAGGCTAACACTAGGTTAGTTATAAACGAAACTAGCGAAGATGGTCCCTGAAGGGCGGGGTAGTCGCTGGCCGCTGGGAATAGTGGGCTATTTCTATAGAGGAGGCCCTACCTAAAAGGGGGCAGGCGGAGCAAGATGGTGGAGAGCATGCTGACAATCTAGATCGGGGAACATATAAGCGATGCACTATACCGGAGCTGACAGCCACATCCTTTGCTACCCCTCATCAAGCACTTCGATTCCTGATGACATTTAGGGTAATCCTCCTTTACACCGCCTACCTTCGCGAAGGTCAATTTTGACGATATGAGACGGCCGGGCTGGAGAGTAAGTAGTGGATAGAGAGTCTTTCCTACCCTTATAAGGACATAATAGAGACAGCATAGATAAAGGCGCTTTACCGCGCTTTATAAGTAGAATCTTAAGTACCCGAAAAGAAAGAAGCTATGCAAATATCATTTTAATCAAGTACTTCATCTGCTCGCGCCATAATCGATATGATGACAGATACCTCTACCTTCATCTACCCTCCCACTATATGAGAGGCCATCCTCCACATTTAAACACTTCTCTCTTGTAAGATAGGGACTATGTCGGCGGAAAATGGATCTATAGAGCGGAAACTTTCCCAGTATATGACCCTGCAACGTCTAAGCTGATAGCTCACGTCGCCAACTTAGGTGTTGAGGATTTTAGAGAGGCCATCACCCACGCCTATGCAGCCTTTAACGACTTTAAAGAATGTCGGAGTATGAGCGGTCTGTGCTGCTTTATCGGTTTGCAGAACTCGTCTATGCCAATTCAAAAGACCTAGCTGACATTTTGACAATGGAAAATGGTAAAACCTTAGCTGAAGCGCAAACCGAGGTGGAATATGCCGCCACCTTCCTGATATGGTTTGCAGAAGAAGTAATCTGCTCCTATGGTGATATTGTTCCTTCTCGACTCCCTGGAAGCACTAACTTTGTAGTTCGCTAACCTGTTGGTGTCTGCGCTATTATAGCACCCTGGAATTTTCCGTCCGCCATGATCATGAGGAAGCTTGGCCCTGCACTGGCTGTAGGGTGTACAGTCGTCATCAAACCGCCAAGTGAAACCCCACTCTCCACCTTGCCTTAGTAGTGCTAGCGCAAGAAGCCGGGTTCCCTAAGGATGTTATTTAAGTTGTGCCGATCCGAGATCGCTCAGCAGTTGCGGAACTTTACACCCACCCATTGGTGAGGAAGGTTAGCTTCACTGGCTCTACGACCGTTGGAAAGTCAATCGCAGAAAAGGCCGCCGGAACCATGAAAAAGATCTCTATAGAGCTAGGCGGAAATGCCCTATATATTGTTTTCAACGACTGCGATATCGACAAAGCGACGGATGGCGTATTAGCTTGCAAATTCCGATGCTTAGGGCTGACTTGTGGTTGCGCTAAAAGGCTACTTGTCCAACGCGATGTTCATGATACCTTTATAACCGCTCTCCTTAGAAAGATGAGGGGGTTTAAAGTGGGATCAGGGATGGATCCTACTGGTACCTATGGCCCTCTCGTGAACCGCGCTGCAGTTGAAAAGGTAAGGGGTCATATCAACGATGCCACGTATACGGGTGCGAAACTCATCTTTGGTGGCACTGTCCGGGATGATCTCGGCGGATACTTCATCGAGCCAGCTCTTCTTACTGGCGCTACATGAGATATGTTAGTCGCTAGGGAGGAAACCTTTAGCCCCTCGAACCCGTCTTTATATTTGATATAATCGACGAGGTTGTGAAAATGGCTAATGAGACTGACTCTGGGCTGGCTGGTTACGTCTTCTCAAATGACCTTAGGACGCTATGGCATCTAGCGAACGAGCTTGAAGTTGGCATGGTTGACATCAACACTAGTAAAATAAGTGCGGCGGAGGCGCCGTTTGGTGGTGTTAAGGAGTCTAGATTAAGTAAAGAGGGAAGTAAGTACGGTTTAGCGGACTATCAAATTTTGAAAAATATTGATATAAATTTGTAAGCAACTTAGAAAAGCTCGCGGCTTCAACTTAACCTCTCGCTTAGGCTTTACTTTAAGGGATTAAACCGTCCATCTTATTCAAAACTTAGTTGATTTAAATAGTGGGTAGATCTCTTTACGTCGTCCTTATACAGGTTATATAAGACTAACCTCGCCGTCTCCCGGCCTTCGGGCAAGACGAAAAATAGATATGTGATTTTATAATAATTTATAGCCACTGCTATGTTACTCTCCTCGTTTATAGATGTTGGTTATAGAAGAAGTTAAAGAAGGGTATTCAGCTGGGATTTATTATATAGCTTAGTTAACTAAGCTACTTAATCAAAATGTTATTAAAGAATGATTAAAGTTTACTAAGTAATTAGAAAATTATTCACCCTTCGATAGATAGAAGCTAAGTGTTCATCCCACCCGCTATACCCGTAGACCTCGGAAGACCTAGATATACTACTGATATAAGAACGGTTCCAAAATGTTTAGCTGTCGTTGATCATGAAATAGACATCTTTCTTTAACTTAGAACTTCCCTGTTATATTAAGTAATTGTAAAAGTCCACTTCGAAGACGAGAATAGTTAAGCAACATCTAGTAAAAGCTAACGCGTTCAAAACCTATCCCTAGAGGACAGGCTATTCTAGGAATTGCTATCTATGATTATATCTCAACTCTATCATTATGTATAATATTACTAGCGTCAGGTTACTTTTATAGAGACGAGTATGTATAACATAATGGACCAGCCTGGATGTCCATATAATCCTTAACCATTGGCTCGTTATCAGCGAGGGCCATGACGGGCATAGTATCGTCTATTGAGGCTGTGATAGTCTTCAGAGAGTCCTGGAACCCTGTATAGTCAGCCAGTCGAGTGGAATTTCGGCCCTGCCACTATAATGAGGATTAGCATAGGTGTAGGCACTGCCGATTACCACTGGGTCGCTCTTACCTTAGCCCAAGCACGGTCAACGTTCGCATGGTGTAGGAAAAACAATGGTTCATTAGGCGAGGTTGCGGGCCCCATATCGCCAAATATTATGCTGTGGACTATAGGGTGGATGAGCATCTAGAGAGATATCGGCGCCGCTGCTGGGTAGAACCTACTTTGTGCATGTGGCAAGCCCTCGAGCATGTTCGCCATGTCAGAGAACTTGTCAAAGGAGTAAATGGTGTTCATCGTCCGAGAGTTATATGCGCCTGCTTGCATGTCGCCAATGATGGGGTCGCCGTTTTCGTCATTCCCCAGTCCTCCATTGAACTCCCGTGTGAAGCAATGGAGGCGGTTTCCCGTACGTTCATATCAGGCCAACCCATAGCCAAAGTTAGGTTGGTGTTAGCAAAGGGCCCATCAACTACGCAACGCTCAAAGCCAGGGACATTGCTGCCTGTGCGCCTGCCGTCACCACCAAACCCGGTGACAGGATCGAAGACAGGAGAGTGATATGTGTTCAAGGCGTCGGCATCGAGACTCCAGTCCCAGTATGGCTGAGTACCAGTAAAGCCGCATTCCGTACGCAGAAGATTTTCGTGTAGCTGTAGATACCAGCGATGCCAGGGTAAAAGTTGGCCACGAAGTGGATGTCTGAGTTGAGAGCGAAGTGAGTATAGACTAGGTCGTCTAACCGCGTGGTTACCTCGTCAATCGCGGCGTACTTGGTTGAGGGAGCTTGCGCAAGCACACAGCGGCGCGGATATACTCAGCCTTCTCCGACGTTGTAAGCTCGCGCCACTCTTTTCGGACAACTGGCTCGGTGCAGGTACTCTCAGCACGAGGGATAGCCGTCCCTAATGCAGTCCCTATAAGGGCGGTCGTGGCAACAACCATATATGACCACATCTTATAAATGTTGTCTGAAGTATGGTGGAGATGATTAATATGGGTACTAGCGTGAAGGTGGGTTTGAAGGAAGGGATCTGAACGAATAACCAGAGAGTTAAAATAGCTATAGAGCGGTGTAAAACGAAGTAATTCAGAGTAAAACTTTATAACATTATCGTGATTTCTCTCTCTTTATATTAATATTATAGGTCCTACTCTCAGTTAGCAAAAAGGGCTCGCCCTTTTTATACGCATGATGGTGCTGGCCGGCCCACTCGTCTTGTTTGTGGCGGATCAAAGTGGCTCGTGAAACTATGCGAAGCTTGGCACGTTCGTGTTCGGTCGGTCCGCTTTGTTAGGCGGAACTTTTAAAGCTTCGGAACGGCCCACTGATAATAATCATAGGGTGTAAAGAGAAATGTGCCGCTTTCCGTGTCTTTCAAAGGGGCGAAGTTCTCCACAGCGTTTTTCACATTGACTCTCCTCTATTGATCTCTAGCCGTTTTTGGAAAATCCCTCCGATGTCGTATTCAAGCATGAACGTCGCATTTTGGGGGCCGTAATGACAATGCAAGGCAGGAGCCCCTGTCCAATTTGGTTCTAGGATGAATACGGACTCCCGTGACCCCTATTTGCTTTTGTTAAAATCGCCGACAGAATTGCTCCCCTTCCTGCCAACTCCGAGCCGAAGCTAACTATTTTCCACTTGAAGTTTATCTCCTCCGCCGGATGCTGCTGATATGGCTGGATAGGTTAGACATAACTCCCTTGATTTCACTTCGCCGTATAGTTCAGCGACCGATTCTTCTATACAGGCTTCATTGTAAATTTGAGATGAGAAATGTTTAAGCTGCAACTTAGGCCAGAAATAAGATTAGACTACAGACTATATTAAACTATTTGACGCGATTTTTCATGTAGATCTAGAACACTGAACCGGGAAATCTAAGCGTATTATCTATGAAGATAAAGGCGTGATATTTAAATAAGTATTAAGGAACTCTAGCTATACTATATTCTTACTTAGTAATCTAAGCAAGTTCTAGAGGATCTACATCCCATCGATAGAATAGAGGGCTATCAGTAGAAGACCGTTTTATAGATCCCAGGCCCTATAGTGGCGACATATCTTGTTTTATCTATTTTATTTAAGAAATAGGCGTAATTGCTGGGATAGAGCTTCGACGACACTACTCACGCGAACATATAGTCTAGTAGACTGGTTCTGGTGACTGTTTTGGCTGTTCATCCTTTCCGTCTAACAGGCCATAATACCATGTCAAATCATGCCCGTCGTACTCCCTAACATGGAATCCATTTCCTAGATAGTTGAAGATGTTGCTAGATAGATAATCGAACTCATAGTCCTCGAACCTTGGACTTTGGAGAGCGGTGAGATAATGTAAGCGAGAGCCTGGCCATAAGGTCGGCTTTCTAGTCTGATCGCCCGCTTTAAACCAGGAACTACACGGCCCTGTCCAGGCGGTGCGCGTCAAAAACATGTCGGCATGCTTGGTGAAATCCTCTGCCGCCGAGCGCTTGACTTGAATCCTTTTGATATCTTCTAATTGCACCTTCTCAATGATCTGCAAGATGTACTTCGTAAAAGCCTCAATCATTGGGATGGCTGAACCGTGGCCCAGAGGTCCGTAGGGTGCGCTATACATGAAATAGTTGGGAACCTGTGGAAGATTGAGGCCAAGGTAGCCAACGGTATCGCCAGAATTGAAGTCGTCCTGAACATTCCTGCCATGCGCATACAGGGGGAAGAACGGTCTAAATGATGTATCGAAACCCGTGGCGCAAATAATGAGATCGGTCTCCTTGTGTTGGCCTTCAGCAGTCACAAATCCACTGTGCGTAACCATCCTGAGCTCTTTGGTTAATACATTCGTCTTCTTATGGCATAGGCTCTCGAGGAACCCATTACCAGGAGTCGGACGCCTGCAGCCGACGCCAAAATCCTTGGGCGTGATGGCATCTACAAGCTCTGGCTTGCCGGAGAGCTTTCGGATCATCTCCCTCTCTGAAAACTCTTTTGCCTCCTTTGCCTCCTCAGATCCGTTCACAACTAGACGAAATCGGGTGCTTAACTCGGATTCAATGGCCTTGCAATAAGATAGGTAGAATCGTGGATCTTCTCTAAACCGGGCCTTGGTTTCTTCAGAGTAAAGAAAGTTGTTTCCGTCAGGTCCGGCGTACTTCGGTGCAAATCCCGCGGTTATCCACGTCGGTGAACGAATGACAATATCGAGCGATTTGACTTGGTCGATGATAGTTGGAGCAATTTGCACAGCTGAACTACCGGCACCAATAATAAGTACCCTCTTATCCTTTAGGTCGATCGAATCATCCCACTGTGCGCTATGAGCCTTCGGGCCGCGGAAGTCATGGAGGCCCTGGATTTCTGGCCATTTCCAGCTGTTAAGATGACCCCCATTGATAAAGAACTGACAATAGTCGTGGACCACTGTTGAGTCTTCAAGGCGCATAATGGAGACTTTCCACTGTCCTTGATCGTCAAGCCACTCTGCGCCGATAATTTTATGGTTGAATTTGACATGCTGCTCAAGGTTGTTGCTTATCGAGACGTTCTTCATATACTCCCAGATTTCCTTCGAGCTAGAGTAGTACTGGGACCAGTCCGGCTTCCTCTGCCAGCTATATTGGTAGGAAACACTTGGGATGTCGCATGCACATCCAGGATATCGATTCTCAAACCAAGTCCCTCCAATGTCCGGGTTCTTCTCATAGACGGTAAGGTCGATATTCTGCGTGTGTGTCTGTATTGAGCGGGAAAAGTCGATGCCGGCGGCTCCCATACCCATGAAAATAACTTTGATGCGTCGCTTTTCACCCATCAGAGACTCCTTGATCTTGTACTCGGACTCAGAGTCGTGGGCATTGTTGCTAGCAGGCGTAGTTGAGCTAACCGCAACGCCACTGAATCCATTCTTTGATGGCATAGGTGTTGAAACATGCATGATGCGTGAGAATAAGCTTGGACTTTCGCTCTGAGTGCTGGGAATCTATAGCTGATAGAATGAGAACCGAGTTTTCGTTATTATAATAGAGTTTAGGATGCACTAATATCACACTCCCTCGTGATGTTATATGGAGAGCTGAGCGAGACTGGGGAGTCCAAGGTCAGGGTGGCAAGTGCCCTGCGTCGGCAGGATTAACTTTTCCAGTCCATTGCTCTCTTTACTCTCAGCCGAACAGCTCGGCGGGAGAGGCGGAGAGCTCGGTACCGAAATTTTGTACTAGTTTCGGCGCCGAAACTCGACCATTTTTGTTTCCGACTCGTCGGCATCTCTAGTGAGCAACCAGCCCAGCGCTCATACCACCACCTGCCAGAACCCCCACCTTTGAATTGTTTTCTAAGATACATTATTAATCAATAGGTCGCAAGCAGCAGGTCAGATCACTGAGGTATAAACGAAACATTACAATATTTCGAGAATGACACTTTACAGAATCACTTGAGGCATATATAGTCTAAATAATAGAATTTGACAATATCTTAGGGGTAAGAGGGTACCTTCGAATTGTTCGCTAAACTTTATACTAATGCCTTAACTTATATTATCTCTTAGATTTAACTTAGTGACTTAAAGTGAGGATATATTAATAAATATATAAAAATATTATTGAGGAGGAATATTAACATTCTATCTATACGTGAATTAATTTCACATTGATCTTATCTTTTTCTGATTAACTACCTCTCTAATATGATACCTAATAACTAAGTCCTATCCTCAGCATCAACTATATTTCTATCCTATAGATAGATAGATCTTTGGCTTTATCAAAGCTTCAGCGAATATTTCTCGATTAGATTCGGTAATGCCCGTCTTAACACCTTACCACTCACTGTCCTCGGGATCGCTTTCACAAAGAAAATCCCACCGGTAAGCCATTTATGTGACGCAAATCGGGACTTGATGAATGAGTCTATCACATCCACCGTAACTGAGTCGTTTTCCCGAACAATAAATGCTCTTACACACTCACGGTTATCACTGGAAGGCGCCCTATTTGTCAGTACCCTTAGATTCTCACCCCTATCTTCCAAACGAGGAATGTGATGTGGGCGAGGTAATATCAGAAGAACTCACATTTTAACACCAACTACCGCAGCATCTACAACTCCTAGACAACCTTTCAAAGCCTGCTCAAGCTCTGTGGGGAAACTTGTATCCCTTTGATTTTAATGAGTTCCTATCATTTTGACGAATAATTAGCATATAATAGAGCACTGTCGCACGAGGACATGAAAGTCGGCTTGCCTTGATTCTGTCGACAATGAACAAGCAACCCCTGTTATCAAAATATCCAATATCTCCGGTTCGTAGCCACCGATGCCCTCGTTCCATAACAATAACCTCGTTTGTGGCGTTCGGGTTCTTCCAATACCCTTTCATTATATTTGGCCCCGACACCCAAATCTCCCCAACCATTGATTCGTGCTGATGGGTGTGACTGAAATCTCTGCCTGGGGTCTCGACTATCCACCCCTTGCAGCCAGGATTCAGCCATCCTATCGACCGTCCATCATCGTCATCGTCTGGTGCAAACCCTGTAACGTTACAGGTGGTTTCAGTCATACCCCAACCTTGCTTTACGTGCACTCCAGCCTTAAGAAACTTTCGCTCAAATGCGTGGGCTGTGGAGGTGTCAAGAGGTGCCGCCCCACTACCAACCATTAAGAGAGATTTGAGATTGAATCGGTTGTAGTTTCTAACATTAACAAGTGCTCGGAGAAGGGTGGGCACGACATTTATGAAGGTGATTCTGTATATATCGATGAATGTTAGGAAATCCGCAGCATTGAATTTGCCCATTATATAAACCTTCGCCCCGATACGGGGTGCCAGCATCGCGTAATATGTTTGACCCTATATGCGGGCATCAGCCATCTATTATGAGGAAGAAAGTTGTCAAAGAGACTTACAAAGGCATGGTACATTGGCAGGGCAGCTAGCCATCTTTCGCCGGATTCTTCTAGATGGCGGTAGCGGTCGCGTGCTGCAACAGTATCCGCTACTAGGCTCCTTTTGAAGATCAATTGCTCGGTATTGGCGACAAGATTGAGATGAGTGAGTTCTACGCCTTTCGGGAGGCCCGTAGTTCTACCCTTGTCAGTACCAAGTTCAACGTCCAATGCGGTGATTGAAAGTTACCCGCTGGAGTAGTTGATCACCGCTGTGACTGTCGCTGCTTCCTCTACAGTGCGGATTTGCGGCCAGCTCCATTGTTGAGCATCGCTCACTGTCGCCCATATCTCTGTCCACGATTTTGCCGAGACTTTGGGAGTCCGGCCCAGTGCCTCCGTCTTTGGCGGGCCACAAAATGACAGTACCTGGCCTGGGACAAGGCTGGCCATGGCCGCTGCCTTTTGAGCCACTTCTAGCTGCGCGGGCGCCGCGAGGAGTAGTTTCGCTCCTGAGTCTTTCAACTGATAGCTCAACTCTAAAAGTGGCTACCGCATTAGTTAAAACATCTTGCAGGTTATACCAATCCGTAGACGCTAATCAGAGGGGTTAACTATAGAAGACAAGATGCACTTGCTAACTGACCATATGGAGATGCCGTAGGCGAGGCAGCAGTAAAAATACATTGCGCTGCCAAAACACCCCAGAGGACAACCGGAACATAGAGCTGATTTGGAGAATATAGCAAGATGACGTCCCCGGGTTTCAAGCCTAGCCTCTTCAACCCCAGCGCAAATTGCTTTACGAGCAACTCCGCCTCTTCGATGTCGAAACCATGGGTGGGATTGCTTGCGTCGAAGTAGTGTAAGGTATGCGTGCTATTGTTTCTAGGGTGATGGAAAATATATGTTGGTACGTCAATGGGGGAATATCGGTGGACGTCGGAAAAGGCGACTCGATAATATCTTGGTATAAGTTTGCATCTACCATTGTCAGTGATCGCCGAATATAACGGTTCGCAGTTACTCCTCGAAAAGATATATGTAGTCTCTCAGGGCTGATATGATCCTGGCTTCCCTTTTGTAAGAAGATGGAACGACTATAGTGCCCCCTTACAGTAAAAGGCAGGAGGGATTTGCCATTTGTATCGGCGCCGGTGGGGAGAAAAGAGTTAGAGCCGGTGCACTCGGTGCCGAGCACACTAAAAGTGCCCACGACTACCACCGACGGGGAGGAAAGACAGCCGCCGGCCACCTTCGGCAACAGGGTATAGTAAAATAGTTCTTAACTGTCTCTAGTGCCCTATATTGCAATTCCATCATGTTCAATTAAGCGCTCGTATACCGGATTCCATGGCGAAAGTATGGACACTCATCCACACACCCAAAGCTTTGAGGCCGCCCTCTCCCTTATCTATCAAACCTCAACAATATACGTTGCCAATCTCAGTGCGAATTGGGCGGTAGGTGATGGTTAGTAGCAGTGCATGTAACCATCTTTTTACGGATCGATGTTCTGATGTTTTATTCCTAGTTCCGCACGGGGGTACTTGGCAGCGATTCTTTACCGCACCGCACAGACTTATTTCGCCAATACCCACCCAACATCTCATGGGGGCTACCTAGCCCCATCAGCATACAGATTACGTTTGCTCGGCGCTGCCGGACGGGGTTAGCATGGCTAGATATCGAAGAGGTCAAACTTGGAGCGCGGACATCTATAATTCGAATTACATTATCGCAAGCACATCAGAATACATCGTCCAAAATCATAAAGCTCATTAGCAGCATCACGGTCTCGAACATTTCGACAGAAACAGGGCTTTCAACTATAGGAAACTGGTTGCCCATCAATTCCAGTTCAATCGAGCCGCCCTTTATCGGAACTGATGATAGTAGCCTGAAGGAGGGTAGGTGGAGACTTATGAAGATTCCATTCCCAAAATTTCGAAAAGCCCCGGCCCACGTAGAGGTATATATCCCGGCAGGCGCTTCTATATCAGGTGGTGATAGTACCTATCATCATTGGGCTAGACTTCGTTGGATTGAGAATGGAGATATTGTTCAAGGGCGCTGGAGTCAGGAAGCTGCGACCTTTATGCTTGATGTCTTTCCCGTGTGGCTGGCACGACTTGAGCAAGAAGTGAGTGCACGAGCAGAGCAACCTGTTCCGATATGGTTCCCGACCCTTTCAATGTCAGTACACTTCAAAAGCGATTCTAGCGGAGGCGTGGACTGGCTATTTAGTCAAGTCACCTCAAAGTGCATCATAAACGGCCGGATGGGTATCGAGGTTGTTATTTTAGACGAACTCGGGGATATCGTGGCTTTAGCATCCCACGAGGCATTAATAGTAGCCGCTAGTCGTAACAGCACTAGACTGTAGTTGGACCCGGGAGCGCATTTCCAAGTCTTATAATATTAAGAGAATATATATAAGGGCTCAATCCCGAAGTCTCGTGTGCGGGCCGGAGTTTTGTCCCCGACGAAGACTAGACCTGAGACCATGCTTGTAGAGAGGGTTTACACCGCGAAAAATCGAGGATTTGTATTTGACTGCGTTTGAGCTGCTGCTGTCTTAATTGTATAGGCCTGTCTCTGCCAAGCAGGTTTCGGCACCATGGTACTGCGTATGGAAACCCTTCGCTAATACCTGCTATATAGTATTTACGAACGTGAAGCCTGATACTTCTGACATCATTAGTGAAGGCTACTTCACTTATCATAGCTTATCAGAGGAGACTATCAGAGCCGTGGTTTAACGTAAGGGCAGTTTAGTTAATGGGCCTAATGGCAGATTGGATTTATGATAAGGTGAAAAGGGAAAAGTATAATTCATTAATGGCCTTCTATGAATGTATGAAGTATTTAGGCACGCTAAGGGGAGTACCTCGTTATAGCAGTCTACGGATTCTATAGGATCGCCGACATGAATCTAATATTTATTTAGTTTGCGATATATACCGAGGTATAGAAGTATTGGATAAAATTGTTACCTTTTCGGCCGGCCGGTCTAGGGCGAACCTTTCGTGATGTCATGCCCTTTCACCGAAGTCTATACTGTTTCGTGCTTCCCGAACAGGAAAAGGCTCGGTGCCTCGGCACCGAGAACGAGGATTTCCTCTTTCACGCTCGACGGCACTTTCACGCGAGATAGCCCCATCTTCCCCACAATAGGGGAACAAACCTTCCTTTGGTAATGGCCCCGCTTCCTCGTGAGGGCTTCGAAGTTTCCTATGGGGAAAAGCTGGGGTAAGGAGCCTAATACACGGGACATTGCAAACCGACTTGACGAGTACTTTCGATAAGACCTCGCCGCTACCTCGTTTTTGCATTGATAAAGGTGAAATTTTTTTTTCGAAGGTTGCCTATGGTGTGGAGAGTATCTAGTATCATCATAGTAGCATATCAACAGGGTTTTTTCTTTTTTTTTCTTGGAGCGAGGCGGATACCTTACCTGCCTATTGTCTCTTAGAGAGAGGGGTGTTACTACTACTAGGACCTTTTTGTATGCTACCCCCTGCTGCGAGTAAACCCCTAAATTCGTGATTTTTTTAAAGACTAAGCCGTAGCAATATACCCCGCCCAGCTAGACCCAAAGAAAGCGAATCAATCTTACATTGCCGCCAGTTGATCGTAGTCCTCTCGTCTATCCTTGACTTTAAAATCCTGAAGTCTTCGGGTTGGAAAAGGAGCACGAATCGCCGCCCTGATACCCTCGACGACAGTCTCGATTATTAAAGGATAATATCCGTGGTAGGAGGTTAATTACGTAGTGGCTCATCTTCCCAATGCCGCGCTCACCGTCTGCTCACCTGCCCGCACCCGAAATGGGCCTGCCAGGAAGAAACCCCGGGCTTGTGTGCCTTGCCACGAGCGCAAGGTGCGCTGCGATATGGCTCGAGTCGGGACACCTTGCACACGATGCGTCGACAAGAGCCGAATGCGAGACTGTATACCCGTATCCCGACCGCAGCCAGGGTATGTCCTATCATTACCCTGTTTTTACCCTTTAACAGCACGAGAAGGCCACCTGATCCAGCCTCATCTGACAGCAGCATCTGCGGCGCACTAATCCTAGATCAAAGCGGAAGCGTGCATCGATTCCCAACGACTCTGCTCATGAACATGCGCCCCGGGAACAGATCCAAGCTGCGTCTCGCGCTCAAGATGAACGAGATATCGCCCCTCTCCTAGCGCTGGTAAATATGGCAACAAGGGTGAGAAACGCCTTGATTGAGTAACCGTAGCGCGTGATGCTGATGAAAACAGACCCCCGCTTCGCTCACGTCCGGACGAGGGCAGACCAGCCACCCATCACCGTATCCACCACGACTAGATGCTTCGCCAACGTCGATCTCGTTATCGCGCAGCCCGACTGATCATGCCCCCGAGCAAGAAGCCGCGTCAGAAGATTATTCTACGGGGGCAGGCCACAATATACCACCTCGGACGCAGATGCCCACCTCCAGACTCTCTGCCGCATGTCCCAAAAAGAATCCATTGTTTTAAGCCCATCTTCTCCAAATACGGCCGAACCTACCCACCGGGTCTTTGAATACTATAGTGATTTCAATGCCTTGAGTCTTTTAAACGGGGCCATAAGCAAGGGGCACCAACGGAGGCTCGTCCCTGTTGATTTGGACGGACCACAACCAGGGTCTGTCTTTGATCGCGAGCTCGGCCGCCTCGACGAGGCTGACCGTGCGTACCTCTCACAGAGACGGGTCCATGAGCTTCCTACAAAACAATCTCGGTAAGCGTGACCATTTTACTAATATCGACTTTCTGTGCGCACGAACACAGTTCTGGCACATCCCGGACTAACGATAATTTCCCTTTCTAAGCGAAGCAATAATGCGGCTATTCTACAAGCACGTGTACCCCTATACACCCGTTATCAATCGTAATCAACTTGAAAAGGATCGCGCAGACCGAAATTGCTCGACGTTTTTATTATATACTATTTTCGCAATCACCGTGCCATATTGCTCCCCCAACTGCTGCGCGACATGTCGTTTCAGAGTGTGACAGAATCGCAGCGCGAGTTCTTCTTGCGTGCTCGGCTACTCTATGATTTCGGGTGTGAGAAGAATCAACTAACCATCCTGCAAGGGTCAATATTCATGAGTTCTTTCCAAAACTCGTTTGCTCCGGATAAGGATTTCCGTTTCTGGTTCAACAACGCGATCCACGTTGCAACTCTCATGGGACTGCATAGACAGTAAGAAAGACCATTAACGATAGAACAGGGATGGATATCTTCTTACACCGAGAAATCAGGAACATTGAACGGGAGCTACAGCCTGCTATGCATAGGCTCTGCCGTCGCATTTGGTGGCTGCTATTCGTAAGTATATTTACCACGGTACGCTCTTAGAGCGAGCAGCTAGCTAAGCAGGGGCACAGCAACGAGATGTTATGTTCTCACTCGCAGGGTTTGAGAACGTGCGTCTAATTAATGACGCAGAGGTGGACGTTCGGCCGCTGACTGTAACGGATTGGCTTGAGCAATCGGATGTTGATTTACCCCAACCACTAACGACGATACCTACCATTACGGACATTCAGATGCAATTCTTCATTGAAAATTGCAAACTTACTAAGTTAGGTTAGGTTCCCCATCTAGCCGTACCTTTGTGTCCATTTATGCTTCTGCCTCGTCCTCCGCGCCGCGATATCGGTTTATGGAACTCGACAGGCCGGGATAAAGCTCGTGTAGCAACCCCCGTCTCTCTTCCCTAACTCTCACGTCTGGTGCCAAGTTTGCGTCGAGAATAACTTGATATGGTCAATAAACCAATGGCTAACAATCAATGGTTGCATAAAGGGGCCCGATGCCTGCGTCTCTTACGCCAAGCTGACATGACACCGTCTATGGAGCAAGTTCGCTCCGTCGGCGATGCAATAATAGCATGGCGACGGGCACTTCCAAAGGAACTCCGAGCTGATACGGCCTCTCCATGGAGCGATACCGATGTATGGGTTGCCGTTATACACGCCTTTAGCTACCGACTAGAGTGTTTGTTTTATCGGACGCTGCTGAGGCATGTGGATAAGGCCAGCCCGACGGATATAGGCCTCGTCAATCAACGACTACTTAATGCCATGTTTGAGTTGAGTACGGTTTTGCGCCGTGCTATGACCCATGAAGTGCTTCTTTCTGGTCCACCTGCATTGTGAGTGACTAAAAGAACGCTACGCGCACACAGGTGATCGATTGATATTAACCCACTGGTGACCTTAGGATCGTGTGTACCACGCAACTCCTCTCCCTACAAATTGAGACCGTGCTTAGCCACGATTGCAGCCCAGTAAATAGAAAGGCATTAAAAGCGGAAATTTTCACCATACTGGCATTTCTAAGGGACATTGAAGAATCGTGGCTAAATGCGAAGTGGGCTGCGCGTGTTTTTGGCTGGGTAGTTGAACGAACCGGAATATCTCTCGGTGAGGTGGGGGCACAACATTACCAGGCTGGCTCTGGTGTAGGCGGCCTGTTAGGCAATCCAGGTGACAATATAGACAGAACAGTCGCAAACAGTGACCGACCTGAAGGCTCGGCACATCAGAGAGGGTCGCAGGGCGACAGGCTCGGCCGCGGACAGGGCCAGGAGGATTTAGTTGACCATTCTAGAATCCTAGATCACTTTGAGTTCCTGCCGAGCACCTGGCCGCAGGATATGATTGATCAAGGAATTTTTGAAGGGCAGGATCAGATGATGATGTTCGATGTATTTGGGGCTCCTTTCAGTAACCTACCGTGGAGTCTTGATTTAACAATAAGATCTACCGCTAGGTGATTTAAAATAAGGGCGACTAGTACTATATGTAGGAGTGCAATCGGGGAAGTCATTTAATATGATAAAAGATTTCTTTTTACGCAGTAAGAATGCCAGATAGTGGGCCATTTTGATAGTGTAACGGATTCATGGATTCGCTTGGGAATCGGCAGATACCCTAGCCTTCGGTCTCGGCCACGTTTTTAGATGCTATGGCTCTAGCTCGGCACCGCTGATGCTCGGGAATGCCCGAAACACTTGCGCATAGACTATCACCGACCGACAGTTGTGAATATGGCTTATATGCAATACGTCAGTGTATGGTGCCCTATTAGAATCATTACTCCATTACGTGTTTTCAGCCTTTCTATAATAATGTATAGAAGTACTTAGGATCAGACACTAGATAGTATATCTTCCTTGAAGCCCTATCTTTACGCTAACTGACCCTCCGATCTAATTATGAACATGCGATTACTGTACCTGCTCTGTCCCCATCGTGTCTTAGTCTCAAAGTACCAGAAATAGGCATCACAGCTACTAACGCTAGGTTTAGCTTGCCATCCGTAAGCCACGGGCCTAACGATGCTTCCTTTATCGCACACTAGCATCATCATCGAAAAACGACATTTTGGCGTCACCAATATATAAGGAACTAGAGCACCTAAATACTAACGGTAAGCTACGTATAGGGGCTAGTCCACATCGTTAACGGGAGACACTGAATGCCTCCACCAAAAGAAGACCACCACCATTCATCGTATGAGCGCGCCTTTCTAGCCTCATGATTATTCCACTGTTCCATAGGCGAAGCTACCATCATTGGTAAAGAATCCGTATAATGTTGCCAATCTCCGTTGACTGTATTACAGCCTAACAGAGCGTCATATTCATTCTTAGATACGCCTAGCCACGCAAGTATAAGGTCGACCTGCTCCTTCGACTTATCGAAGAGGGAATTGCATACATTCGCGCTCTCATTGCATAGACCTTCCCGGCTACTCAAGGGCTAGCGCGCTGCCATGGATATGATGGTTGACCGTTGTCCGGGTGTGGACATTGGCTATTGTGGTGTAAGGAGGCGTTTGGGGCGGAACAAGTCCGAGGAATGGCATATCTAGACCCCATTTCAGAATAACTTCGCCTGTTGCACTGTAGCCGGTCTAGAAAAACCCTATAGTACTAGCCCAGGAGACCCTCGCATAGATTGCCCACACGAGTAATAAGAGCCTGAGGTGCGATAAGGAGGGGTTCGTTCGTATAGCCGACGGATCTTGTTTAGAGGAGTGTTGACTGGGATGCCGCCGGGATACTCTATAAATGGTGAATGGGTCGCTTTAGAGAACAGTATCAACTACTAGGCGATGCTTGAAAGGAAGACGGTCAAACTTTTCGCTTCGTGAGAGGGAGCTCGGCTGCGATCAACGAGTTACCACTTATGATGAATAATGGGCGAGATGGTAGCATTTCCCAGAAACACCGTACAAGTGTATAGGTATATAAACTAAGATACTGCACGCCCACGGGCGGTTTAGGAGGCCATAACATTAGCTTGCTAAGAATTCGGCACCGAACACACGGCGCCGAGGCCACCCATCCGGGGTATAAAGACGTGCGGCCTAATCTACCGAGGTATAAATAATCAATCAGTGGAAGATGTAGGATACGCTGAAATAGTTCAGGTGCCTAACTAGTTTGATAGGCGCGCGTATTGCACGTACTACACAAAATGTCGAAAGTTCTCAGGGTTATAGTCAATAACCCTCTCGGCTTCATCCAGTTCATTTATACTTTAGTTACCCAGATTATCTTAATATGTCTAAAGTTTATCCTCTTACCTCATTTACCACGCTACCAAACGTTTAGAATGCAGCTCCATCGTGCGTATTGGTCATCAGCGTCAACCTTCTTATTTTCCATCATACACCAGCTGCCAATTCGCGACTGTCCGGCGACGCGCGCTAGAAGAATCGGAGAGGACTGGGTCGCCTATGTGATACCGGGCACTAGGTCCTTAGACCGAGCGGCCCTCACTCCTCGGTCATGCATTATAGTATATGCCCACGGCGGTGGTATGCGCGTGGAGAGGCAAGAATGTACCTCAACTATATGGAGCGCTGGCAAAAAGACGCCGCGGAACGTGGTCTTGAATTGACTTTCGTTAGTGTCGAATACCGTATGATAACAGCCCTTGGTCCCGTCAACGCTCCTTGGTGTATACCCTAGCTAATCAGCGCGACTATCGCCTACAGCCTTGACTGACGTCGCTCCTCACCCTGCACAGCAACACGCCTTTATACGCACCTATAGATACATACTTGACAAAGGGGTGCCACCAAATCAGATCGTCTTCATGGGGGATTCCGCTGGAGGTAGCCATGTCCATCCACCTGCAGCCATTTTGCAAGGCTATGTTGCTAACGTTTCACATCTAGCCGGCTGTTGTCTACTTAGTAACATCGAAATTCAGCGCCTTGGTATACCGCAGCCCGCGGCCGGGATACTCATCTCTCCATGGATTGATATGGCTCTTAGATCCTTTGATGGCGGGAATGCGCTGGTTGAGACTGACTACGTCGTAACCGCAAACCACGGTGTCCCTCTATTCGCTAAAAGATGGACTGGTGAAATTGATGGGACCTCGCCGGAGGTGAATCCTCTGTACTGTAAACCATCTGATTTTGACGGAATTCCTCCACAGCTTATTCTTGTCGGAGGTGGTGACTTTGTATTGCCGGAGTGTCGAGAGCTATGTCGTCTCTTTCGAGAGGCAAAGTTACAACATGAGATGGTTGTGGAATGGGGCGAGTTCCATCTTTACGCCTTAGGATCGAGGTGGATTCACCCAACAACCCGAGCAAAGACGGATGCAATCTTGTTTCGATGGCTCACTGAAGCACTGAAGATCACGGGGATATGAATTTAGTCAATAATGATACTACTCGGGGCCGAGGCGGCTGTACCTGGTCAATATTTAATCTCAGACACCTCTAGTCATTTAAAGTTGTGAATATCGATAGGGTAATCAATTGCCCGCCGCTTACGACTTCGCCACGTTTATGTAAGGGGAGAACGATGCGGAACCTGACTGTTTTATTTTGATAGCTACTTCTATAGATTATTCGACTTTAGCCTCACGTATAATGCCATGTAGATCGTCAATTAGAGATCTTCTCCAGTCACGGTCTGTTCTCAAGGGCTTCCACCCGATTTCGCGTCCTCTCTCGGCCTTGGTCCTGGATCTAAAGCTGGATTAGTAGCGTACTACACTCGGTCTTACTCTACTGTGATGTTAGAACTTACGACGAAGCGAGAATTCGCTCGGTATGGATTTCATCACCTTCCCAGAATTTAGCAGCTGCGGCAGTAAGGTCGATGGGAGCTGCATTGGCGGATTCAAGGGCCCCAAGTGCGTAGCCATCTGTCGCAATATACTGTGCAACTTCGACCCAGCTATGGCGTCCGGTGCCGGCAAAGAAATAACCATTCCTGCCAGAGGCGAGTTTAGGCTTAGCGAGTGCCTCTACTATGACCGCCACAAATAAAGCAGCCAGATCTTCGACATGCACATGTCCAATGCTCGCGGTACCGGGGGCAATATACTCTGCTCGACCAGACTGAAGCGCGTTGCGGATGAGCATGGGAATTTGTTGAGATCTTTGGTTGAAAAGCCCTGTGCCTTGGCCGTAAACAAGAGGTGGCATGATTATGTACGTTCTAATTCCGAGCCTTTCGCCCATACTCACAACAGTTACGTCGGTTGTCCGCTGGGCGTAAGGCGAGATGTTTTCGCGCTTCACCTCGTACTCGTAAATTCCGCCGTCTTGATCTGAAAATGGGATGCTGTCACCGCCGGCTCCCGTCACAGTCCCAACAGATAAATTAGTAGTCCCAGAAAGCTTAGCCAAGCCACGTCAGCTTCTGTCATATAACCATTCCTACGCCTGGAAGCCTCACCTGGAGATATATTGGAGCGACGCCACCTCTCGCCTTCCGTTGCCCTAGGCCTTTTAGCATCGCCGCAGCAGAAGCGGTGTGGAATCCGGTTGCCGCGTGTAGAATAATATCAGCCGTACTCGCGAGGTTTACTAGCCCATCGGTATCGTCTAAACCACCCTCGATAACAACGGTATCCACTCCCTTCCGCTTGAGAATATCGGCCTGACTTGGGCTTCGGACAATCGCAACAATTCTAAAGGAGGTGTTTCTAGATTGTAGCAACTGAGAGAGCACTGTGCCACCCCTGCAATCCCAACAAGCTTAGACAGTTAAACAGCGTGATAATTTTCAGGCAGATGTAAAACAATCACTCACACAAAACCGGTCGCTCCGGTTAGAAGCAAGATTTTTGCGTGTTCCATTGTGAAACACACAGGTGTGCGGGATAAACTCAAAATATCGATATTAGAGCGGCGGCAGTCCCCTTACATTGTAGAGATTAAGATAGGGTCGAGGGCGGTCATTTTAATTGGAATATCTAGTGTCTGGGATGGGATGGTGCGTGGCACCGACCGAAAATCCTTGGCTGGGGCGTTGATCCGGACCGAAGCCATTGCCTACCCGATTTATAAGCAAGCAAGGAGTTCGGCGATTCAAACTCGAATGGTGGCCCACTTAAGTACAAGGCGGGGTTACCGGCGCCGACGGTCCAATAACGTTTCGCGGAACCCGAATCCGTATTCGCACGCTATATGTCTCCGGTGTTCATCCTAATAGTCGGCATGCCGAACGAGAGTCTAGGCCGCTAAACAAACAATGCTCCGGCGAGGTGAAACGTCTTGGTAAGGCGAAGAACAAATATCTAATTACCTCAAAAGTTTTAAGTGAACAAGAAAACAACATATATCAGGGCCATAAGACCAAATATCAAGACACTAACATAATCTCATCAGGAACGCGTCGAGGATGACAGGAGTTAGGCGAGATTATGGGTACATATTGTCTATCAATTGATGATTAGGCATGTAAGGTATCTAGCTAGCTATCACGTATCGCTTTTGCCCTACATAATCAATAAATAGAATAGACATTACACCGCGATTCCTTGATAGGAGGAGGAGTAGCATCGATCACACGACGTAACGGTAGGCCGGGCTCTTGTCGCCAAGCATGATCAGCTCCTCTTTACTATGCCTTGCTTGCACCTCCTCCATAGACATTTGATCACGCCTTGCATTAGATCTTGCGTAGGATACCCGCAAGCCGAAGGTTGAAATGATAGCGCATAGGGTGATGGCGACGCAAATCCCATAGCCGGTCCAGTAGTGTGGCTTTTGCCTCTCTAAGAAGATGTTGCTTCCGATGATACCCCTACGTTGCCAATAGATATCAACAACGCCATGCCAATCGACCTCTTCCAACTTGGCGCGAGGTTATTTCCAACCCAGGCCAAACATGTAAGCAGAGGCGGGTAACCGCCCGCCGGTATGGTAAACAATAGTCCATACGTTAACCCCGGATACTTGGGGTGTGGTATGGCTAGGAGGCCTAGCAATGAGGTTAGGAATTTGCGGCGTTTCCGTCGTGAATAAACCTCGGAACTTACCAACAAAGCCAAGCATAGAGATACAATACGGCCCAACGATGAAAGGCCACCGTGACTTTTGCGGTCCGACCAGATTGAAATGAGGATCGTCGTTATAACGCCAAGAGCATATAGGGGTACTGTAAGTAACTGCGCCATCGCGCTAGTATATCCAAGCTGCAGGATAATTGATGGGGCCGTGTAGTTGAAACTATACAGGCAGATACTAGCGACCAAGACCATTAGTTTAGTAATTGGAAAAGAGTGTGATACTATCACAATACCTATTCCCCCAATAAATTATGGAAGCGAGGTAAATATGCCAGTCAGATATCGCCGCCTTAAAGTATCGCCAATTAAAAGCCTCATTCGTGCCAACTTCTCCGTTCGTCGTTCCAGCGTCATGCTTGAGACGGTGCGCGATGAAACTTTTTCCTCGGGCGTCAAAAACTGGCAGTTTCTGGTGAGTTGGGCAGTAAAAAGCCAGGCTTCCTCCGATGACAACAGTTGCTATGCCTTCTAGGATGAAAATCCACCGCCAGCCTCCTAGTCCCCCGACACCATCCATTTTCTGGATGCCAAAGGCAAGGAGACCAGAGAACGCCGAGGCGAGAGATGCCGACGAGAAGAAAAGAGCGAGTCTCGTTTGTACCTCGAACCGGCAATACCAGGTGGTCAAAAGGTAACTGGCGGCGGGAAAGAAACCAGCTTCGGCCAAGCCAAGAAAAATTCTAGTGGCAATCAGGCCACTAAAAGATTTTACTATCCCTTGTAAAGTTACAACCTAGATGACTGTTAGTTGGTACGGCGATGCTTGTCCTTATTTCAACTTACGGTGCCCCAGGATATAATCATGAAAGCAATCCAGTACGAAGGACGGACGACCTTGAGGGCCATATTACTGGGGATCTCGAACAGAATATATGGCACAAAGAACACAGTTAGCGCGGCGTTGTATTGGGCCCCAGACATGTCGAGATCTTCCATCATGCCCGCTATTTTTGCATTGCCGATGTTACCTATGTGCCTTGGTTTAGTCCTGAACGCGATCGCTAGATACCTAATAGAGGAAAGGCCTACTTCGATCTAGAAAAGAGAATATATAGAGGAGCGTTAGGAGAGGAACCACGCGAAAGTCGACTTTGCGCAAAACCCGCTTAGTTTCAGCTTCATCGTAAGCAATAGCCTACATATGAATGTTAGCGATACATCATGCGTAGATTAATAACGAGACAAGACTTACTCGTTCGTTGCTTTGAGCGCGACCAAGCGAGGCGTGCTCAGCATCCGCCTGCTCTGTTTTCGAATCATCATACATATTGCTGACGAGGAGTGCTTGATTTAGTAATTTGTAGATAAGGATAGCTCAACCAATGCTAAGATAACCTAATACCAGATCACGAGCCCTGGAAATCAATCGAGGAACCGCCCTATATATCCATAAACTTTCTCACGATGCTGGGGTCCTCGGGCGGCTTGGCTGCGTGCGGTGGCTGGTCGCCGAAATATACCGTGCGCAGAGAAACGAAACGCCGAAGGGTCTCGACGGCGAGGAGAGTACAACGCCGAGTTCAAGATTATTTCCCGGTTTAACTACAGGCCGAAATAAGTCTAAGCTATTTCAAGCTAGGCTGTCTCTGCAATTCATCACAGCCCTCAACAAGCGCAACCGTCGTTTATTCGCATATATCGGTAGTGCGGGAAGTTGTGGGGAGGCGCGCTAAAGTGACTTCCCACGGAGGAATTCGGGGGAAAACTACACTAAACGTCTGAGAGCTCGGTGCTTAGCTCAAATGTCGCTGGTCCGCCTCCCACAATGCTCGGCATACAACACGGTAATAGGAACATTATAACATAGCCGGGCTCGGGATATTGGTTGACTTCCATGTATCAGCCCATGCTTAAACGTCAAGACTGCTCTAACATTCCAATCATTCTCCGCCTCCTCAACTCACATAAAGCCCCTTAATCATACATCGTGACCTTTGGTTACGATACACAATTATCTATCAATCAACATCTATCACTTTAGGAATCCTTTCTTACATTTTACTAAGACCTCTAACCCTGTTTTTCTTCCCACGAGATAATACCACCATATACAATGGTGGGTCGGCTTGCTGGTAAAGTTGCGCTTGTGACAGGGGGCGCGTCGGGCTATGGCCTTGGAATTGCAAAGAAGCTAAAAGCGGAGGGCGCAACAGTCATCATTGCAGACCTATCCGCCACCCTTGGTACCCAAGCCGCAGGAGAACTCGAGGCTTCATTTATCGAGGCCAATGTAGCTGAGAGGTCCAGCTGGGAAGCCATCCTAAATACCGCCATTAACCAACACGGCGGATTAGATATCGTGATCAACAACGCCGGGGCATGCTACCTGAAGAAGCCAACGGAGACAGTTACAGAGAGCGAATACGACCTCATGATGAACGTTAACGTGAAGGCGCTGTTTCTTTCCGTTTCTGTCATTGTACCCTACCTCCTGTCGAACAAACGGAAGGCGGTGTTTGTCAGCGTTTCGTCCGTCAGCGGAGTCCGTCCACGTCCAGAACTTACGTGGTACAGCGCGTCTAAGGCCGCCATTAATACCGCGAGTAACAGCATGGCCGTCGAATACGCCCCAAATGGAATTCGATTCAATACCGTGTGCCCGGCTATCGGACTCACGTCCATGTGAGCACCCCGGCCGCAATAACTCTACGTTGTAAGATAGGGGAGTGGGATCCTTTCACTGACGAAAGACTTACGGGATAGGACCGATATTTTAACCGATGCCCAAAAGGCGGAGATGTCCTCTGCCATCCCGCTCGGCAGATCCTGCACTCCGCGTGATGTCGCAAACGCAATTGCCTATCTTGCCAGCGATGAGGCTGATTTTATCACAGGAGTCAATCTTCAGGTGTGTCTATAACGCATATATCCAAATTCGGTGTATTCTTTACATTAACACTACCAGGTTGATGGGGGCCGCTCAGTATGACTACTCACGACATGACGATGAGAGAGCCCGATTACATAGAGACAACCCATGTCGTCAAACCCAGGCTTAGAAAGTCATCACATAGGCACTCTAAGGTCATAACTATGATACTTTCGTTCAATAAACGCGAGAATATAGATATTGAATGGTAGATGGCGCGGTTGGATATACCACGGGTCGCCTAGGACAATTAGTAGAAAGCCAGGGGAAAGAATGAATATATAAAAGGGCAAATATATCTAGTAAGACAGCTTTAGACTTTGCCAGATGCCTGATTCTAAAGCGAGACAACTATTTCTAATTATATATGCTGGTTATACTAATTCCCAGACATAGTATTACAATTTCCACTCAAACATAGGACGCTAGCTCTAATATCATATATAAACTGGAAACGAGAGTCAGCGTAAAATTATGCTGAGAGGCAAAAGCCTACCTAATCTAGATGCCTATATCTTAAAATTGCTGTCACCTTTACTCTATGTCGTATGCGTAACCATCTAATTTACATGATATCTCAGCCTTAGCTGAGAAAATCGCAAAGGGGGTAATTAAGCGGCCCTAGGGCTTAGAGATATGTATGCCTGCCTCGATGTATATATATATATCTTTATTTTATACCATAGGTGTGGAATAGGCTACGCACTTGTCTTAGAGCATCAAGGGGTGTTTCCTCAACTATGTAGTGCTGTAACGAGCATAGAGGTATTATCCCCATCTAATATATATGTTTACGAGGACCGAGATCGTGCGGTTCTTGCTTAGTTAAAGCCCTAAGCGTCCGCACAGTGTCGGGGAGCACAGCTTCAAGATCTAGCGAAGGACTAGATAAGTTGAACTACCGCAGTAGCGACGGGAGGGCGTAGTCGAGCAGGAGTAGAATATAACAATTATGGCCTTATATTATTCAAAGGCCGAATGTCCAATACGACTTTTACTTATGATGGGGTACCTTTTCTAGGAGCCCTCTGCGAGATAGCTTGCTAGGTACTGTAGTTTTGTGATTCTCATTACCTCAACTTCCTTCTCCACCTCGTTGGGAGATCGTGATTGCCTAAGTGGCAGCGTCTGCGGCTTTATAGCATCACAGGTATCTAGGAAAACAGCATCCCAGCCTGCATTAGTTGCGCCAACAATATCTTTATCGTAATCATCGCCAACATAGACCTTTCGCCAAGAATGTGTTTCTGTAATTCCTTCTTCGAGACTCGTATTCTTCTGCACGGCAAGGAGCTTTGCAAGCATGTGCTCAGCGGCCGCAAAGATACGCTTATCTGGCTTCTCGACACCACAGTCGTAGGACATACAGTGAAAATCAACGTCGTTGTCGGTGTGAGCCCATGTCCCGGTGTCTAGATGTGTGCCATATCTTAACGGGCTCACGCGGAGGCCGATGGATGAAAGTACATCTGGCACACGGTCGTCTGAGTTTGTGATCACGCCGATGATGATTTTGCCAAAGTTAGGTAGGTGGCTCGGTGATTTTAATGCTCGTATCGTCGGTACCAACTCGGAATCAGCCTCATATCCCTCGCTAGATGCGAACCGCTGTAGAAGTTTAGGGCAGAGGTCCTTAGGAAGTGTTCCAGTGACCCCAGCATACGGTTCCATTGTCATATGAATGACCTCCATCCAGAGTCAACTACATCCATCGGATTGCAACATGTGGTGAATAATTTTATCGCTTACTTACCTTCGTCCACCACTCTATGGCCCCTAATCCGTTATCTTTTCCGTAGTTGGGATTGAGCCTCATCTGCCGCTTGATTGCCTCGGTCAAAGATGTATGCATCTGCTCATCGCTGAAACCGCCGAGACCACACTGCCTTGCTACTTCAGCGTATTGCTTCCCCACCGAGCCCTTAGGTCGAAACAGCGTGCCAAAGGCGTCAAAGCACAGTAGAAGGTTTGGTTTCGCCATGTTCTAAGCCTTTGCTTAAGGCTGAATCTTATGGATTGCTGCAAGGTTACTGTTCGTCTCTTCGGTTGTCAATTAAGGGCCCGATTGCTCACAGTCATTGTAGGTGGGGGTTTTCGTCGATGAACTCCGAATTACCCCGCCTCTTTGTGCGTCGCACAATTTAAGCGGCGTAACACTATTTATAAGGCTGGACGTAACCGTTTAATTGTGGGCCTGCTCGTCGAATCCCGTGACGTACATCATCACCAAGCGCATTAGCCTATCTTACTTTCAATGTTTAAGGCGTCGAGTCGAATGATCAAGCTATGCCCAAATCCTAGACTGATGCGGATGGACACCTTTTCCCTCAAACTGCGGCTAATTTTCCACCATCGGCACTCCCCTCCGCGTGCACGAGAGGACGGGCAGCTTCTGAGCAGTCGCGGATGTGACAATCACGGACGCACTCAACCGGAGACTCTGCGTTGAGCGGCAGCGAGGAGTGGTGCAAACCTAATATTCCCTGCCGGGAGATTTTGCGCAGTCGGATGATGAGGTACATCCAACAATGTGGGTGGGTCAGTGAAAACCCTCGTGAAGAAATGGGTAAATGACTAGATCGGCCTCACTGGGTTTTATATCCTCAGCTAGAAACGATCTTAACCATCTAATGGATGTCTAGCAACACATTCGGTAGAGGGCGTGGGGGTCCTGCCTGCTCTGTAATACCCGCCATAGACAGGAGAGCCTCGGGAGTGCATTGAGAACGTAGTGGGCACACATAATTGACAATTACTACGAATTAGAACACTTCGGAGCCTAAATGCCCTTTCGTCCATAAGTTATTCTAGTCCTAATGGAAGAAATGGTTGACATGGCAAGGCTGCCTCTCACGAGAGCGATCCTGTCATTGTCTCCACTAACTATGGTTATGTCGTATCAGAGAAACTGTGGACCCAGAGCGCTGTGCTCAAGGACTCAACGGCTGCGGGCAATAACTAAGCCAGCGGCAGGTAAAAGTTGAACTTCCCTTGAGGGTCATACTGTGATTTCAACCTCTTCAACTTTTCTACCCGCCAGGGCGCAGAACCGTAGATCTCGGCGAGAGTCTCATCGCCGACGGCATAGTTGACATAGCTGTTCTGTTGCCCCTCACCGCTACTTTCCACTATAATCCTTTTCATATCCTGCGTTGCGGAGAGTATGTCCGCAGCGTAGCTCTCGTTATAATACGTCCAGACAGGGGTCCTGCTCTAATTGTTAGCGTGACCTAGCATCTTCCATACCAATTCAAGACCCACAAGAGAATCGGGTAGTCCCTATAAGGCTTTGCAGTGGTTTCCTCGGGGATCGAAACCGCCCCTTGCAGCGGGTAACCCTCAACGACGAAGAAAGACGTCTCTCCAACATCAGGATACCGCGTTATGACGTTTGAAAAGATGTTATACACTGCGCGTAGGGCCTCTGGACTATGCCGCTTCAAGTATGACCGAAATAGATGTCTATAGGCGCCCTTTTTACACACGACGCTAGTCTCATCAATGGTGTTCAGCTTGTAGAGGTCTGGATATTCAATCTCCGTATACATAGAGACCTCCAATGCGCCGAGGGCGATGAACCTGGATGAGAGGTTCTCAAGTTCAGCCAAATCGCCACGGTATATCAGGTCCATGACAATGACGGGCTAGGCATAGTCAGTCTTTGCGGCCAAGCCACGAAACGTGACGCACGTTTGGGACTTACCTCTTGCGCGAGGTCGGGCCGTCGCGAAAAGACATACCATAAGATCAGCCCCGCTGGGTGGCTATCTATGCTTAGGTAGTCATTTGATAAGGTAAAAATCTGCTCAAGGTGGGATCCTGGGAACACGAGCCGAGCTTGTGACCATTTCGGGCCACTGGGGTAGACTTTGTATCTTGTTAAAGTGACAATACCAAAGTTATGGCCCGCTCCTCGGAGTCCCCAAAATAGGTCCTCGTTCTCTTCTGCGGATGCCACAGCCAAGGTGCCGTTAGCAAGCACGACTCTCATTTCTAGGATCTGGTCTGTGGGGAAGCCGTATAAGCCTTGTAGATATCCGTGGCCGCCGCCAAGCATGATGCCCATGATCCCAGCGCACAAACAAGATCCAGTCACTAGTTGCCAAGGAGAATTAGCAACAAGGGCTTTTAATAACGCAGCGCGTGATCACATACCTGTCTCCTTGCCTTGAGCCCACAACGCTCGTAACAGTTCGCCGCTTGTTAGTCCAGGCTGAAACTCTGCATAAGCACCGTCTCCGCTCACTGTGATGCCCTTCATCTTAGTGAAGGATATCGCGATGCCACCTTTCATTCTTCCTAACGTGGTGGTAAATCCGTGCGCGCCATCTACAGCTAGAAATGGAATAGAGTTTTCGTTGGCAAAACGGACCTGAAACATCTGTCAGCAGCGCGAACTTGGACAGGATGGAGAATGGAAAAACTCAAGAAGAATGAGGCTGGGACCAACAGTCTCTTCAACATCTTTCTCGACAGACACTTCCACTACAACTGTATAAGTGGGGCTCGAGAACATCTGCCATCTTCCGTGGTTCTGCATTAGAGGGTCACCTGCGGTGATAATAGATGCGCCAGCAGATAGTCGCTGTGCGAGGTCAGAGAATATGTCCTCGTCCCGGCCATACATATCATGTCTGCTCGCGACATGCTCCCCTAGATGCTCCGCCAAGGTGATATTGAGGAAATTCAATATTAGGAGAGTAGAAATTAAGTTATAGGACACCATTGCTGCGCAATAAACCCGAATCGAACTGTTGTTTAAGTATGTCGAAAAAAGGTCTTACGACTTATTCCAGTCGGGGAACCGCCCTCTTATATGCTGGTCTCATATGTTAGGAGACTCATACTAGGTTTCTTCTTCACGCCAAATAACGGTAACGGATGCGTGTCTCAGCTGTTGATTCCATTGATGGCTTGGGGGTGGCGTACGAATAGCGGGAATGGCCGAGGCCTGGTGAGCAGGTTCATCAATCACAGCATAGCAATGTGTTGTTAAGGGCCGCCGCCTAAGAATCCGTATGCAGCCCCTGGTAAAGACCTGAAGCCTCGGCGATATGGCCATGTTGGCTAAGAACTAGTGGGCATTGTCCGAGCTATTAAACTCTAGGAAATAATCGGTCGGCATAATTCACAGCATATCTCCCGGTCATTCTTTTGCTTTTTTATCATCCCTGATACCTGACGTTATACCGAGGTATATCAGGGTGATTTAAGCTTAAATCATACCGAGTGCCCTTCTTACGCAAGTTTGTAACACGTCGTCCTCCGGCGCTTAGTGTCCGCGTAAAGTGCAGCGGGATTAGCAGTTTAAATCGACGACTGATTCCAACATTAATACCTATGCTTAGAGAAAAGGTCTCACGCCAGGAAAAATTCTTCAGGGCTTGGGAGTATGACTCGGCAGAGGGCCGTGCCCTCGCAGCTACATCAATGCTATCTAGTCATTAACTTCGCAGTAGTAGCAGTAGCATTGACATCTGATCAGCTCTTCCGTAGCGAGAAGATCATGGCACCTCGTGCTATTGCGGAGAAGGTAATATCATATAGATCAGCACGATCTGATAGTTATGCCTTATGGCGCGTATCATTTCTTTGATGTTCGCCTGCCCACCCAGACCCGGCGAGCCCCGGTTTTTTCTTTTTTTTCTTACAACGATGTGTAACAAACCAGGGCGCCGAGACCTTTCATCTGTCGCACCACCTCAACTTTGCATGTACGTGCAAAAGGGTTGGGCCGAAATATACGGGCAACTGAAAAATGTGGGCCCTACATCACCTCCAATGCATCACGGTTGACTCGCCCGACAAAATAAGGACGCAGGAGCGGTGAGAGAGAATGCTGATGAGCCATGCTTGCATAATTTCATGAGGCGCTTATTTACCGTAGTTGTTTTGGCAATCATCGCTCGCGGGTTGACAACATTGTTATTCCTGCTTACTAATATCCTCCCCACCCACACCAAACCGCCAAACCGGGTCAGCTCGTACCAGGTCCCGACCCCGCGATGTCGCTTCGAGCCCAACAATGCGGACCTATTTACCGCGTTAGCTTCGTGTTGTTTCCTGCACGGCAAAGGAGATCACAAATACAATGGGTAGCGTACTTGAGGACAAGTTTGATGGCTGGTCCGTACATAGCCAGAGGAGTTCCCCCTTTTCACTCTACTGCCCCTTGAAGTGCGCCGGGAAATCTACCAGCACCTTTGTGCCACATTCGACGTCGCCCCTCCTCACAATTTCCGCTTTGAAAGTACCCATGCTGCGGATCCAGACTCCGATGGCGTCGATATCCAAGGTGCTCTGGGCTTCTTTGCACGACGACGCCAGGGTGAGCCGTACCCATCCTGGCCCCTGACAGCCTCAGACTCACCTGAGCATTATGGCCTCCCCGTCCACGCCAATGTTGATGAGTTGGAAAATTGGCGCGAGTGGTATAATAAGCCATGGGTAAGGCCAGGCCACACAGGAGGACGTTTGGATCTTGCCATATTGCGCACCTGCCGCCGTATTTATATCGAAGCGAGGGAAGTGGTAATCAAGAGCTACGTGCACGTTGTGGATACAAACTGCGGGCCTGCCAAGAAGAGGCTGAACATACATGATCCGACGACGCCATACTATACGAATGGGGTTTCCCGTGCACAAATTTATCCCAACAACCGGTATCTCGAGACCTACTTGTTCGATTTCATCGCGTCTGGTGCGGTACTACGGCGGCTCCAACATCTGCGCCTCACTATCCGCAGCATCGACTGGAACGGAGCGATAAGCGTAAATCCTTTCCGAATCGATAGCGGTATTGATAGTTGGGGAAACTGGAAACGAGGCGTCATGCAAAGTGACATGAGGACGTGTGAAAATTTCAGCACCAGGCCCGTCGCTCTTTCGGATCAACCGCAGGACGCTCAGAACTGGGTTCCGCCGATTGAGTATGAACCGTTTTCGTGGGGCTTGACATTCATGTACCTCCCACAGCTGACTAGCCTTACCATCGACTTTGAGGGTACTGAGATGCAAAAGGACAATATCGAACCTATTGTTGAGTGGGCAACTCGGACGTGGCAGTTTCCCTAGGCCCTAGAAAAGATGGCGCGGCGTATCTCTCGGCCCATGGCAACACAGTCGCTGAGACAAGCTGGCGGGGTACCCGAGCACACTGGGGGTCACCGCCTGGAGACTGTGGACATGCCCTCAACCTGGACTACCCAGATCGTCTACGTGCCCCCTGCCCCAAGTGTGACCGAAGACTCATACTTTATAGGAGGAATCTCGGACCGCGGATGTATACATGGACAGTGAAGTGGACGCCGCGGATAGGAAAACCATGGAAGCCGTCGTGGGGAACTAAACGAAATCTTCTTCCGCAATTGCCAGACTGGCAAGCCTGGGAGTCTGATGACTGGACGTTGGATTGATGTGCTCTGTCCGTATCAAGTGGGAAAGTCTGCCGGCATGGGCCTATCCTTCTAATTATTTGTCGCTGCGACAAAGGCTGCTATGTACTTACACTTCTCATCAGCAAAGCCAATGAAACCAGGTTTTGTGATCGGGTATTCCAGCGAAGGCTAGACTTTTAACTTTGGTCTATATATCATCGGTACCACCCTCCCCCTCTTTGTTTCCCACTATCAGTTCCCCACGTAAATCAGCATGAAGTCTTGCTACATATGCTTTTCATCACCAAGATATTTCGTAGCTTCTGTCTCCTGCTTAGCATCACCGATTTCCTCGTCGAGGTCAAAATTTGCCCCTGCAACCTTTTCCCGGAATCTTGTGACATCAGCCCCCACGCCTGGGCAGACGTACGACTTGAATTTCCTCGTGGGCAGGTTTGCCTCAAACATCTCGTCCAGTTCCTCCAAACTCCTGCCCTTGAGTTCGGGTAGGAAGAAGTACGCCCAGATGAGAGCGAGGAATGAGCATCCACCGTAGACAAATCCGACGCGGGCCCCCAAGTTGCCATAGCCTTCGTCTTGGACGTAGGGATTCACGTAAGTTATGAGCAGGACCATACAGAAACTGACAAAAGTTGCAGTCATGATGGTCTTCTCGCGGACCACCGCGGCGGCGGCCTCGGAGGTGGTAATCCAAGTGCAGCTTCCCCAACACCCACCGGCAATTGCCTGGTAAATGAGAATGGCCGCGACACAGCCCTGGGCTTTGGAGCCAACAACATGGGTATACGCACCCAAACCAGCAACAACCCACATGAGGGTTCCCATGAAGAATGCGGAGACAATGAGGATGGGTCGGCGGCCAATCTTGTCGGTAAAATAGAATGCTAGTGTGATTCCTCCCAGCTGCGTCGCATTCTGCGCAATGTAAATCTGCAGGCTATTCTGGATTCCGATGCGCTGTAGAAAGAGCACGAGATAGTTATTCATGAATGAATTGCCTTGTATCAGCTGCATGAGCTGGACAAGAATGGCTATCATGGTGCGTCGAAGGTTCGACCCCTAAAGCAATCGAGGTAGGTGGTGTGGGCGGAGAGCTCAAGCTGCTCCTGTAAGGCCGTCTCAATGAGGGAGAGCTCGACAGCAACCTCTTCGGGGTGGACATCCCTGCTCTAATGGTGGCCAGTGCGGAATGTGCTTCCTCCCGCCGGTTCTTCATCAAAAGCCATCTAGCATAAGTGAATGTAAGAAACTGCGTTTGTGGGTGGGCATAGACCAGTGGAGTTAAACACCTACCGAGGGGATTCTGGTAGAAACCAGATACCGCCTAAAAGAATAACAGGGACCGCTGCTTGAACAATCATAACGGGCATATACTCCCACTTGCCAGCGAGAGACCGGGAAGTCCCGTAAATGCAGCTAGCGGAGACGATGTTACCCACAATCTGCCACCATTGATAAAAGTTGACGAGAGAACCACGGATAGCCGCGGGGCAAGCTCCGCGCTATAGGTAGGAATCACGTTTGCCTCCATGCCCATGGATATGCCGTTTATAGTCCGCCCAACAACAATGGCCCAGTAGTTCTTTGATGACTATTAGACAAGGAATAGGTTAAAGTTAGGACGCGGGACTAACCGGGACAGCGCATTGAACGATGACGCCGACAATGGAGATCGCCGAAAGGGCAACAATGGTCATCTTCCTGCCGAGATACTGAGAACAATACCCACCAACAATGCACCCGATTGCCATGCCGGCGTTCGGTGTGCCAGTTCCGGCAGATTGCCAGGTTGACGGAATGACCTTTGGACCTCCGCTGTCCGGAGTAATACCATAGTCATCCGCAAATTGCTGCAAGCCAAGGCACGACGACCACCAGGCCAAATCGAACCCGAAGTTCTAGACAGATTAGTCAAAGGACAGATATTGCCACCGCCATGTTGTTAGGCAATAGAGACTTACGAATGAGCCAAACTTTCACATAGCACATATTAGCATGTAGTCTCACAAGAGTTCTTGGCGGGCCACAAGTATCGCTTTGGGGGTGGGGAGACGTTTAGGTGGGGAGGGCTACTTACAGACACGAACATGTAGATCCCTAGGACCCGCCATGTGAGCTCGTTAAAGAGCTGCGGTTTGCGGAAAGCAAGGCCCATTGTTGAATTAAGCCGACGAAGCAAGGTTGATCTTTACGCACGTGAGCGGAGATAGAGACAGGTGAGAGCGGAATAGACAGATGATGAAAAGATGTTAGAGATGATGCATTGGGAATTGTGCTTTGCTCTCTCCGCAGCGATGCGAGGCCGGGTACTTATGTATGATCTAGACATCAGCCCTTTGCGTAGATCTCCCTTATATCAAGTAGGTGCAAATACTGCGTCGATAGGGTCATTCGACAGGATTCACAAAAGATACCGGGAAAGGGGATGCGAGGGAATGTAGAGCGGGTCCTATTGAGACGTGGTTCTCCACATATCGCATTTTAGCGGCAGTGGTTCGCAGTGGAGTAGGGGAGAATAAAACCAGCCTAGGAACTTTTAGCCCGGATTTCGGCCTCTGCCACCGCGCGCATGTCAGCGGGCAACTCTTGCGCGTTGCGCAACTGGGCTGCCCGCTGAATGATAACGAGGTTCGCCTATTCTAGTTTAGGTGCGACCGCCCCCGTGCCATCCCAGCTTCTCGGGATACTAAGATTATCGGCTTGCGCGTTGCGGAAATGTTCGCGATAGCCCCGGTAGTTAGCTACGGAACCGAATGAGAAGTGCAGCATAAGAGAGACAAGACTACGATACAAAAGATGTGGTATATCATCATGCTCTTCTTCCAGATAATCCCAAGCTAGTGGTTCAGCTATTGTCTAAATACGTCTCCCCATAATCCGCTAATTATGACTATCTCCAATGATGGTCCTGTTCCCCAAGCGGTCCCCAAAGCAACGATCCTAGGCGGTTCTGAACTGCACAAGAAGCCGGCTTGGTGGAAGGAAGCTACTGTATACCAAATTTACCCTGCGTCTTTCTGCGATTCAAATGGAGATGGCGTTGGCGACATCCAAGGCATTAAATCCAAAATACCTTACCTCAGGTCACTTGGAGTAGATGTCGTTTGGCTATCCCCCATCTACAGGTCACCCCAGCGAGATATGGGATATGATATCTCAGACTATCGGGATATCCACCCGCCTTACGGGACTCTTGATGATTGGCGAGATCTAAAGGCTGAATTGAAGGCGACGGGTATCAAGATCATCATGGACCTCGTCGTCAATCACACTTCGGATGAGCATGAGTGGTTTGTAGAATCAAGAAGCAGCAAATTGAGCGATAAGCGATCTTGGTACTACTGGCAACCACCCAAGTATGATGAAGACGGCAACAGAATGCCGCCGAATAACTGGAGATCCTTCTTTGGCGCTGAATCCGCATGGGAGTATGATGATGCAACCGACGAGTACTATCTCCGCCTCTTCACTCGGACCCAACCAGACCTGAACTGTAAGTTTAGCCTTTGAATTTCAAGAGTACTTCGGTTACTAATAAGTCTTAGGGGAAAATCCCAAGGTCCGCAAGGCCGTTCGGGACATCATGTCCTTTTGGTTGGAAGAAGGTATTGATGGATTTCGAGTACGTCATCCCTGTACCCCCGTTGCCCCTCTCACTTGTTTAGATTTATCAATCCACCCCATCTCTTGCTAGCTAATACCATCCGATAGGTTGACGCAATCAACTACATTGCGAAGGCTCCTGGCTTGCCGGATGCCGAGATCATTGAGCCGGATATCCCTCATCAGCCTGCAATGCACCTTTACCTCAACCGCTCAAAATGCCATGACTTCCTGCGAGAGCTCGGAGACAAGGTTCTTTCGAGGTACGATGTCATGACAGTGGGCGAAACTCCACACGTGGAGGAGCCCGATATGGCGATTCAATACGTCCACCCCGAACGCCGTGAATTCAACATGATATTCCAATGGGAACACATGGACGTGGACCGAATTCCGGGCACTTTGCTGGGATGGAAGCAGTACCGACTCTCCGAATTCAAGGCAATCATGAGCAAATGGCAGATCACTATGCAAGAGCGAGGCGGGTGGAACAGCCTATACATGGAAAACCATGATCAAGGAAGATCCATCTCCAGATTCGCCTCGGATTCGCCCGAAGATAGATGCCTGTCGGGAAAGCTATTAGCCACGTTCCTCTCAACCTTGAGTGGAACACTGTATATTTTCCAGGGCCAAGACATAGGAATGATCAACCTTCCTAAGGAGTGGGGAATCGAGGAGTACAGCGACGTAGTTTCCGAGATGCACTATCGACAGGAAAAGGAACGACGGCAGCGAGAGTCTAAAGTCACTGATCCCTGCATGAAGGACGTCGTGGAGGACATACAAAAGAAGGCCCGCGATAACGGAAGAACGCCTATGCAGTGGTCTGGCATGAGTCCCCATGCCGGCTTTACTACAGGTACGCCTTGGAGGAAGGTCAATCCCGATTATGTTGCGTGCAACGCCGAGAGTGCCGTCACCGATCCGGACAGTGTTTTGAACTACTGGAAGCGACTTATACGACTTCGGAAAACTTGGAAGACGCTTATTTATGGAGACTTTGAGCACTTTGCCGCGGAGCATGAACAGTTGTTCGTCTATAAACGGTCACTTAAAGGCGACAAGGACGCCTATGTCTTCATGAACTTTTCAGACGCCCCCATTTACGGGGTTTCCACAATCGTTCCTGAGTTTGAAGGTGACCTGGTTCTCGGAAACTATGGTACACCTAGAGATGACGATGTAGTTAAGAGTACTGATACACTTAGGCCGTGGGAGGCGAGGCTATACTGCGCTAGGACAGAGTGGAAGGATTACCGTTGAATATCCGCCATCGGTGTTGCGCCGTGTTGCGTATAGATCTATTCTCGTGGATGATCGCATAAAAGCCTGTCTGTTCTTGTAATATTGTCTGGATTTCGTCCTGTTGTTTGTACACCCGACGTTTTATCTGTCGAAATTGTAATCAAAACTAGATAGTAATTGATCCAAGTCGGTGTCCCACTCTAGTCCATATGTGTTGCCAAATGCAACCGCTGGGTCAACAGGGAAATCCTCCCGTAAGGCTTCATAGTTTTCAACTTGGGAAACTTCAGCAAGGTCCCCGTCGTAATTCGTGACTTCTTCGATCATCAATTCTTCGTCCTTCTCTTTTGTACCCGAGCCTTGACCCAAATTGACACCTGTGTCTCCGTCCTCACCTGCCAAAGAGTCCGACGAATCGCGCTGAAGTAGTAGATCCATGCGGATCGATGCCAATTTGGTCATGTTGAAATTGAGCGAGTGTGCCTTGAGAAGTTCTCGATAGGTTGTGATTTCTTGTATCCAATGATTGACTTCATCGTCTTCCGTGGCGGACAGTAGCATGCCAATCATGAAGCCACCCGTAATGGCAAATGCAATCCGCGATGCTATCATGGTTAGTCTCACACTAGATGCTCACCCTCTTCTAATCGTGCGACTCACTTAACCACCAAAACCCGGAAAGACAGTTTACTTGAAGATTCTTAAGCCACCGTGTGACGTCGCGGACAAGGGTACCGGACCGTTGGCGGAATTGCGAGCCAGCGGCCGTTCGGAGAATGGCGCGGTAGAGGGTGATTTCAACCGTGTAATATGCAAGCTGGAGGTTACCCGTGGGGTCGTGCATCACGTCAAAATCCGCTAGAGGAGCCATATACTCGTCCTTCCAAGCTTGGAGCCTCCCGAGGAATGCGTCAGCAATGGCCACGCACTCGTCTCGGTGTAAAGTGTAGAGCTTCTTGGCTCCTCTAACTGTGTAGAGCTTGGATAAGATGTCCGACAAAATCACGGTGAGTCGCGCTGCTGCGACATACACACGGGCAGCCAAATCCCCCATCTTTCCACTTGCCCTTGGGTCAAATATAAAATCATCGATTTGGAGGTCTTCCACATCATGCTGGTCATCGTGAAGATGAGATGGTCGACCTAGCACCAGCGCTGCCCACTTATCCTGTAGATATACGGACCACCAGAGCCGTTTGCGCCTTTTTTCTCCGCATCGGGTATTTTCCACCCAGTAGCGTCGATATTGAGACCGAGGTCCTGGCTCATTCCCACAATAGCCCCGACATCAGCCCACAAGCCTGGCATCGTGGGTGCCCTAAAGATGTACGTGTGTCGCTGGGCATGTAATAAAGCCGCTTCGATTGTCTCGTATTTGACGTGTCTTGCTTCGATGGGTAGGGCCTGGCTGGTAAAGTCCATGAAGAGCCAGGGGTTGATTCTTTGCGCTTCATGGCAGTACGGATGCGCCAACGCGAGCATGGAGGCGAGCAGGGACTGGGGGCGTCTGAAGCGGAAAATGACTTGGGGTCGAGGATGGGAATTGATGGGTGGACCACGTCAAAATAGGCCTTGACGAGCCGCTCTCCGTGAGGGCTTGCAATCTCACGGATGCGCGTCCCGGGATAGTAGCTTGGCCGCGCATCAAGATGCTGGTCGGGTACGGCTGTGAAGCTAGCCGGGAACCGGGGTCGTTGCCAAACCGCTGACACATCCAGCGAATACCATTGCTGGCTTGCACCCGTTTTGTGAGGCAGTACTGCAAGATGAAGGGATCTTGATCGCCGCTGAGGCCAACAAATTGAGTGTCTCTCCGCCGCCTCCCTCTTCCTGCAAGCTTGGGAAGTCTGTTGGGGTTTCTGTGCCACTAGGTTGAGCTTCAGTCGGCCATGGTCTCGACGCGGGAGGGCTCGAGAAAGGGCCTTCGACCCCGGTCGGGGGTTTTCGAATGCTACTTGGCTCGGTGCGGATCTTTTGATTCGGGGTGATACGAATGTGCAGCTTAACCCGCGGCTTTTACACAGCGAGCAGGGCTCATTCTCGTTGCGAAGACAGCAAACTCGGCGGCGGCGGCAATTGTCGCACCTAAATTACAATCAGCCTATCATGTATACATATCAGCGAGATGGCGCCTTGGTCAATTGCGCCCATCTTACGGTCGCTGTCGTCTTGATCGATATTGTCTTTGTCGCGTCAAGGTTCGTGTGCTTGACTCCATTGGGTGTTAGGGAAATGAAGAATTATTTCTAAACCTAGGCAAAGGGTAAGGAGGCAATGAGGGAGTTTAGTGGAAAGGGGAGCTGATGACTGATCGAAGCCTTGCTCTTATCCACCATCCATAAATGTTTCTGGGGATTTGGAAGTGGAGACTGCTGGAACGGGAATAGCCTCTCTCCAATTCACTCGGGGTGTTTCCTCCGGAGTGGAGTCGGCCGAGCCGGCGTCATCAACACAAGGATTACGGATTACAGAAGACGCAGCGAAAGGGACGATGTGTCGAGCATTAAATTAAGGTACCAACATTTTAGAAATGTCTCGTGTCTTGTCCCTTGGCGAAATTCTCATCTAATTCAAAGCGAGGGAGAATGAAAGGGAGGCGGCCACGGCCGACATGACGATCAGGTTTCTTTGAACGGAGGCAGCAAGACCCTCCGATGCTGCTGTAGAGGAGCCACCACTCTCGGATGGGGAGTTGGCAGTCCCGGACTTGGTGCTGGTCTGGCTCCCGGTCGCATTTTGGGTATCGTCTCCTTCGGAATCGCCCGAGGATGCCGACTGTGTGGTTTCCGCGTTGGTATCACTCGTCCCCGTGGGAAGAGGAGTTGGGCCAGTATATAGATTGCCTTTTCTGCCGTCACCAAGCGTATAGTCGCCTGTGATGACGTTGCCGGTAGTCCCATCGCCGTCACGGAAGTCGCCGGAGGCCATAGTGTAACAAAATAGTACGGCACTGAGAGACACGCAAGTCTCTTGGGAGTTGCAGTCAAGTTCGGCTGCGCGGCGGACAGTATTTGAGAGCGTGTACCGGACATCTCGGGGCGCCAGGCGGCTCAAGTCACGGACTGCATTGGAAACCCAGCTATTGTCGAACGTGAGGATCGGGCCGCTTCCGACGGCGCCACCACCACCACTACTGCTACCACCTCCCTGGGTCAGGAAAGGCTCCAGAGCTGTTGCCGACGCGGCAGTACATTTCGTAGCGAGCTGGGAAGAAGCATTACTATTAGCGACTGATCTTTCCTAATGGTTGTCCTTGCTCTTGGTTGTACCAGCAGCCGGGGAGGACACGGCGGATGGAGTGGAGGCTTGACCTTACAGAAGACCCAACAAGGGTAGCGGCGATAAAAACCAAGCTTGCGGAAAGCTGCATTTTAGCTAGGAAAAGATGCAATCGGCCTTGGTCAATTGGTTAAAGAGGAGAGATGTGGCGTGCAACGGTCCTTGGCAATCTTGGCGGACGAACGTCATCTTTAAAACCACCTCTGAATGACCCCGACAATCCCCCTTTAAAGTCCCCTCTCGCCCTGACTCCTTCATCTCTGAATGTGCCTTCGGTCGTCAGTTGTTCTTTTATGTTTTTAGACTTTTGCTGCGACTCTCCGTCTGATTTGGGTTTAGCTTTGGGCTCAGCCGCAAATAATTCGAGCCTGGTGGCATACTAAGTCCAGACTGCAGCCGCTCATGCGCGCACGCACCCCAGCGCCCAATACATTTTCTTGCCGAAATGCCGAGAGAGGCTTCTAGGTCTATTCTGCCCTATAATTTGATTGGAGTAGGTCTCCTGTCCCCTTCACGATATCGGGGAGCTACGCCGATAAGGTGTTTGGGTCGGGTGGTTGAATGACCCCGATAACCCAAGCGAGCGGCGAGGAGAGACTAGCGCAGAGTGAGAGGGAGCACTTGACAGCAACAGGACGTCGCGGTTAATCTTAGCTCGGCCGTTTAACATGGACGAGAAGCGCTGCTACGGCCAGCCCGGGAGACCTGCATCCACACAAGATGCGACTCCCTTTTTCTTCATCTCTTTCTCCTAGGGCTTTCTTCTCGCACAACTCGCCCCATTTGGTTAGTGCCCGGGGTGGTTCGTCTTTCACTCTAGCTTAGGATGGGACAGCCTACAGACTGCGAGTTTACTCGTTGAACTTGTACTCAAGGCATCAAAAGTAAGAGTGATGGCATGGGTAGATTCGCGTCCACGAATGATAGTGAGGAGCATCTCGAAAGCGGTATCAACGGCTTAGGTGGCCAGGTACCTGCACTCCATAACTGGGAGAGGGAGCCGAGAAATTGATCAAGTCCACCTGCACACCAGTAGCAACGTTGGCGCCTCGTTTTCTTGCGCCAATAATGTACAGGGATGTACAGGGGCCGGTCTTGCTTCGCCCGGCTTCAAGAACCAAAACATATAAGTGTGAGGCACGGTATTGGGTTGGATTGTGAGTTCACTAAAAAGCGAGATGTTTGCTAAGAGTCTGGATATGGAACGCATCATCTTCTCCCTCCGTCTCTATGTCAGCCATGTGACAGAATGGGCGGGAAACCTGCCAGACGCCTGGATCTGGCCCTATATAAGTACATAGGACTCCGTCAATTAACCACCAATCCTATCCACGTCCAAAGTCCGAGAATGAGGCAGTATACCTCGGTAGTTCATATCCCGCTTTGCATCATCTCAGTCAGTAGCTTTGACGAGTTCTTCGCGTTGAAAGTGCTTTGCAAGGGCCTGAATAGAGACTCGCCCGCATCCTTATGCCTGAGGTAGTATGTAGCATCAACGGTTGGATGTAACTCTGTCTGAGAAAACCCGTCGCCTAGGTAGGCAAAGCGATTTCCCTATACTTAACTTCAAAGTCGTCATATCGGGGACTTGTAAGGGTTTCCATGTAATGTAGGGTGCTTCCCGGCCAGAGGGCCGTAATTTTGCCGGATTGTGAACTCTTGTACCAAGAGGCACAACTGGTGTTCCAAACAGTGGACTGCATGAAGGCGTCCTTTTGCTGCATGAAGTCATCAATGGCGTCGACCCTCGCGTCAAAACACGCGATATCTTCCTTTGCCATCGGTTAAGGAAATGTGCGATATACTCACCCTGGATCTCGATGGAAAAGATGATGGGGCCGTTGCCGATGGGGCAATTAGGCCCGAGGAACATGAAGTAATTGGGGAATCCGTTGGCGGCAAGCCCGAGGTAGCTACGAGGCTCCATCGCCCATTCATCGGCAAGGGATCGGCCACCACGTCCAATGAGAGGAAATCGAGGCTTGAATGTGGTATCGAAACCTGTCGCACAAATCAACACGTCGATAGGCCATTCTTTGCCGTCTTCTGTCACACACCCCTTCTCAGTAATCTCGGCGATGGCTCCGTATACCGTCGTCACGTTGGGAAGCGTCAAGCTCTCGAGATAGTTTGTGCCGGGCTGTCAGTCCGGCGGGCCAGCCGGAAAGTCAGTTACGGGGCGTGGCAGAGGTTGGGAGCAGACCGGGGTTTGTCGCAAGAAGAACTCACCGTTAACCGTCGACACCCCAAGGCGAAGTCGGGGATAAGCTTGGTGGCCAACTCGTTGTCACCAATCTTGGCGATCATCTCCTCCCGCATATAGGCTCGCCCGGCCGTTTGGGTGACCGAGTTCTGAATCATGATAGGGAAGATTCGGGCCATTCCTTCTTCATAGTTCTTACGCATCTGCAAGAGAGATTCTGGCTCTTCCTGGAATTTCTTTTTTCTTCCTCGGAGTATTCGTGGAACTCCATGCCGCGTGTTGGACTGACCCAGGAAGGCTCGCGAATGAAGGTGGTGAGGTGGCTCGCGATCCTGAGTTCCATGTTAACTTTCCTTTCTTTCAGGGCACCGGCAATGACATCGGCTTCGAAGTGAAGTGGACGCTCACGGTTGAATTGCGGGGAGAATTTGTATGCCCGAAGACCTTGATCGCTCCCGCTATTAATCACTGTTGCCCCCAAGGCCTCGACGGGATGTGGATGGCAGCCCTCAAACTTACCCATTCCCGATTAATCCTACGTGCTTGCCAGTCAGATCCGCCGACGCATCCCACGCCGCGCTGTGCAGCTTGAGCCCCGCAAAGCTGTCCAAACCAGGAATATCGGGCCAGCGCCATTGGTTCAGGATTCCGGCCGCATTGATAAGGAAGTCGCAGCATTTCTGTGAGACGGACCCTTCAGGGCCTTTGATATCAACAACCCACTCTGAAGCTACTTCGTCCCACTGGGCCCTCATAACCTCGTGGCCGCACGAGATATATTCCTTCAGTCCATACTTTGCGACAAAATCGGTGAAGTAAGTACGGATCTCTTTTGAGCCAGCGTAGTTGGCGGACCAATCCCACTTAGGCTCAAACGAGTAGGTATAGTTGTGCGCGGGAACATCGCAGGCACCTATCAACGTTCAGGTGTCAGATGCTACATATAGTCCACTGAGCCAAGAATTCTGTTTTTCTGTCGCTTTCTCTCAAGCAATGAATCCACTGGAGGCGTCGTCCAAAGCCCTACTTACACCCAGGGTACGTGTTCTCGTACCACGTTCCTCCAATCTCTGGATTCTTTTCGTACACGTTGAGGCTGAAATCGGTGAAGTAGTGCTTGAGCTTGTACGCCATGTAGATCCCAGAGGCACCGGCCCCAATGCATATCACACGGAGATGTCGATTTGCGTGAATAGGTCTATTGCGGCAGGTGTACTTGGACCCATTTTCATGGCCGTTGGGCCGGTTGCTTCCGTCGGTCGACGTCGGCGGAACAGTACCGCTTGCGGACAAGGTCATTTTGATCGAGAGCGTACAACGTTGACTGATGAGATGATCAAGGTCGGGAATTAAACGCGAGGCGTGACGTGCTCAGATGAACCTTGACAGGATCAAATTGTCCTAGCTTAGCCCCTTGCTTTGGAACGACGTATATATATATATATATAACTATATACCGGCATGAACGAATCTTGATCGAATTATCGCACTCCTCGCAGGGGCCTTTTGGTCCCCATGTGGGAGCGACTGATTCAGCGCAGCGGTTCTACAAGACGCGGTTAGAAGTCTGTTCTTGTCTCTCGTTTGGCACTGATATTTTGGTTCCCGAAGTTCGGTACTGCAACCATACCATGACGGTGAGTCGTTCAGCATAGAATCTAGATAGATCAATTCAAGTTAACAGCTGACTCGTCCCATCCCACCATCAATCCCTGAGCCCCCGCTGATTCAACATTGGAGAGACTGCAAGGGGTGTTTGCTGTACACAACTCGCGGTTTTGATTCGTCGCAGCGAGTGCGCAAACCTCCCGTAATGCGCCTGTGCCGCATTTGCACATTCCAAGAGACCAACCAACCAAGAACTGGCGGAGAGATTGCATGCAGGGCTCGCTGCCTGGCCGGAGTATCGCGCTGTGCCCTTACCATCCTTCGAAGCTGCCGTTGTTTATCGAACGAGGTCGGGATCTTCCCTCGCAATCGGGAGACCGGACCTCTGTGGGGAGGCGGCCCGTGAACAAGGCCCTAGTCGAAGCGGCAGTTCATTAAGAATGCTTCAAGGCATCAAGTGTGGAGGAGGATCGAGGTCCTTTAGCCGAGCATCGATCCATTCCTTCACTTCAACCGTTTCCTTCCCAGAGTATCGGGCGCGGTGAGATGGTATTAACGATGTCACCGCTGAACCACACTGGAAATAACCCCCATAACCTGACGTCGGCCGAAAAGAAGCGGGCTCGCGATCGAAGAGCGCAGCAAAACCTGCGTGACAAGCGCAATAAGCTTGTCAAAGCCCTCAAAGAAAAGGTGGAACACTGCGAAGCTTCGCACAGTTCAGACTACATCCGAGAGCTTGAGAGAGTTTGTCGTGTCCTCAAGCAAGAAAATCAAATCCTCCGAATACGAGAGGTTAGAATACGCGCCCTCTTTGCGTCATGGCGCCCCCTCCCGAGACATCCCTTCCCCAGCGCGGGAAGAGGGGAGCGGACGCATACGCCTCCACAGAACTGGTGGTCGAGACTCGGGGGCAGCGCAGCTTTGCGAATTGGGGCTCGGGGAGTTGCGACCATTTCGATCATCGTCAAGGACCCTTCACTCCCGAGCCATCGAATGACGACGGTGCATTCGACAACGACAAGGCCCACAACCACGAGACAGGAGCTTTATCCTCCGATCTGTGCCACCGTCTCCATGACCCATATGGATTGTCCTTTATGAGAAATGCACTGGCCGGCCATGAGGCGGATAATACCCTTTGGGGATCGGCCGTGGATCCATCGGAGACGTTAGAAACAGGCCCCTACCACCAGCTCAACGACCATAATCACTTCCAATGAAAGGGCGTCGACGTGATGGTACCCCACCACAACTACAAGAAAGTCTCCGACCAAGAGCCAGAACACTTGAGCTCGCCTCGCGATCAACTATTCCAGTTCCGCTTGTTCGCGCGGCGTTTCTATCCTCCAATATTTCCAGTCTGACACTACTGCAACGCCGCGCCTTTGGCAAATGCTTGCTACACCAAAACCAAGCCCAGCCAATGTCTCATCTGACAAGTCTGCGAGTGGAAGTCCAAGCAAAATATATCTGCAGGCTAAACTCAAAGCTAGTCCAGGCCTAGAAAGCTTTCTAGATCCAGGGAAGGTTGCCATTTGGCAGCTAGTGTACAGCTTTGTGGAATGGCGTATTTCGCCCGTAGCAGGGAGAGATGCGCGACTTCTTTGATATCTGAGGCCGCCACTGTTGGAGCAACGTCAAGTGCTGCATCCATCAATGTCCGACCGTGGCAGCGATCGATAATGTGATGAAGAGGTGGCATCTACAATATGTATTGATGCGTAGACATACGCAGTCACTGTTAACAATTCAATATACTAAGGTCTCAAATTTGGCTGACGATCCAAGAATCAAAAGTTTCCTTCTGTTTGCCGTGGGGCAGCCCAGCCATGTAATCTAGGATGGGGGCATCGTGCGCCTCTCCTTTAGCTTCCATATAGGTTAATCTCCCTTCGTTATGCTTCTGTTCTCAGCGTTAGCATAGTCACCAAATGTCGAGAGTGAGCCGGCCGCGCTTCTTACCCTCAACTTGCTCACAAATTCACGAATGTCATCAACAAAAATCTCATCGGCGCCAGCAAGAACACAAATCTTAGAGGCGGCTATTCCCTGCCACCAGTCTGCATCTACCAAGGCGGGGGTGTTATACTTGTCCGCTTCAGAGCCGCCGAGGAAGTTGTCCCACCAGATTGTGAGCGTGCGTCGATCGAGTACGTCCCTACCGATATTGGACGTCATTGTGGGGGCGGTCTGGTCAAACGTCACCCACGGAGACATGAGAAGGACGCCTTTGAAGGACCCTTTACCTTCAACAGGGGCCAATGGGGTAATCGGATGAGACATATGAGAGAGAAGTGCGAGGGCAAGATTTCCGCCGGCCGAGTCACCACCTAGAATGATCTAGATGCGGGGTGTAATTGGTATCAGTAATGTCTCAGTGATGGGCTCCCCGGCCGCCTGGCAGAAGCCCATGCCAAGCATATGGTACTGACTCGAGATAAGGGGACATTTTCAACGTTGATGAGGAAATTAACGGCAGCAATAGCGTGCTTTAGCTGAGTTGGATATGCAGCGGCTGGGGCAACATCTGCGGGATTCTATTAGGAACCTAGTATACGGCTTATATGCTCGCTGAGGAGAAGCTCTTGCCATATTGGAGAAAAAAGCAACTCATTTTCTGGTTCTTAGACTGGGCGATCTGGATAACGTCCCAGATAAGCTCCATATGGGCCGGCGCAGCCATGCTAGCATAACCACCACCTACAGACCGGTTAGCATCTTCACAACAGCCGAGTCTCTGTTCGGCTGGCAAGTCGTTATTTCATACCATGGAACCAAAGGAGAACAGTCCCCTCGCTCTTTTCTCCCAACCAACAGCCTTTGCCGCCATCGACCAAATCAATAACGATACAGGGCGTGGCTTTGCTTTCACGAACTTTTTGTATACTTCCACCGTTGTTGGAGACATTGCCCTGCATAATTTAACTTCCTACTGACAGCCTGACGAATTGAGGCAAACCTACTGTAGTGCACGAACAGTTGAGTTCCTAACGAAAGCTTTTATCGTGTTATAGATAACGTGCCTCCTATATGTGGGTGCCCCGTGGGGACCTCGAAAGGTGCAGTAACTGAAGACGCGAAAAGGGTAGCAGCTGCCAATGCGATTAGCTGTACGAATTAGACATGGGGAGGGACGGGCCCTGGCGTACTTGTTATGGCCAAGGCCTTGGCTAGAGCCAGCCAGTCAAGAGCAGTCATCGTTGGTCTCTCAGTCATGGCATCGGCTAATACGGGCTTTGTGTGATCAGACTATACTTCGATAAATCTGCTTCAGTAACAGTCCGAGCGTAGGCTTGTGGGGAGTATAAAAACGGTCGTGCAGAAAAACAATAAGCATGCAACGACGATATATATGTCTGTCTTGAGAGCAGTTTTTGGGCTCTCTTAACATTACCGCAGAAGGAGCAGAAGCAACTTGGGGAATTGTTCCCTAGCTTGGCGCTGAATCAGTGGTCAACTCTTGAAGGCCAATGAATCAGCGGTCGTCCAAGATTGAAAGGAGACCTCCGCCTCTAGGATTTCCAATAATACTACTCTACTTCCTCTCTCGGCGTTTTTTTCTCTCTTACTGAATATTCCAGTAAGATATCATCCATATATTTGACTGTGTCATTCTCACGCTCAGGTCTACGTTTGTGCGATAAGCTCAATTGAGGCACACTAGCAGCACCTTATCAGTACGCTAACTCGAGGTCTGCTGGTTCTTTGCCGGCTTCGTTCAACTGCCCCAATTGGTGACCCCTGCTCCCAGTCCCAGAAGGGAGTTGGCGAACCGCATTAGATCGTGCCACCCTTCGTAAATGGGTGGCTGTTGCAGCTGGACGATTTCTCGGCCGGGACGAAAAAAGGGTTCAAGGCCCACTTTGATATCTATGGGGACCGATCTTATCACTCGGAGGACTACAGTGGGAAGGCTTGGACCATTCATAAGGGTAAGTGCATTGTGCATATTATAATTAGTTCTAAAACGGTGAAAGGAGCTATTTTAATAGGTTCAAGGCATTGCTTTCCTCTTGCCACTTCTACCAACCGCGAGACTGCAAAGCTATGTCTTGACAGTGTCCGATAAATCCCCGGGGGTGTATGATTTGGCCCCGCAAGCTATCCTTTAAATGGAACCGGTCTGGTAGAATGGGTTGTTGGGGTCGAAGGGGAACTTCCTGACGACGACATCACCAGTGTAAGACCACAAGTCGGCGTCAATCGGTGTGTACTTCAACTTGCACGTGTCGTTCTTCTGGCCAAAGGTCTCGACATGGCTCGTGACGCCATCCTTATAGTCAACGCGAACCATGTTGACGGTAGATTGCGCCGGGTTACCGAGGAGGTAATTGACAGGCGAGAACATGAGGGAGGAGTGAGCCGTGGTGAAAACGGTGTTGGGCAAGTCACCCGTGTGGGGACGTGATGCATTCCGAGGTTGAGCCACATGACTAGATCAGTCTGGTCGAGGCTCTCACCGTTGAAGTAGCTGGAGAAATCAACCGGGGGATCAGAAACATCCTGAGAGTTGTAAGGATGCGCGGCGCTGAGTTCGTGATCATGCTGCTTGGTGATTTGGATATCGTATTCGGCCCAGCGAGCGGCGTTGGCCAGGTTGGTAGAATCCTTTACAGTAAGATGAGCTGTGCCTCCGGCAGGAGCAACGCGATAACCGCGCAGTTCGCCGTGCTTGTTCTTGGCCTCCTTGTTCACGACAAGAACCTGGGTAGCTCCGTTCGCAGCCCAGTTGAAGCGGGACTCATCCTCGCTCTCAACGAACTTGCGCTCGACGTGCATGGTGTTGCGGGTCTTGCCGCCCGACCAGGGGTACTCTTTGGTCACGGGAGCCACGGTCATGAGCTGGACGCTGTTCTCGGTACCGGCAATGTCGAAGTCAGCCTTGAAGTTAAGGACGTGGTCGTGCATGGAGCCGGAGAGGAAGTCATGGATCTTGAAACCATAATCTTCGTTGGCGGCGAAGTACGCGGACTGGATGTAACCAGAGGCACGGACCTCAACACCAATGGATCCATCCAAATAGAAGGAGTAGCTAGAAGAGACAAAAAGAGTAAGCAACAAGACTCCCGTTGGTATGAATGCGTGTGATGTAGAACATACGTGAACATGTAGTCGTAGTTGCCGACAGTGGAGACGGATCGAATGCTGAAATAGACATTCTTGGTTACAGCCACGTAGTCGGACGTGCTGTGGCGCTGGATAGGATAATCCGCATCAAACTCGAAGAGGCAGATGCTGTTGGGGTGGGTGTGGGTGGTCTCCGCGGTATAGAAGGAGGTGTTGAGGAAGGTGGCGTACGCCGGGCAGTCGTATCCCTGGACGAGCTCAAAGGCATAAGGTCCGAAACCATAGAAAGAGTCCAAGTAGGAGGTGCCAGACTGAACCGGGTCGTTTCCTATATGGTGTTAGTGTTCGAGAAATTCACGGGGATGGGATGGGGTTGGCTGCATGCCGTGCACGTACCGGCGTAGTGAGCAAGAGCCTCCTGAAGGCCAAGCTCGTAGAGCACACGCTCGCCCTTGTACTTGACGTCGTACAGAGCCATGCCGGTATCACGAGAGAAGCCGACGTAGAAGCTGAAGTCCATCCACTCGACGTACTTGCTATCCGAGTCGACCTTGTAGCGGGAGCCGCTGGGAGCAATGGAGTCGGGGGGCTCTGTGTATCCATGGGCAACATGTCGCCCTGCCTGTCAGTCTGGGCCCACTCGCCGTCAACGTTGGGACCGTATTTGACGAAGCCCTCGGTGAAGTAGGCGGCGCGGAACTCTTCAGTCGTCTCATAGAAGATGTCGTTGTACAACCAGCCTTCAAACTTCCACTGAGCGGGGTCACGGCCGGTGATGTCAGACTTCATGTAGAGACCGAGAGGGAACAGGGTGCTGTCGCCGAAGCCGGAGGTAGGGCTGTTCCAGTACTGAGTCCAAAGAGTGATGCGGCCATCGTCCTGCCACAGGGGATCGATACCCCACATGTAAAGGGTATCATTGTTGAGTCCAAGAGCAGTACCATTCCAGAGGTCTAGGGTGATGTCGGCGATAGAAGCGCTGATGGGATAGAGCAATTCCGAGTAGAGGGTGTCCCGATCGGCGTCGAGGTTACGCACTCGGCCTCCGGTCTTGCGGGTAAAAGGATAGTCGAGGGCCTCCCAAGTCGTGGAGGTATTATCCACAGGGAGCGGGCCGACAATGAGATCCTGATAATAGGGGTCCTCGGCAGCGCGGTGATCAATGACGACATGGGCATATCGCGTAGGGGCGGAGGCATCACCATCGATGTACTTGATGACTTCGGTCTTGTTTGGTTTCAAAAGCTCGACCAAAAGGCTGGTTCCGTGTCAGTGGAGAGTTCTATTTTGTTCTCGGTTGTTCTCCAGAAGGCGGGGAGGGAAGATCTATCAACGACTTACACTGAGTTGTCCCACTCGCCAGCATCGGCGGACACGGTGAGGTTCAGGTCGGATTGGGAGAAGAGCCAAGTGGCAACTGAGGCAGCTTCCTCATGGGTGAGACCATCCCAGACATTATCCTTGGGAGCACTGATCTCGGGAGGGGCCGCGAGATAGCACGCGCTGCTGGGGCAGCTGTCAGACGTGGAGCGTCGGCTCCACTTCTTCTTCCTTCCGTGGCCTTGCTTCTGCCAAGGTGCTTGGCTTGGGGTAGCGAAAGCTTCTCTTGCCAAGGCCAAGACGAGGATAGCACGCGTGAAAACGCCAAGACTCGAGAAGTTGGCCATCTTGATACTGCTGGAACTGTACCGGTGGGATTGATGGTTGCTGAGCTGTAGAACAACACATGGGCCATAGAGGGAGGAAATCTGCTCCTTTTATGGAAGGCCAACTGGCAATCCCGCTGGCTGTTTTGCCTCATGGTTCTTATCAACCAGGCCCCAGGTTTCCTAAACCTGGCAACTCTTCTCGGAACTAACTTTGACAATTAGCAAGTGGCTTATCACAACTTCCCCCCCCCCCGCCACCTTGCTGCAAAGAGGAGATCGGAGTGCCGATTTCCGGAAGTCGAGGGCCCGTATCTACAAATGACAAGATTAGGCCCCTACCCGTGGTATGCAAATTGGACGTTCCCTGGCAGAGGTGCTGGCGGATCGGAACCCAACTCGGCGACTAGACTTTCGGGGCTAGAACGAGTGGGGTTGGAGACACTCACTCGTTCACGTACATCTCCAAGTGGCCCGCGGACTAACGGGTTCCCCACTTCACCGCCGTTGGAAACGTGGTTGGGAGCTGGGATGGCTCCCAGCAATCTACATGTCTTTTCAAAAATGGCTCTAGCGTCGTTGGTTTACTTTTATATCTCTGCCTGAGGTCAACACGTGCCTTTCTCCTCTTTTTCCTCATATCCCGCGTAGATATCTACGGAATAAAACTGTTAGTCCAGATATTAAGACCAGTTTAGAAATCAGGTTCGAGTTTACTATACTTCACAGTAACTAAGGAACTCATGCTTTACATTTTACAATAGGCTCATGTCCCTGTAACGTTTTTGTTTTCATGAAGACAATTGTTGTCAGTTGCGGTGATGGATTCTTCACAATCAATCTAGGATCCGAACACGGCTTTTCATCTTGTGGAACAGTCGTTGGAAGACCCGCTTGCTTAGTAGTGGCAGTGGAACTGGCAGATAAGATCCCGAACTATCCACAATGGCATTTTTCCGTGTTCTTGGGACGAGCGAAAGAGAACCTTTGTCCGGCCCCACCATGGCGTTATCAACCTCAACCTTGGCCATTGCCTCGTTAGTTATCTGTGGGACGGACACGCTAGTGGTAGCGACTTCCGCAACTGGCTCCTGCAGTTATCTTCATCCCTGTCGCAAACGAAGTTTCGGGAAAGCTTGTCAAGCCGTCGGCTCTTGATTACCCCATTTTCTCGAAAGTACTTGATAGCCGTGAGGAACGAGCAACGTAACAGATTTCTTCCAGAAGGTTATGAGGCTTTTCCTGCATCCGCCGCGAAGATGTAATCTCTCTCTTTGTTCTCCAAGCGCTATCACTCACACTTCACACAAGAAACCCCACATACTCGGGGTTTCTCGGTAGACTCGCTCCAAGCGCTCGACAGGTCCTAGTGGCTGGGGATCAATGGCTTGTTATCTCGTGGCAGGTTGGTGTAACTCGCTGCGCTTCCTCCGCACCACACACGGTTGTGATCACGGATGGGAAATCTCGTCTGCAGCAAGCATATTCCACGTCTCTTGAGTGACGCGGGGAAAGCAAGATAGCCCAACTCGGGGCCTGTGCGACTTAGCTGAGTTTATTGAAGCTAAGAAACATTTCAAGCAGCAGACGTTATGAGAAAAAGGATTGATGATTGGCGGAAAGATCGCTTGTTTCGGTCAGTTGTCAATTGAGGATGAGATTGATTGTTTCCGCGGATTAGTCACTCCTCTTCTCCCGTCTGCTTTAGGCACCAGGTGGGTAGCTAATAAAAGAGTGGCAGGAATTAATTCCTAGCGTCAAAGATGGCAGCTGTCGCTGCACATCCGAATATCATATCTGACCTAAACAACGCTATCTCCCAGCCCTTATCAATACCTCCATCGACTCTAACTACGATGGAAACACCCCAGCAGAGGCCGAGGCCTAATTTGGCCAGTATTCCGGTCGAGCTCGTGCTTTCCATATGCAACGCCTTCTCTGGGGCCCCGCGTGATCGACGCAGTCTGGCAAGTCTCTCCCGAACCTGCCGGCGTCTTCGAGACATTGCCTACCCACTACTGTTCCGTTCAATCTATTACGGCGATCAGTGCGGTATCCGTCTAATCCCTCTATTACGTACACTCGTCACACGCCCAGACCTAGCGCACCACGTAGAAGCGGTCGAGTTCCATGGCCCTCCCGAGCGGGAGGAGTTGTCCCAGGATGACACGTCATTCGTTGAGAGTCTTGTTGTTAGTCTATGTTTGCCAGGCTTGAAATCTCGTTGGCATCTGTATGAGGACGAATACCGTCTTATTCTTGTCGAGCTTTTACTAGCGTTCACGCCCAACTTGCGCTGGCTCAATATACCGCTAGATTATGGCTGGGAGGCAACCCTTCTCCAGGAACTAGGTCGCACTGGCAACCGGTTGCTCAACCGTCTGGAATCCCTTGACATCAAATATTACTATATTAGTGGCGACCATTGGGCCGTGAACGCATGGACTGTGGGGTCCTTTCTTGGCATTGCTCCCAACTTGCAGAGTCTCTTCGTGCCGACGATGGAGGGGGCCCTTCCCGGCGCATACAACGGTGGTAGTCTCGTCGACCTCCGGTTCGACGAAACGTGCACCACGAGCCCGACCCTCATTGATAACCTGGTATCTGCATGCCCTCGCTTGGAATCGTTTTCGTTACATTGGGACCCGTTGTCCTTCACCTATGACCCGCACGATGACTCCAGCGTAATGGACATTTGAGAACCTTGGAGCAGAGGCGCGGCTCCCTGCGGAAAATCAGGTTCGACGTTTGCGACAACGTCGACTTCGGGCCGGGCGACCGCTCTTCGTTGACCGATTTTGCTCGCCTCGAGGTTCTCCAAGTTAACGGGCATGCTCTTGGCGCGTTCCGGCAAGCTTGGCGCAGCCAAAATCCCCACGCCAAGATAGATAGCTTTCTTTCCACGATGCTCCCGCCCTCCGCCTCGAAACTCGTACTGTGGAGTCCCGACGCTCTGGACCTGGGACCTGCAGTGCTGAGGCTTGCCCGCGTCGTCGAAATCGGGCGGTACCCGGCTCTCAAGAGCATCAGCATCTTACCCTCCGAGGGCTCCTCCCGAGATTCCGAAAACTGGATCCATTATTCGACCTGGGCCCAAATCGGGGCCAATGTGAGCGATAGTCTGGCCACAATTGGCGTGCAATTTTCGGTGAAGTCGCAGAACGGGTACTGGGGGCATGAAGTTGAAGATGTGTAGTTGCGGCACAAAATAAATTTCGATGTACCGGGATTAAATGACGATTCAAGGAGCGTGGGGATGTATGAATCAATTGACGATTGAGACAATAGATGTGGGTTTGCGAGGGTTGCGGGAATCATCCGTGGTTGTGGCTCGGAGTCTTGAAATGCCAAGTCGGGAAGCACTGACCGTTACCTCACACGCCGTTTCGGCTGTACCCGTACAAAGAAAGAAACTAATAGCAGAGAAAGAGCGAGCGCGCAACTCTTGCACCACTTCTTGTTGGCTAAGATAAATAGATGGTAACTGGCCATGGCGTGTAAGGAGTAGTTGTGTTACTGTATTCTTCGCCACTGGTGTAATATTTATGTAACTCGAGGAGTAACTCACCCGCTGACGTCACCCATGTGACAAGCATCATATATATCAAGCTCTGTCGAACAAAGGCCTCTTTTGACAGTGGTTAACCAGTATCTCAATGAATGCACTCTTCTCCTATTAATATCCTCTTCTTCAACAAATTCTCCGCTTTCTGTAACATCCAACATGTCTGGCAATAACGGTGCCTTCATCTACTCCTCGAACCTGACGACCTCCACCTCTGTGACGGGGATGGATGGCCAGAGATCGGGTGTGCACCGGTCACAGCGCATCTCTTCCGACGGCACTGGAACAACGATAGAGTCGACTACGCAGAAGATGGGGGCGAGCCAACTCGGGAGGTGCGCCGCTTTGACAGCTCTGGTCGAGAAGTCCTTGGCGGTCCCACCGATGACACGAGCCGCCGTATCGAGGATGTCTCCGAGACCGACCAGGACGAGCAAAAGTAAAGACTAGACGGTCGCTCGAAATACCCGGTTGTTCTATATAGTCGAATCCTTACGTATGCGCTTTCGATATAACAAAACTCAAAGGCTCGACAGCGAGTGCGAGCTTATCTCGGTCACGAATGAACCGAATTGATTTCGGTTACTAAGGGATATATTATTGAGAATCAAACACACCATTCCCCGCTTGCGAGTGAGTATGGGAGGGAAGGAGGACCCTTGGCGGTAATCAGCTAGCACCTATTCACATTCATAAGACCTTTACGCCCTCCGAGCGATGGGAAAACGCCAGTGATTGGTAGATCGGTGATATGGACGGGCAGATAGGGGCGTATCATGCGCGCATCCTGCGTTCTAAGGGCTAGCCGGCCGGACTCAAACCCTCACACGCCTGAAGCAGCAGTATTTCACCTCTTCAATTCCTGATAGAATGAGCGACTGTTGCTAGTCTCTTATAGCTTTTGAAAATATTTCCATAAACCCATCCAACAATACAAGAGTAAATATCCTTTGTTCGAGAAAGAACCTCGCCCTTCGCGCTAGATCTAAGTCCCAGCGCCACGAATCCACGCAGCTAAGAATACTGAACAAGCATACGAAACGCATGGTACCATTCAATTCGCAAGAATTCCTCCTTTTACTCAACAGAGAGATTGATCAGTAGATGTTACGTTGCTAGCCCCGCTCAAGGGCGTGGACCACCTGAGAGGAGCGGCCATCCACCACCAAAGAGGGTATATTGATATATTAATAGCCCCAGTAGCCGGCTCATTCCAACTCAATCAAACCGCCCTTTCCTCTGCCCCACCCTTTGAGAGAAGGTGAGGATATGCGTTTAAAAGGGTGGCTCTTAGCCAGAGCATTCGTCCCCTGCTGTTAGGAAGGATGCCAATAGCAAGTAGGTGTGTGTTATCCTAGTGTCACGAGTTGGGTTGGAGAAGCCTTCAAAACAACATCAGACCGCAGCCTATCGAGTACGCCCATGATCTCATTCGATCGGCTATGTTTCGTCTACTATCCTCCAATATATTATACCGGAGTTCAATTACTGTGATCGGCACTCGCCGGAGAATTACCCCGCAAGATCGAGTCAAGCTTTTGAGCGGGCGGGTGTCGGCATCGACAAGAGTGCCGTGTTGTCCTCCCCACACAACACCATGCGAAATGAGGTGGGCAATTTACAACATCAGGCTAAAAACCCTCGAGAAAAAAAGAACTGCGATCTAGAAAAGAATGGACGACGCGAATCCGGCCCCGGGCGAACGGCGCTATGTGAACTGGTATCCGGCGGCCATAGTTTCCAATAGAATTGGTCGGTCGTTTCCTTGAATGGACGAAGTGTTAGGCTAAGCTTGAGCACCCATTAACGGGAGGTGCTCGTGGGGTCTTATAAGGGCAAGCCCAGCCGCAGGAAGGACGGAGTAGACATGCGAAGGAGGACTGGTTCAATCCGCAATTTTTATCGTCGTGCTTGACAGTTACTGTGAAACATGCATTTTTCAGCTCTTTCCACCATCTGCCTTGCGGCGGGAGCCCTTGCCTCTCCAACGCAGCCCCACGGCCCCCAGCCCGCGATGCTGCCGAGCCCAACACGATCGAGGCCCGACAGGGATACTATTTCCAGAACTGGTCTGAGATGGGAAGCAACATCCGATGTGCGAACGGAGCGGGAGGCTCGTACACTGCCGACTGGAGTAGCAAGGGAGGATTCGTGTGTGGAAAGGGCTGGAGTGGAGGAGGCGCCAGGTAAGTGCACTCAAAAACAGCCGTCCTTCAAATGGTAGGGAACTTCTGTTCTGTGCAAAAGCTGACCTCCGGTATCGTATAGGACCATCACATATACCGGAACGTATAACGCGACTGGTCCTGGATACCTAGCCGTCTACGGTTGGACCAGGAACCCCTCATCGAATACTACATCATCGAGGCTCACGCCGACCTCGCCCCCAACGAGCCGTGGACGTCCAAGGGAACCTTCACATTTGATGAAGGGACCTACGAAGTGTTCACCAGCACCCGTGTCCAGAAGCCCTCTATCGAGGGTACGAGAACCTTTGAGCAGTACTGGTCCGTCCGCCAGGAGCAGCGCGTCGGCGGCACCGTCACCACGGCCAAGCACTTTGAGGAATGGGCGAAGCTGGGGATGAGGCTGGGTAACCACGATTACGTCGTACTTGCCACCGAGGGTTATACTGCCGATGGTGGCCCGGGAAGCAGCGGGTCTTCAAGCATTACTCTGCAATAGATGGCGGTGGCCCGGGAAAATTGTGGCGACCTTTTGGTACGAAGCTTTTGCTTTATTCATTGTTTTTGGACTCTGCTCATCCGCGGAGCAATTGTAGTGTTCATATGTTTCGCCATGAGATTGTATATAGCTCATCGGATCACCCCTTGTAATACCTACAAGGTATGCTAGGAGCTCCGGCTTTGTGCTACAGCGAGTAGCACTGTAAGCTATCGTTGTCGTTTAAAAGAAAGTTCATCTGAGGCCAAGGTTCAATGAGGATAGCATGTGGACAACACCTGAGCCACAAAAAGAAAAAGAAAACGAAAAAAGTGTGTTTGAAGGACCGGACAGAGATTTATAAAAGCGAGCGGTTCTAATATGGAGCCATAAGGATTCAAGCTGCAACTAGGCTCTTTCGTCAAGGGACACAACGTCAGAATTGTATTGTATGTAATTTCTTACTACTGGACCGAATTTGCTCCCAAGGAGGCTCTCTGAGAAGTGTTTTTAAACTCAGTCTTCGCCATTATTTTAAAAGCAGCCTATCCTAACAACTTAACCACCTTGTTATCGTTTTTACGTCAAGTTCAATAGTCAATAACGATAGGTGCATATAATACTGATGGGTTCCAAGCTTACGGTGATTAGAAGCTCGCATCCCGCATCGTATCAGTGACTTGATGTTTACTCGAGGGTCTGGGTAATTCCTTAAACCCACCGCTTTTCCCCCGATCTCTGGCACTGCGAATGGAGCGCCTGTGATGGTCTTAACCAACATCTCAATCATATCTCATCCTGATAGGAGGGACTCTGTGCCCATGCAGTTGAAGTATTCGAGCCCAAAGCCTCTGGTGAATGGTCGATAGGGGCGGCATTTGAAATTTCTATACAAGGATATTTACGAGGTACTGGATAAACAAAACACAAGCGCTGCGCTTTAGAAGTCGCCAAAGGCCGGTCACGGGCTGCTTATTTTTCAGCTATCGAAATATTTCGGAGGTGCTCTGTGTTATTTGGTAGGCGACTCGTTGGTGACTCGACAAAGCTGACACAGCTCTGCCCGGTTTCCTCCGAATTATGTGGCGCCCGGTGTGGCCGGCGGCTCAAATAGCCTAACCTGAATGGTTGGCGACTCCACGGTCATGAACTTAAGAGAGCGCGACGGCTGAGCACGCCTACTGCCAAGAATGAGGTCATGAGAGTCAACAGTCATAGAAAGCTAGCTCTGGGGCCGGGGGATCCGGGTTGATACTCATATAAATATTTGCTCTTTTGATAAAGCGCCTCATGCCTTGCTTCGCGAAGCTCCGTCGCAAAGATGATTGTCAACCGCATGCAATTTTCCGCATTAGATACCCAGCATGCTTTCATTACGTCGTTCTGCCTTTCGAGCAAGGTGCGCTCAGTTCATTTCACCTTAATAAAGACGTATCTGATGCACTAACATGACAGCAATAGCTTGGCGATCAGGGCATGGTCTGCTCAAAATATACGAGGGCTCCATAGCGTAATAAACTCCTCTTCGTCTCCGGAACAGGAGCGAGTGGTGATTATGGGCTCGGGGTGGGGAGGTTACACGTTCTCGCGAAAATTGACCTCGAAACAATTCTCGCCATTAATTATTTCGCCTCGAACATATTTCCTCTTCACACCTCTGCTCACTGACGCGGCGGGTGGCTCTCTCGACTACTCTCAGATCATCGAGCCTGTCCGGGATCCCAAGGCCCGCATCAAACACATCCAAGCAAAGGCCCGATCCGTCGATTTCGCGAGGAAGGTTGTGACGTGCGAATCTGCGGTGATCGAGAGTGACACAGGCACCGTGGCGAAAGCACACGATGAGGAAGTCCAACATACTAAACAGACGCGGTCAGATTCCCCGCTGGGGATCTAGAGCAATCCCGGGTCGGCGAGGTGTTCGATATCCCCTACGATAAGCTCGTGATTGCGGTCGGCGCCGTCACAAAAACGTTCGATACGCCGGGGGTCAAGGAAAATGCCATCTTTTTCAAAGACATCGGCGACGCCCAGCGCGTCAAAAGAGAGTACGGGAGTGTTTTGAACTAGCCATGCTCCCCACCACCTCGCCCGAAATGAAGAAGTGGCTGTTGCATTTCGCCATTGTCGGTGCTGGCCCCACCGGATCCGAGCTGGCGGCATCAATCCGAGATTTGATCGCTCTGGACTTTAATAAGCGGTATCCGGAATTGAAGGACCTAGTGAGCATTTCCCTCTACGATGTTGCGCCCAATATTCTCTCCATGTTCGACGAGAAGCTTTCGCAATATGCCATGAAAACTATGAAGGATGAGGGGATCGACATCAGGACGGCACATCATGTCGAAAGCATTCGATGGGGGCACCGGGCGACCAAGGACCTCATCTCAAGGACCCGACGCGTTGCCTGACGATAAAGACGAAAGAGGGCGGAGAAGAGGGAATTGGACTCTGTGTTTGGGTAACAGGGAACACAATGGATCGCTTCATCACGCAGGCTCTCGATGTAGTCGAGCAACTACCCCCTCTCCCACAACGAAATTGGAAAGTGAAGCCAACACCAGCGGGCCGTGGAAGGTTAAGAAGAACGATAAAACTGGAACACTGGCGGTGGATGGCCACCTTAGGTGCAAGTCGTCGATGGAAAGGGTGAGACAGTAGTGCTCCCGGACGTCTTCGCCATCGGCGACAACGCGACGCCGGAGCTTGCGCCTCCACCAGCGACGGCCCAGGCAACGTACCAAGAGGCGAAATGGCTAGCCTCTAGACTTGGAAAGGGAGACATTGACCGTTCGCCGCCCTTCTCATTCAAAAGTCTAGGTGTCATGGCGTACATTGGGGATTCCAGAGCGCTGATGCAGTTTCCCGATCAGAAAGCGGCGTGGGGCAAATGGCTTCCGCGCGACTTGACTGGCCGCGTTGCTTGGATGGTGTGGAATTCTGCATACATCACGATGAGCATGAGCTGGAAGAACAAACTAAGGGTTGGGATTCGGTGGCTCCTGAACCGCATCTTCGGGAAGGATGTCACCAAATAGGCATAGAATACCCCTAAATCACCTCAAGCACTCTCGACTCTCCTCAATTGAGTTCAATAATTCCCAAATTCGCTCGTGTGCGGGGCGGAATGTTACAAAAGATATTCAGAGGAACTATTGACCCTGACCCACGACCTCGGTACAATCGGGACCGCTCAATGACAGGGCGAAAACCCTGAATTCCTCCGTGCCAGGTTGTGGAGGATCGGCTTCCCCACAATGCGCGACCCCACAACCCCGGGTCTCATCCCCTCCCCCGCCCGCATCCCGTCGGAGTCAGCGTGGGATAGCCGTCTTCCACCCCCGGCACTCCAAATAAGAGCGCCGACATGTGCTTTAGTCTGCCACAATGCAGAGGTCTAAAAACTACGACCCAATCGCTTGGCTCCTAAATCGAGGTCTGACCATTGAACGCGACGCTAAAAATCTGGGGTTCCGTGGGAGATATCCGAGCGGCCATCCCACACAGGCGCAAAAACACCCTGCCTATCCCCCGCCTCCATCTCCGCCGGCCACGATGCAAGACGTCAGCTCTCCACGAACAGGGTTAGCTGGAACTCGATGACCGGTGTTTTGGGGTTGGGGACGAATGTGCAGGTGTGCACATCTACGTAGTATATATATAGACAATTACCTCCCCGAGCCAGTCTTGTTGTGATGCATCTTTGCATTTGAAGAGACTCCTTCCCCAAATTGCACTACCAAATCCTTCAGTAATAGTGCTTTGCCCACCATGTCGCTTTCAGTAAAGCCTTCGACTCTCGCCATCAGCGTGATCGTTATTGGTCTGGTCACCCGTCTGCTTATGATCGGGAGGCGGCCCAAAAACTATCCGCCAGGACCCCTACATTGCCGCTTCTGGGCAATATCCATCAGGTACGAAGCAAGCAACAAGGCTGATTTGAGTTGGAGTGTACTGACGATTGGACCCTGTAGATGCCCACCAGAGATGCCCACCTACAATTCGAAAAGTGGGCGCGCGAGTATGGTCCGGTATACAGTCTAATTCTGGGAACCAAGACCATGATTATTCTCTCTAGCGACAGGGCAGTCAAAGACCTACTTGACAAGAGAAGCAACAAGTACTCCCATCGTCAAGAAATGTATGTCGGTCAAGTGCTCTGCAGCGGCGGGCTCAGGGTGCTGATGATGGTAAGCAAATCTCGAAATCTTTGTCAAAATGGGATTGCCTGTGTTGCCTCCGAAGAAGAGTTCTTGCTAACTATGTGTCTCTAGGGATACGGTCCACAATGGCGAAGCGTACGTTGAACTTGATAAATGAGCCTGCGTCACACGAAGCGATGGAACTGACAAGAGTACAAAACAGGCCCGCAAGATGATCCACGGCTTGCTCAACGTCTCCGCCGCCAAGTCCTATGTCCCATACCAGGTGCTGGAAAACAAGCAGATGCTTCACGAATTCCTCGTAGATCCGGATCACTTCCTCCACCACATCCGACGCTACTCCAACGCACTAACCACTACTATGGTCTTTGGATGGAGAACACCTACTTATGAGGATAAGAAGATGAAACAGCTCTTTGACGGCTTCTCCGAATTCGCGGATATCAACCAAACTGGTGTCGCCGCCATCCTAGACTCCTTCCCGCTGCTACGTAGCCTTCCTGACTTTGTCGTGGGTTTGAAGAAGACGGCTAAGAAGCTTCATGCGCGGGAAAAGGACTTGTATCTAAGCCACTGGCTCAAGGTCAAGGAGGAGATCACTGGCGGCACAGTGAACCCGTGTTTCTGCGAGGAGCTTGCCGCCATGCAAAAGACAGAGGGTTTCAGCGACGACCAAGCTGCGTACATTTCCGGAACTCTTCTCGAGGCTGGCTCGGACACAACTTCTAGCACCCTCTACGCGTTTGTTCAAGCCATGCTCATCTTCCCCGAGGTTCAGCAAAAGGCCTTTGACGAGATTGAGCGCGTTGTCGGTTCTGGCCGCCTTCCTACTATGGAGGACGAGATGGATCTCCCTTATGTTCGAGGATGTGTGAAGGAATCGCTACGATGGATGCCCACTACTATTCTTGGAGCTGTTCCTCATGCTGTCACAGAAGACGACTGGTACGATGGTTATCTTATTCCCAAGGACGCGGGCGTGATGAACAATGTTTGGGCTATCAACATGGATCCTGAACGTCATCCTGACCCGAGGCGCTTTGATCCCGAGAGGTATATCAACGACCACCAGAGCTTGGCGGATGCCGCAGCCAACCCGGATCCCAGCAAGCGTGATCAGTTTACTTTTGGTGCGGGGCGACGTATTTGCCCCGGCATTCATGTCGCTGAGCGCAGCTTGTTCCTTGGCATGGCCAGGATCTTGTGGGCTTTCAAGATTGAGCCAAAGGTGGACGCGAACGGCAAGCCCATCATTCCTGACCACAATAAGCTCACCCAAGGCTTCGTCTGTATGCCGGAACCGTTCGAGGCCAAGATTACACCTCGATCCAAGGAAAGGGCGGCGACGGTGGAGAAGGAGTGGACTAGCGCCCAGGAGGAATGTTTGGATCCCAAGACGAAGCAGTGGCGCGTATCTCCCGTCGCTTCCAAGGGAAGGAAGAAGTTGTAGAAGTATTTTATTTTGTAACTGCACATATTTTCAAACATGGATCAATGTCATTCCCCTCATTGCACACTTCGTCGTAGACGCTAAAAAAGCAAAACATGAGCAAACCCTGTCATGGGTAAGTGGCTGTGCATCTTGGAGAGTTAACGTCCCGCAGAGTGATCCATGCTTGACCGAATTGAGGAGGCCATCTAGCCCCGACATTCCGCGACGCAGAAAAAGCATCTTGCCGTAATGAAGAGCCGCGTTAGACGTGCCTGGTGAGGTGATGAGGGGGAAACTCACGCGTCCAAGTGGCTCCCCTAGATCGACCTTACAAAAGGGCTAAGGGTGGAACGACGTGCGTATCCGTCACAATGGAAGGAAATTGGCAGAACCTAACCCGTTATTGGCTAAGAAGCTGTCAGCTGCGTTTAGCGAGAAGCGACTGAAGCAGCCGGGGCACGTCGAGGTTGGGGTGCCGGACGTGGCTGTGGGGATATTCTCGCCCTGGCCCGCCCCTTTTGGACGTTAGTGCAGATCGCCCCCACCATCGTTTTCCCGAGGAGCTTCCCGAGACAGCGCAGATCTGGTTCCTCCTCATCTCCAAATCTCCATATACCATAAATACCCTCCTCTACCCCTCATTCCTCGCTTGTTGTAGCTCTGTCCGGAAGTAAGCCGATGTCGAACAACTTGTCTTTTAAAGAACAAAGAAACTGAATCTCTTTGAACCTCTACTCCGGCGACGCATTCATACTTGGGTTGGAAACTTACACGGCTTACATCATGTCTCGTACAACTACTGCACTGGCCTTGACCGAGGTCGGCGGCCCTTTTGAGATGCGGCAAATACAGCTTGATACTATCCGCCCCGATGAGGCCCTCATCGAGATCCATGCCACAGGTATCTGCCATACGGATATCTCCTTTGCCAATGGCACCCTGCCTGGAAAGGCTGGCGCAATTCTCGGGCATGAAGGTACGAGCCAAATGATCTCTCTCTCTCTCTCTCTCTCTCTCTCTCTCTCTCTCTCCCATGCTACTTCTTTGGCCTTGACGCTAATGAGACACGGAAACAGGTGGTGGAGTCGTTCTCCAAGTAGGACCCGATGTCACCAACGTCGCTCCCGGCGACAAGGTTCTACTCTCCTTTTCTCACTGCGAAACCTGCGGGCCATGCAAGTCGGGCCACCCAGCATACTGCCATGACTTCAACCAAAGGAACTTCCCCGGCGCCCGAGCCGACGGCACCGCGGCCTTGAAGAGCTTGGACGGTTCCGAGCCCCTGTTTAGTTCCTTCTTCGGCCAGAGCTCTTTTGCGAGACACACATTAGTACACAAGTCATGCCTAGTCAAGGTACCCCAAAATACGGACCTTGGCCTATTCGCCCCCTTGGGTGCGGCGTGCAGACGGGCGCCGGCGCGGTGATGAATACGCTTGACGTCAAAGAGGGCAGTACCTTGGCGGTTTTCGGCGCTGGCTCGGTCGGCATGAGCGCCATCATGGCAGGTAAGATCAGGGGGCAAAGACGATCATCGCCGTCGATTTGCAACCAGCTAGGCTGGAACTAGCGAAGCGCCTAGGTGCTACCCATGGCGTGCTAGGGTCCGGAAACGTGGTTGAGGAGATCCGCAAGCTCTGCCCTCCTGTCGGCGTGGACTTTGCCGTCGACTGCACGGGAAGCACCAAAGTGATTGAGAACATGATTGAGAGTCTCGGCACGCGCGGAAAGGCGGCTACGGTGGGCGCCCCTGGCTTCGGTGCCAAGGTGAGCGTGGACGTGATGTCGCACCTTACCTCGGGGAGGAGTTACATGGGCTGCTGCGAGGGCGACAGCCTCCCGTCCCAGGTGAGTTGTCAGATCAAACTTCCATCCCCCATCCGTCCCATCCCGACTGCGATTTTCCACTTTGTAAAGTTTAAAGCTAACCGAGGATTCGGGTTCCCATCGATAGTTTGTTCCCCACCTGATTGAACTCCACGCGCAGGGCAAGCTGCCGCTGGATGAGATGATTACGGTTTATGATATGAAGGATTACCAAAAGGCGTTGGATGATACACATGCTGGGAAAGCGCTCAAGGCCGTGCTTGTTTGGAGACAGTCGTAAATGGGGGTGTGTAAGTCCCATGTAGTAATGATATGTTATTACCTCGCGCATCGATCCATTTACACAATTGATTCCCATGCTCGTATAAATGCGCCGTGCCATTGATAGAATTTCCGTGCCGTCAAATTACTATCACTTGTATCACGATCACATTGTGGCTGCTTTGGTCTCGCTTTTTGTGATGACATGAAAGATGCTCTCCGAGAGATGTGCGTGGCCCTTGCGACTTGTCCACCACACAATTCAAAAAATGCCGGTCTTTATTGCCATTTTTACTCCATGCGCCAACTCCACGCCAAGGTAACAACGCCCAAGAGTGCGGGCATCGCTGAGCTAGTTAACGCGTTGGAGATTACTGAACCCCCTCCAAATGTGGTGGCGCACATTAGGACGGGGCGCATTCGTTCGAATCTTGGTTCCCCACCCCTTCCAAATACCATCGGTGAGAAACCTGGTCGAGGCGGCGGGGACGCCAGGGGGCTTACCCTACCGGATCGGGCCAAGCTAAAGATCCTGCATGGTCGGCACGTCGATCGGAGTTGATTGTGGGCTGAATCGGAGTGGGGGTGGGGAGGGATGATGGGGTCGGCGTTGAACCCCGCAAAAAAGCATCAGTGTCTCGGGAGGAACGGACGAAGTGTGATGGAAATGTCGATGCGAATATGGGTCGTGTGGGACAATGCCACAAGCAGCACCGAGGTAATACGAGTAGGTTTTGAGGGGAGGTACCCTGAGCTTTTCAGCTGCTTCTTCTTCCTTTTTACATTAAGCACAAAGCATAAAATGGATCCCAAGAGAGACAGTGTACTCTTGGTGCGCCAAGCGTACGGCGTGTATATAATGAGTCTACATGTAGGATGTACTGGTAAATACCAAACTATATTTGGCCGGTGAAGTGAAATGTTGGAGAGCAGCCCAAAAGATTTCTATTTGCGATAAATGATCCCTTAAGAAGAACAAAAAGCAGATGCCAGGATCTGGCCCAGTAGTCCATGATAACCCCCTGCCGTTCCCGATTTCATAAAGTACATGTTTACAACTACGCGCAAAATTCGCTCAATCCGAGTTGGCGACGATCTGGATGTTTTGGAAATCCGCAATCAGCTCGTTGACCTGCTGCATGCTGGTCTGGTCATATCTCGTAAGAAGGGTTGACGTATCCCTCGGCGGCGACTGGGCGGAATCGACATCGGACGGCTGATCGGGGGACGACGTGTCTTCGGGAAGGGTCAACTTGTCGATGATGACGCTCGCCAGCAACCAATACTCAAATGCATGGCGGCAGAACCCGATCCGCCTCCACGAGTTTTCCGGCGTGAGTACCGCCCCGGCAACCATATTGTGGGGAGGGCCGGAAGCGAAAGCATCCGTATAGATATCCCATACTGGCTTCCAGTTCGTGAGGGCGTGGCGGATGGCGGTTAGGTGGCCATCCTGGCTAAAGGAGTTGTGGTGCTGAAAGACAAGAGAATGGACGGCTACAAGTTTTTGTTAGCGTACGGGAAAGGACGTCGAGAACAACCGGATCAATCAATGCGCTTACCAGATATCACGGCGAAGAGATTCAACGCGCCGAGGTGTGCCAAGCTTTCGTGCATGCCTTCGGGCATTTTGCCCTTGCACACCATCTCCACCGCTTCCGAGAGCGTGAGCACAGGCACGATGTTCGACTGCGCCGACCAGTTCTGCAGCTCTTGCAAGCATTCTTCCGCCGTCGCAGCCTGGAAACACGCCTCGGGGCGGGCGAGATGGATCCTCATCTCTTTGATCATGAGGCGAGGGGGCAAGTTGTTGAAGGTAACAAAGGCGTGGTCGAGGAGGAAAATCCACAGGAAAACTCTGCGAATGTTGCGGAAGCAGGGCATTAGCGAAATCTGGTCCGAACCTGGCAAAGGGACATGGCATGTATCTTGTGCACACTTACCGGATCATTTCCTCCTTGATCACAAACGCCCTCCACTGGAACTCGTAGCCGGCCGGCTTCCGTAGATCGGCGTGCCTGGCCGTCCCTAGGCCTATATCCCGCGCAACCGAGACAACGGTGCCGAACCTGTATCGGCGGATCCTTCTCTTGCTCGTATCCGTGCCCTCCCAATTCTGATATAAACAAACAATGTACGCGGCCTGCAAGGCCTGCAGCTTGCGCTTCTGCGTGGCCGGGATGGGTATGCCGGTATCTAGCGTGTAAAGCGGTTCGGAACATAGGTCGTCATCCGTAAACACCATTTCCTCGACACAGTTGAACCAGAGCTTCGCGTCGTCTCGGTCCGTTTCCTCGGGGATATTGATGCCCCTGTAGTTTACGACATCGTCAGCATCAAAACTAAAAACGAACGGTACTTCGTGACGCCGTCCTGACTTGACTCACCTATGACAGTCATGGCCGCTAGCAACGTCGGATTGGCAGCCGAGGGATCAAACGTGGGCTTGTGGACAATGTTGACGTTGGGGTGCCAGACGGCCCAGTACAACGCCAGGCATTTGCGCACGTTGGCCGGCGAAAAGAACTCGATGCACTTTTGCTCCAGCAGAGGGGACCATTCCACCGTCACGACGCTGTTCCTCGGCTTCGTCGTCACCACTTCCTTGACGTGGACTATGATTTGGTGTATCCGGATCATGAGCGGATCGTGCAGCCATATGTTCTGTACTGGAGGCCCCATGGAGTTGAGAAAGCCGGGGCCGGGCACGGGCACGGGTACAGCCACCGGTACTGGAACGTGCGAAACTCCAAAGGCCGGGGAAGGGGTGGCCACGGAGCCAGGTACATGGCCAAAGACGAAATCGCTACCCGCCGGCGGTTGCGGCTGCTGGTGCTGTTGCGACTGCTGCTCTTGGAGAAAACGGGCCAGGGTCTGTTCGCGGAACTCGGGCGTCATGCACTCGAACGACTCGACGAGCCCGGTGCGTTTGGTAAAGTTGTCAAGGAACTGAAATGAGTAGCGCGGCCTCTCCCTCGCGCGGGGTACGAGTTGTCGTTGGCAAGACGGGTCGGGGATCGGTGCTCCGGGCGTGAGGTTGAGGTACCCCAGCCAAGCCGCCGTCGGGTCGGGCGACTCCCACAGGCTGATTTCGAACGGATCCGTCGCCAAGACCATCGCATTCTGCTCCGGCACCATCATGGCTTCCCCGGCATCATGAAGGCTCCGGCGGCGGTCATCGGCGTAGTAGGCACATCGCTCGAGTCGCTGTCCATGTCTTCTTCCTCGGCGTCGCCCTCCCGCGCACCATGATCAGCAGCAGCGCCTGTCTTTCGTCCCTCCCGGCTCGGTACGAAGGAATAGTTGCACTCCGCCGAAAGCCGCTCGCAGTTCGTGCACGGCTGCCCCGCGCTGCAGGCCTTCTTCTGCCGCACGCAGAGGTCGCAGGCGCGCCGTCTTCCCGACGGGGAGAGGAGGCCCAGCGCGCGGGCCTCGCAAGTTCGCGCGTGCCGCTTGAGGACGTCGAGGCGCTGGAAGGACCGGCTGCATAGGTGGCACTGGTGGGGGCGGCTGGCGTTGTGGGAGGCCCAGTGTCGCTGCATGTGCTCCCGACGCTTGTAGCGTTTGGAGCACACGGGGCAGTGGTAGTACTCGTGGGAATCCACCATGGCGGGCAAACCGGCTCGTCCCTTTTTCTGTTGCCTATTTCCCACTATCCCTTGACGCCTCTTTTTGCTCCGCGTTCGCCTTTGATCTAATAACTGCGCTCTCCCACCAATCCGGATGCTGACGCCGAGACACGTTGTTGAATTCGGATCAGGAAGTTGTTGTTGGTGGGGAAGATCTTTGGTAAAATTCAAGGCGAGCCCTGTGGAAGCTCTTGGGGAGATAAAGATGGGGCTCCCGAGACTTCCCAGAACGTGGACCCCATGTGGAACCTTTTTTCTTTTAGCGTCTGGCTGCTGCTGATGTTCATGGGCACAGCCATTGGATTGGCTGTCTCGAGACCAATACAGTCTAGCGCAGTCCATAACCCTCGGGAATTTCCCCGCAATCTGGGGTCCGACTGTTTCTGCATTACGTCAACGTCAGAACATTGGGAAGAGGCGTCTCTCATAATAGGAGCCGGCCGTCTACTTGCTATTCTTCTAGGCCGATCTAGCGTGGTTGGAATCTAGTTCGCGATCGCGCCTCTTGCCAAAGTTTCGTAAACTCTCTACCTCTTACATCAGCGGCCCTCGGAACGAGCCACGTTTGATACTTTCGGCCCGGTCGGCCGGCTCCGGTGAGTCGCGTGTTGTTGGCCGAGAGGGTCCTTGACCTTCAACATTTTGCTGCCGTGCTCTATCAAAACCTAACTGGGAGGTATTGCCCCTAAGATTTGGTTGGTTCGCGTCCACGCAATTTTGTATCTCGAATTGAGAAGAGGCGCTTGGTGAGCTAGTCATCCAGGAAAGGTCCTCGGTCCGCTAATGCAATCTCATGTGAAGATACAATTCACGGAGGGAATATCTCTTGTGTTTGAATACCTAACAAAGCCAATTATGAAGGAACTCGAGTTACATCACGAGGTTCCGACTACCGTCCAATATGTTCGTGTCGTGAAGCACGTGCCCAGCCGAGTGCTCAAGGAAAGATGGGTGGCTCCTAATCGTGATGTACATTCCCAAAATCTTTAATTCTACCGTCTTATGGCAGATCAATCCTGAATAGACCAGGACTCACGGAGTCTCACAATGCCAACTCAAAACAAGCGCTATGCCCCGGTATAAGTTTGCAAAATGATCACGCTAATGTCCGGCATCCCGATAAGATCAGACTTTGTACACAATCAACCCCGTCCAAATAGAGTCAACTTTTATCGGGTTCCATAAATCTTTTGTTATTACCAGTGGTTGCAACTGAAACGTTGGGACTACGGGAGGTTGGGGTCAGGTTTGCCCTACCGCTTGGGTAACACAACGTACCCTCTCTTGCAAAGCGGGGATGGTGTCTTATGCCAGACACAAGATGAAGACCGCAAGATAGTGCACCCGTTTATTCCTCCTGGGGTTCAAAGTAACATCACGTTGGGTGATCAACCATGGTAAATCGGCTGCGACGCCACGGCAAAGCGTTCTGCAGACCCGGTTCTGCAGCCTGTCGACTGCGCCTCATTTGAGAATGTGAAGCCCTCATTCGGGAACTTTAACGAGCTTAACCCTGAATCCCGCAGGGTCTTGAAAGGAGACCCACGGTGGAGACCCACGGTGCTCCTTCACAAGATCTTGCTTCGAGGCTGGGAGCGTGTGGTAGCTGATAAACAGCGACGATGGAGGGAATTTCCCAAATTTAGCACAAGCTAGATTTCCAAGCTGAACGCCTCTCAGGCTTGTACCACCAGACAGCGACGTCGATCATCAAAAGCACGCAACAATGCTTTTTCCGCGTCACTGAGTAATGAGGTTAGGCACAGCCTGGTGTCCCGGCTAAAATAGAACAAGCCCTCGGGCCGCTCCCACCCTAATCCATGCTCCGTGGCGCGACCTGAGCCGACCCTGCGTTCGGGAAGCTAACCAACACTTGGAGTTTTGGAAAAGAGGGGTTCTGTCGCAAAAGAAATGGCAAAGGTCGCACCAACAGGCTCGGCATCAATCTAGGAGCTGTGATGGTCTTGCTTCCGGAGCGGGGGCTGTGATGGGCCTTGGCCTGGGCTGCGAAGCGGGACGAGTCCGCCCTTCACCAAGATTGACAGGGTTGCAACCCGAAGGATTCGCTCCTTCGTCAATAATGCAGGAAAGGGGGCCACTATCAACAAGATCAATGAAGGCTGGAGAAAACACTTTGGCGAGATAGGCAGATGAGGGCAATGAGAGAAGCCTTAACGGGTCTGACCGTTTTTAGTTTGAAAGCAACCGCAGGCATATTGTCCTCGGATTGTGATTGCACCGCCCTGGACGTCCCATCGAATGGCGCACACCGATGCAGGGCTGTCACAGCCTTCGCCACAAGCCAATGTTCTGGATTTAGGTCCAACATGCAGCCATGGTGTCCTGCACGTCGATCTAACGAAACGTAGTAGCGGCAATCAATGTGCAGCCTTATCGGACCTTGGGCCTAGCAAAGAATGAACTTTTGATACCGCCCACGAAGTATGAAAAGGAAGCTGTTCGCTTCTTCTTTAATCCCGAATCCCTGGTTTTCGACTGTTCATGCCTCGACCAACAGGCCAATTCAGGATTACCGTATCTGAAGAGCATCTCGGCACACTTTCATCATACACCATTAGACCGTCAAACCATGAAACCGTCACTGCTTGCAACAGCCCTAGTGTGGGGGTCGCCCTCGGGAGCGAGGTTGCGGTTGCCTCAGTCGGTGTCAATTCTGTCTCGAAAAAGTCTTCTCGGGCCTCCCGGCAAAACACGGAAGCATACAATGGCATAAAACGTGCCATTGCCTCTGCCATGGTCTCCAAGCGGGAGTTCGAACAAGATAACAGCACCCTGCTGGACAAAAGTTGGGTGGATGCGATCCTACTCACGTTCCCGCAGTTCGTTTGCCCTTCCCATAATACCCCTGGTTTCGTGGTAACTGAACTAACAGGGATGCGTTCCCGATCTCTAGGGAGACTGAAGTGACTGGGAATGTCGGGGTTGAGACGGCGGTCGAAATCGTTTGCACGCATTGCTACATAAAGGGTAGGGCCACTTCCAAGTTCACCATCGACGACGGCGACTTTGACTTTGGCCAAACCATCGCCAACTTCACCAAGGATATTGGCGAAACGATCCTCGACATTGGCGAACAGATCCTGGGGAATGTGACTCAATACTTCACGAATCTCTTTGACAACTTTGACGATGGGATTGACTTGGAGGACTTTGCCTTTCCGCCCATGGAGCTCGATTTCAATGTGGAAGTTGCCGAAATCCCCGAGTGCCGTTTGGACTTCAAATTCGAGGATATCGAGTTGTATCTCAGCATCAGCACGATTCTGTCTTCCAGTGCCACGTATAACCTGAATCTCTACACATCCAACACGCCTATCGGACTCTCTGTGGGGAGGATCTGATGATTGGAGTGGTATATTCTATAGACCTTATCCTAAGCGTCGACGGAGAAATCGATATCAGCACTGGTTTCCATCTCAAGCTCGATGAAGGAGTGTCCCTGAGCATCCCCCTCTTCTCCAACGATGTCTCCGAAATTTCCATGTGAGGCCCAACCCAGCTCTGGTCCTACCCCTCTAAAAAAGAAAAAGAAAAAAAGAAAAAAGGGTAGGATGGTCGAGTTATCGCTGACAGCTCATTTCTTCTAGGAACGGCGGCCAGTTTGAATTCTTACCCGTCACGATTGAGAGCGCGGGTGTGACGTTCCGGGCAGTGCTACGCGTAGGTGTGCGGGCCGGTTTCGAGCTCGAGCCCCCGGCCCCGCCCTCCTCGGCCTGAGCCCCATCTCCGCCAGCGCCGGAGTAGAAGTCGGCGTGTTCGCAAACGTCGCGGAGCTCGTCACGAACGTGACCGTCTCCGTGAACGACGACGACGAAGACTGCAGGTTGCGCGTGGAGGAGACGTACCAGCTCGCCCTCGGCGCCCGGGCCGGCGCCTCGGTCGGTGTGCGGGGCCACACGTGGGGCCCGTCACCGGAAACGGAGATCCCCATCTTCTACACGACCCTGGACGAGGGATGCGCGATGAAGAAGAGTGCGCGCACCGCGTCTGCGCCGTCTGCGGTCACTACCGCGAACAAGTTCAAGGCCAGGGCTGACGAGGAGGACGACTGGACAACAACGACTCTCACGACAAAGGTCGTCTATGAGGGCGTTGCGTGCGCCTCCCAGGGCCTCGTATACTGCCCGGCTTCACTCCAGAGGACTTCCAAGTTTGTCACTACAAAGACGTTGATAACTTCCGTACCCTCGGGTGTCAGGGCTACATTCCCAGAGAATGTGGCAGCCACCGTTGCCAATGTCATTCCCTTTGGCGCTGGGGCCCAATTACTCCTGGCTACGTCTGGCAGCCCCGTATCGTACATTCCACCACCCCATCTAGCACTTCTCACGACGATGAGCCAGACTTTGTGGACCAGGCTACCGGGGGTTCCCAATCGTGTCATCTTGGGGGTCAGTATTGGGCTAGGAGTGCCAACCTTAATCGCGGCTGTCGCTACCATAGTGTATGTCCCGCATCGCATATTCCCCAATATTGTTTCACTTGTGCGGCCAAAGCATTTAACACTTTTACAGTATCATGAGAAAGAGGAGACGCTACACTCCTGTCCGAACCGAAAATGCAATGTCGTACACCGCCTCCGGGCCATCCACGATGGAGCCTTACGACTCTGGCTCCAATACAGAATTTAAATCAAAGAGCCAGGCGATTGTAGAAGCGAGAACACAATAGACCCGAGTTACCCAACACGTGTCATGAGTAGTCGAGGTGTGGCTGTGACGGTTCGTCGGCGTAGTCAAAGTCTTTCACTGAATCGTTGGGTTCCCCGGGCTTCGGAGAAAGACCCTTGGCTACACATACGTTGGGTACCAGGATGAGGTGTGTAGTGTCACCACATGGGGCGAGGTTCTCGTGAGGCGATGGGCCCCGAGGTGCCTTTTCGCCTAAAGGTTGAAGGCAAAGAATGCCTTGAAGTCCATAGTGTTTCTCTTTTTTTTTCCACTATCAATCATACCCCCACCTTGACCTTAATCCTTCTCTTGTGTCCACGTCATACTCGTCTAGTCCAGGCCCTTGTATAATTCCGCCCTGCTCCGTCTTGAGGTGGCCGGGAGCGGAAAATGACTCGTCATGCCGACTGCGGAAACTGAACCTTGTCGATGTGCGTCGTTGAATTTTGTCAACTCCTGCCTGAACATCCTTTTTCTTCTTTGTGCTGTTGTCGCAAACCAGCGCCAATTAGCAGAGTCATGTCGTTCGTGCCCCACCTTTTTTCAGCTTGACAGGTCAGTCAAAGTTCTTCGTAAGTGGCTCATATCTTTATGTACATGATCTATGATGCATCATACAGAGGGAGAATGCGTTCAATGGATTAGGAGCTTGCAGGAACCCAAGGGTCCCCCCCCCACATGCAACGAACTCGGCCATCTGTCGAATCACAACTTATTTTAAGCGGCCACCCGCTCTCGCTCGGTACCCGTTATCCGTTGGCTTTTTTGCGGCTTTCTGTTACCAAGGTAGTCCATACTTGTTGTGAATACTTGGGTGGAATACATGTAGAAAAAGAAGGACATTTCAGGGCACAATCAGGCGGCAAGAAGAGCGCCTGGAAAGGCCCCAAAACTGCAGAAACGTCGAAAGGCCCAGGCTACACTTAGATGTGGGATTTGGCTAGAGCCCGGCGGGAGGAACGAATTCCTCATGCCCAGAATTTCGTCATGTGCCTAAATCTTCCGCTAGGGCCTCCCTTTGGGCACGCATCCAGTACGTCGATTATCAAGGGGCATTTCCAAACTGCACAGAGCATAAAGCCTGGCCCATCCACCAGGGACAATGTGCGGGCTAGGTCCGATATCGTGTTTGCATGTGTCAAGATGCCACGTAACGATGGCAGTTCGCTGAGAGATTTGGAGCACATTCTCTTTCCCACCACGCCAACGCCAATCAAACATCACCCGCCCCTTTTAGCTTGTGTGGCGAGTATCAATTATACCATGCAAGTCGCCTAAGCCTATCTAGTTGGGCCGCCATTAACGGCGCCCCAGGATTCCAACGGCTGCCATGCGGGCAACGTCCGCTAAGCCCGCCACTGTGATGGTGTCATCCACCGTACTCTTCCTTGCATCCATATAGAAAATGCAGCTTTCTCGGCCTGCGCCAGCGTGGGGCAGAGGGTTGGGGTCCGAAAGCTTAACGTCACAAACGAGGCGCCCGTAGGGAGGCAAGCCTGCGAATCGAAGGCTAGATAGTTATTAGTCGGGTTTACTATAAATCGGAAAGAATAGAACCCGGCCTGCGCGTGGCCATGGAGGGGACTTAATATTATCAGTATCGAGCTACTATAAATCAACTTGACTTCCAGGCTACCCGTAACCCCATACGAAAAAGTCGTCAACCAACAAGGCAACAAGATATTGCGAGTGAGCGGTTAGTTCCAGTTCTTTGACGAGTTTCCAGGACTCAATATGGTCAAAAATAATGAACCAAAGGTAATTACTCCCATTCATAGATGCATACATTCAATTAGTAATCGCTACTGATACAAGATTGCAAGGTGCCCAACAATGGGGTGTCTAAGGACCGGAAGACAAGTAATGGGAAGACTGATGGTCCGCCCACCGGGGTTGCGAAGACCGATGATAAACCTGCCGGTGTCGCGAAGAACGATGATCCGCCCGTCGATACTACGCAGCCCGGGGACATGCTTATCAAGAGCGCCCAGCGGGGATCAACCCTCGTCAATGTCCCTAGCATCATCGAGGTGATCAAAGTCTTCTTCTCCGGGATCATCAATCAGCTGAAAGAGGATATCAAAGGACTTAAAGAGAAGGTGGAAACCCTAGAGAAGAAGGTGGAAACCCTCGAGCAGAAGGTGGAAACTCTGGAGGGATTTATTAAGAAAGCTCAACCGGTGCTAGATGCGACGAATCTGCACCTTGTGTCGCTATTCGGGGAGGATTCGAAGGGTGGTGAGGCGCTTACAACGTTATTCGAAGGCTTTAATGAAGACTCTACGGATGCGAAATAGAGCCAGAAGCAAGCTCGTACAAGATATTAGCTCCAAGCTACGCGGGAATTGAGACGGACATGGGCACTGCAAGTAGTTTGGGCACCGTGGGGATACCATCCCCCGGCCACGGCATCCATTGATTTGATGCTTCTGGTAACAATGTACAAACAAACGCTTAGATAACAATAAGAGAAACAGCCCACGCTTTATTATATCAATTACGATTGCCTAATTCCTCTGCCAGTGGGCAATGCAAGAGCCTTGAACCTAACCCTAACAGACCAGAAAAGTGACCAAGCGCGGATGCTTATTTGGAGTGGGGTCACCAGCTGGAGACTTTCAGTTCCCCCTCGATGCCCGTCTTATCGCCCTCCATACTGCATCAAATCTCTTGTCGCCACGCTCAAACCTACACATAGATCTGTGGGTGCCGCTTATCATGATGTCATCTTCGTTGGGCAGGCCCATGACGGCCGACGATTTGCCAACGATCTAGGGGTAGAGCGTTAGCCTGGGAAGGGGAGCGTCAACGAGACACTAGGCCAGTGACATACCACTTTACCCCACCACCCTTCTCCGTATTCTTCGTAGAAGCTCACGATACTAAAGCTTGAAGCGAGGGGCATAAAATCCTCTGATATCTCCAACAGACCGTTAGAGTGGGTCTGCAGAAGCTCAGCAAAGCGACTTTTGGGCCGGCCAGACACGTTTGACGTGATTGTAGACAACATATCTAGCCATTTAGCTGCGTCTGAGCCACGATGCGGTGTCCCGAAGAAAACCTAAAGGAATGCCATCTGGTCAGCTCGTATGTCCTCAGTCGGGCCAGGGTATGTAAAAGGACTCTAGGTACGATTGCCTTGGTTGAGTTGTAGATGTCCCAATAGTTTCTGATAGATGTCGCGTCCTTAGTTGCTCTAGACCTCGTCAAGGCCTGTTTTTAAGCATAGTCAGCATGTAGATATCCTCAATACGACAATAAAGTGGCTTGGTCTACGGAGAGACACCTGCCGGTTACCAACCTGCTTGATGACGAGTCCCCGAGGCTATGGCCTACAAAAACTATTGGACGGCCCTCGTGCGACTACAACTTATCAGTGCACAAGTTCTCCAAAATGTACTATTCGTAACAAGCCACAAGTAAAGCTCACTCTCTGATCCTTCAGCTCTAAGAGAAGTTTCTTAGCGTTCTCTCGCACGCCGCCAATCGAAATAGTTCCAATCACGGAAGCGTCGTATCCGAAAGTCATTATTCTGGCATTTGGGAGTTTCTCCGGCAAGAGATCCCTTAACCACATGGTTCCCGGCGCTCCACTTCTTGGAGTAGAGGTCCAAGTATCGAAACAGTGGCCATTTAGTCCGTGGACGGCGACGATACTACAGCAGAAGGGTCTGAGTCGACGGACATTGCTTTAGGGGTAGGCAGGGTCAATCTTGACTCACTCAATGGGAGGCTGACTTTCGTCAGTGGGTTCACATAGAACGTGGAGGCCTCTTTGGTTGTCCATTAAGTATGTTGATGGCTCTGCGCGATGAGAGATGACTGATGCGGGAGGGTTGATACTACTCGCGGGCGTGGGTTTTTGTCTGATGTCGTTGACAAGTAGAGTTATACAACATACCCTGGTGAGTCCTGAAGACCGAGGACTATTATCTGAAGTAGGAAAGAAAGACAGCCCTAACTTTAGCCTCGAGTTTCACAAGGCTCGTTGGGTGTTGATCGGGTTTTTGGTCATCATGCATTGCGGCCGCGTCGGGCCTTGGTATTTTCAGTGTCACTCAAGCATGATACTATTGGGCGCATGCCATTCGCCTTATGGAGTGCTAAGGCCCCCTCCCCCAAGAAAAAGAAAGTTCCAGACAAGGCGCAATGCAATATCGGTCGGCGGGCTCAAAATCCTAAGGCCTAACACCTCCTTAAGTTGCATCTTCAAGGCCAGTGCACCTGGTGTGGCTCTCTCGTACGCCTTGGGTTCCACGGTTGTCTGTACGACATCAGGCACCTTGGCCAAGGAATCTCAAGGGTGTTAGTCGCAGGATATACGTCGATAGATGTAGTATATAAGGGGCGTCCTTGAAAGCATAGCACTTGACGTGCAATTTCCCAAGAGAGCCAAGAACCGCCAGCAGCCCTCACCCACGCTTATACTTGCACGAAGACCAACAGAAGTGAAAGAAAATGTCGAAGAGACTGTTTTTCGAAGAACTTTACGACCCCCAGAGCAGAGGCCTTGTACCAAACCTCGAGTATGACAACCTTGCCAAAGTACCAGAGTATCACTAACGGATAACTTTAAATTGTAGTCTCGTGCTTGTCCATGGCATCGACGGTGACCCGGTAAAGTCCTGGATGCATAGCAGTGGCAAGGTGTGGCCCCAGGATTTGCTCCCCCTCCAGCAACCTCGGACTAGAGTCTTATCATTCTCGTACAACGGGGATACATATCAAAACAATTCGGTGAACCAGATTAGGAAATCGCACAAGCTTTGATTACCCAATTGAGTTCCCACTTAGATTTTAATATCCCTACGAGGCCCATTATCTTCGTTGCACACTGCCTCGGTGGGCTCATTGTAAAGCAGGCCAGTTTGATCTCCGACACTCTTGGGTTCAAATCGCCATGCCGCATTGCCGCTAACCGACGTGTATATACAGGCTCTATGCTTCGCTGAAAATGAACGAGCCAACGAGGACTACGACTACATTGCCTCGGCAACTCAGTGTATTGTACGTCAATCTGTTGCTTCTGCGTAGCGTCCGTTGTCGAGTTAACATACCGTGGCCTTTTCGGCGGATCGTAGGTGTTCTTCGGTACGCCTCATTTCACCTCCAAAGAGGAACAGATCACGGCACTAGCCAAAAGCTTCCTCCCTCTCGACAAAACAACGCGTGGCAAAAGAGGAAAAGTCTCGCCTCTTGTGAATTCGCTTATCGAGGGGGCAAGTGATCTTGCGGATATCAGCGAAGACTTTGTCGAGGTTGTCGCTAAAATCCCCATGGTTGTAAGCTTTTACGAAAGCTTGACCTGGCCTGGGGAGAGATTCTGCATTGTGGACCGCTCAAGAGCAGCGATGATGATTAAAAACGAAGTGAGAGAGCCCGTGGATGCCAATCACGTCGAGATGTGTCAGTTCAAGGACTCCAAGGATCCCACCTTCAAGAGCCTCTGTAGACACATCGAACGTGCAATCAACCGAAATTCCAGCAGGAGCAGAGACACTGGAAGCCCACGAAGCTCCAGAGAACCAATCTACTCGCCATCCCATGAAGGGCCACAGGTCACAAGGATTGACCTAGATATGGCTTCCCTTGCGGCTGTTGACAGGGCTAGACGATTTGATCCTACTAGCAGCGCTATTCAAGAAATGGAAAGCGATGGAAACCCCCTTCATTTGAAAATACAGCCAGAAATACAAGCCGCAGCCCTTTCGCTCTGCCGGATCCGCAATCCAATACGCCTGAGCCAAGCTGGTTCGGGTTCGAATCCGTCTCAGGCCGAGTCTCTGCGGGGCCCGGCTTTCCTAGGCGCCACGCCCATATTCGAGAGGAAGCTTTTTTCAGAGTCAGATACATTCCTTGATCACAAATACGTGACTTCACATTCGATGAGAACAAGTGGGACGTACAGTTTAGGTACAATGGGGTTTGTTGGAATGGATGTCTTAGTTTATGTGGGGTTCATAGCTATATCATGGATTGCGAGCCCTTGTGATGGATAAGAGTCAATATATATTTTCCACGAGGATATTTCGTTTGAAAAACATAGTCTTACCGAAATTATAAGTAGCAGTCTTGAACCTGGACCATTTGCTAAGAGGTGGTGGCTGATGAGGTGGCAATATCCTCGGCTCCATACCAAGCGATTGTTCGCTCCCCTCCGCTTCATTGGGCGACTGGTTCTGAGGCTCCTCATTATCTTCCGTGATACTTGCCGTTTCCGGAAGCGTATTATCCTTGTCCAGTCCCTCGTCTGAGTGAGGATTAAATACGGGCGGCCCTAGCACATCAAACTGCTCCCCATCCCCAGTGTCATTTCCTTGATAATGCCTGTCTGATCCAACGCCTGCAGAAAGGGGCACTGGCTCAGGCTGGATGGTAGCGACCCTGGTGGGCGACTCAGAAGGGGAAGACGATCTATAGCCTGGCAAGGTAGCAGCCTGCACACTGCTTGGTAAGTGACTTTCCGTTGCGATTTCGAAGTCTGATTTAGGCTTGGGTACCAGTTCGCGTTGAGGAGCCGGCATGGTTGCCAAATATGGTGAAATTATTTGATCTGCAGGGCAGTCCTTCGGGTACTCTTCCGCGGGCCCTCTTTGCAAAACCACCAAACTTCGGTCCAGCTTCTTGCAGAGTGAGTAGTCCGGTCACGTAATAGGTCGCAATGGAGCGCTGCAAGAGGGTAAAGGGCACTGGACCACGCCGTGTCAGCTTCCTCTAGGTGTTTGAACCAATAGAGAGACGCGTATCGAACGAACGGATGCTTTTGCATTCTTTGGCGGACCTTGGACTCCCAATCCTCCATTTCAATAGCTTCCATATTAGATCCAGAGTCCTGGGAGCGAAAGCTAGCAAGGTATTCCATGCATATGTTTGCTAGAGCAGCGTGGGACTCTCGCACAGGTAGACGAAATTTCGAGGACACGTCCTGGGTCAGATAGTCCTTTAGACTTGCATGCGTAAGCTCCAGGCGCCCATCAACAAAGTGTACCAACGGACCGCAGTACAACTCGACAGAGATGACAATATTATCATCCAGCAAGACTTCGAAACTTTGTGCAGTCGATTGTCCATCGGATTGGTTATCAATCCAGACGCCTAGCGCTTGCCCAAAGTTAAATTCGTCTCTTTTCAGCCTCTCTTGTTGAAAGCAGGCCCACATGAGTGCCTGCCTAACGAAGGAACGCAGGGCAGCCCTGAGAAATATCCTTTCCAGACTAGACTTATAAACGTACGTGATGCCCTGAGAAAAGGCATCGAGCGTCGTAAGAAGCTGATCTTTGTCAGTGATTCGACGCCTGCTGAGCTCGGACACGACTAGATCAGACCAATGGTACATGCCCCCAGATTCCAGGGCAATCCTTTCGCAGACATGTGTGAACGCATCCCCCGAAAGTCCCAGGTGGCCCCAAGCCGGCTCAATTTTGACTTGATACTAGTACGAATGTCATTTGCGGTGTCCTGAACCGTTATGGTATACCGCTCGAAACCGGCCTTGGACAGTTGCTGTGAATGATTTTGGTCCTCTTGGGAGAGAAAAAGAAATTTCGCACCCAGCGGCTCTTGTACCCTTTCGTTGAAGTCTTTGAGGCAGATCAGGAACTCCTGTTGCTGGGTTTTAGGTAGATACTCCAATCCGTCCAGAATAAAGACCAGCTTAACGCTTGCTGCAACCTCAGCCATGACTGAGCCCCAAATAGCTTTCAATTTAATCACAATCTCCTGATCACTGATGTTGGCTTGCTGAATATCCAGAAGAACTTGTAGGTGCGTGGTGATCAGTGTAGGTACGAGCCTCAGCACCTGGTGAAGCGTAGCTCGCAGGAGCACATTCAAGCTACACCGCTCGGGAAGCGAAGAATTAAGGAAACAGTGAATGACCTCGCTATCCTTGAACAATGTGGGGGTAGTGATGATGTGTTTTGCAAGGAAACTCTTCCCAGTGCCCGGCTTGCCTTGAAGCAGAAGCCTCTTGTTTCCATGCACGTGGTCAAGCCAGTCCTTGAAGGCTGCCTGGGTTTCGATCCACGTACACGTTCCTTCAGTCGAGCTCTGATTCAATAAATAGCAGTGGAAAGTGTCGGAGCAAAGCAAGGAAAACGCTGCTTTTGCTTCATGGGAGATCTTGTCTGTCACACCGCGTCACCGTGTCAGCTTCCACATTTTCTACAAACATTTGGGGCGCTACCGCATACCTAGCGCCTTAGGGGATTGTTCGAGCATCCAGCGGATTCCCTTGTGCACCGGGCGAAACTGTTTTTCCTCTTGTGCTACGAATTTACAGATTCCAATGTGGTCGCCAGACAGGCCTTCGTGGCGCTCCGTCTCACAATGCATGCGGCCCCGGAAAGTATCGACAAGCTGCAGGAAGAGCGATCAACAAGGTGCCGAGCCAGCGCTGGATAGCGTGACGCTACGCCGCTTACGGGATGTTGGGGGCTTACAACACGTTTCGAGCCTTTAATGGGGGTGTCTTCAGTGAAGGTCTTGAATACCAGATGACGCTGAAGGGGCTTGAAGTCTTCGGTGATATCGACGAGAACCCGGCTGTTAGCCTCAACATCTTTGATGACTCGTTCACTAGGTCTTGCATGCACTCTCGCGGCGTCCGCGTGTAACACGCGGCGAAGGAAGTCTTTCCACACCGTTTCGTCGATCCCAAAATGGGAGTCGCAAAAACATCTGCTAACCGGCAATTAGTCCAAGCCCCTATTTGATGGGATGCTGCAAAAGTGGGATGACTTGGACGCACGATCCCCGGGTGGCTTCCCACACTGATCTATAACCTGGCTTCTGACGAGCCACGCGGATGGCCTATGATAGGAAGATGTGTTAATCATGGATAGTTATACCTGCGGTATGGGGTAGAAGAATGGGTAACGAACTCTCTTCGCGACGATGCCACCTAAACTATGGCAAACGAAAATTATTGGTCGCAGTTTGGCGGGGGTATCGTCCTCTCGCTGGTCTCTTATGCTGCGTAGCAAGTCCTTGGCATGATTTCTTATTCCCGCCTCGCTAGTGACGCCTCTGGGAGAGGTGTTATAGTGATAAACCATAACTCTCGCCTCAGGGATCATCTTTTGTAGGAAGTCCTTGGGCCATACCGTTCCATCGCGACCTTCCCAGGTGGTAACGGAGCCGCCGCCTAGGCCGGGAACGAGGATTATACTAGTCACAACATTCTTAGACCAGGTGGTAGGGGAAAAAAAAAAAGAGGATTCGATAAGAAGGAACCTACTCGGCAATCGCACTAGCAGAGGAATTCTTTTTAGGGCAGTAGAGAATGTCTATACCAGGCTCTTTGAAAGGTTGGTAGATTTGAGAGCTCCACAAAGCCTGAAAAGGAGTTGGCATCGTCTTTGGTTTCAAGATCTGACTTGGTACCAATCTGAAATGCTTCCCAAATGAAAATTTACTCCGCAAGTGAGCGCAAGGTCAACGAAAAATTGCAAACTACGAATGGCGTGTGTCGTGTTTAATTGATCCATCCATGGATGTTTATATCCGAACGACTTGATGCCCAACCGACGGCCTTACCTGCACCTTTGGGAACAGGTCATCCAGAGCCTTGAGCAGGTAAAACCATCAAAGATCACAAACAGGGCTCTGCATTCTTGAATTTTCCTGTCCGAGCCCGTGGGCCGATTTAATTCTTCTCTCTCGCCCAGTCCTTAACAGCGGCTCTTTGCACGACGTACGTTGCCCGCACCCTGACCCCAGCGGAACTAATAGCGCTAACATGCCCATTTCAGAATCTATAGACTCCACAGACTAATAGTCTCTCTCCCTCACAAGGCTGGTCATTAGGCATCAAATAGTACAAGTACTACTTGATCAATGTATTCAACATCTCTGCGAGACACCTACGCTACTGTAATGGATGAGTTGATTGGGCAAGCTCCTCCCGAGGATGGCAACATCGACGACCGAGTTAACTACGTTGTTATCTTATTGGACTTGGTCAAGAAGCTTGTAGGAAACGACCTTTCGGCAAAGTGGAGGCAAAAATATGATCTTGATGACCTCGAAGAAGAAGTCTGGCGCTTAAAACAACAACTCAGACTCAGCATCCCGCTCGGGGATCGAGTAAATTTGCCAGCTAAGCCCCAGACGGCACTAGAACGGAGTAATGACGAGCGTATACGGGAGTTAACAGAAATAGTCAAGAGGCTCGAGAACCAACGCGATGAGTTGGGGATGAGAAACTGGGAGTTAGAGTACAGGTGCAGGGACTTGCAAGAGGATGTCTGGAGGCTGGAGACAAAAATGCGGAATTGTATCATGCTAGACGACTCGGATGCGCCACCGACTAAAGCTAAAACAGCCTTGGAAAGGGATCTGGAAGAAAGGATCCTAATATTAGAGGAAAAACTCGAAAAAGTACAGGGCAGAAGGCGATCGAGATCCATCTAGGTAAATCATGGGCCAACTTCATATATTTAGGCCAAACAAGGCTTTTTCTCTGATGGATTTTTGGAGCCATAAAACACAGTTGTCAGATTAACGGGCGCCGCTGCTTCGGTAGATGAAATTTCTTAGCGCCCGTGAAGCCAGATACTTGGGATTTGGGAGGTCCGAATATCTGCATGTGAAAGTCTCCGCCCTTATTAGATTCCTAGTGAGTGGCAGAGACTCAAAAGGGCTGAATGTTGCAACAGTCACCGGTACTCGGATATGGAGGGTTGCCCAACAGCCAAAGCCTAGTGTACTCAAGAATGGTGAACTTGCGGAGGATTATGGCCTGCTGTTTGGGAAGTCTAGTGGTTCATTCTTCATTCCAAACTCGACACACACGTCTCACGCCCACCACGGAGTTGAGTATTTTGGGCTATAAGAACCCCATTCAAGGAGTGGCGCAATCTATGGCGGAACCTGTGGTCACACGAGGAGACAGAGAGAGCGATACTTGGATCACTCGCGAACAATTGTGGCTAGAGCTTTTCAATCTTCGAGTCGTTCCTTTCTCTTTTCGAGACTGATCGCTTCGGGTTATCGGGTGGAGCCCAAAAGTTCCCTCAGGCTTAGCTGCCGAGCACTTGCTTCTAATTTTATTGACATTTTCCGCATTGGGCATAACTCCTTGTGTCTGCATAGCCATATGGAACCCTCCGCTATTGTGGCTTGACGCGAAAGAGGCGGCAGAGCAAGCCTCGGCGTCGACGGGACTGCAAAACACACCTCGGGGCAGCTTCTAGAACGCGCTTGCTCGACAAACCAGGCTTGGGTGGCGGCAATGTTCGTGGAAGATTCTACGAGTAAAATAACATTTGCGAGATTTCCATGGAAATTAAGCTTTCATTTCTTCCCATCCCAACTGAATTGAGCTTTTGTATACCAAAAGTTCAAGATTCAATGCGTGTGAAAGACCAGAAGAATACACGCGCGCGGTCGCCGGCAAAAATCGGACCCTTGACAAAAGGTCAGTGCTGCCTCAGATTCCCACTACGAACCGTCCCTTCTGATCCTTCATCCTTGAAGTACCTTGGATCATTGTCTCCGGACCAATGAAGTCGTGCACTCGGCACCTCATCGCATTAGTTCGCCCCTCCGTAAGCTCATCCTAATACACCTCCTGGAGATTACCCCTCTCCTCATGCTAATGCCTCACCACGATGGCTTCAATTTATCATGGCTTTGTGAAGGGGAAAGGGTGCCCAGGTCTACTGCTGGATTCTGAGAGAAGCTTAAGGCGCCCATCTCTGCCAAGTGGATGTCTGTCTGCCGAACGCTTGGCCGGCCTAAGCAGCGTCGAGGGACTAGCGGCGTCAGAAGATAGACTAGTCCCCAATCACGGGCCGCACCGCCTCAAGAATTTGCCTGTTCAATCATCGTCTTGTTTGTTTGAAGGGTGAAGACAATGAAAAAGACGCCTTCGTCTCACTCACGCCATGCCTGAAAGGGCGGCACTAGCGGCGCATTCGTTCTGATTTCACGATGAAGGTGGTAGGATCGAAGGAGCAATCTTCATTTCGCGTCAACCAGGACGTGCCAATCTCGAGCCATTCCGTGACCCCGAGAGCATACCCTTGCCATGCAACCCGAACTTGCTCCCCCTGCACCTTACAGGGCGGAAACTCAGCCACGGGAATGGGGTTAGCCAACCAGATTAGACTTGTTTCCCGGATTTTGCAGTGGCTGTCTCGAAGCAGCAGTCTCAAACCCCGATTCCCTGGATTTTTGCCTGCCGTTCCCTTGTATTTTTTCTTCTTCCTCTTTCCCTTTAACCGTCGTCTTTTGGCCTTCGAATATCTTGGCACCCGCCGTGCCTCTCTTGCCTCCACGAACGCGCGCGTGCTCCTAGATACCATCACGATGCGCTCGACATGGCTTCTGCCCATCTGCAGCCTCCTCTTCGGAGCTGTCACTGCTCAAGTAACCACCAAAGTCGATGATCTCGATGACCCTCGTTTCATCGGGTACTATATTGGGCCCGACCAAAGTGCGATTCTCCCTCCCTCAACCTCAAAATTCCAACCCCGAAAAGACGATGGGTCATGCTAACGCGAACGATTTTCTTCACTTCTAGCGGAGCGCTTGACCGCCACCACAGACTGGGTGACCTCTGGCTCCTTCGCTGGAGACTGCCCCAACGATCCATGCACACTCGCGACGAATTGCGTCGGGAACGTCCTCACCTTCAACAATGGACAGACCGCGAAATGGTACGTAAAACGGGCGCGGACACCGCGTGCCTAGGCTCAGCCCGACCGAACGCATCTAACCTCGACCCGAACAATATAGTGGGAGCGGAAGTTCGTGCGTGACCATGTCCATCTTCCAGTCCTTCCCCAACGGCCGGCCCCTCGTCTCCAACATCTTTTGCCGCGGGGATGGCAGGCCTACACCGTCTACCGCCAGCTCGCCGCGGAAACGACATCTAGCAGCGAAGAAGAGACCTCGAAACCGACCGGCACCACCTCCACCACGTCCTCGGCGGAAGCCACCTCCGACCCGCAAAACGACGGAGACGACGATTCGAACGACGAAGACCCCCTCGAGGACGGCGAGGAAACCTCCTCCGGCGGGAGCAATGCCTGGATCGCCGGTGCGGTGATTGGTCCGCTGGCAGCAGTCTGCGCCGCGGTTGCGGCGTTTGTCTGGATGAGGAAGAGGAAGGGCGCGCAGCAGAGTGCGAGGGCGGGCGCGTTGGAAGACGGGAGCGCGCCGAAAGATGGACCGGAGCCGCCGCCCGTGTATATGCTTCACACCAACGAGAAACCCATCGAGTTGCCGACGGAGCAGCAATTTGTCGCCGAATTACCTGCGAGCACGAGGTATTAGAACAGCGGCGACCGTGTTTGGACAAGCGTGTAGTATAATCAAAAAATTTAAGTAATACATGAAGAGGTTAGGCAACGGATAGTCCGTTGAGAGAGACAACGCTCTTTAATCATACCCTTCTACCCATCTTCTTTGTTTTCAAAGAATCTCTCTTTCTGTCTTGTCCTGCTACTTTGACGTGTCTAGTAGTGTGACTGTTCTCCAATTCCGACCGGTTTATGGCCGATGGGTCTGAGATTCGTACTCTGGCTTCGATCTAGTTACTATTTGTCCACAGAACGCTCACATGCCAGGCGAATCACTGCGCGTCATATGCCGAGAGGGCTTGGAGGTGAAACCATCAAATTCATGGGTATATTTGACAAGCTAGTAAACCAAACCAAGAACACAAAAGAAACCAAAATTGTATGCCGAGATATCCAACCATGTCTATATGTAAACGCCTGTCCAAAAACGCCGGTCTAACGATGCCAAATTTCTAGTCACACCCCCATCCCTAAGACGGACGAAGCCGTACAGCTAGATGGCGTTTCTAAACCCTCTCATAGTCGCTCACCGCCTCCAACTTCAAGATGGCGCGCCTCATTGCCTCCAGCATGATGACGTCTCCGACCACCATGGCCAAGAAGGCCAGTATGAGGATGGCAAGCGTGCCGCCGAGTGAGACCTCGACCGTGAAGGCGAGAATGGTAGAAATGATGACTAGGATGGTTGAAACGGCCATGATGGGGATCACGATCGTGGTGAGCTTGCGGAGGGCGCTGTATTCGAGCTAGTGGGACAAAACCGGTTAGCAGATTGCTCTGTGTTCTGCCTGAGCTAGTCGGGAAACTTGGAAGGGTACTCACTCCACCGGCGCCTTCGCGCTTGGCCCGAAAGATCTTCCATACAAGGACAACGGACAGTCCAATAGTGATGACGAGCATCCAGGCCGCATAGGCAAGGGCGACGTAGTCGGCGATCCCCACTGGGAAAACGAGCCATAGCCCTCAATGATGTAGTTCGCGTTATAACTGCGGATATCGATTCTACAATACGCAATGGAAAGTGAGCCCATGGTCCTGTTCGAGGGTGGAGACAAGAGACGGAGGGAGGCTGGATACTTACTGGAGAATGGACAAAATAAACGTGGCAAGCCCGAGGCCGACGGTGGCGACGATCAAGGCAATGTCAACCACAAGAGTCCATCCCTTCTTATGGGCGGGGAAAACTGGCGCTTGAGGACGATCAAGGCGGTATAGAGAGAACACTTGGTGGCGATCTCCAAGAAGGACAGCAGGTCGCCGGGGACATTGGCAAAGATCGCGATGATGGTGATGGTGACGCGCAAGAAGGCGAGGATCGAAGTCACGACAACCAGCGTCTTGGCAGCCCCGAATCTCCTGGTGCGCGAGCGCGCGGTCTCGGTGTGGATAAAGTTGGGGTCCTTGGGGTAGGGGGTCGTCACGGGATGGTTGAATCGGGGAGCATGGGTGCTAGCGGCGGCCTGATACTTGCTGGAGGAGCTCTTCAGCACGAGGGAGAAGAGAGAGGCGCAGAGGACGCTGAGGGATCCTATGACGCCGAGGGCGAGGATGATGATGAAGAAAATTCCGGCGATTTCCATGGTGGGCGGGTTGATGGGGTGTGTTCAAGCTCTTACAGGCAACACTGAGAAGGAGGAATCTATGTGGGTTGTTTGAGTGTGTTGCGTGGTCAAGAAGATCTGGCGATACCAGGGGCTATATATCAATGATTTCCCATGCAGCGACCCATGTTTTCTTTTTTCTGCCTTTAAATGAGTCGACTTTCCATATGTGACTCGAATATGGCAAAGGGGGGCCAGGGCACTGCGGTTGGGGATTACTCGCATCGCCACGATTCCGCAGAGTGAGGCCCCAAAGCTGGTGGATGCTGCGCCGCCTGGCCGCTTGCCATCTTGGCGTGACTCAACCCTGCCTCCTCAGAATATCCGCCCATGACGGGATTTTTTTATCATGGTGTATTTTAGCGCAACACGGTGTTCGCCTCTCGGGAAAAACGAAACGAAAAAGAAAAACAAGAGGAGAAAAAAGGGTGTTGGCGGGGGCCAAAATCCCTTCCCGACTGTCCAAAATAGTGAGCAGTTGCAAAGATAGATCGCTGGGGGTGTAAATTATGAGGCCGCAAATCCATTTTAGTCGATGGCAGAATCCTTCTACCCCAAGTGTGCCTTCCCTTCAGCACTCAGATCGCTCCATGTCTGCCCACGGATAGATGTTACAGGGTGTCCCTTGGTTCCTGGACTTGGCGTTTGCCACGAGCGATCGCGCGACTGGCTGTCTTGCAGGCAGTTTGTGTGGGGGCATTCAAGAATTCCGCCTTGGGCCAAACTAACTATCTCCATGACGTCGAGGCCGGGCGATCGGTACTCGATGGCAACATCACTTGAGCTTCCTCCGATCAAATGCTGAACGGGATTGTCACTTTTTCTTTTTCTTTTTCCTTTTTTCTGCCACTGAAGATCCGCTAAACCCCAAGATCGCATTGGGAGCAACGAGTCGGCGATCAATGATGTTGTGGCAGAATTTCTCAACCTTCCAGTCCTTTTAGGACTCGCACAGCCACGACCCCGCCTCAAAGAACCACCTTTGCGTTCTTCGACCCTCAACCGCAGCCCTGTCGGGCGCCAAGCCGAGCATGGCTCGTCCCAGCGGCGGCAAGTGAGCGGGTGTCCGCCGCACTGCCTGCTGCTGGAATTAACCTCCCACCGAGGATTATTAGGGTTATCTGCCCAACTGCCGTACAAAGCTGATAGTACCCATCAGAGTCATCATACATTTGAATGTTGGTCGCGATGAGATTTGGCTTGTGCCAACGTGTTGGTTAATCTCGCGTATTTCCCTGGCTGTGGGCCCAGTGAGAAGCGAATCCCCGTGTGGCAGTGGAAGTGTATTAAGTTTTTTGAGTACAGGTAGGCTATGTATACAAAGTCATTTGATCTGAGGGAATTAGGTAATATTTGCTCCAACAGCTTCTAACGATTATAGAAGAAAAAGAAAAAGAAAAGTAAAATGAGACAGCTGATCGCATTGCCAGTATGGACAATATTGAGCTGCCTTAAGGCTGAGGTATAAATAGCGCAGGTGATGACGGACCAAGGATCGATCCGTTCAAGAAAAGAATAGTATGGGAGCATGGCGATTATGAAAAGGAGGGTAAAACAACCTTGGGGTCGGTATTGTGAAACTTCATGGAGGGAATATACAGGAACAAGTCCTCTTAGCAAGGGAATTGTAAGTCTAAGCATGGCACGGCTTATGTTATGCGATGTGCGCATGCGGCGCGCCAGCTTTTTCGAGCCGTAGGACCGGATAATGTACTGTACGTTTCAGCCTACGAATCCCTTGGAAACGGGCAATAGACTTGCTGAGAATTTTGCGATTCCTCATGATCCGCCAACTGCGCATGGTGCCGAACTCGAGGCGCTGCGGTCGTCTAAGCTGCGAGTATTTCAAGTCATCGATGGCGACTGGGGGTAATCCATGACCCAGGGCAAAGACCAGGGTGCCCCTAGCGATGAACTGGAGATGATCCGTTGCCATATTGCTAACACGACGCACCGATTCGAATAGTGTCGGCCCAGCTTACAGCGAAGGAGGAGAGTGGCCAGCACCCCTTTCGCCCCTCAGGACGAGCCGGATCCGTCGTGCTGAATAGGCTTAAGAAGGTAGAGCGTTTATGACCCCCATATATTGCGCAAGATGCGGTGATTTGGGGATTTCATAAGGGGGTCTAGGTTGAGATAGCGTGTGGGGATTGGTCGGGGTTGTCCCTTGGAAATCATGAATCCTGGTAGATTGACCACACTGACGACCATGACAGGGACCCCTCAAGTCCCGTCCCGGGCCTGGTATGTATGCTGTCCCCATCCAACCCAACCGACAAAGTGGAAGGCCCGAAGAATATGTCACCGCTGGAGCGGAGGTAGCTCATCTCTAGCTTTTGGAGGCCCACGGCTCGGCGAGTTGGTCCGACGAGGCCTTCGAAGACTGGACGCCAGGCCTCGCTCGCCTCTGCGATGGGGAAAAGAGTCAAGTGACTTAAAGAAAGACGCTGAAGCTTAGGTACCCGGGCCAGAAAGTCGAGGAACGCATCCGTTTCTATGGCGAGGCCGCGGATCGTGCATTCGCGGAGGGCGGAAAAGTTCAAGGTAGAAAACGCCGTGAAGAAGCTCAAGATGCCGTGCGTGGGCCGAGGCTGGACGAGGTACCAGCTCAACACCAACGTCTCGAGAGTTTCGGCGCAGCCGGAGAGCAAGGCCTTGGTCCCGATGGCGCAGTTGACGTCGCACGACGCGGGATCGAGCGCGCTGCAGGGCGTGGCCGACGGGCAGCTTCCGGGGTTGGCGAGGCCGAGGCTGAGGTCGCGGAGGCGCGAGAGAGAGTGCCTTGCGTGCTCGTTTTGAAGGGTGGATGCGACTTGGTGGAAGTGGCAGAGGTCGACGTGGATGCCGCCGCGCATGGATCTCAGGGGGTGGAGCGTCTTTGGCTGCGAGCCGCTCTGAGCGAGCGCGGCGAGGAGGACGGAGAAGGCGTGGTGTGTCTGGGGCCATACGACGTTTCGGTAGCGCGGGGATGAGGGGGAGGAGTCGGCGAACCTTTGGCTGCCGGTCAGTTTGGCGATGTTCACGTCGATGTCGACGGTTTTGAGGCTGGGCAAGTTCGTCAACGCCGCTGCGAGTAGCTCAACGTCCCTCCCCGAGTTGGTCATGTAGCTTTGCTCAGTTTGGAGGTTTTGTATATCCTTTGCTCTCGGAGACCACATTTCGATCCGCTGGTCGTACACTTGATTCGACTCCCACGATTCCTGCGACCGGAGGTTGTCGCGGATGATGCGGTCGTCGTAAGCCTGGGCCACGACGGTCAACGAGCGCACCAAGCCGCCGAAGTAGGGATGCGCAGCAATCATGCCGAGGGTCAGCAAGCTCTGCTCGGTGAGGTCCGTCGATCGATGCTCGAAACAGGTCCTCATGACATGCGGGGGCGGGGTGAAGGTACGGCTGACGAGACGGAGGCTCAGGATATCCGCCAGAGCGAGATGCTCGCAGATTCCGTCCGTCACCAGAAGCGGGAGAGTGGTGAAGTGCGATTCAGTCATTGCGCCCGTTGTATGAGCAACTTCCGTGGCCAAAATCTACCGAAAAAGACAAGGGAAAGAGAGGTAAGATCGCGCGCAGAAAGAGGAAGGCTTTTGACGGTTTTTCCTCCCAGGGGTTCTTTTCTTTTTCTCTCTCGCTTTCAGGGGCGCGATCGTCGATTGTGGTGGCGCGCCAAGGAGTGGAGAGCCGCGCTAGTACCGTTAGCTTTGTGGGGTTTCGCTGGGGCAATGCGACCGACTGATTGCTCGCGATGAGGGCCGGTTTGTTCAATAGTTTCAATGTTTGGTGGGTTAGTAGCGGCGTGGGAACACTTTTCCCCAAGGCCCTTCAGCGGGAATTCTTGCTGGTAACGTTAAGATGCAATCTGTACTTCACAATGACACCCCTGAGCCGATGCCAACACTCACCATGTTGATAACGATCAACTGATCCTTGTCAAGGGTAGTAGTCTCGTCCTCAAGAGCCTCTGCCTCGTTGAATCTTTGGTACTCGTGGGCGCGGGGAAGCTAGGTGGGGGTGGGTTGGCCATCACTCGTGGAATTTCCCGTTGGTGTTGGCTGTAAATATGTTGAAACCTCCACCTTCCCCAGGATTTAACCGCCCATCATTTTCTTCATCAGGCTAGACTAAATCTTGGAGATTCAGAAATGGATTCAAGTCCCCTCCTCAAGGTGAGCCTCGGTTCGAGGAGGTGGAGATGGAGCACGGTGGGGTGGCTGGGATCGGCATCTCCACCGAGATATGTTATTCGATCGAGTAACGAGAGCCTCCACTGTAGAGAGCCCCGTTTTTCCTCTTTCGGTTTTACCGATCCTCAAGCTATTTAGCGAGTTCGATGATGTGTGTACAATCCACGGTGTAAGATAATGAACGCTGAAGGGTATGGGTTCAAAGGGGAAAAGAGCTGGGGTATGAGAGTGAACGAAACTGATACGACATGTACATGCAATAATGATATGGTTTCGACCATCATGATGGTACCGGCGCTATCAACTCAACCGCCAAATCCAAGCCCTCTACTTCATCTTCATGGAAATCAAGCGGGTTTAAGAGCCTTGACAGTTTGCATGGGTGTCCAACTTTGTCAAACGACTGGAACCAAAGGGGGACCGTAAACTCGCCAATGGCCGGAAATATTTCAACGATACTATATCCCAGAAACGGTCTCTGCGGTGGCGTCCACTCTAGCTTTATGCTATGCATTTGTTTGATCAAGGCGCCAAGTAGCATCATGTCGCATGTTTCGTTGCAAAGGCAGAGCCGCTCCGCAGGAGATCGGCGGCGTTATACATGGCGGTAAAAGCGTCGTTGAGCCACCATTGCCGCTTTTCTTCAATATCACCTATTACAATCGCTCGTAAACATCAAGGCATCGTGAACGTGTATAAAGTGACTCACCAATAATCTTCGAGCTGATAGGTAGGCCAAGAGTCGGAACCTCAGCCTCGCTTTCGAGTATGGCTGTCCGTGTTAATTGTCTGTATCGGACCGGGTTTTTAAAAACGGAGGTTACAAGAAGCCAAAGAACCAAATCCCGGTTTAGGAGCGTCGGAAGATCCGATCCTATGCTCTCTATCCACGTTCTTGATACTAGCTCCATCGCTTCATGGCACATGAGATAGTCTGTAACCACAGCCATCTTTGCTAGCGCCTCCAAGTCGACGGTTCCGGGTACCCTCGAGTTGCGCCCGTGGATGACGTTCATAATGGTGATAAAAGCATCAGAATCAAAGGGCTCAGCGACCGACCATTCGAGCATTGCGCCATCGGGGGTCTTCGTGGGAGCTTTCCAGTTCTTTGAGTGCATCTTCTTCACCATCGGTGAAGCTAACATGAGGTGCCTCGAGGATAGCTTTAGCGCAATCTCCTCGGGGGATCATCTTCAGAGGGGGCTATATATGCTTGCCAAATATGTTCAGCTTCTTGATCGATATCGGTGAGTGGTCTATGACTGAGGATCATAGGGCGCTTACATTCTTCTGTGGGGCTGTTTGGCACTTCCGACTCGCTTGCCGCCTCCTTCTCCTCATTGTTGTCCCACGGCGCGAATGGAGTGGAGGGTATACGCAAGATAGCTAGGATATCGCCGTCTGGATCCATCACTAGGGATCGGGTTTCCGAGAACTGATCCATCGCAGCTTGCTGTCAATGTGCCTCTGGGGCGGGATTTATCGAGAAATGAGCGAAATAGGGGAAAAGCTGATGATAGTGAAAACTATGGAAAGCAAAGGGACCCCAATCTGCAGCCCGTTGCCAGCTCGATAGGCGCGCTAGAGCGCCCGGATCAGCTAGCGGCTGGTCCAGTGTGGGGCTGGAAAGGACTGGAGCAAGTCCCATGCCAACAGTTCGTGGAGACAAGCAATGGGAATAGAGATGACAAACACGTTGGGAAACAAGGGTGAGTAGATTACAGCTTGAATTAATAAACGAACAAAACATGCCTTCTGCGACGTAGGTATGGTTAGACAATCACCAAGCTGACAATTTCAAGAGGGGGCTACTGGTACTGATTACGAAATCTTCGGAATGTCGTGAGATTGTTCGAACTAGACTCCACTGGGGAAACTCACCACATCCATCTATGGATCCATAGAACGGTCTATTGTCAGGTATAATGGAATAGACGTGCAACATATGTTCTTATTAGAGCCATGCCCAAGCCCTGTGAGCTCAAGATACTTCCTTCCCTTTCAACCACATTGAAAACGTAGTATTTCTCGCTATCGGAGCGACTATCCAAACAGACTAGTCCACCGCTTCTTTCTAGGTTGGCCATTTGTAGAAGTCTCTTCTACAACTCCGTCGGTGCTGTTGGTTGCTGTTATTGTTGTGGCGGAAGAGGACGGGGCCGGTGAGTGAGACGGGCTATCTTCTGTCCTCTGAGTTATGTCACTGAAACTTGCAGACTCGGATGTGTCTTCTGTTCTCCCCTCTTGGTCACTATACATGGTTTAATTTCCGACCAAGAAGCGTGTCCAAAAATGACGGCTCCTTGTGCACTAAGAGCTCCTAGGCGGATGGGCCAAGTCTTGGCAACTTTTCGGTGTTGGAGATAACGGTTAGTTAAGAGGAACTGCACAGGCCGGATGTGGGCTTCGCCTGGCGCGGGGTTTCGGTGTTGAGGCAATGGCATCTGGTGAAGACATCTCTGTTGGGAGATGACCAGCTGATACCACCGTGAAGCTCATGTCGCCCAGGTTTAGGGCCCGGGGTAGCGATCTGTATGCGTCTCAGAGTGGTGATAGTTGCGCACAGGTAGTTCTGACCAGATGGTACCACCTTCCATTGGGTACAACTGTGCTGGCCATCTACCGGCACAATCAGGTCCTCAAAACCTCTTCCAAAAATGACGAGGGCCTTGATAGCGCGAGCATACTGCGTCCATCCATATCCTAGGTTGCTGAAATACTCAACTCGCTGACTTACGCCACGGAACGAGACAACGTCTTTGAGATCATAACCCACAACTTTGCGCTTCATTCCGTTTTTCACATCTTCCAACGGTGATGCCACCCAATATCCGTCCTGGTTTGCAATTTTATCTTGATAGTCGATCAGTGTCACGAGATCGTCTAAAACCCTTTCTACCCTATCTCTAAGGGTATAGTACTTTGTGTGTGTTCCAGAATTCGTTTCTGAGATAGAGTCTACGAAGAGGTTAATGCTCGAGTTCTCTGGTCGTGTTAGAACCGTAGCCGCCGACTCCCCTTCAAGCTCAGACCCTGTGCCCTGAAAACCCAGCTGGATTTATAAGCTTCGTCCTCAGAGTCCTCGGCAAGCGAGTGTCGAACAAGGTGAAGGGCCGCCGAAGCCCCGTCGACCAGCCACCCTCTCTTGTCTTCGATGTCATAAAATATGACTGGCTTGCCTGACATTGTGGCAACATCCCGGCGAAGCTCGCGGCAATTCGATGGGGACTCCTGCGTGTTCCTTTTTCCACAGGAAGCGATGACCCCGAAAGTGAGACAAGGTACGCTGACCTCAAAATATTTTTCTCCATGACAGAAACCCTCGTTGTCGCGAGGTTTAGGCCACTGCAGCCGGTCCCAGATTCAGGTCGCAGAAGTTTGCCTACGAGAATGATGAATTAGCAATGGGACCGATATATCGATCCATAGATACAACCCTTCCACGGTTAAGGGGCTAATTCAACTTTTGTTGACCTTACCTCTGTGTTCCGTGACGGCACTGCACCACCCCACAATTTGCCGTCGTGTCGGTATGGTATCCATATTGAATTCTTCGGGTATATGGTATTTCAGCTCATCTAACCGATCGTCACAGTAAGAAATTCGATGGCCTTCGGGATTGAAAAGGAAATGCCAGAGTATAGCGTCCGACTGAATTTCTGTGGCGATAAAGAGAGAATTATGGCCTTTTAGAATCAGTTTGCCATCGAGTTTGGTGAGCCTCTTTGCCTGAACCACCTCTGCCATAACCGTAAGACTCAACTCTAGGCCACTGTTATGTACGGATCTGTTGTGGACAGGATAACCAGTGACTAAGATAGGGTTTCGAAAAGGTTTGCCCAGCAGAATCCGCGGTCTGCCGAGCTTATGTCCTGATTGACTGATATGTCTGAGTGAATGTTAAAGTGAGCAGCGAGGGATTTGTCATGTTGAAACCCTGCCTCGGCTATTTGTACCGTCTTGATGCTTGGAGAGCAGGCAACTACCCCCTTTGATAACGGGTTGGACCGCATAGCCGATGAGAGCCAGCCAAGCTGTTCGCCAATTTCAGCCACGAAGCCTAGAGGGCCTTGTGCCTCCACCAACGACCAATTTCGTAATTGAATCGTCTGGTTGTGCAATATAGTACCTATAACGACGATTTTTCAGTACTGTGCGCCTTAAAAATCGAAGGCATGGATCGATCCAATCCGTACTTACATGTGGATACTGTTGTTGGATCAGCAAGATGTTGCTTTACCGCGGTTAACAACCCTTTACTCGTGATGGGCCACATTTCTGACATATATTCCGCAATAGTGGAAACTTGTGCCTCCTGCCATGTGCCAGTCAGGCATATGATCTGTCCGAATGCTTCTTCTGGGGGCAGTGGATAGTCTTGTTGGAGAATGAACTGAAGCGGGTCCCAGTCTAGGTTGAATGTCACGCGGACGTAAGGAGGAGCCACTAAGCTCCTCAAAAGACGAGGTCGATTGGGATCGGGAGCCAGAAAATTGTTATAGATGTGGTTGCGAATCTGGTCTTCTGAGCTCGTCCCTTGCGTTCGCATCGTCGCATAAACCACTATCCTTGATACCAACCAGCTATATGCCTGAGATTGAAAAATAAATTCTTCGCACTCAGGGCTCGGAGGTAAATAGCCATCGCCCATTATCACGTCCTCTTCTAGAAGAGACTCTTGGATAAAGTTTCTGTCGAGAGCTGACGACCAGCTGTCCACGGCTGATCCAGATGTCCCGGAGACATCGCACGGCTCTTGTTCGATGTCTCCGCTCCGGATCTCTTCTCTCAACAGCCGATCCAGCTCATAGATTACCTTTCTTGTATAAATAATTAGCTTCGGTTCTTTGTTGAACATGTATACTTTGATATGTACAGCGAAACTCACACTCTGTATCGTCCCAGAAAAGACGATGCCGTTTGATAGGCCTCTGTGGACGACTCCTCTCGCAATCTAATTGTGAACAATCTTAGTGACTCAAGCGAGCCCTGCCGAAACCTATCGGGTAAGCAAGACAGCGAACAATTCTTGCTAATGTCTTTAGCAAGAAGAATCGAGAAGGACGATATGTATGTCAGCCGTTTCCCAATATCCATCGACTCTACAAAAGAGAGTCTCGAACTGCCATGAGGTCCGAGAAATCCTGGCAAGTAAAATTCAATTCGCGATGTGCATGTGTCCTTGATGATTACATGGCTCCCATCGCTTTTTGGAGGTGAGTCCGGCGTCAAATTGCAAGTTTCTGGTAGCCTTTCGGCAGTCGTGTGGCTTGGGTTCGAAGAGCGACCGCCGGAGTCATTGCCTCCAGTTCCAACTATAGCATCCCAGTTCTCTTCGCTGATCATAGGTAAAGTTGCCGACATGGCTGCTAGCTCTACATCACTTATATAGGGTGAAGGTGGCTGAGGGAGCCGAGGGAAGAGCCCACGCCAAATGTCGTACCACCTATCGCTCTGGTCATGCGTGAGCAGAAGGCCGCTGATTCTAGACCAATCCTCTTCAGTCATACCAGAGTACAATCTGAAGCTATCGGCTCTCAGTGGACAGTTGGTTTCTAGATGCATGTTGAGCCGCCAGGAAAATTGAAAGGGCATACCGCACCACTCACACCTAACTGCAAAGGTATGATGTAGTCGAAGGTGCTGTTCCACATGAGTTGTGTTTGTTAGGCGTTCCCTAAAGCTGCATCGTTGAAATCTGGTAGTATCTAGTTTATAGTAAGGACAGGCTAGCAAAGGTCCATCGTTTGTCGGTTCGTCTAAAGCCTGAGGCTTGTCCTCCGCTCGAGCGGCGATTTGGCGATCCCCACTCTCATCAGGCATTGTGTTCTAAAGACTTTTGTAGTATTTTCGGATGGTTATATGTTTGATATAATATCGGCGTCATAGAGCAGACGGGTGTAGTTGCAATCTCGAAGTCATAGAGCAGAGGGTGAAGGGTGAAGAGATTTAGACTGAGTTGTGGCATCGAGTTTGATCGAGGCGAGGAGAGCCAGCTAAAAAAGATTCGGGGAGAGGAGGGAGGCGCCACATAAAATTCCCATGCCAAGGATTGCCTGGAGTAAATGTGTCTGGTAGGTCAATTTGACGCTGTGAGCTATTGTCCTTTCTACACTTTGTGAAAAAAAGACAAACTATTGATGCGCGCGTGAACAGCCCAGCTACTAGCGCACGCGTGGCGCAATGGCGGAGCAACCTCAATTTTACAGCGGCTGATGTCGGCTGTGAAGATACACTCACCACACATCCATCACGCAGATGACTCCCAAAACCCAACGTATTTCTCCAAGAGCCCTTCATGTAACTTCCATCCTTCGTCTCGAACCCTGGCTGTCCATCGAACCCAGCTAGTATTGTATAGCAAAGTCAGTCGCTCACAATGTTTATAGCCTTGTGAAATGCTTTAGTGGATCGAGGGTTCCCTCCATTAACGCCCTTTGACTCCTTATTTAGATTTTGCTCCGCCTACTTGCCCGGAGACTGTGGTCTATACCGGCATTGTGCCCCTTCGGACCTTTGGCGCCGGGTGGGTCAACGGCCTGTGCTCCGGCGCGGGCCCACCAGCCTGCCGGTACCGCAGCATCGTCTCGACCCTAAATTGCTTTGCTTCACCCTCTATAGTTTTCCCATCGCCCTTCTTCTCCGATAGGCTACTGTCGAAGTTAGAAACCCCCTCCAATGAAAGTACGGGGATTTCTCCAACCCAGCTAGGTGTTGACAGGATATAAGCCTCTTTAGACCTCAAATAGACAGGAGCGTTCCCCTGTCCTTTTTGGTCTATCACTAGGACGAGGACGTGACCAAAAAATGGATTCGTCCACATCTATGGTCGGAAACGACCCCGCCACCCTGTTTTTCTGTTATCCCATCCCTAGCTCCGTGAAGGCTTAGCTGCTCTTCCTTGCCTACTATGTCAGAGTAACTTCTATTACGATACTTTATGAATGCAACTTGTCTACTCTTTTTCCATGTTTGTCACATGGTTCTCCAATCCACACTAAAACGCCGTCTCTTGAAGCCGTACCCTTGAGGCCAGAAGACGGGCCCCTCCACCCTGTGCCTATTTCTTTTCTTTTTCTTTTTTCAGTGTTGTCCCTTCCCCTTCCTCCCTTTACGGCACCACAAATTGAGACCACGATTGCCTTCAGGAACGCATGAGACGTGCAGCCTGATAGAGTTTTCTTCGGGAGCAGGATAAAAATGAACACAGAAATGGGAGGCAGGGAGGCGGATCCACACCCAAGATCAGATGGGTGATCTCATCCTTGGTGCAGGCGTTGCCCTCGCTTTTCCTTTTATGATTTTTGCCAGATATATGACGCCCGGTGGGTTTCATCCTCCCGTGCGTCTCATGAGATGAGCTCAAAAGTTACGGCCGAAAAACCGAACCTGGGGAGATCCGCTAACTCGCATCAGTAGGCTATATGAGTTGAGCCTCTCTCATGGTCGCCGTAGGGAAAAGAGGCTAATAAGTGCTTCAGCTGCTTGCCCCCAGGGTCCTCCAGAGCCCTCCTCACTAAACTTGCTAGAGAGTTGCCCGCCCGCTTCACGATTAGTTGTGGGCTTCACTTGGGCATGAGTTATAGGAACGAAGGCTTCGGGCTCCAACGGTCGTCACGGACGTTTTCGGTAGCATGGGCGCTGTTTCTCCCCCTGTCCCTGATGTCTCGACCGGAACATTTATCATCGTAAGTTTGCCTAACACTCTAACCCTAAGGAGAGAAACAAGTGCTCATGGATTACATGCCTGCCTTGGCCTAGTCCCATTTTGGAAGACGTTGTGTTGTGTTCGACCCCACTCCTTCGAAAGTGTTCCACATTGATGTCGTTTCATCGAAGAATTCCACCGTGCTCCAGAAGGGGGAAGGGACAGGGCTTCAGCTTCAATCAATTTATACTCCTGACAAACGAGAGTTAGGCAAAAGTCTAATGACATTAGTCTGTCAAGAGAATAAAGTGTGTGACAGGTCGTTAGTCGTTAGATCCCAGGATTCCATCTCAACCGATTGTTCTTTCCACATCATGTTATGGCGGCGGCTGCACTTGTCCCAACAGCCCAAGACTTTACCGCGGTATTTGGGACAGAGTTCTCCACCAAGAATTACCCGGGTGACCGGCACGCATCATTGTCGATGGAGCGATCAATTGATCATTCCTGAGGCCAGCCGATTAATGGGTCTTTGTCTCGTCTTGGGCCGACCCCTGTCTTAATCATTCCTTTTTCTTTTCTCTTTCCCTATCCTCATATTCCCGCTTGGCCTCCCTCCTTCTACAGTATCCTCGGCTTTGGTCAACGGCAAAAGAGCCAGTCGAGGAATGGGGCCACGATGCTAGGGTCCGTCTGATCAGGCGGGTTTGGCAATGCGACGAGGACACCTGACAGGGGCCGCTGGCGGCCAGGCGCTGAATGATGTGCACCCCTGGTTTAGGCTGAAAATAGGAGCAAGGCGGGAAAGGGGTGGGGAGGAAGAAAGAAAACAGAAGGGAAAAAGAAGCGCATACCACGCTACGATGCGGGCGCCCTGCTTGGAGAGGGCCCCGTTCCTGAGACACTCGCCAGGGCATAATAAAGGTGTTGGCCGCTGGTGCGTCTCGGGGAAGGTTACCGCTTCTCGCGCCCCGAGACACCGAGGCACTCGCGGCCGGTGGGGGAAAGAAGAAGCGATTATTAATATGTGCGTACCCCGGATCTGATCTGATCAATTGGATCATGATGAGCGCACGGACATAAGGGGCGACCGATTTCAGTCGAGCGACCGCGCGCGCTGCTTCTCGAAATAGCGGAACCGAAGTGGTGGTTTCAGGGGTTGAGACCTGGATTTGACGCGCGAACCGTCTCGCCAGAGGGGCGGCCTTTTTCGTGTTGCCCCATACGTACGCTCGCACACGCACGCTAAGGGGCGCACACGCGCGCGCACTCCGGACGACAAGGGCGCTCTACCAAGGCTTTGCTCCGATGACGAGGACGGCAACGTAACTTGGCGGACTTGCCGCGATGCCGGGCAAAACCACCTACTATCTATCTATGGAGTACGAGGTGTGGGCGAGCTCGGTCGTGCTGTGAAGCATCGTGAAGGTGTATTTAACACCCAGCGCCGCCGCCGACATCAGATGCAAGTTCGTTCCATCACTCTCACTCCAATCTCATTCGATCAACCTTGCATCTTCCATTCTCTTCCGCTGGTCGGTCTTTTGTTCTCTTCTTCACTCTCTAGACTTTTTTCATTAGTTGGATATCCTTCTTTTCCTCCTTTCTTTTCCATAACTATCGCCAATCTTTTCGTCAGTCTCAGAGACATCAGACCCCCAATTTCAAAATGCAGTTCTCTCTCGCCACCATCCTCGTCGGCCTCGTTGCCCTTGCCTCCGCTGGCGTCGTTGATACTGAGGGTGTCCGCAACGTTCCTCGCGATGCCGTCCTCATGACCCGCCAGAACCAGGGCCGCCCTGCCCCCAACGGCCAGTGCTGCGTCGCCGGCGGCAACCTCAAGCAGGATGCCTGCACTGCCAGCAACGGCCAGCAGGGCCGCTGCGTTCCCGGAGGAAACAACTGTACGTGAAAATCCCCATCCCACCACGATTTTCTCCTTTATAAGTAGCGGCATGGCTAACAGTGTGGGTGGTGAACCACCCGATGATAGGCGGAGGAGCGCTTAGCTGTGTTGCCCAAGGCAGCCTGACCTGCGATAACAACGTCATCGAGCGTGGAAACACCCTTTGCCGTGCCAACGCCCCGGCGGAGGCCTCTTTGATGGCGCCAACATCATCCAGAACCTTGGTCAGGCTTCGGTAAACTAGAAGAGATTTTGCGGCGGAAGGAAGCGGAGGGTGTGATGTACTAAGCGGCGAATGTCTGGTTATGAGTTATGAGGGAAACGAGGGCCTACGTCTAGATGATCCCAGTGTACGAAGACCAAAAGACCAATACCACCATAACTTCGGAAGACCTGCTTCGTTCTTGTTGTGAAGACCTGTGTGATGATGTCTAGACCAGAGACCAGAATCAGTATATTCTACAATGCCGACTAGTGTCTGGGCGCCAAGATAAACGGGCCATAGCCGTATGATCTTGCTTGGATCTGCCATCGCAACTCATACGTCAAAGAATGTGTATAAGAGCAAGGTAGCCTTAATAGCCTAGGGAGAGCCCGGATGTGACTTTCTGATCATCAACGTTACGGCCGACATATGCGGGAAAGCGTCACAAGAAGGCAAGGGGCCATGAAGCTCTGATTAGTGATGCGCGTCTTGAATTGACTCCTGGGGCAGCCACATGAATCTAGCCGCCTCGCTCGTTTTTGGACGACTGAGACAGGAACAGCACCACCGCAAATCGCACAAGCTCAAATGCAAGTACAAAAACCTCAAGGGGAGAGAAATATCAGGCTCGTGAAAGAGATAAATTCGCGCATTGGATGATCTCCTCGCAAGAATTTCTCTATCCGCCGAGGTGGGAAACCGAGAGAGGGTAGTTCGCGTGATCTGCGAGTCGAATCACGATGTACACGTTTTATCCAAAGGAGTGCCAAGACGAACCAAAAGAGAGGAAGAAGAAAAAAACGGACCACAAAGTCATGCTTGGGGAATCCCTCGAAAAAGATGGAGAATTCTTGGGCATGAGCCGCGGATCATTATGCACGGCGGATCCTCCACCACCCCGCCTCAAGACGCAAATCCCCAGCACGCGCTCTTTTCTTTTTGTCCCGCTCCCATCTCCGCGGCCATTCAGACTTTGCAGACAGCCTCGAGGCGCCACCCATCCGGGTCGACGACAAAAGCAGCAAAGTACGTGGGACCATAATGTTCCCGCAAGCCGGGAGCCCCGTCGCACGTCCCGCCGTTAGCGACCGCGCCCGCGTGAAAGCGCGTACCGCGTCGCGGGTCGGGGCGTTGAAGGCGATGTGGCAGCCCTTGCCGGGGGCCGAGGCGGCGTCGCCGTGCTGGAAGAGATTGACGGCTTCGTGGTCCGGGTCGGGGCCGTAGCCGAGGGTGGGGATCCGGGCGTCGGGCCCGCTTTCGTAGACGAGGTGGAGGTTGAGCGGGGCGAGGGCGGCGGTGTAGAAGAACTTGGCGGTGCGGATGTCGCGAACGCCGAGGGAGAAGTGGCCGATGATTTGGGTGTGTTCTTGGGACATGGTACCGCACTAGAAAACAAAAAGGACGGAAAAAATAAATTAGAAAGCAGGGCTTGTTGCGGGGAGAGTTGAATGAATGGCTGCGTGACGTTCGTATCTTTTTGTTAGGCAGAAGCGTGAATGAATTGTGGAAAATTGTGAGTTGGGATGAACTCCTTCTTCCCGTCTGTGGCTGAAGTCTTGGCTCTGAAATTCACGCAGGGCCATTGCTCGTCATAGTCACAGCATCTGATGCATTCCCTTCCTCCAGGGGTGAAAATATCGGATCGTATTGATCATTCGAAATTATGTTTATGCATTCATGTCTTTCGTCAAGTAGAACAAAAAAGAAAGAAAAAGAAAAACGCCTAAAAATGCGAGATCCTAGATAGATCCGTGGTATCGTCCAAGTCGTTTTACAGTTCGTACAGCCCTGGTCACCCTTCCCCGCCTCGCTTCCCTCCTCTTGCTCCGCGCTCAAACCCGACCAGCCCGCTTCCTCTGGGTCTTTTGAACTCGCTCTGCTCCCTGACATCCCGCGCCAATTTCGCCCTCCTCGCCGCCTTGGCCTCCGCAATCTCGCTCTCCTCGTCCTCCCGTCGCTGGGCGTTGCGCCGCTGCCTCTCCTCGAGGGTCATGGGCTCGGGCTCCGCGGTAGGGTTCCGCTTCTGGGAGGCGGCGAGCTGGGCCTTTTTCGCCGCCTCGGCCTTCTTCTCGGCCCTCTTGTTGCGCTTCTTCTGGTGCTTGTTCAGGACGGGGTCTTGGCGGCCTCGAAGGCGTCGCTGCCGCGCTTCTCGTGCACCTCCTCGCGGCCCTGGGCCTTGAGGGCGTCGTTGAACTGGCGGCGGCGGTGGTGGGCGTCGCGGGCCTGCTTGGAGAGGGGCAGGCCGAGCATCTCGACGCGGCAGCGCTGGCCGTCGCGCAGGAGGAGGGCGGGGACGCCAAAGGCGGCGAGGTCCATGGCGATGCGGAGGGGTAGTTGGCGCTGGAGGTCCAGTCGCCGTGGTCGATGGTGGCGGAGGGAGGCGGAGCTGCTCCCAGAGGGCGATCTTGACGTGGACGCAGTAGTTGGTGCGGAAGCGGGCGACGATCTCGGTGAGCTTCTTGTCAAAGGTGGCCTCGTGCTCGATCTCGAAGAGGGGCTTCATGGGCACGGGCTGCTGGATCTTGATCCAGAGGGTGGGCTGGGTGTACATGAGGTCGGCGGTGTTGTAGCCGCCGACGCGGGCCGAGGCCATGCTGTACCGCCAGTCCTCGAGGGCGGTCATGGTGATGGACTGGAGGTGGGGCAGCTGGTAGGGGATGCGCTGGATGCGGTGGCCGTGGTGGGGAGGTAGCCGTGCTGGATCTGGAGGGTGCGGAGGTTCTTGCAGGTAAAGAGGCAGTCCCAGAAGCTGTCGTAGGCGCACTCGGCGGTGCTGAGCTCCTGGTCGCCGAAGACGGCGAGGTGGCGGATCATGGCGAGGGTCTCGTCGCACAGGACCTTGCGGACGCCGTAGATGAGGGACTCGTCGTCCTCGGCGGTGAGGATGTTCTTGGACCAGAGGTAGGGGCTGGCCTCCTCGTAGATGGTGCGGTTGCACAGGAGGAGGGGAGGCCGAGGCGGCGGGAGCAGGGGCACAGGGCGCCCCAGACGATGATGCCGCCCTTTTGACGACGGGTGTAGTGGAGGTCGAAGGGGGCATCTGGACGACGCTGGTGCTCACGGGGCAGTACTTGCAAAGGCGTTGTGGCGCCTGCGCCACCGGGGGCTCGACGAGAGCGAACTCGTAGATGAGGTTGCGCACCTCGCGGGGAGGTCGAGGAAGCGGGAGGGACCCCGGACTTGGGTCTCGGTGAGGGGGATCTCGACGGGCCGGCTGGCGCGGGGGCGGCGATGGTGAGGGCGAGGGGAGTAGAGGATGCCATGGTCTCGTGTTGTTCGTTTGTCCCTTTTATTTATTTCTTGGGTGGTCTTTTTTTTGGGAATTTCTTTTTCTCTCGCTTTATATTCGGTGGGAGAGAAATGATTTAATTTGGGGAGAGCGTGCAACCGGTGGGGGTGATGGATTGAAGATGGACCGGAGGGAGGTGGGATTGTTTGGCTAGCGACGGCGTTCTGGGGAAACCCCGTTCCTCTTTCCTACTGAACCAGTAAGTGAATTACCTGGTTGGGAAACTTGCTAGTGAGATGAAGATGATGTTTCCAAGCTCTGTTTTCTTGTCGAAGGCAGACCTCAGGCTCTAAATAGCTGCCGGTGGCAGGGCGAGCACACGCGATTACGATGCGCTTCGTGGATGGGAGAGATGCGGGAGACTGGTGCCTTTTGCCAAAAGGAGTTTAGCGGCATGTCGGTAAGCTCGAATGAGATTGGGCCCCTCCGTGGGGCTGAGTCACAGGCCGGGTGGGACTTTTTAGGCACCCGGGCCCGACGCAGAGGAGCTTGCGGCGTTGTGGAAATGAAGGAAAGAATGTGGCTGTGAAACGAGAATGGCCCTTGCTTTCTTGCTGCAGTGATTTGACCAGAGTGTCTCGTGACTTGGAAGAGACAGGGCCAGGAGGGAAAGCTGACAGGCCGTTTGTTCGTTCTTGCGTCCGTATCTTGTCTAGCTCCAGCCACAGTTGGGAAATTTTGTGGCATTATGGCGCAGCCCCTCCGCCTGAGGCAGGTGAGATTTGCTGACAAGGGCCTGGCCGGACCACTCAGTCCCAGAGCTGGCGGCGCTGTTCGTTGTGGCGACCCGTTAAAATTGAGTCGTTTCTTTCCCCTGGAGCAGGTGGGGCCAGCGTCAATACCTCAAGACTTGGCCAAGTGGAGAAGGATCCAGGGCTGGGTGCAGGTTCCGGTGCAGCGCAGAACTGTAAAAAACAGAAGCTCATGTAATTTGCGTCGGAGCTTCCACTGCGTGCGGGACATGGTCGAGTGAGGGCTGGCATCGTGTCCCTCCCCGTACCTTCGCCAATTAATTACTTCACCACACAATTGCGCCTCTCCCTGTTCTCCCCCAGAGCCCCTCTCTCTCTCCTTGAACAAAACAATAGTTCCCGTTGCAGGTAGGAAGGATAGAGTCAAATGAGGAGACACTCACAAAACACAGTGCACATGGAGATTTGATGATATAAAACAAAGAACGACTCGATTAATGTTTGACGAAAAATTTTTTTCGAAGAATGGTCTAGTTGGTGTGCATAATCGTGGTATAATCGTAATGTCTAAAACTCTAATAGCAAACATGACAAAGAGAATTAACAAAGGGAAAACGTCAAATTATGGTATCCAGTTGCGCTCTTCATCCCCTCTTCGCTGCCCCCAGAAAAATCAGACGCTACTCCCAGGCCTCCCCGCCTCCTTTCCCCGACGGGCCATTGCCGGCTTAGATCCTGGCCGGCCTGGTGTGGTGCCTGCGGCCGTACCTTCGTCCGGAAGTGCGGGTGGTTCCGGCACCGCCAACGCGGCTCCTGCGACGGCCGCAGTAGCCGCAGGTGAGGAAGGAGATGATGGCATTGCAGATGCTGACGACGCCGTTGATGATGGCGTGGAGGATACCTCCGATGCTGCTAACGATGGTGCTGAGGGCTCGACCGATACCGCGGAAGACGGATTGAATCTGTGTGAGAAAACTGTTAGTATGCGTGCGTCTCGACAAGGAGGAGACGCGATTAATTGAGTCGCAAGGCGAAGTGTTACTTACGCAAGAGACGACGGCACCCATGATGATGGTAGTGTTGGTTTGTTGTGGGGTTTAAGTTTAAGTTTGTTTGTTTGTTTAGTTGGTGGATCACTATTGATCGAAAGCTTTGAGAATGTTTGAATCTGGTGAGAGATGGTTGATGTGTGGATGTGTTGATGATTTAGAATTCCAGACTGACTGCATTCTCGAGCGGGAAGCCATCATATTTATTTTCGTTCGGGTCGCATCAAATTCATCAAAGAGATGCAAACCTCTCCGGCCATGTCCAGGAACCACTGACCTCATTCTCCCAAAGGAGGCATCACACCCACACACAACAATCAAAACCTCTCCACTCAAGGTGTACACCGGCACACACACCTTACGATACGTCGAATCGATAGCACGAGCATTTTTCCCACCCAGTTTTTTTCTGTTCCTTCGTCTTTTCCCTGCCCGGATATTCAAACCATGGCCCAAACAGCCCCATGCGAAGGGCCGTGATAGGTCGAAACGATGGCGCTGGGCGTTTTACCTCGCTGGGACGTCATAGGAACGTGGGGCTGACGATGAAGTTTTGGGTGTCCGTGGCATGACGTCACCCGATTTTCCCCCACAACCCACCGCGCCTGACGTCAGTCCGGTCGCGTCCGGTCGCGCCTGCTTCGCATTTTGCTCGGAGCTGATTGCCCCGTCGTACCTAAAACAAAAACAGAAAAAGAACTCCCTTGTTAGAAATCAAGCATAATGAAGTAACCAACGGGGAGGGGTTTTCAATGAACTACCTTCCCAACCCTCCAATCAATTCCGCAAGCGGAAAGCCGCGCAGACGCGTGCAAGATCTGCGCTGGGTGGTCATGACTGGTCATGGCGGATGGCTGGATTTGGGGGCCAGGGTTCCATTGGAAAATCCCAAGAGATTGCAAAGTCCGTCATGGTTCGCATGCCATGAACAAACGTCACTGCTTGGATTCTTGTCCGGAGGGGGCAGATCAGTCACGCTACTCCATTTCTTCCGTCACGATTGGGATCGACGACTTTGGAGGCCCCCTCATGCCTACATGTAGGCTTTTAGTTTCTTGGGTTTGGAATGACAGGCTCTAGCACTTTCTACCGGACCTGAATAAGCCTGAAAGTGAGCTTCCTTCCTTCTAGCTAGTTCCTTGCGAGGGACTGTCAAGTTGGACCGATTCGGTCATCTAATTCCACCACATCATTGATCTATTCTCGTGGAACAAGCTGGGCTCGTCAGCCCACGCCAACCTCCTCATTCTTCCCTCTTTCACAAACAACCTTTTGGACGCCTTGGGTCCCAGAACCTGCAGCGTGATATTAATGTGTTGTCGTCTTAATTACGTCCCGTCGGCAAGGGCCGTTGTCCGCCTCCGTGGTGCCAGACCCTGCATCGCCAAGATTTGTTATCGGAGGAAGACGAAGAGAATTTTTGGACTCAACTCGAAATAGTTAGGAAAAAAAGTATCGTTGTCGCAAGGTGAATGGCTCGTGAGGCAATTCGGCTCCCGGAGCAGAATGTCCGTGCTATCTTGCCCCCGTGGGATGTCCCGCCGAAATGGTTCGACAAGCTCCCCGGAGTGAGACACCGTTTCTGGTCTTGGTGTCCCGCTGGCGGCTGCCAAACCAGAAGTTTTCCGCGCCAAAGGTAGTCGGGCAATTTTGCTCGCACGTGTCGGGCACCCAAAACCCCGGGCCCAGCCAAAGTTTAAAATTTTTTTCCTTTTTTACTCACGGCGAGCGATCGGTAGGAGGCAAGGTTTTCTAGGTCGAGATCACCAGTTGACAGGGCCCACTAACCTTGTCCGCGTCACGGCTAGCTTCGCGCCACACGCGTGCGCATAACCTGTCAGTCTGCTTGGAAACTCTAAATTTGCCATCTCTTGCGAACCTAGGGAGGCCTTAGCCCTACCACCGGCTAGTGGCGATCCAATGCATTCTTCATGGACACGGTATTGGACGAACTTGGTTCGAATTCACTAGAGCTGCAATATTCGTGCAATAGCAGAGGCCAATATACATCCAACTGAATAGTATGGGTATCTGCGATATAGAGATGAGCCAGATTGCCACCCTGCCAAGTTCTCGCCAGCTAAGGGCGCCATCCCTGCTACCTGAACATTGAAAACAGCTTTTCTGTCGTGTTCCCTCAACAACGTCACAACGCCCACTCCTTCGGTCACTGCACTATCTCCACCTTTACCTTTTCATCCTCGCCCTTATCAACGTCTCCCTCCTCCTTTCCAGAGTCCGTGCCCTCCCTAGCTTCCTTGAGCTTCTGTTCACGGTTGTACAAATACGTTCCCAAGAGGAAGAAGAAAAGACAAAAGGAGACGAAGAACAGGTTGACAATATACCCCTTCTTCCAGCGAGGCGCTTCGACCACCGGGAAAACGACGATGGGGTAAAAGGCGAGGACGGCAAAGCCCAAGGTCTTGTTTCGTTAGTGACAGTCCTTTGTTTAAATCGTCAAGTTTTGGGTTAACATCATCTACGTACCAATAAGCTTCCAGTCGCAAAAGCTCTGGCTTCAGCATCATCTCGGAGCCAGTAGTTGACTGTCGGCACTAATATGGGCGTGGTAGCTGCACTGACACCCAGCAGATAGTATGACGCGACTAGTGGATTTCCGTCACGTTAGTTGGCTTACCACAAAAACCCAGAGTTCCTGGGCTTATTGGAAAAAGAAAATCTTACAATGAAGTCCGGTCGGGATATTCCAGATAATCAGGCAAACATTGGCAAAAATGAAGATGGCCTGCACAATGCTAAAAATGATCCAAGTCGGGTACACCATGCACAGCTGGCCCGCGAGAAGGCCAGCCACGATGGAAACACCCATGGCACCCGTGGGAATCGTGTTGATCTGCGGCACGGTATAGGTCCCGTGCTTGGCCGCCTCGTCCTTGAGCCAGAGCCCCATCTGGCCGTGGGGGTAGCTGCTGGACAGGAAGAAGACGTAGGCGAGGGCGCCGACGTACCAGTGCCAGCGGCAAAGAGGCGGCGAAACATCTTCTTGGACAGGCGCTTGGGGGACTCGACGCCGATGGCGCTCATGCGCTCGCGGGCGAGGACGTGCTCGCGCTCGGACATCCACCAGATGCGCTTGCTGTCGGGCATGCCGGGGAAGATGAAGTAGCCGAGCAGGGCGAGGGGCAGGCTGATGACGCCGTCGATGATGAAGAGCCAGCGCCAGCCGGCCATGCCGTGGACGCCGTTGAGGTTGGTGTAGGCCGCGGCTTGGAGGTATCCGCCGAACATGACGGCGACGTTGTTGGAGCTGGCGGTGCGAACGAGTTAGTTGGGGAGTGCAGACCGGCAAATTTGATGGAGATGGAGTGGGCAAAGAGAGGGGGTACAGATTTCACCTACATGAACCAAACGCTGGCGCGCTTGAAAATCTCATCTGGCTTGTACCACGACGCCAAGATGTAAAGACTCCCCGAGGCTACGGGGGTCTCCAACACACCGAGGAGGAATCTGGTGCCGTAGATGTCCGCTGCCTTGCTGACGCGAGATTGCGCAAAAGTCAGGATGGCCCACGCCACCTCCATTGTGGGGAGGAACCATCGAGAGTATTGAGGCCGAGATAGGATGAGTAGCGACGGGATCTGACAGATGATGTATCCCACGTTATAGAATGCTGGAAAGAGAGAGTACCTGGAGGTTGATTATCGTGATTAGATATTGTCGTTTCAACATGGATAAATCTGTATAAGATAGACCTACTCGTTGCCGTTTAACTCAAGCTCTTCCTTCATACCGCTGACGTAGGCATTGTTGACACTTAATGGACCAAGTTAGCGGGAATGATCTGTTTCAGTCGAAGATGGGCCTTCTACGTACTTGCTTTGATCCAGCCCTTTGGTAAGTCGAAATGATTAGTTTACGCTACCATCTCGGAAGGAGACATAATGCCAGCTCGATTTGACTTACATTTGAGAAAGACTAGGTACGGCAATTTTAATAAACAAGAAGATGGTACAGGGTAGGGAAGTGGCTGAAATCTTACATGCGATACAGGTAAACGTAAGTAGAAACGTATCCATCTTTCGGAGGAGCTTTCGCTCCTCAGCCGGGTAATGCGATGGATACCAGTTGAACATGTAAATCCACGCCACCCAGTGGGATCGTGCCTTGGGCCCGGCCTCTCGTTCCTCCACCTCAAGATCCGGGGCCGGCGCCGCCGCCACCTGCTGGTCAGGCCTTGTTTCCGCCATCGGTGGGATAAAAGTATCTCCCTCGTCGGGGGTTCGGAGAGTAGGAGGATGGCAGACGATATTTCGGCCTCTCGTTGGTGCACGCTGGTGGAGGGGAGGGAAGCTCAAGGAGAGATGCGGAGCTGTCAGAGGGGAAGACAGCTATCAAGCGCAGATAATAACTGAGAGTCTTTTGGGGGAAAGGGACGCGCCTACGGCGACTTTTTCTTCTTCGTTAAACTCGCGCACTTTATCTACAGTAGCATACAGTTTAATCTACGCCGTGATAAATTGCTGGCCCCTCGCAAAAGTGCTTACGGCCCGTTCCAAAAGCGGCGAGTGCAGAGATCCTGCCATTCGGTCGGCAGATATATCAAAATTGATCCATTGGCACGGCGGTCCCCTCCATTTTCCCCTCCCCCAGCCGAGTGCAACTCGCGACCACATGAGCCCATGCGAGTAGAGCTTCGGGGTATCTCGTACCAGATATTTTGTGAGAATACTACAGAGGGCGCACCGAGATTCCAACGTTGACCGGCCGCCCACTCGAACCGCATCAATGAGAGGCGGTACCCGGTTAAGATGCTCCTCCCCCACCCGGCCGATCGCCCATGTAACGCTACCGCGCCCAACGCACTTGTTTGCGCGCCCCCGCGATGTCAATTGACCACCCAATGCAACCGCCGTGGGATGAACCCCGCAAATTCTCCGCGGCTGCTACTCCAACTTTTGATTCTTACCCCAGCATCAAGCTAGGGTCTGAACTGGCGCGCAAATCCTGAGAGCGGTAGAGAGACGCACCAGCCCGAACGTGGAAATAGAGGGACGGTCTTACTGGGGGCCCGATGCCGGATTCGAGTGGAGGATTGAAAAATGTGTGATGAAAACAAGGACGTTGAGTGTTATGCATGCACTACGAGAGGAGGTGAATGTGTGATAGTTGGAGAGAGCAGTCGTTAAGGATCTAGCTGCGTCGATCACTTGACCCTTGAACAAACTCTGAGTAGTAGTTCACGATCTGGTTTCGTTGCCGGCAGAGGAAGAGGGACGCTAACAAAAGTCCATGTATCTACATAGCAGCTAGCTATCCTCCGGCCACCAATTGTATAAAATCGCCTTGGAAAATGGTCGTATCGGGTTCCGATGACACTACGGGGAGTCGACCCACCGCTCCCGCAAGGATTTACCTTGGAGTTGGCGGCCGCCGTTCGCGTCCCGCGACACCGCGAAGATCTTGGAAGTCAAGACTATCTCACATCCTTCTGCCAAATCTCTGGCGGAGGCCTGCGCTACGGGAATCAATGTTCTTGGGTAGGAGAGGTTGGTGTTTGCCTCGGGTTTCATCGCGGAGGTGGTTATTGCGAGGGGCGAGCCGGAAGTGGAGCCCGCTACGATTCCGGATGCACCAGCCTGGGACAATATCACTGCGCTGCTCTCGGTTTGGATAATGCCTTCCGTGAGGCCCAAGGTTGAGGCGTCTGTAAGATCCGCTGCGTTTATGTCCGGCAGCGCCAGAGTGTTGGCTTTTGACGCCCGTTGATAGCGAACCCCCTTCGGCAAGACAAAGACATCGTATTGGGGTATTGAGACGTATGCGGTGGATTCTCACATGCCAGTCCGGCCATCTATCCGATGGCGGTATCAGCGTGGTGGATATCCGAACCGAGCGATCAGCCCAAGGGTACCAGTCAACGGATGCGGTGACGATCCTCTCCGTCTTTCCAGAATCTGCGTCATGTACCAAGGCGTCCGCAAAGGTTGGCTCCCCGCCTTCCACTTGGACACCCACGTCTCCTTTCCATCCTTGCTGAGCCAGAGGCTGCTATCCGGGGCAATCTGCTCGAGGAAGGAATTGCCCGTGGGCACGGAAAAGGAAAAGGCGGACGAGTAGGCGAACTTGCAATACTTGGCTTGCGCGGCCTTGATGGGGTTCCCGCCGAGGAACTGGGCGGGGGAGGTGGAAGTGGTGGTTCCCGAGGGGTGGTTGCAGAGGATCTGGCGCGGGGCGGGGACGAGGGCCTGCGCGGGGGCGGGGAAGTGGTAGGGGGCTTCGGGCTCGGTCCAGAAGGGGGACGAGGGGGCGAGGCCGACGACGAGGAAGGCTTTGAGGCACCAGTAGACGGATTGTGGGGAGTTGTAGTCTTCGGTGAGGTACATGGTACTTTGAGACACGCGATTTTGTTAGCTTAGAGACCTGGAGGCGGGGGAAGTGCCGGACCTGAATCAGTCGCGCAGAAGGGTATGGGTCGTGTGACTTACGGGTACTGCCAGCCAAAGTTCAACGTCCCGTCGCCATAAAATATGTCCTCCGAATGCTTCGCCCACCACCTAAGGTGGCGTAACAGATACCCTTTGGCGGCACCAGGCTCGGCCAAGCTCCCGCCGAGGTCCCACACTTCGGCGAACCCGAGAGCCGCCCAAAAGGCTCCGCACGCGAACCGATACGTCAGGGACCGGCCAAAGGGGATGACGGCGCCGTCAGCGCCAAAATAACGGGAGAAGCCGAGGGAAAAGCTGCGGGCTTGCACGCGGTATCTTTCAGCCCGGTCTGGGTCAATATCGGCAGCGAAGCGCACATAGAGCAACTGGCTGAACTGGATCGCGAAGCTCCCCGAGTAAAAGTCGGCGCTGCGGCCGGTGGGGAGCCTTCCAGCGATGCCCGTCTCCCGCAGAATCTCATACTCCTTTTCGTCATCGTCCGGGTGGCGCCAGATACCATCGCTAGACCATCCGTCCGTGAGGTAAAAGGAATCGAGGGCGCGCATGTCGTCGTCAAGCTGGGCGCGGATCTCAGCCTCAGGCACGCCGCAGACCTTGATGAGGGCGAGGCTCACGAAGACGCGGAACCAGAGCCAGTTGATCGGCGGCATCTCCTTGCGCTGCATGCGCATGAACCAGGACACGAGGTTGGTCTGCGTGGAGTCGGCGAGGCGCTCCCAGAGCTTATCGCGCGGGGTGGCGAGCAGGGCAAAGGCGAGCATCTCTGCTTCTACCATGCGCTGGTCCATGTCTTTGATGTCGCCCCAGTACTCCGGGTGGTGCGGGTCCGTGCCGGCGGCGAAGCCTTCGATCCAGGCGTCGTAGAGCGGCGGGTCGACGTCACCGCCGAGGAGGAGGGGCGCGATGGCCCATAGTGGACGGGCGAAGCCTTCGAGCTGGGCGGCGGTTTCGTCAAAGTGTGTGCCCGTCGAGACGGGGAGTCGGATTCGAGCTTTGCATGGTGAGAAGTAGGTTGTTAGGGGCCGCAAGAGGGATTTGGCGGCGTGGATCACGTCGTCGCGAGTGACGAGGGGGTTATCTGAGAAACCCGGTAGCGGAGGCATATTTGGTAGGGAATCGTAGCCTTGTGAAGGCTCCAATAATTCGAGATGTAGGGTCAAGCTACCGGGGTAGAGTGTGGCTGGCTAGCTTGCGGTCCAGCTCCCCCAACTGGGTGGTGGATGGGGAAAGCTCATAGCGTATGTGTGTAGCTTCCAACATTGTGAGGAAATGGCGCGCGAGTAAGGGTCTGATCTTCGCCTATTGGAGAGAAATGAAATGTCAATTCGAATGGTCGACTCGCTCCCCACAGCGACGGATGTACATTTCGTCTGCTGTACCGGAAGCGGTGCTCCTCGGTCGGAAGCGCACCAGTCAACGGCGAGACCCGAATAAAATTTCCAGAGTTGCATGCTCGCGACATCCAGACTTACCGCATGACCACCACCAAAGAGGAGGATCAACCCAACCCCGCTACGGCCTAGAAGCTTCAAAGGTTTGCTTGTCTCCTCACGGTATTGCTTTTCGGGAACCAGAAGTCATCAAGTTTAGAAAGCTTTCAACGAAAGAGCTGTGAGGATGCTGTGCTGCTCTTAAAGCCTTTTAGCATTGGACGAATCACTACCCAATATAATGAGTAGGACCACTACAAAATACAGCGGAGAGCATTGGCAGGCCTGGGAAGCAAACATATTAAACATTTATAGAGCTATACATTCAATCTACTGCCCGAAGGGACGGCAGGATGCGTTGCGGGATCGCAGGTGCTACATGCAAAAGGTCCGTGCATGGGCCAATATACTTGATGATCGACAAATTGAGCCGAACCCGCTTGCTGCGATGTTGCGTAGTATCAATTGATGGTCCAAGTGGCCACAGCATGCCATGGTTGTTCTCCAAAGCTTTGGAAGTGGGGGAACAACGGATGTGGCGTGCGCGATTCGGGCCATCACAAGCCGCGTTCACCATCTGATGACTGGACGATAGACTTTCCCGTCCCTCCCAGACAGCGAGATCAGATCGAGTGTGAGACAAACCGCGCTGGTGTATGCATTGTCTGTGTATGTGAATGTATGCGGCTTTTCAACATCGACCTGAACCAGCAACCACGACTACGGTAAAAGTCCGTACATTACACTCGAAAGCTGAGCTGGCTGCAAGATACATTTGATTTCTGCACCCACTGCCCCTCGTCTTGCCTTTCTTTTCCCCTCTACGTCATGTCGCGGGATCTCAAAACGAAGCTCGCCGAGCTGTATTCGGAAAATGCCGTGGCCAAAATACTGAGGACCGCCACGGTCTTGCTGGAGAACAATGTGAGATCCTTCGCCAGTTAGCCGTAGAATGCCTCCGACCTGCCAGAATCCAAGAAGTCCTATGACTCTGTTTCTTCTTGCTAACACATGAGCTGCGCGCTCCGCCTAGAATCCCCCGACCCGATATCCCGAATGGGTGCCCCAGTCCGGCGAAGAAGAGGGCCGGTACCAGCTCCAGCCCATCGATTTCTGGACCTGCGGGTTTTCCCGGGCACCATCTACTCGCTGCTCGAGCGGTCGATAAGATACCCCCAAAGCTTCCAGAGCCATGGGGCTGAGCTGGCCACCATCCGGGATAGTCTGGAAGCGCTGGGTCGGACCTGGTCGGACCCGCTGCACGGTCAGGCGCGGCGACATGACATCCACGACCTCGGTTTCATGATCCAGCCGCATATGCGGGCCCGGTGGGAGCTATATCATGACACTGAGGCGTTTGAGACGGTCAAGGTCGCGGCCGAGAGTCTTTTGGGCGATTCAACTCTACCATTGGCGCGGTCCGCTCGTGGGACTACTTCAACTGGCTTGAGGGCATAGACCTCGTCGACATGGATGAGAATTTTGTCGTCATTGTGGACTCCATGTGCAACATGGACTTGTTGTACTACATCGCCGCCCATACCGGTCGCCAGGAGATCGCCAACGTGGCCACAACCCACAGCAAGAAGCTCCTCGCAACACATCTGCGCAAGGAGTCCCGAACGAGACCCGGCTACGATGGCACCCTGTACAGCACGTGCCACGTCGTCAATTTTGGTCCCGACGGGCAGATCAAGGGGCGGTACTCGGCGCAGGGCTACGACGTCTCGTCCACGTGGAGCCGCGGACAGGCGTGGGCTATTCTCGGGTACGCGCAGTCATATTTATGGACCAAGGACCCCAAATTTCTGGATGCGGCCCGTGGCTTGGCGGAATATTACACCCTCCGGATGGAGGAGGCGCCGGCCGAGGTCGAGGTTCCGAGAAAAGGAGGCAAGGAAGGCGAGACGGTGGGGCGCTACGTGCCGCTTTGGGACTTTGACGCCCCGATCGAGGATCCCTCGAACCCCGTCCGCGACACCTCGGGTGCCATGGTCGCTGCCAACGGTATGCTCGTGCTCTCGCAGGCCCTCGCGGGGCTAGGTCTTCATAGCGAGAGCGCGCGGTATCTCGAGGACGCTCTCCGCATCGCGCAGGACGTCGTCGATCTCTCCGTGTCGCCCGAGAGGCGGGCTTCCGGTCGAGGCCGACGGAAGCCTGGGGTTTACGGGCACCGAGGGAGTGGCCAGGTTTGATGCTGTTCTGAGGGATGCTACGATTGGGAACCAGAAGTTGTCGTATGAGAAGTGGACGAACCATGGCGTGGTGTATGCGGATTACTACTTTGCCGAGTTTGGGAACCGACTTCTTCGTCTGGGTCTGGTGTAACTTGATACGTAGATAGAGGAGGAACTAGATAGGTGTGTCTTGACGTGTGTCTTGACACATCTCGATGCAGCATGATTCAACCAAATTGTCACACTACGTGATCACTGAGCAAAATGACTCTCCTGCACGGCTTTTTATGGTACAAGCGACCTTGACCCGGCGCTTATCATTTTTCCTTCACCTTTGTAGTTTTCGTTATCCTACTCCCTTGAACGCCTCTCATTCCACTCCCGATCAAACCGCGTAAGCCCCTCTGCGCCGTCGGCACACAATCCAGCGCCTTGATGGACGTGCGCCCCACTCTCCCCACCATGAAGATGACGGCCTCCGCCAGGTCCTCGGGCACAAGGGGCTCGTACCCGTAGAAGAACTCGTCCATGGCGTCCTTGTCGTACTCGACGCGCTGGAGGTGGAAGTGGGTGGCGACGCAGCCCGGCCGCAGGACCAGGACGCGGATGTCGGAGCCGGCCGTCTCCATGCGCAGGCTGTTGGAGAAGGCCTCTAGGCTGGCCTTGTTGGCGTGGTAGACGGCCTCGCCGTCAAAGGGGGCACTCGAGCCCCGTGACAGAGGAGACGTTGAGGATGGTGCCCGTCTTGCGGGGCCACATGGTGCGGTTGAGGACGGAGTGGGTCGTGTACATGACGCCGGCGACGTTGGTGCCGTTCATTTGGTCGATTGTGGCGATGGGGAGTTCCCAGAAACGCGCGGGGGCTCCGAGTGCGAGACCGGCCTGTTGGGGGCGCGGTTTGCGGTTAGTACGGCGAGTGTTCTTCGCTTGGTGGAAGGATGGGGGCATACGAACGTTGTTCACGAGGATGTCAATCTGGCCAAACTTGGCCACGGCAACTTCGACTGCCTTGTCGACGGCGGCGGCATCTTGGATGTTGACGGCTTGAATCAAGGTCCGTACGCTCGACGCTTGCTCTTTGATTCTCGCCTGTGCTTCGAGCAGTTTGTCCTGCAACGGTAGTCAGTACAGAGAATCATGGAAGTGTCCTTTGGGAGAAAGTTTTCACGTACCTCGCTTCGAGAAATGAGGATGAGGTTGGCGCCCTCCTTGGCGAGGGCAAGGGCTATTGCCTCGCCGATGCCCATTGAAGCGCCGGTCTATGATGAAGACAATATGAGTATCACGCACAGATTGATCTTGTTTGGGCTGTCTAGATCAAAACCTACAATCAGCGCCGTTTGTCCATCGAGACAGCCCATGACGGCGATTGGGTAAGGGCGGGAAAAAGTGGTGACGTCAGATAGAGGCGAGAGAAAAATATCGAGAAGAATCAAGTGGCTCGCTCCACCCTCACTTTGAAGACGTTATCTTTTTTCCCGCGGTTTCAAGGCGGTTCTTATAATTGTCACGGAGTGGAGAGTGGGAAAGAAAGGAAACCATCCATGCATCTATTGATAATCAACTTGGCCGTGGAGGGTCTAGGCTACAAAGCAGACGACATCATGCAGACGAAGGTGGGGACTCAAGTTATGGTAGTCATCGAACTGATATGATAATAGGAAGATGCCAGATCTGGATAGCGGGGATGGCTAGCGCCAAACGTGCTTCCCTCCATTGTTAAGATTTGGTATTAAATCCATTCTAAAAGTCTATAATTTAACCAAGGCAGATGGAACATCAGATCCATACAAAGGAAACATTGGTTTAAATCTCTGCTAACTTCCAGCGGCGGAATAAATGGACCGGGAACGGGTCGGGAAGCGCAATTACACGGTCTTGTGGATTGTCGAGCCTACACATTCACCGAGTAGAGCCCCAGATGTCGCGCAGCCCGGACGTATCAAGGATAGCGGGCTTTGGTTCGGGGCCGTGAATGGCGGAGCCGGTTCCGGCACTAGCACTCTTAGGTGTAGGTGGGCTCTGGGGCCTTGGCAGGCTTAACCCTAACACATCTTGACGCAACATAATTCAATCAAATTGTCCGTGACACTGCGTGGCAGCTGAGTGAAAGGACTGTCCTGCATGGCGTTTCATGGTACAAGCCACGCTTGACCCGGAGCTTATCATTTTTGTCTTTACCTTAGAGCTTTTATTATCCTGTTCCATTCACTATTCCCTTGACTATTTCCTTACACGTCTCTTATTCCACTCCCGGTGGGTTGGTTGTAGGTACGGTAGGGTAGGGTAGGGTAGGGTATTCTAATCTTATTCCACTCCGGATCAAACCGCGCAAGCCCCTCTGCGCCGTCGGCGCGCAATCCAGCGGCTTGATCGGCGTGCAGCCCGCCCGGGCCACAACGGAGATGGAGATCTCGGCCAGATCCTCTGGCACGGGGGTCGTACTCGTACAAAAACTCGTCCGTGGCATTGCGATTGCATTCGACGCGCTGGAGGTGGAAGCGGATAGGGACGCAGCCCTATAAAAGCGGGGTAGCTCTTAGAAAAGCGGGGCACGCGGAGAGATCCTGGATGGATGTTGAGTTGAATTCTAGAAGCGTTAGCGACCCTCGGCGGCTAAACTACTTCGTAATTGTCTTGTTCGTCGCGCCGTCCCTACACGGACACTGACCCACCTCCACCCTATAATGGACATTACCGTATATGAGGCTGCTCGAAAGGGCGATGTCCAGTCTTTGAAACATCTCTTTACCGGTGACTCCGCGGTTGACGTGAACCAGAGAGACGGTAATGGCCTCTCAGCACTAATTCATGCGGTGAGAAATCACAAGTCGGAAGCGATCCGGTTTCTCCTCCAGCAGCCTGGCGTCGACGTAGATCTCGCCGATACCAAAGGTCAAACTCCCTATGGTATGCAGCCTTTAGTGTGAGTGAAGATGGCGTGTGGCAGCTAGTACGTGCAGGTGCTAGCGTTACAGCGGCAAGCATAGACGGAGATACACCGCTCCACGCGATTTGTCGGCAGGGAGTCCGGACGGATGCCACTGTTCGCATCATCAGGTCGCTGGTCACTCACGGCGCTGATCCATATTCCGTGAACCATCATGACAAGACTCCAATCTCGATTGCAAAACGCCGAATAAAAAAGTCGAGCTTGGCGCCGGTGTCCTCCTTGAGCTGCAGTCCTTCAACCATCGGAGACGCATCATCATCTGCTGCGATGGGACTTGGAACGATAGAGAGGCCGAGCAGCCGTTTACAAACGTCACGAGGATCCTAGATTGCATAGATACTGCCGGATTTGGAGATCATCCAATGCAACGATTCGAGCAGTTGGTTTACTACATGGACGGCATTGGTACTGGTACCACGTGGGTGGGGGCTAGGGTTGATGGCGCCTTTGGAACAAGTAAGAAACGTCCCTCCTCAGGTTTTCCATACATGGAGTGTATAGAGGCCATGTTGGTTAATTTGCCTCTAACTCGACGACTACCAAGGTATTGCGCGTAAGATATGCGAAGCATATCGCGTCCTTTGTTCTTTGTATGTCATGTCAGCGGACCAAATCGTCCTGATCGGGTTCTCTCGCGGTGCCTTTACCGCGCTATGCCTCGCCAACTTCGTCAATGACGTTGGGCTGCTTCAGCCAGACTCCATGAACGAGGAATTGCCTAAACTATTTCAACTCTGGTATACCGGGAAACACAAGGTGACTCCTGAAACACCTCGGGAGACTACGGAGCTAGAGACTCTCTGCACAGATCTTGCAAAACAGGGGCGGCTTCGAAAGTCAATCAAGATCAACGCACTGGCCCTCTGGGATACCGTGAAGTCGTTAGTAACACTACAGGGATGGATCCCCTTCTCTAAAAAGCCGACAGACACGCCATTTCACTTCATCAACGACCAGGTGCCTCAATGCGTCCACAGAGCGTACCAAGCCCTTGCGCTGCAGGAAGCACGCAAGGACTTCCAACCTCTCGTCTTGACAAGCTCCAACGAAGACCAATTGAAACAATGTTGGTTTCTTGGCAGCCATTGTGATATCGGGGGCGGTGACGGAAACAATGGGCTAGCGAACATTGCCCTTTGCTGGATGATTGCGCAGCTGCAAGGGAGCATCGAATTCAAGCAGGTAGCAACCTGGGACTCCACTGGCGGCGGGAGGGTGCTCGACGGCGCTACTATACTAGAGGGTGATGCTAGGAACGATACTGGGGACTCGGCTGAGCTTACCCCGAGTTGGACAACCACAATTTCCGGCTACCTGAGTTACAACTCGCTCACCTGGTTCTGGGTCCCACGGGGATCCGTAGTTCGCCGGATCGGAGGCCGACGGACGGTAACTGGGACAACCACCATTGACAGTTATGAGAGAATTCACTTCTCTGTTCAAGCTCTGATTGCGCTGCAATCACAACAATGGAAACTGTCAGTTCCATCGTTGGATCCATTCGAATTCTGCCAAGCTCCATCGCCGAACCCACCCGTGATCCACGAGGCGATGCGAAGACAATTTTGGAAAAGGAAAGTCGGTGAGCCCGGAGTGGAGATAGAAGAGGACACGGTGAAATACTGGGAGCAAGCTATGCTCGAGCGATGGCTAGATCGGGATCTTGCCCATTTAGAGGAGATGGGCAGGGCGTTTGCAAGACATCACCCTACTGCGCATGTGGAGCCTGGACAAAATCCTTGGTCAGTCCTGATGTTCGAACGACACTTGATCCATGGGGAAAACACAGAACAACATTAGTCAGGGACTTGAGGCAACTGCGAGGTTCAGACCAGCTACACTCTCGTTTTGGAGCAAATTTCCCATGATATCTACTCTGGGCCTGAGGAGCGGGACTATACAGATAACTCGCTTTTTGTGTATTAATCGGCAATACCCTAGTCAAACGCCCGTGCCTACTTTTCTCAGCTTTCCCAACTCCGACCTTTTCGTACGTCTATGAATTTATTGAATTGATGCTCTAATAAAGTACTAACACACTGCTTCTGTATTTCTTGTCTCTCATGCCAACTATCATAGTCAACTAGGCGTCCAGATGATCTGTTAACTTTCCACTTCTTCTAAGTTATTGATTTGGGTTGACTTTGTAAACTAGTCAAGTATACAAGTTATGTGTAAGTAGGTTCCGAGGCCTTGGTAGGCTTTTCGAGTTTCTTGAGGGTGAGGCTGATGCCAATCACAATCGTGACGACGATAAACTCCATGACGACCGACATGCAGAGCCAAATAGTGGGGTTACCGTTGATGGAGGAGAATTCGCGGCCGTGGCTAAAGTTGGCCAGCAGCGCGTAGATGAGGCGCACGACGATGAAGGGGAGGCAGGCGGCGAAGCAGGCGAGGAGACGCTTCTCGCCGAGGGGCACGACCTGCAGCTCTTGGAGCAGGAGGGCGAAGATGGCGACGGCGCCGACGTAGACGAGGGTGAAGAGGACGACGGCGGCCTTGGAGAAGGAGTTGGGGGCTGCGTTGCCGAGCTGCTTGGCCATGTCGGAGCCGCCTTTGATGGAGAGGCCGACGGCGATGATGCTGACGAGGGAGATGACGCTGAACATTTTCTTGCCGATTTGGTGGCGTACGGGGAGGCAGCGGTTCCTAGTTAGGGGTTTAGGTTAGCGAACTAGTGCATTTTAGATTCTAGCGAGTTTTCTTATTTCGGTATACATACAGTCGAGTGAGCATTCCGATATTCAAGATGACGAGAGTGGAGACACCAATAGATTCGCAGATGAGGGCGCCGACATAGTTAGAGCGAGACGGGTTGCTAATGGTGGCAAGGCGGAAACTGGCACCGACGATTCGGATGATGGAGAAGGTAACTAGGATCAAGAAACCCGAGGATTTGTTCCAGCCGTGGCGGGTGCATAGGAGGATACCGCAGGCGAGGGAGATGACGAAGAAGATGATTTGGGCGACGGCGACGGCATCGTGATAATTGAAGTTGCCCATGGTGGTAGCTCACTTGTGTGGGGGTGGGGTATGCAAGAAAGATGCAAGGAAGACTTCTAGGTTGTATTGAAAAGTGGTGAGCTTGGAAAGATGCTGTTTAATGTGAAGGACAAAGATCAAAGATCAAAAGAAGTTGAGATTGAGTGCAAGACTTGAAGTGTTCAATGAGGATGGAGAGCACAGAATAGTTCTTGAGAGTCCATGAGACGAATCCTAGCTACGTTTATATCCTTTTTTCATCTTCGATACGAAGTTGAGCCTTCACTTACTATCCCGCCCCCAATAGTGAACCCTTCTATGCGTCGTCACATCGGATTTCGCGCTTGCTCGGCCAATTCCGCCTGGCTCACTCACCCTCCACCCGGCTTTTCTTGAGTTGTGTGGCGCTGCACAAGGGTTGCAGCGAGGGCTTCTCCGGTCCATCTCTCGTTTGGGCACCAGAATCCAATCCGTGAAGAATATTTCCGGTAGGGATGCAAGGGAGGGTAATATCCCTCCCCCACCTCCTCGGCAAGAAACTTCCGTTTGCTGCAAAAGTGGATGGATGGTGCATACAAAAACCCATCGTCTAGAATTGTTTAGTGGGTGGCATTGCGAATCAAGCATTCGGGAGCTCGAATGGAATCGCCGTTTTGGGTTTAGCGGCATATTTCAGCCCTGTTTGGCTTGTCCTCACTTCTTCCGCGGGCGGCAGAGAGCCATCGAAGGATGCTCCGGTCTAGTGCACATCGAGAAGGGGATTGGCTGAATGACAGGCAGCACTGGCAAGACCTAACAAAAAGTTGCCGCTTCATCCCATTTGGCATGTGGCATGTGGCACAAAGTGGGTGTGCGAGTGCCGCGCCACGACGGGAACAAAAGCTTGGCCCTTCCCTTTGCTTTCCCAAGGGATCGCTCCTCCGAGAAACCTCGAATCAACTTCCTATTCCGGTAATCGATGAGAGCAAGATGCCCAACACGGGAAAACCCTCGCAAGATTGCCATTTGTGTCGAGCACGCCGCGTCAAGGTAAGGATACTCCCAATTAGACAATTCTCCCTTGCATCGTATTCTCTTTTCTTGACTTTCTGTTCCTTTTTCCTTTTTCCTTTTACCCCGCATAGCCTACTTCCTTCTACTTCCCCACCTCCCTTTACTCTTGGCGTTTGGAGTAGTTTGCGCTGCGTCATTGAAGATCGAATGGGCCCACGACTTACACGTACTTTCGGATGCGCCTGCGCGTCCCCTTCGTTTTTCCCTTGTAGTGTGACTTGAATAAGCCCGCGTGCCTCCGATGCACAAATTACGGCGCCACCTGCCCCGGCTATCGTAGCGCCTCAGACCTCGTGTTCCGAGTCGACAACGCCGCCACCCTCGAGCAGCGAAAGAGGAAGCAGAAGAAGAGGCAGCCCTCGCAGCAAAAGCCATCACCCCGTTCCCCGGGAAGCAGTTCCCCTTCCTCCTCCTCGTCTGGACGAAGCACCCCGCCGAGCAACACCCCTGAACCCTCCGCTGCTCTTCCCGGCACCGAAACAGCGGTCACTGTACTCCGCCGCCAACCCCCTCCCGCCTCCCCTACGATTGTCTTACCCCCAGCGACAACCCCTCGCCGGCCCCATCTTCCAAATCTTCTCCGAAAAGCGCCCCGACGGATCCCGCTCCATCGAAAAGTTCAACTGGCTGCATGCCCTGCTGCACGACGCGCGCGAGGCCTCGTGCCTGGCCCAGACCGCGGACCTGTTCGTGGCGCTGCAGGGGGTCTCGTGCGGGACGCGCAGCCGGTGCGGTGCGAGGATGCGGATGTGGTTTACTGCCGGAGCGTGATGGCGGTGAGGAATGCGCTGAGCGATGAGGGTAAGCGGCGGGAGGATGAGACGCTTGTTGCTGTTTGGCTCTTGAGTCTGTATGAGGTAAGACGCTAGCTCATCCCTTTCTCACACGTCTGCATCCATGCCCCTGCTCCTGATTTTACTCCTGTACGGCACAGTACAGTACCATAAGGTTACCAGGCCTTCTACACTCTATTCCAACCCCTTCCACCCCACCCTAACTCCCAAGGCGCCGCAGTTTAATCGTCTAACAAAACCAGGTTACCCGCGGCACACCGGATCCGCAAGGCGGCCCCACCCCCGCCGCCTGGGAGATCCACACCGACGGCATCCTCGGCATCCTCCGAGCCCGCGGCCCGCACCAACTCGCCACCGAGCAGGGCCGCCGCATCTTCTGGGCCATGTTTACGCTCGTGCAGACGCGCGCCCTCGTTGCCCACGCCGAGAACCCTCCCGAGGCACGCGCCTGGCTGCGCCTTCTAGCAGACGCTGCGCCGGCGTCGCCTACCGATCGGTGCCGCGTGGTCGTGTCGACGTATATTATGGACGTGTGCGCCGTGACTGCTCGCATCATGCGCATCGTTCGTGAGGGGGACGCGGGGGTGCCTGCCTCGGCGCTGGCAGATCTCTTTGTCGAGGTTGCTCGTGTGGAGGATGCTTTTGCGAACCATCCTGAAGTGTCCGCCGCCCTCGCGCCTGAGCTCTCGCCTGCCGATAGCTCTTCCAAAGCAGCGCGGTTCAAGCTGCACTACTGCGTCGTGCGCGCTACGGGCCTAGCTCTAGGTATGCCCGTGCCGCCCGGCATGTCCAATCCGCCCATGGTGCACGCGTACGATCGCTATCAAATCGAGCTACGGCGCCTCGCGAGCTTCCAGGTCATGACCGAGGTGGCTGCCGAGATTCTCGCGTCGGCCGAGGCCCTCATCGGACCGCTCGAGTCGCGGGCGCAGCCTGGCGTCGTGATGATTGGCTCGTGGGTGTATGGGATGCGGATGCTGCTACCTCTGATCTTTGTCGGGACGTTTTGTAAGGAGTTCTCGCCTGATCAGTCGCGGCGGGCGAATCAGTACTTGGTGCGCATTGCGAGGTATATGGGCATACGGGAGGCCGTGAAGAGGATTCCGCAAGATTCGTGAAGAGCGGTTATGGCTTGGTGAAGATGAGGGGGTCTGGGATATGTCGAGCTTTTGGCGCTTACGGCTGGTGAATCTATGCTATCATTTTACTAGGCGAGGTTCACTCGACCTTCTGTCAGGCCTTAGCTTTCACCAAAAGTGGACGGCGGCGCGGCACAAAAGGGAGCACACACTAGATACAGTTGGAGGCATGTTTGTTTTGAGGAACAAAATTTCCATCACGATTTGTTGCCCTTGACAAAGACATTCCTTTCTTGCCAGACGAATAACGAACCGAATATCGTGGAGTGTCTCGAGCCTCTGATGTAGTCACGATGGGCGGAAGCGAAAGGCGCCACGCTATCTCTGATAAAACCACGGCACGGATAAAGAATGAGTCAACCGCGCGCCCGGTGCTGTTAATTCTGTTTCCACTTGGGTCGAAACGTGCTCGTCTCGGGCGTTTACTAGGCAGTCATACTTAGTAGCACATTCTGGTGGGTCCGTGGATTAGTTGTGGGAGTTTAGGGATACTAACTCCGGGCTCCGGGGTTCTGAGGTGTGTCAATATTTTTCAAAAGTGACCGAGTTTTCACGGCCCTCACCTTCTTTTATGCTAATACCGTCAGCTTCCTTTTGTCCAAGAGTGAAAAACTCCCTGTTCTATCGTGTCTTGCTGTCTCTGGACATGCACGCACCTTGAGATGCTTGGCGTAATCCCGCCCTGCGTCCTGAGAAGTGGTGGCCCAATGCCGATATGGAGAGGCCATTTTACCGGAAACAAGCTTAAAATGTGTCCGCTTTGGGACATTATAAATCAATATTCTAATGAAAGAGGCAGGACCATTTGTTTCTTTCCTTGGCGCTGTCGAAACGCTGCCATCGCGCGACTACGAGGGACAGCGATGTTGCCCTCACCGCTTGGACGCTACGGTATTCCGCCGTGATGATCACGACTTTGATGATCAGGGAGGTGGATTTACAATTGCATCTAGGCACACGTTGCCATCAGAGGGTCTGAGGTTTGCGAAAGGGTGGCCGTTTCGTTTTTGGGCTGCGCCAGTCTTGCTCCATGGCCGTGGTAGGGGTACCATACACTGGTCCATGCTTGGTGGCTCAGATGATCGTCTTATTATGAAGCATGATAAACTGGAGCCCTCAGAGGCCGCGAAGAAATAAGAGTACCGTCTGTCAGTGCTTGCCGGCGACTCACTCGCGTGAAGGCGGGCAGTGCTTGTTCGTTCTATTCGTGCACAAAAAGACTTGGGTTTGGTGGCATCTCAGAATCACACGATGGTAGTACAAATTATACACGGTAACGTGGGGAAATGTATCCTGAAGGGGGAAGAGGGGGAGGATCCGAAGCAGCCGAGAGATCTGAGCAGCTTATGGGACAACGACACTTTTCCCCGTGGGCCGTCGGAGATCGGATGGCCCGGACCACGGGGTTGTCAGAGCGCCTGCGTCTGGAGAAGCAATTGTGAATCAGTGAGGAGGGTTACGAAGTGTACGAGGTGGTATTATGGGAAGAAAGAAGCAATGTGATGGAGAGAAGGTCCTACGATGAGGTGGGCGACGTGTAGCTGGAGGCTATCTGTTCGAGTCTGTGGATTCACCCCAACAACAGAACAGCGTGCGTACTTCCCACTACCCACTGGACCAAAGGGATACCGCAGGAGTGGTACACCGACCCATACGTCGCCTTGGAGAGGAAAAAAGAGGTTTCAAAGAGCTTGTGGAGTATACCACAATTTTGATGCTCGTGATCGAGGCCGTGAAAGTGAATGAAGCTTGGGAACATTTGAGTGCAGCATTGGGAGTTGAAGATGACTAAAGCAGTAGTACTTGATAGAATGAAAACTCAAGAGTACAAACAGTGAGATGGAATAAAAAGTCAGTATGTTCCGGTAACTGTTGAGCTGCTTGCGCGGCATCTCTTCGAGTCTCGTATGTATGTGACGTTGGGAACCGAAATGGGATAGCCGGTTCCCCACGAGATCCCACGAGATCCCACGCCTCGTATGGAAATGTCCCCGAGGAGTTCTAGAGGCTCTGTCAGATCTAGGCCAAAACCAAGAGTAGGGTGGTGCCGATCTAAGAAGGAGCCCAACGGCAAAGCCGGAGGATTTCGCGCCGAGCGGATAGGTTAGGTCAGCGAAGGCAGCAAAAAAGAAAAAAAGGAAGAAAGGGTACAGAACGACGTGAGATAGAGGGGACTAACATTAGTAGAAGTGGCTGATGTCGCTGCTCGCTGGTCAGTATGACGCGTTAGGGTCGCAGAGGTTCTGTAGGAGGGATGGACGATAACGGTGCACGAGCCGTGATTCGTTGCATGGGAAGAATCCCAAACTCCACCAAACTCCACCTCCCTTCAAAAGGGCCCTTATTGACCTTTAACCTGTACATGTAGTTTAAAAGGCCCCTTCCCACGCTCTGGTTAAAGTCACCCGGCGTGTTATTGGCTGAGGTTCATTGCAGTTTTTATCTCCGTACACGAAACTCCGCTGGTTGTACCTTTCCAGCGCGCGCTGCAATTCCTTTGGTGAGAATTTAGTCTCACCTAAGATTGGGTATCGGCGATGTTGGGCCAGGTGCGCACCTCTTGTCGGGCGGAGTAGGTCTCTACAATTTCTACATGTCGTGTCTTTGAGAACAGAAGAAGGTGGGGGAAAATAGTACACTATGAATTCATCACGATTTTTTTCCTTCTTTCTTTTTGATTAATTTTGTTATTTTTCTCCGATAACTCAATTTCTTCACGATGTGCTCTAGAGAGCGAGTCTTGTTAGGTCGGAGTTAGGGTGTAAGTGACAGCAGGATGTTAAAGACACCAAAGAGGAAAGAAGAGAAAAAGAGTCGGTAGTGAATTGCATGCATTTTCGGCAGTGTCGGATGCAACACAATCTCACAATCTGGCCCAAAACCAAAACACCAGGTCAAGTCCCCGTTCACGCTCATGAACCTCAAACAGGTACCAATCCCTGGGAAAGGATGAAGGAAGCGTGCGCCAAGGACTAGACCGTCGCTGTTATCGTTCTTGGGGCCTGGCCCAGTAACTATTGCGGCTTAACATTCTTAAGCGTAAGTGTGGTCCACCCCATGTTAGTCTCCAACATCCCATCCCCCGTTTCAACTTTTTTTTTTTTCCCCTTTCGGCGGGTGAGTCAAAAATTTCCAGATTGCTAAATTGATCGAGTCGTCTCCCCGCCATTGTGGATCGGGGATCTGTCTTGGGCCCCCTCGAGTCCAACGTTGCTTATACAATCTTCCGTCCTCATCGTTCCCCTTGAGGCGTTATCTCCTAATAGTTTGGCGGAACTCCGCAAAAGAAGAGGAGGGAAAAAAAGTTTCATCGGGCTTTGTGGGGCTGCCCGGGTGGACTTTGGCCCGTTATTAGAAAGACACCAAAACCAAAAGGAGACTTGTTGCGAAATACTCGCCGATGGGTTGTCGGACTTTAGCAAGGGCAAACTCCACCACGCCTAATGAGCAAACGAGGGAGTGGTTACCAAAGGAACATCCCGCAGGAACATGCCAATTCCCTATGTTCATGGGTGGTCCAGGATGTCTCAGGCTCACGACACGCACACCCTTTTCCGCGACCGTGCCAGCGGATCGCCGGGGCGGAGTTGCTGACAGCATTTGTAAGCCCGCGAGGTACTTCCAATACCCGCCCGCACACACGTTGGGACATGGACACGACAAGCCCAAGCTCGAATAGGCGTGCTCGTGAAGAACACATGGCGTGGCACACTCAATCACATTGTACACCGGGTTTTAGCGTTTCGACGCCAGCGCGCGAAAGGACCTAACTCGCGGCGATAACCCATAACGCAGGAAATGATGCAATTGGAGCCTCACCCCTAGGTTCTTTTTTTTTCTGTTCTTTTTTGTTCTTTTCTCCCGTCAGACTGGCACCCCTTCCCATCCCGTCTCAGCTCGATTTACTCCCTGTGATCCCTGTGATAGGACACACCATCGATAGCCGTCCCCACCCATGTACCGCCCACCCCCTGATTGGAAATGAGTCTTTGGAAATTCCGCCAGAGGAGCGGAGCGTTATGTTGGTGCCATTTGTCATCGCTCTTAACGCCGAACCAAACCATAGGGCTAGGACCAGCACCAGCCTGGTGCGCGAGCAGAGGAGAAGCGTAGCGTCCATCCTTGTTATTGTGTTGTTGAGATCCGAAGCTTATCGGCGGTCGTTGACTTGAGATCAAGTACTTAAGAATCATGTTGCCTCAAAGGAAAACAAAAAACCTTCTTCTCGATCTCATTCAGACAGACAGCATCTTATCCACTCTCAAGTCCCATCTCTAAAGGAGGCCCTCACTACTCCACATACTCTATAATACACCTTATTAGCACTACCATCATCACATAAGAGAGACAGAGAGAGAGAGAAAGCTCTTTCACATCACACACATCTCGCAATGGATTCCGCCACAACGACCATTGCCCCCCAGCCGGGTCCGACGCCGACCGGTCTTCCATCCGCACCCACGATGTGGTTTCCGAGAAGAAGAACCTCGACAGGTCCGACGACAGCAGCGAAAAGGCCGAAGAGACGGCAGATGAGTCTGAGGATCTCGGCGAGTACCCCCAGGGGCTTCGCCTAACAGCCGTCGTCGTGGCGCTCGTCCTCAGCATCTTCCTGGTCGCTCTTGATATGGTATGTTAAAAACACACCCCCTGAGTTTCCAGACCCGAGAGTTGAATGCAAGAATCTAACCGTTTTGTTTCCTCGCTCCCACAGACCATCGTGGCTACCGCCATTCCCCGAATCACCGATCAGTTCCACAGCCTAGGAGATGTCTCCTGGTATGGCGCCGCTTTCTTCATGACCATTGCCGCCTTCCAATCAACATGTACGTGAAACAACACTCTCCCGCTGCACACAATAGTTACTAACGTGGCATCATCTACTCAGGGGGCAAGGCATACAAGTACTTCTCGCTCAAGACCTCCTTCCTCATCGCCATCGCCATCTTCGAAGTCGGCAGCTTGATCTGTGGCGTCGCCCCCAACTCCAACACCCTCATCGTCGGCCGCGCCATCGCCGGCGTCGGTGCCGCGGGTATCGGTTCCGGCGCATACACCCTCATCGCCGTGTCTGCTCCTCCCCAGCGCCGCCCCATGTTCACCGGCATCATTGGCGCTTCCTACGGTCTCGCTAGCGTCGTCGGCCCCTTGATCGGTGGCGCTTTCACCGACCACGTCACCTGGCGATGGGCTTTCTAGTACGTCTTTCCCCTGATCGTCCTGAACCTACCCCCAAAAACGAAAAAAGAAAGAAAACAAAAGCTAACCTCAACTCCCCACACAGCATCAACCTCCCCATCGGAGGCGTCGCCGGCGCCATCATCCTCTTCTTCTTCCAAACCCCGCCCGCCTCCGTCCCCGCCGTCGCCACCCTCAAGGAAAAGATCCTGCAGATGGACCTCGTCGGCGCCGCCCTCATCATGGGTGCCGTCGTCTGCTTCCTCCTCAGCCTGCAGTGGGCCGGCGCCACCAAGCCCTGGGACTCCTCCGAGGTCATCGGCCTGCTCGTCGGCTTCGTCGTCATCACCCTCGCCTTCGCCGTCTGGGAGTGGTACCAGGGCGAGCGCGGCATGCTCAACCCCCGCATCCTCGGCGACCGCACCATCCTCGTCTCCGCGACCTACATGTTCTTCTTCGCGGGCGCCTACTTCGTCCTCGTCTACTACCTGCCCATCTACTTCCAGTCTATTGATGGCGCGAGCCCCATCAACTCGGGTGTCCGCAACATCCCCCTCATCTTGGCCGTCACGCTGGCCACCATCCTCTCCGGCGTCTCCATCTCCATGAACGGCATCTACACCCCCATCCTCGTCGGTGGTGCCGCCGTCGCTGCTATTGCCAGCGGTCTCCTCTACACGCTTGACATCGGCACCGGCTCCGGCAAGTGGATCGGTTACCAGGTCCTCGCTGGTCTCGGTTTCGGCGCCGCTTTCCAGATCCCCATGATTGCTACCCAGGGCACCGTCTCCCCGAGGATCTTCCCCCGCCACGGCCATTGTTCTCTGTAAGTTTCTTACCCTATAATACACAAAAACGTTATGCGCAGCCTACTAACACGCACGATCCAGTTTTCCAAACCATTGGCGGCGCCTTCTTCCTTTCCGGCGCTCAATCCGCCTTCATCAATGAGATGGTCAGGAAACTCGCCACCACCGCGCCCACCGTGAACCCCGGTCTCGTCCTCCTCACCGGCGCCTCCGACCTGCGCGCCGTCTTCTCGCCCGAGGAGCTCCCCGGCATCCTACAGGCCTACATGAGGGGCATCAAGCTCACCTTTGCCCTTGCCCTCGCCGGTGTTGGTGTCTCGTTCCTCATCAGCCTTGGCAGCCGGTGGTCGAGGCTCAACCCCAAGAAGATCCAGGGCGGTGCTGTCTAAGGGCCCAAGTCACCTAATGAATATCATGTTCTCTCATGGTTAGAGAACTTTTTTGCGCCTTGCTAGGCGCAGTGCATCATGGCTGAGTAACGGACTATGGATAGACGGTACGATCAGAATAGTACAAGGGGAAGACGGCTGCATAGACGGGATGGGGTAGATCTTCTCATCTCACGGCGTTGGTGGCTTTTAAGCGCTTAGATTGGGCTTTTGATTTCTTTCTTTTGTCTTTGGGGATAACCACGATAGCTAATAGAGTTAGACCAGTATGGTCTGGGAGAGGTAGAGGTAGAGACATACAATGCATTCCACTTTCTTATTTCATATTTTTGATCTCTGACGCTTGATGAGTTGAAACTTGATCGATCAGGACGACCGAGGACGTCACTTGATTTATTGACAAACAAATCACATTAATTGATAAATACACCCTCCCAAGGGGTTGGTCAAGGCCTTCTAAAACTCATCAATTGATGTATTCCAGTCCATGTCGCAAAGGAAGAAGAAAAGACAGCAACGGACATGAGGAAACTCGAATTACTTCCATGCAATCGGACGCCTCCATCAACATCTCTCTAGATGGTTTTTCTTGGCACTCAAATTGGTCCGCCCTCGCCCGGGGGTCTGGCAGCTAAGTACTCGGCAGTTAACCCGTCGCTCCTCCGCATCCATCCTCGCACAGCCATCAGCGCAGAGCAGCCGCATTCTCCCGACCTATCACGGAGCCCTCGAACTTGAGGCCCGGGGTTATTTTCCCCAATCCACCACCGATCGGCCATTGGAACAATACCGGTCTGGTATACACCTAATTTTGACGGATGCGGGGTAGTGCGCTGCTCGAGAGGGAATCGAGCATTGCTTAATTTATTTCGTCGCCCTGTATAGTTGATTCCCCTCCTCCTCTTGGATATGACACGCTAGATTTGACAGCGGCAATTGATAGACCTTGCTGTCGGTCGAGGTCAGAGGAGGGGGAGGGGGCTTTCGCCTTTCTTATATAAAGGCCATGGAAGGAAGAACGCGACGCGCCCAATGTTATATTAACACTCCTAACTACTAGCACAAGAAAAACAGGACACGCCGCTTAATCAAGATACATCATGAAGCTCTGGATTCTCGCCTTCTCCTCCCTAGCTCTGCGCGCCTCGGCCGCACCTCTCGCACAAGAAGACGAACCAGCATGCACCCGCGAAGCCCTCATCGAAGCCGCCGACGCCTACATCGCCGCGCAGACCGAAGGCTCGCTGGACGCGCTCGCCGCCTTCCTCGCCGAAGAATGGATCTACTGGGAAGACAACGAGGAGATTGACCCGTCGACCTCGGTGCTCGCCACCAAGGCGCTCAAGCTCGACCACCGCCGCACCAACGCCGACGTGGTCGAGTGCGCGTCCTACACGGAAATCATCTCGGCCGACCCGGCCAAACCCTACGTGATCGGCACGCAGATCCGGCACGGCGCGGACCTGAAAATCACCAAGATCGACAGCGTGGCCTCGACGACCAACTCGTGGGTGTTTGACGCCAAGAAGACACTCGACTACGTCGTCAAGGAGGACTGGTTCGAGATTCCCGAGGCGGACTGGGATGACCGGGACGTGATCAAGGCGGCGGGGACGCGTACATGGACGTGTGGAGTAATGCGACGGCGGCGGACGCGGTGCCGTGGGGTACGCCGTGCACGCGGCTGGAAGGGTCGGCGTACACGGGACGGGGCACGCCGCAGGATTCGTGCTCGGTGGGGTTGCCGACGAACCATAACCAGGCGCCGAACTCGAATAGGAGATACGTGGTGGATCAGGTGATGGGGTCGGTGAATATCTTGTGCGTGTGGGAGCATATGATGAATGCGGCGGATAGTCATGAGTTTCGGTTGGAGAATGGGAAGTTGAGGTATGTGCATACTATGACTGTGTGTGGGGGCAGGTTTGTAGGTTGTAGGTGGTGGGTTGTTGTTGGATGATCTCTTGTATATAGGTCTACTTGGACACTTGGCTCTTACTGTTGGGAGGCTAGCTGTTGCGTGAGTCAAGATTAGATTCGAGAAGACGACGCTGAGAAAACAAAACTTTGATTGAGGCAGTGATACAAGATGTGTATTTCCAATCTACGTTGGTTTATGCGCCAGCACAACTGAATAGTGCGTGGCGTTAGCTGCTACTCTTGTTCTTTCAAGTGACCAAGTCGTTCGGTGCTTGTCCCACGTTGTCGACTCGATAGCTGATAGCTAACCGAAAGACAGAAGAGTCGCGTCTCGACCACCTACGAAGAAGCCAGCTGCGCTTCCTACGAGCGATGGCTTCCCACGTAGCCATCCTTAACTCTTTTTCCCTCGCCCTATCCCGCCGTAAATGCCCTCGGATCATCTCAACCGTCGCCGGCTGCCCCGTCCGCGGATCGAGCGCGCCGAGTTTGTCGCGCGCACCCCCGTGATCCAGGAGCCATTCCGCAAAATCCCAGTCCTTGTTCTGCAGCGCCGCGTCCAAGGGCGTGCAACTTTGGGTAGCGGCCGGATTGAACACGACGTTGGTCGCCACCTGCGGGTCGAATCGCAGGGGTATGTCCCTTTTCTCGTCGACTTGCACGCCGTCCACGGTGAGGAGGTACTCTGCCACGGGTTTCCGTCGCGAAAATGGTACTGGGACCCGGGCGAGGTATGGGTTAGAGGGATCGTGGTTTTGAGAGAGAAGGTGTAGGCTGAGGGTGGCGTAGTGGGGGTTGGCGCCATGGTCTAGGAGTTTTTGCACGATGGTCATGTCGTAGCTGCCCACGGCGACCTCGAGGGCCCTCCCGCTCGTGCGGTCGAGGGTTGGGGCTTGGGAGTGCCCGGGATAGACCCGCCGAGATTAGGATCCGCTCCCTTCTCCAGCAGGAAGCCCAACACCGGGGTGGCGAGGAAGTGCGCGCAGTACGACCAGGCAACTTGGAGATCGTCGCTCAGGGGGCCAGCCAAGCTTGGTTCGGATGCCATCCCGCGTCGAGAAATACCTGAAGCAACCTGGTGATGTCTTGGGCTGGGAGATCGGGGCCCCGCGGATGTCTTTCAAAGGTGGATATGTTGCCGAATTTCTGGGGCTCGAGCCTTGCGAAGACGTTGCTGTGGAGGCTCGCGCCATTGGCTAGGAGGAAGCGGGCGACTTCGGCCTGTCCCCCAAAGGAGGCGTGCTCTAGGCCGTACTGTAGTACTGCGCGAGAGGGAGTGTTGTGTTGGACGAATGCCGTGACGTCGGCGAGGTCGCCCTGGTCGCAGGCGATGTAAAAGTCCACCCCTACAATGTTGTCGCCTATCGAGTAGGCGTGGTTCGCGTACTCTGACCTGGGTAACGGCGCGGGAAGGGTCGATGCATTGGAACGATCGTGTCCAGCGCTGGCGTTGACGGATTCGGCGCCCGTCTGCCGCTCATTGTCGGCGGGGCTCGAGAGGGAGCGTCTGAGTTTGTTCATCTCCTCGGTGTGCGAGATGAAGCTCAGCATGCGCTGCCGCTGGTTGTCTAGCTCCATATTTTCGTATCGTATCCGAACAAAGGTCTTCTTTTGATTTTTGGTCTATTTTATTTCGCGTTTAGCTATTTTTCTTTTCTTTTGCGGCTTTGGCTCAGGTTAAATACTGTTCTTGTCGCTCGCTTCGCCTTGCTTGAGGAAGGAACAGCTGCGCCACCAAACAAACGTAGGCAAACGAGTGTGAGAAACGCAAGACGAGATCGCTTAGTCAGTGGCGATGACCTCGGAACGTGAAGCGAGATACCAAGCGGACGAAAATAGACGACTCCGCCAACTGGAGGATTTATTGCCTTGCGTGTATCTCTTCTGGTTCTGAGATGGGGTTTAGCTAATCTTGCTGTCTCTGGCCAAGTGGGTCGAAGAAACAAATTCCGCGGGCATCGTGACGCATCCGCCTCGTCAACACCCGTCTGTAAACCTGTCACGACATCATACGCAAAGAGTATGTAGACGTAAGCACACTTGGAGTGTGGAAAGAAAAGTATGTTGGCATATATTCAAGACATTGCTGTCCTGGGAATACAGGGTAGCTGGCGAGTTAAAAAGAAAAAAAGAGAAAGAAAAGAAAGAAAAAGGAATTCGCAAAAAACCTCGATCCAGTCATGTAAGCCAGCCAACTGAAGATGGACATCATTGCAACGGCCCAAGGAGGAGGGCCATTCCAAAGAAAGCCTCTCCTTTTTGGTCTGGAGGAAACTTCAAGTTTGGAATCATCTCTTGACCCCATCTCCAAGGAGGAATCGGCCTCCCTCCGGCGCAGGACCTGGATTATCTTTACCAAGAGGAAGGTGCAGCATCACCACTCAAAGTGACTCCAGACCAACCTTCAAGGGGACCCTCACACGTAGTAGGACCCCTTGGAAAAATTTTCATTTTGTTTATGTACCAGGTAGTGAATCATCATGGCTTTTGATTGATTTATTTCCTCCTAGTAAACTGGTAAACACTAACTTGCATTCACAGATCACTCCATCCTAGCATTTCCTTATAAATATCTACTTTCCCCTCCTCAAGTGAAACCCTGGTTTGTCTCCTTGGCTTTCATCTGCTAGAGCCTGACTGCTCTGTGAGTCTATCCCCTTTCCTTTATCCTCTCTCTCCCTATGAAACACCTTTTCCTTCCAGGTAACCACCCTTTTGTGTTTCTTTTTAACTCTTTCTTCCAAGATTTCAAGTTCCAACTCCTTCTCCCTTTGCATCTGTATCTGCAACCAAGAGGTTTCGACTTCCAGTAAGTAATCCTTTGAATCCACCCTTCCAAACATGACCCCCTCCACGGCAAACCACGTTTCCCTCCCCGAGCCCACCTCTCTAACCAATATTCCCTCTGCCAAGGCCATGGTCTTCACAACCACCCACACGGGCGGCGTCCTCCGCACCCAGGAAATCTGGTCCGTCATGGACAGCGGCGCCGTCAAGCTCACCGCCGCCTCCGCGCCGCGGCCCCACCCCGAGGCGCTGCTGTTCGACGTGCCCCTGCGCAAGGACAGCGTGACATTATACTGGGATCGATCGCACAGGATCGAGTCCGCCATCATCAACGCCACGGGACACGCTCAGCAGGTGGCTTGTGTCAAGTGCGCGCGGGACAACGGGCCCTTTCGCCAATGCGTGGTGCGGGAGGGGCTCGCCAAGGGTGGGTGCGGGAATTGTCATTACCCTGGGCATAGCACGAGCTGTTCGTTTCGTACTGGCCCGGGCGCCACAGGTAAGTTCACCGTCCCGGACTTGAATTCTTTTATGAAGCCCACGATTTCCTCAGTTCGATTTTCTTTTTCTCTTTTCTTTTCACTGACGTTTGATTACCGTGTCCAGGACCTCAACTCCCAGCCCCCATGGACCAGCTCCCGCAACACAGGCCGCTGTCGCTCCCGGGCATCCGGCCGAGCGTCCCCAGTCGGTTCGTGGCCTTGCCTCCGATGACACCGTCGACCGCACCTCGTCCCCGGACACCATGAAGAAAGAGCTTGCGTCCTCCCCCTCGCCGTAACGGACATGCCTCGCACCCGCCCTCGAGCTCTTCGATTTCCACCGTTCGAGCCCTCAACGTGTCACGAGAGGATGTCGCCGGCTTCACCAGGGATGTGTTGGGCGTCGCCCAGCCTTCTAACTCGGTTACCAACGCGCAGATTGTCGAGTTTCTTCATATGGTCATCCGCTACTTGGAGGAGCATGAGCATCCCGCGAGCTCTGTCGAGGAGCATGTCAACCGTGATGAGAGCAGCTAGGAAGGTTTTGTTCGAGGACGCGTTTATATTATAAAGGTGTCTAGAATTTGTAGTCCTCGTTTGAAGAAGGCAAGAGAACTTGGGTCGGTTTTAATTTGTTTGATGCCCTTCAGGCTCAAGATTAGCAAGCAGCACTTGTCGATGCTAGTTTCTATATGAAAAATTGATATTGATCATCCCCATGTTGCATCTGCCCTAACCGAGAATGACAGATTGACGAGGAACTAGGACGCCAAAATTGGCCATTTGAGCTACATTAAATTCCCAGAAGCATAGATATAAATGTAAGGAGCTGTATCAAGGCTTCAAGTAGAGGGTAGGTTAGCAAGCACCGGATTTCGTCAAACATGAAGAAGGGGACAGAAACCCGGGCTTTTCCAATTGCATCACGCCATCGCCTCAACCCTCTCCCTTTACTCACTTCCTAACTAGGACCTTCAAGTGCAGCATTTCCTTTTTTTTTTTTTTTTCGTCAGACTTTTCAGATTCTTGCGTCGGTATCTTCCAATTTTTTTCCACCCCAGCAGAGGCTGTAATCTACCCATATATGATTAAAGTCTTGGCTATCAAACATCCCGATTTTCGCCACGCCATACTGTTGACGTTCCAGGCGAAGCATCGTGTCCCATACTGGGAATGGTGCGTCCGACTCCGCTTTGTCAAGGTTGCTCTTCACCAACGGGGAGTTTGGGTCCTTTTCTCCGGGAGGATTCCACTCTGCATACTAGTGCATCTTCTCCATGTCATTCTCCGCCCTACCAACGCCCTCTGTCGGCCAACTTTTGACATTGATGGAGGCCCTTTTGCGCGGTTCAGTCTTTGCCCGCTACGCCAGCTGCTGGCAGCCCCAACTCTTTGAATCCACGAGCTAATACACCAATCAAGTATCCAGACACCCTCGGATCTCTTTTGCCGAGTGGTGTTGCCGGCTGGTGCAGAGGGGAGCATTTGGAAGAAAAAAGAAATCGAGGGAAAATCGAAAAGGAAAAAAAGTTTAAAATCAGCCACATGGCCCGAGGTCGAGACTGCCGCTTTCGGTCTCGTCTTATTAGTCCCCTCCAGTCTTGGCCCCCATTTCGATAATTCTCCATCATCCTCAAATCCCGGCTGCCCCACGTCAACCAGCATCTTCAACACGTCTGCGGCATAGATAAAAGCCCATCTCCATAAACTCCCTCTTCTCCCTTCCCCCGCCCGCTCCCCTCTTTACACGCCACACCATGACCGTCAACCAAACCCCCACCCAAACCCTCCACTACCGCGTCGCCGTCCCCGACGATGCCGCCCGCCTCCAAACCTTCGTAAAGTCCGCCTACCGCGGCGAATCCAGCCGCCAGGGCTGGACCACCGAGGCGGACCTCCTCAACGACGAGCGCATCAGCGTCAAGGCATGGTGGACAAGATCGTCACCCCGGACAGCTCCGTCCTGCTCGTGACCAGCGCCGACGACGACACCGCGCTCATCGCCTGCTGCGAGGTCCTCCGCCGCGGGCCCGACCTCGCCTATTTCGGCATGTTCGCCGTGGATCCCACCCGCCAGGGCCTCGGGCTCGGTCGCCAGGTCCTCGCCTACGCGGAGCTGTACTGCGCCAAGACGTGGGGGTCTCCAAGATCGAGATGAGCGTGATTTGGACCCGCGACGAGCTCATCTCGTGGTATATTCGCCGTGGTTACAGGAAGACGGGCGAGAAGAAGCCGTTTCCGTACGATGAGCTGGTGAATGGTGTGGCGTTGAGGGATGATTTGTACTTTGATGTCTTGGAGAAGGAGTTGCCTGCCATTCCGGTCGAAGTCCCTGTTTAGACCCTGAGAGGAGGATCTCATCGGCTTTCTTTCTACCCTCTAGACTTATCATCGTCCTGCCAATCTTTCGCTACCTTTACCGCCTTCCACCAAACTCGACTTGAACTTTTATTGCAGCCGACGATGAGAGTTTTTGCTGCCACGCACCCATGATGAGACAAGAGGGGACGGAGGCAACTTTCACTATTTTCTGGTGTTGCGGAGTCCTTGAACTATATAGAATAGGTTTTATCAATGTTAAAAGCCATCTTCAAACATGCTCGCCTTTGTATGCCTTTCCTTTTTATTTCTCGTGCTGCGGTGCGCAGTTTATTCATGAGTGTCTCATTCCTCTTCCCGGCGCCTACTTCGCACCTACTAAACTCCCGTACTTGAGAGAATTCAAAGTAGCAGCATACTGATCCTTGCCCGGCGAAAGCGTAACAATCATACTCGACCCCCGCTCCCGGAATCCAGAAAGTGCTGCCGCAGCACCATGGTCAGCGCCGAAGACCGAAACGGCACCCTCGGCAGTTTTTCGACCAGGCCCTCATCACCTCCTTCAGCGCCAGCAGATCCGCGTTGATCTGTCGACCCTCCTGCTTCTCTTGGGGCGTCTGCTTCGGGATATTCGTCTGTGCTGCGCCCTTTTCCTGGTGATACTCGGCCCCCGCGAGGTCGATAAAGACCATTTTCCCTCCGATACCGTCACCCGCGGCGGCGGCGACAATCTTCTGGATCTCGTCTTCCGCGGCGGACAACTTGGCCTCGTACTCGGCCTTTTCCGCCTCCGCCGCGTCGATCCGCGCCTGGTCTACCTGGTACTCTGGATTCGGGGCCCAGCCACCGCCCGGGACGGCGACAATGGCCTTGGTCTGCTCCTCAATACTAATATCCGTGGCGCGCTTCCCCACGGGAACTAAGCTCAGACTGGCAGTCGTAGAGCGCCATGCGCGCGTCGACGAGGTCTTGGTTAATAATCTCGACCTCCAGCACCGCATGCGTCCTCGAGCTCTGATCGTGCACGCTCGATGAACCCACCGAACGCCTCCCCAGAGCCTCTATCAACTCTTGGCGGAGACCCTCAAACGTCCAACACGCCCTCTGCACAATAGGTCTGACCCGCACTTTGCCATCCTCCAAGGTCTCGGTAGGCCCGCGGATGTGCGTCCTGCCGTCGGGTCCCTCGCGAATATGGCACTCGGTGCGGCCTCCGAGCAGGTCAAAGGCAGACTTCTTGCGCAGCTCAAAGAGACTGAATCCGATGCCTAGCCTACCGCACCCCGAGACAGAGGACGACGTCTCGAGGCCGCGAAACAGAGCTTGCGCGGCGCCGAGGCAGAGGCCAAGCTGGTCGTCGTCGGCGTAGTCGTAGCCGATAATGGTGTGCGTTTTGCCGCTGCCGGAATGGCCGTAGGCGAAGAAGCTGGATGTGCCGCCGCGCAGGACGGTGGGGATGGCGGGTGCGACGATGGAGGCGAATACTGTGGCGTTGACGTCGTCGGGCTGGAAGATGCCGGCGAAGGCTGGTGGGCTTTTCCAGGGCTTGTCTGTCGCTCCTTTCTTGTCTATCGAGATGGAGGAAAGGGATTCGGCGTTGGTGTCGGCTGCGTGATCTACTTGTCCGGATTTTGATTCGTCTTCTGAGAGTGGTCGCCATCGGGCGTAGACGTTGATGGCCCCTGTCTTCGGGGTGGGAGCTGCCATTGCGAAGCGGTGGATGGACGACCCGTTGAATGTCCTAGGCTGATTTGATGCCTCTTATCTCGATCTCGTCCTTTTTCTTCTTTTCTTTCCTCATTTATGTTGCGGAGTCGTCGTTTAAATATGCACGAGGTCGTGTCAATTAATTCTGGTGCCTGAAAGGTTGCCCGCCTCCGGATCGGAGCTGTTGCACTGGCAACGCACTAGTTCAGAGACGACATGATTGATTGGTTACAATGGATCTGGCTGGGGATGAATATCATAAGCATACAGCGGCGGATACCTCTACGCACAAGCGACAAGCGCCTCGAGACTTGCCTGTCTTTAGCGCCGGTCGAGACTCCAGCAGACTCAAGATCTAGACCGTTGGGGGATACTAACTTGCCGTTGATTTTCACGACTTAAGGCTGACTTGCCCGCGTACTTCTGGGTATTCGCTGTGGTGCTTCATGACAATAAACAGCTGCCTCGAGCAGTATGTGCAGGAGAGTCCGGATCTCAAAAGCGGGCGGTTTGTGGCACAAATGGCACAGAAAACCGGCGTACGCCAAAGAGAATAGTGAAATAGATTGGGTGGAGCAAAAACTGAAGTATTTTGAGATGGTATTTGGTATGGTTGAGCGAATACGCAGGACTGAGTCGATGTCGGACTAACACATTTTTCTTCACTGACCACGAGCCAAGCAGGGGGCTACATCAATGTGAATTATAACCCTTCAATCTACTGTTTGACGAAGGAGGTCCTGAGCTAGTTCATGTTGAAAAATGAATCACGGATGGCATTAACTTTGTTCCATAGATCATGAGTCTCTTCTCCATTCTTTTCCTATTTTGTTTTCTTTTTATCCTTACCTCAATGGGTTAAGCTTCCCGATCCATATCGATAATACAATTGATGCCCCGTAGGCGGTAGAACAAGGAGCATAAAGATCCAATGCCCTGCGTATCCACACTTCATTATAGCCGAGACGAGAAACCTACTAGTCCATCCTTCACAAGTTCTAAACCAAGGGCCGTTCTGCCTCACATATTCCTCCCAAGTATTCAACTCTTCATCCAACTCGGCGTGCAGCTCGCGCAGCTCCGCGGGACCTGATGGGCCAAAGTAGCCTACCTCACCCACCACCGGATTTCTGTGCGAAAGGTTTTCCTCGAACCAGCTCCCAGTGGAAGGGGGCAGCTCGTCGAGCGTGGAGCAGCGCACAGTCTTGCCGGTGACGCGAGACCACGTATCGGTAATCTCCTTCAGAGAGTAGAACGCCGTGGCGGCGAGCACATGCCTGCCGTTCCACTTGGCGGGGTCTCGTAGAGCGGGGCCGAGATATTTTCCCGTGTCGTTGATGTCGATGTACGGGAGCGTGAGGTCATCTGTCCAGGCATAAGGGAGACGGATGGTGCCGTCCGGGAGCTATACATGTGCGTTTAGTATGGTGTAGCCATAAAAGTGCGAGGCAGCATTTCCTTGAAGGTTTCTCTTACCTTGGTGGGTGGGGGAAGCCGGGCGCTTTCGCGTTCTGCATGTACCAGCCTGCCCAAAAGAAAACGGTAAAAGGAAAGCCCAGCGTACGGACGTACTCTTCTACCTTGGCCTTGCTGTCAAAGTGTTCGTAGCTGGTCACTTGGCCTTCCGTCTCCTTTTCGATGCTTGGCAGCGAAGACCAGATAAATTGTGTCACGCCGGCGGCTCGGGCGGCGTCTGCCACGACTTTGCCTTGCGCTTGCTCAACTTCAGCACTGGCGTTGTCCCAAACTGAGACTCGTTAGAATTTGATTGGGGGAACGTGGTCCACGACGAAGGAGGGGATGGCGAAAAGTCACGTACAGTTGGTTACAGAGAAGACGACGTGCGCTCCTTCGACCACTGGTGGCAAAGTCTCGGGTTTGCTAAGGTCCGCCTAGGAAACAAGATTTAAAACGGTCAGAATCATGTCGGGCTAAGGGTCACAATCAGGAAGAGTGGGATCATACCGAAACTACCTCTACACTTCGTTTAGCAAGTTCTTGGGCGCCGGGTTTAGAGGAGTCCCGGGTTACTCCCCGGAGTCTATACTCCTTGGAGAATACAGGGTGGTTCAGGAGGTAGGTGACCAAGGCCCCGCCCTGCTGACCTGTGGCTCCGAAAATTACAAAAGCCTCGACATTGAGCTTATATCTCGGTGGAAGTGATTTCTTCGTGGGAATTTCAAGGTTCCTGACGAGGTCGTTGTTGGCAAGGTGCCCAACCAATCTGTGGAAACCTAGGTCTGCTATTTATATCACATAAACTATTCGATTCCGGATCGACCAAGATTGAGTTTTCGAGCATACATTCAATGGATCCATCCATAGGTGTATGCTAGGGGGATGGCTCAACTGATCCATCCATCAATGGATTTGTAATAATGGATTGATGGACATCTTAGCATCAACGGCTCTGCCACCCACCGGAATTCGTAGCTCCCCACTACCCGGAGGCTCCACCATGTATTAGATGATGCGGAGCTCCGCCCGTCTCGACATCGAGAAATTTCGCCTGAGGATTGGCGGGACGTACCGGAAGGGCGCCCTTTTTCTAAACCTTCTTCGCCCAGAAGTACCTCGGTATGGCTGATGTAGATGTTAAGATGAGGCCTGGTGCACAATTATTCTTGTCGTTTATACCTCGGTACATATTAATCGGTCATTTTTGTATGCATCTATGGTGACGGAGACATGCTTACAAAGTTTCGTTTTAGAGCAAAGTTCCTTCCATGGATCAATGTTCGAGTGCATATCTTTTGATGGTAAGTAATGCCATCCATGAATCCGGGTATCAAGGAGCACGTATCCCTCTACTTCTCATGAGTGGCTTCAGTAAGAATATACAAGTGTAGGAAAAAGATCAAGATGGCAACCCGCTTAAAAGAGCACAAATGACGTATGCGGTCAGGCCCTAGCAGGACAGATAAAGGCGAGCCCCTGACCTTACGTGTAAGCGACGACCAGAGACGGGTTGTTATCGACGTGAATTGTTCAGATCGAGAAACATAAGTAGCCAGACGGAAGAGAGGATTCTACATATTCTTCACTATCTAATAACCTGCCACGAAGTTGACAATATTTATTTCTATAGCTGTAAATAGCTACATGACAGCTTTATCACCACTTCCAACTATATACAAGATTACGTACTATATATATCAGTGCTTCATATTGATATCAGCTGTTTTCTATAGTTGAAAGTAGCTGGATTACAGCTTCATGGCCATTTCTAAGTGCTCGTGAGATTGGGGTCTGGCCATCATTATCCCTTATATTGATATCAATTTTCTTTTCTGCCAATAGGAGCTGTATAATAGCCCTATGGCCACCTTCAGCTGCCCATGAGATTGGGGTCCGGCCATAACAATCCTTTACATTGATATCGAAGTTTTCTCTTGCTAGAAGTAGCTGGGTAATAACTTCATGGCCATTTCTGACTGCCCGTGAGATTGGAGTCTGTCCATTGTTATCCTTTATATTGATATCAACATTCTCTATTGCCAGAAGTAGCTGGATAATAGCTTCATGGCCATTTTCAGCTGCCTATAAGATTGGGGTCTGGCTATGCTCATCCTTGATGTTGATATCGACATTCTCCATTCCTAGAAGTAGCCGAACAATCGCTCCACGGCGATTTTTAACTGCATAGAAGATTGGAGTCAAGCCACTATTATCCTTTAAGTTGATATCAGCCTTCTCTACTAGAAGTAGCCGAATAATAGCTTCATAGCCATTGCTAACTCTGTCGAAGATTAAAGCCGGGAACCTATAGCCATTTCTAGCTGCCCAGAAGATTGGGGTCTAGCCATCATTATCCTTTAAGTTGATATCAGCCATCTCCACTAGAAGTAGCTAAATGATAGCTTTATAGCTATTACTAGCTATATAGAAGATTAGAGTTAAGCTACTATTATCCTTTTAAGTTGATATCAGCCCTCTCTACTAGAAGTAGCTAAGTGATAGCTTCATAGCCATTTCTAGCTATATAGAAGAGTAGGGTCTAGCTACTATCATTCTTTAAGTTAATATCAGCCTTCTCTACTAGAAGTAGCTGAATGATAGCTTCATGGCCATTACTAGCTACATAGAAGATTAGAGTCGAGCTACTATTATCCTTCAAGTTGATATCAGCCTTCTCTACTAGAAGTAGCTAAGTAATAGCTTTATAGCCATTACTAGCTACATAGAAGATTAGAGTCCAGCCACTATTATCCTTCAAGTTGATATCAGCCCTCTCTACTAGAAGTAGCCGAATGATAGCTTCATAGCTATTACTAGCTATATAGAAGATTAGAGTCCAGCCACTATTATCCTTCAAGTTGATATCAGCCCTCTCTACTAGAAGTAGCCAAGTGATAGCTTCATAGCCATTTCTAGCTATATAGAAGAGTAAGGTCAAGCCACTATTATCCTTCAAGTTGATATCAGCCTTCTCTACTAGAAGTAGCTAAATAATAGCTTCATAGCCACCTCCAGCTACATAGAAGATTAGAGTCAAGCCATTATTATCCTTTACTTTAATATCAGCCTTCTCTACTAGAAGTAGCTAAATAATAGCTTCATAGCTATTACTAGCTATATAGAAGATTAGAGTCAAGCTATTATTATCCTTTACTTTGATATCAGCCTTCTCTACTAGAAGTAGCCAAGTGATAGCTTCATAGCCATTTCTAGCTACATAGAAGAGTAGGGTCTAGCCACTATCATTCTTTAAGTTGATATCAGCCTTCTCTACTAGAAGTAGCTAAATAATAGCTTTATAGCTATTACTAGCTATATAGAAGATTAGAGTTAAGCCACTATTATCCTTCAAGTTGATATCAGCCTTCTCTACTAGAAGTAGCCAAGTGATAGCTTTATAGCCATTGCTAGCTATATAGAAGATTAGAGTTAAGCCATTATTATCCTTTACTTTGATATCAGCCTTCTCTACTAGAAGTAGCTGAATGATAGCTTCATAGCCATTACTAGCTACATAGAAGATTAGAGTCCAGCCACTATTATCCTTCAAGTTGATATCAGCCCTCTCTGCTAGAAGTAGCCGGACGGTAGCTTCATAGCCACCTCCAGCTGCCCAGGAGATTGGGTCCGGCCATCACTATTCTTTATGTTGATATCAACCCCATATGTCGCCAGAAATAGCTGGACAACAGCTTCATGACCGCCTCTAGCTGCTAATGAGATTGGGGTCTGGCCATAACTATCTTTGCCGTGAATCTCGGAAATTGCAGTTGGCATTTGCGCAAGACCCTAGTCAAGGAATGTAAGAGTCCATACCCTGATAGTATCTGGATTAGCTTCGTCGATATTGGGGTTTCAACTATATCATCCTCAATCTCTTCAACATGCTCTGCCCATCGTTGTATAATCCGATTTGACGGCCAGTGGAACAATTCCAAAAGGTCCTTGTGCTCGATACCTTTGGCCTCGCAATGAACACAGTGCTTTATCCAGTTCAGTATCGCATACTCGAAGAACGAGACAGCATCGTCCCATCTAATAGTAAGGATATCCGGGTCCTCCATGGCCAGAGAGCGGATACAAATTCGCGATAATTGATGGTGGGCCTCCCCAACCGCTCTGTCGGCTACGGTTGAGGTTTTATCAAGCTTCAATAAGCCTTGGCCTAAAAGTAGTCCTTGACAGATTGGTGGATAAATTGTACGATCCCGGTACCTCGCGATAATACTCCGTATTTGCTCTTGAATGATGCCACCTCAGCGAGACCGCGGCTGAGGCGCATGACTTGTGTTTCCATATCCTCCAGCTCATACACCATTCCTTGATCCTGGTATTCTTTTAGCGACCGATAATCAGATTCAGGATCGATTGCCAAGGCCCAGCGCATTACATCAAGAGTAAACGGATGCTCAGCAAAGCAAACCCAACGGATAAGCTTCAGAGATTCGTCATCCATATCGGCGATAAGGTCGTTATAGAGGTCATCTAGTTCGGCAGGTGTGCGAGAGATCTCCTTCTCAATTCTTTGTAGAGGCAGGCGTTGTCGAGCTAGATCTTTCGCCTTCTTCACTACAAGATGGGCCCACATGAACACTCCACGGGCTCGCCTGGCAATCATATCGGGTATCTGCGATTTCATCAGTGTTGGTGATTTCGAGAATTGCCTTTGTATATAGCTCGAGATATCGTTTTCGTTTTCATCCTCTGAGCAGATCTGGAATACGGTGCAATCTGGGTCAAGAATGGGGTAATGGCGGCAGGTGATGAAAACTCGGAGATGTGCACTTTGCGATTGGTTCTGAAGCCAATCAAACAACTCGACTGCATTGTCTTCGCCACACTCGTCTAGAGCATCCACGTACAACCATATAGTGTAGGTTTCGAGGAGCTTGGGTAGAGATGACTCGACAAAGTGTTTCAAGTGGTTTATGTGCCAGTCCCATTTCTTACCAACATCACCAATATCCCTCTGATTCTTTTCAAACATGGATATTAACTGGGGTATCGCCTGAGGACTGATTCTGAGGATCTGATGTAAGATGGACCGAAAGAATCCAAGGAGGCTCTTCTGTAGAGGGTCGCCACGGCCATGGAAAAAGAACTGAAGAACCAGGTCTTTCTCCTGAGGTATAACCTGGCTAAGGGCGTGTTTCAGCAAGGTAGACTTTCCTGATCCCGGCTTCCCTTTAATCCAAAGGAGACCAAGATCGCCAGGAGCAGTCGTCCAGGCATTGTATTGTTGGTGACGCAGAAGCCACTCGCAAGTTCCAGGCGCGGCACGTTCGACATCATTCGATCGATCAAGCATCCTCTCAAAGGCCAGAGACTTCATACAATCTCGAGTAACTTCTGAGAGCTCAGTGGAGACTTCTGGTGGATTCGGACCTTGAAAAGTTAGCTTTACTCGCTATACGGATGAAGATTCAGAGCATCTCACTAATATTTGTTGGCGGCAAAACGGACAAGAGCTCTTTGGCATATGCTGCTGCGGTCATAGCGGCGTATCCCTGCCACTTCTTATTCTTATGTGAGTCGGCATAGTCGCAAATTCCGCGAATGACCAGAGCTTGATAATTTACTAGTACCCCTGCAGATTCCATCTCATAGGCGATACTCCGAAATCTTTCATATAGGTGGTTGCGCTCCTTGGTTGAGATGACAAGTGAGTTCCCTGAACATATAGTTCCATAATGGATGCGAGGAAGGTCTGGAAGACGTTTAGCTGCGTCTCCACGGTCGCGCCGCGTATGTCGTTCGTTTGGGTCACAGTCTTCTTCACAAAGCTTATTATCATCTTTGTGACGGTAATCCTTCGAGAAGAGGTAGTCACTCTCCTCGCCTGGATACTCAAACTGCCCCTTCTCTGTTTCTGAAAGTTTCTGTCGTAGCTCTTGTAAAATGCCAGGGATTGATATTCCTTGCTTCTGATAGTGTTGAGCTTTCAAGTTGTTTACAGCGGTAAGGAGAGCAGATGAAGGATGAAGTAAATGGCCGCTATGGGTAAATTTACCCTCTTGAACGGCCCCAAAGTCATGTTGCGCGACTCCCCTTCAGTCCACTGAGGGTAGCCGACGACGACATCGCCTAGAACGACTTGTTCTTGCAGATTTAGACCATAGGCTGGTGTGCCGCCTGCTATCCCGACGACCAAAAGGTGTTTGACATTCGGAAAGGACCGGTGTATGTTGGTGGCGAGTATAGCAGCTGGGTTCGTACCAATCATTGGGCAGACCGCAGCCACTACCCAGTGATCCCAGATCTTTCCAACATGATACATGGTCTCATCCCCGTCGATAGGTATCTTGGTGTAATTTTCGAGGAGGGCGATGACGGGTGCGAGCTCCAGCGCCATAGGGGCAATCCATCCCACGGTGACCCTAGGAATAGGCGATGCCATCTTTGGAAAGGGATGGCGCGTGGTGGGGCGTACACCCGAGTGCCTGCGTTGACTCTGTTCGATGATGATAAGAGAGAGATGGAGGAGGAGAGGCGGGGGACGTGAGGGGTAAATTCATGGCAGCCCAATGTGGCGTGGCATAGCTGCATTGTCGCAGAGCCTGCTGAGCCTGACCATCAGCCCGCGACTGGCTTGAAGGAAGTGCGATCTGCGAGTGCTCTTTCCCCGCCCAATGGTGGGATGTAATCAGCCGAAACTTATCCTTTGACCCAATCATCGCGTTCGTGTCTGGCGATGATGAATAGACTGGTATCGAGGCATAGTTCCGTTGTGACGGCTTGGCTTCACAAAGCCAGAAGAGCCAATACGTAAGCCTCGTAGGGAGATGCGGGGCTCGTTGCAGGGCGATTACTATTTTGTGTCTGTCGGTCTCTTCTGCTGATAGAGGTATATCTCTGGTCGATTTTTATCTTTCAAGTCGCTCCAAACCCGTGACTCGGAAGCTAACACGCCAAATCACCGTATTTCGGGCATATTCAAGTACACTAGTAATAGATTCGCTACCGCTCACCGGGAACGTCGGTGCCCCACTACCCGGCTCCACCGCCGACTTCACAATGCGGTACTCCGCCCATCCCTGCGTCGAGCAATTCAAACCGGAACTCGGCGGAGCCTATCGGAAGATTTGGGCCTTGGATTACGGAAATATTATCCCCCAAGTCTAGTTATCTTCCGTCAATAGACGGGACTAAAGTCGAAAAACATCATTATCGGCTGCTTGAGTTTTGGGTGCCTGACGAACGAGATATATCCATTCGTTGTCTTCGCTGCCAGGGCGCACACCTAAATAGCACGAGAACCCTTTGGTGGCTATTAAAAATATCACCTTGATCAATTTTTCAATTTATTTTTCAATTTTATTAATTGATTATTTATGCCAAATTGCTTCACCTCGCGCTGAGAGGCAAGCGACCTCACGGACCAGCTCGGTTTGGATCCGGGGCGGCCTCGCTCCAAACAGGCCCACCCGGTGCCACATACTTTTGCTGCCCTTGGTTCACTTTCCAAAGCGCAACCAGAATCTACCGAAAGAATTAGCCACGAATACTCTTGCGTGCTCTTCTCTCGAACTCGGTGGGGGCCAATTATAACTAGAAAGCTACTCACCCCATCCTCATCTTGCGGATTATACGCGCCCGGCAACGCCACGCCTTCGGGCAATTGAGAAGAGCCACCCTCCGTCACGCGAATCTGCGTGCAGCTCGGGTAGAACTGGGCGCCCATGGCCTTTTCGGCCACGTGGAGACCGAGGATCTCGTGGCGCAGGAGGTATTCGCCCGGGGCCAGCGTGGGGGATGACGACGGACCATTGGGCGCCGAGCTCGCGGAGGAGGTCCGAGGCCCACTGGGGCTGGGCGGCGGCGTTGAAGCCGAGCTCGGAGATCTTGACCCATACGTTGCCTTCGTTGCCTTTAAAGGTTTTGCAGTCGTCGTTTGTGCAATGGGCGAGGTAGCTACGGGGTGATGGGTGTAGGGGTTAGCTACAAGAGGTATAGATTTGGTTGGGCTGGAGTGCGGGTGCGTTATTGTAGACACCGACGTACTTCATTACTGGTCCGCTGTGGGAGCTTCCCCACTGATCCCACTTCAAGGTACTGTTGGTGATGGTGTCACGTTAGTAGTTGGCTCTTCTTATGAGTGCTTGTGCTGTGTGTGTAAGAGTAGCGCGGAAAAACACTCACACCTTGTCGCCGGCCTTGAGTTCAATGACACCTTCGGCTGGTATATTACCACCAGCGCCACACCTGAGAGTCATCGATGCACTGTCAGCTTCGCATGTCATGAAAGCGTAGTCCTCCCGAAAGCAGCAGGAAAGCCTCACGTAATATCCGGTCCGGTGAAGTCGGGCACCGGACCAACGTCTAATAGTCGGCGGGCGTATCGGGCCGGCGCGGGTGTGACAAAGTCATCCTGTCCCACCTGCCATGCCAAGTAGTCCTTGCCGCTGACCTGGATGCTCTTGAGAGAGCCGTGGCAGAGGCCCGGGCCGGCAAATGTTAGGGCGAGCGCGATCGCGGCCTTGAGCACACGAACCATCCTGCAGGTGTTACGAGGGGTATTCGGTGCAAGTGGACAGGAAGCAAGGGGGTGGGAGGAGAGAAGAAAAATGTCGACTTGGGACGCGAGCGAAGCAAAATGTCATTGGGGAGGGATGGGATCGTGATATGTATCGGTTGATGACCCCAGTACATGAGGCGAGAAATGGGACTCGCCGCTCAACGCCACACTCTCGCGCGTCGCAAATTGAGTTCGGCCCTTGCGGCGACATTTAGAAATCCCGGGTCATTACCCAGAGGGGTGGTACAGCCAGGGGTGGTCCCGACATTGCCGTGATATAAGGCGTGCGTCTGATTGGCTTGGCGTGGTGGTTTCTTCCGCAAAAGTCGGAGGATCGAAATCCGTGGCCGAAAACGAGAGTGTGTAAAGTTATTTAGGGATGAGAAAAGGTGAAAAGTAAATGGATATGTTAGGATGATCGGTATGCAATATATGGACATGTAAATTATGCGAGGAAGCTAGATGCTCCTCTTTCCTCGGGTTTTGATCATAGCGTCTCTTCTTTTCCCTGGTGATCCACGCCTCCGGAGAGAAGTGTATAGATTTGCTCGACTTCGGTCCTATTCATAAAGTATGTTCTGTCTCTTCTCTTTCGGGGTGATGATGAAGCTGGCTGATGGGTGGTCGCAGAATTCAGAATTGTGAATTTGGAGAGATAGCTCCGTGCAACCCGGATGCTCGCGACTATTGCCCTTCGAGGAAGAAATGGAAGCAGACGGTCCTCCAAGACCGGAACAACACATTCCTTACCTTGCGTCTTGTTTTCTCGCCGCTCCTGTTTTCTATTCCACCGCTTTAACGCCGAGATCTTCTAATCGGGTATTCTTCTACACAAGTTGGCTCGTGTTTGGTCAGCCCCCAGGTATCACGATATAGTACATGTGCCGTCGGCAAGTGTCTTCTGTAGGCTTCACCCGCCATACCAGTAAACCCGTGATTGGGTCGACGAATCCGGGGACATGGGGATCACAGCAACGGCACGTGGATGGATTGTGGGGGCTCCGGCAATCAAGGGCGCACGCCCATCTTCCGCCTTGGCAGCGGTCGCCGTAAGTCTTGGTTTCTTGCCTTTCCCCACACGCTGGATTTGTATGGCTAGGGACGGTCGTGTGTTTGTAAACGCTGGGGAAACTGGCTGAATAGGAACAAATGGCGGCTACATGTAGGGATAGGAGGGACTCTTCACTTTCTGGAATTTGCGACGTGGTTCTATATAACAATCACTCGACCTCCCGCGATGATCTCTTGGTCTGGAATCCCAACCATACTCTTTTGTCAAAGAACAGCCCTATTCTGCACCAAATCCTCGTCAAAGAGAGATCCGTTTCAAGTTTACCAAGATGAAGTTTTCCGCGGTCCTCGCTCTCGGCTATGCCAGCCTCGCTAGCTGCCACACCATCTTCCAGGTCAGTCCCAGCGTTCAGTAATCAAACGACATGTCGCTACGAACTAAAGCTTTTCACTTGTTCTCTACTTCTTTTCCTTTCCCATCTCTTCGCTTCCAGTGTAGCTAACGTTATACCCTCTCACCACAGAAAGTCTCCGTCAACGGACAAGACAAGGGCCAGCTCGTCGGCCTCCGCGCGCCCGACCAAGACTACCCGACCCAAGACGTCAACAACCCCGACATGACATGCGGCAAAGTCGCCCTCACCTCGCGCGAAGTCATCTCCGTGGCGGCCGGGGACAAGGTGGGCGCGTGGTGGGGCCACGTCCTGGGCGGGGAGCAGTGGCCCAACGACCCGGACCACCCGATCGCGCGCTCGCACCACGGACCCATCACGGCGTGGCTGGCCAAGGTGGATGACGCGGCCAACGCGCAGATTGGGCAGAACTTGCAGTTCTTCAAGGTGGCCGAGGACGCGTTCGATGTGGGGAGCAAGACGTGGGGGTGGATACGATGGTAGCGAATGAGGGGTGGAGCTACTTTACGATGCCGACGTGTATTGCGCCGGGCGACTATATACTCCGCGTGGAGCTTATTGCCCTGCACGGGGCGGCCAACAGGAATGGAGCGCAGTTTTATATTTCGTGTGCGAACCTCCGCGTCTCTGGCAGTGGTAGTTTTACCCCGGCCCAGACGCAGAGCTTCCCTGGCGCGTACCAGCAGAACGATCCTTCTATCCAGACTAACATCTGGGGTGCGATTCCCGATGTGGCGGATAACCAGGGAAAGCCTTACCAGGCACCTGGTATGCGCCCGATTACTTGCTAAGTAGAGTATGAAAGACGTGGGAGCGCTTGACTTGGTGGCTAGGGGTTGATTCTACTTCGGGATCTTGGTTTTTTATCAGCGGCTGGAAGGTTGATAGCCATTGACTACATGTAAAAGACGGGTCTAGTAACCCTTATTCACCTGGATCACCTAGCTAGGAATCATCGATATAATGTCAACCTTCTATTGTCTCTAAACTAACTGCCGACTTCCAGACTTGGGGTGCACTTGCATCTCGGGCCGTATACCCTTGACATCCAACTCGATGATACCACTAGAAATGAAGTTGATGACTCCCTCCGAAACTCTCGCCAACAGACCTTTCATTTTTTTCTTCTCGTATTGAAGCTATCTCTATATCCTGCATGTATGCACAGATCAATCCTGAATCTACATAATTGATACCTTGTTCCCCCGGCCCCACCTCTCACAGAAACCTTGAGTCACCAACCATCTGTCGGCCATATCTTGCCTGAGGCTCGTGTGACTCCCACTGGCGGGTTACACGCAGGCACAAATTCAATTCCAGGTGAGTCAAAACTGCGTCGCAATCGCCCGTTGCCTACAAGGAAAAACACCATAACGACTTGCGGAACGAATCCAACCAGTGAAGATAATTGATTGGAACACCGTCTACACTATTCTTCTTGGCAGCCGCTGCGGATAGAAATGCGCTTCCGCAGGGGCATCACCTTAGCCCGTCCCCACTGCCTTTGCCCTGCGTGCATTATCATCGGCGTGGGTCGATATCTCAAAACCCCTCGCAAGACGAACCCTGTCGAATTAGCCCAGCTGGAGAGGGCAAAGTGGACGAGGTGGCCCAGGAACGTGCATCCGCACCCGCTCTCGCGACCAGCGGCTTCGTTGGTTCGTTAGTGGCTCAGCCGCACCGCCCAGCTTCTCCCCCAGGCCACCATCCCCAAACAGGGACGCCGAGTGACTGTTCCGGCAAGGATCCTTTCGAGGGGTTCTCTTCATGACGACGCTAGATTCTAGATGCATGAGCAAGGCCCGTTGGAGTCTGCGAAATAATTAAGATTATTGCAGACGCCACGGGAGAAAAACATAAAAAGGGGGATGCACCCTGGAATGTTTGCCATTGTTCCCTCTATCCCGACAGTGATATATACTTGATCTCGAATCCCGACTGGATCTTTGCAGGCACACACTCTTGACTTTTCGTACTACGATAGTATTTGGGCGCCTTTTACTGAGTTGGACCAGGTTACCCCCAACCCCCACACCTTCCAGCAGAATCGTCGCGGTGCCCTTGCGCATTTTCTACATCGTGAATGAAAAGTCATACATACTGAGGTCCGCCCCCTCCTTTATCTCGGAACACCACCATCGCAGCCGGCACCGCCAAGCGCAGCGCTCGCTCGCCCAAACCCCCAGTCCGCAATCATGGCAGCCGCCACAGCGACCAGCTCTTCCAAAATCTATGATTTCCTCATCCTCGTCGACGCGACCGCGTCCATGGGCGGCTTTCTCGGCGCTCTCAACTCCTCCCTCCCCGAAATCATCCGCATCTCCGCCCTGACCGATTGTTTCGCCCGCATCGGCGTCGTCGCCTACCGCGACTACTGCGACGGGCCGAAGCTGCTCGAGTGGTCTGGCTGGTGCTACCCGTCCCCCAGCTCCGTACGACCGGCAGGTGATGAAGTCGTCGACGACGACCCCGCGGGAAGAGCGTGACGCAGGCGGAGCTGCTCGAGTTCGTCGCGGGGCTGCGGCCCATAGGCGGCGGCGACTACCCCGAGGCGGCGAAGACGGGCTTGGCCATGGCCCATCAGGTGATGCGCGCCGACGCCACCACCATCATGATCGTGTACGCGGACGCCCCCGCCCACTTCCCCCACAGCGGGGGCAGCGACCGGCTCAAGGAGATCAAGGCCCTGACGGCCCATTCGTACGGCGGGCACGGCAAGAAGTTCGCCGATTGGGTCTCGGCCGCGCGCACGCTCGCCGGCAAGGATGGCGGCAAGAGGGCCCGCGTCCACACCATTCTCAGTCCCACTATGCCCGTGGCCACCATTACGTTTAGCTACCTGTCGCTCGCCACGGGCGGCTTGTGCATCGGCCTCCCGAATCAGCGCAAGGAGACCATTTCCGAAGTCACCATCGGTATCCTCCTCGCCTGGATGGGGATTCCCTCGAGCGGGACGTCCGTGATCGGCAAGTTTGTGAAAAACGCGTGGCCCAAGCCGCAGCAGCTCGTCGCCATCAAGGATGAAAAGGTCTTTGACAAGACGAACCTCTTCAGGCGGGGAGCGCGCTGTCCGCGGACAACTTCGCCACGAGCGCCGATGAGATGGACGTCGCCGAGCTCGCCCAGGCCGTGGCGCGCCGCAAGGGCGTCGACGCCGCGGACTTTTCGAAGCGGTACGCCGCGGACCCGGACTACGCGCGGTTCGTGACGGGCCAGCTGCGGGGCATCATCACCGAGAACGTGACGGCCATGACGGTGAACCCCGTGTTTGGCACGTTATGGCGCACCGTGTGCAACGACCGCAAGAACCCGATGCGGGACGAGCTCATCCAGCTGTTTGGTAGTGAGGTGGAGAAGCTGAGCGCCGCGGCCGACGAGAAGCAGAGGATGAAGACGTGGCTGGAGGAGTCGTACAATTACGTGCAGGACATTGAAAACGCCGTGGCCGCGGTCCCTGACGAGGACCAGTTCCCCTGCGTGTACCTCGACCCCACGCAGGACTTTTCCGCGCTTGGAAGCGATGAGGATGCGGATGCGGATGCGGAGGAGGCGAAGCCGATTAACCAGTTTACGCGTAATGAGCTCTTGGAGATTGGGCGCTCGTGCGATTACAAGATTCTTCGGCGTCTCGGCAAGGTGTTGACGCGCCTTTCCTACGCCGAAAAGGCCGAGGACTTGCCCCAGCATATCCGCGAGGCTGGTACGGACAAGGTGCCCCGGATGCCTCTGGCCCTGGCGAGCAAGGACCACGAACGCCAGTTCTGGACGATGCTGTTGCATACCGTCCTGCCCGGAACTATGCTCGGACGGCGGCCTGCCGCCCTCTTGGCCGCGCTCGCGCTACGAATGGGGATGCGGGCCCTCTTGGACGCGGCGGACGAGGAACTCCGCGGGTACAGGCCTTACTGGAACACGATCGAGATCCCCGAGACGTGGAACCTAGGCTGCCTGGGCCTCTTGCTCGACGCTGACGACAACTTTGCCCAGCGGGTGCGCGACGGCGCGTCCAAGCCCCGGCCGACGACACGGTTGGAACACTGCTCCTACCCAAGGACAGGGCGCTGTTCAAGACGCTGGTGGACTACAAGATGCTAGAGCTCAACCTCAAGACCACGCTCACCGCCACGGTAGGCTGGAGCCCCGACAAGGCCAAGGCCGCCATGGGCCCCGTGGTCGTGTGCCGCCAGTGCGCGTTCCCCGCTCCGTGACCATCATGTCCCACAACGGCGTGTGCGGCCTATGCAGCGCCGAAACCGACTGGTGTGACTGCAGCGCGTGCCAGTCCTCCCAGGAACACGATGCGCGCCTAATCCATGGCGTCACGCGCGCAGACACGGCTGCCACAGCCGCCACTTGGGTCGAGTGCGGGGTGACGACGTGCCGTGCGCAGTACATCGTTTATAACCCGCAGGCTCTCAACGTGCGCGCCAAGTGCTTCTACTGCCGGCACTCGTCTGCCGTGGCGGCCAAGGATGCTCTCCTACCCAAGGCGCGGAGGAAGGGCGTGGAGGAGCCGCCGCTGGTTGAGTGTACGGGCTGTCTGAATCGCATGATTTATCCCAAGGAGTATAGGCCCAAGGGCTTCGACGAAGCGGCGTGGCGGTGCCCGCACTGCGAGGGAGGTGCCGTGACGACGGTGGTGAAGGCGGAGACGACGGCGCAGAAGTTGGCGGATGAGAATGGGGCGGATTGGCTCCTCGTGAATAAGGACGGGGCGCTGCGTGAGCCGTTCAATGGTCGCACGCTCTTACGCGGCGTCGCACTGCGACTTGGAGAAGCTGGCGGACAAGGTGAGCGTTCTGCCGGCGATGGCGGACGCAACGGCGCTCACGCTGCGCGGCAAGACGATCCAGAACGAAAACGAAGTCAAGGAGGCGCTACGAGGCTGGATCCTCCGCCGACGCGCCGAAGGCGCGCAGTGCTCCCTGTGCTTCTCGACCGTCGGCCGCAGCGCCATCCACCCAGCGTGCGGCCGGCGAGGATGCGGCCAGCAAATCTGCGGCCCGTGCCGTAAAGCATGGTACGGCATCAACGGACAGGGACGCATCATCAACGTCGCCGCGCTCTCGTGCCCCTTTTGCCGCCGGTTACCCGCCCCAACGGCAGTCTCGGCCTTTGGACTCACGCGGCTCGGCCACGCGCGCGACGCCGTACGACACGCGGGGTCCTGGATCTACGCGTGGTGTCGCGAGTGCGGGTTCGCGCGGCAGTTCATGGAGCGGTTGTGTGCGCGGGGCGCGCCCGAGGAGTTACGGGGGTGGACGTGCGGGGGTGTAATGACGCGCGGGAAGCTATTCTGCGGCAGGCGCGGGAGGCGGCGCAGGAGTACGCGCGCACGGGAAGGCGGCGGGAAGAGGCGGAGGCAGCGGCGCGGGCGGCGGGGCAACGGTGGCGGGCGGATCCGCGGGCGCCGAAGCTGTGTCCGGCGTGCGGGGTCATGACGGAGAAGACGGACGGGTGCGATCATATTAGTTGTCCGTGCGGGGCGCATTGGTGTTATGCGTGCGGGGAGAAGCAGACGGAGAGGACGATTTATACGCATATGAATGAGGTGCATCGGACGTTGTGGTATGGGGGATGATGATGATGATTACTGAGGGGGGTATGACTTTTAGAAGGTAGTCGTTGTCACGAAGATTATTGTTTAATTTATAGAAGCAAAAAATGCAAGACTTTATGAATCTAGTGTTACTTCCTTGATCGTGAAACCATCTACCTTGCCTTTTTAACGCAGTCGTAACGTGATGCGGAAGGTTGTTGATGACCTCGAAGCGTCAAACACCCCATGTGCATCGAGCGATTTTCCTCCCAGTCTCAGGAACGCTGCCTCCGCCACACCCAAGCGAGACGCCGTCCCACTCACCCGTTCTAGGAATTGTTCCAATTTCGGGCCCTCGGGCACTTCGTCCGGCGCGGCAACGAGGCTCAGGCGTACTTTACTTTGCGCGTTGGGCGCGAGGTGCGCGACGAGGCAGAACGCGTGGCTGCCAGCAGCGCCGGCGAAACGAAAGAGCACCGCAGTGGAGAAACCAGAGTCATTTGCGCCCTCGACCGGGGTTCGCTGCGGCGGTACGAGAAGCGTGAGAGTCTTGACGGGCCCCATGTTCCACATCTCTGGTGGGTGAGCGCCGATAAACTCAAACGTGGGCGGCAAGGGCCCGACGCGCCCGCGGATATGGCACTTGAGGGGCGGAGCAATCGTGTCGCGCTGCCGGTCCCTCTTGGCGAGGTAGATGCTCCTCAAGGAGTGCTGCATTTGCGCATGGTCTCGCACGGGAATAGACACAGGCGCAGCGGGTAGTCGTGCGTACGCGGCCGGGCCGGCGGTTGGGTCCAGGGCGGCGGGGATGCCGATGAGGCTGTCGACGTCGGAGGCCTTGTAGCACGAGAGAACGACGAGAGATTCCCCGGGCCGCTGCTGGAGAGTCACGACGGGGACGGAGATTTGCACGCCGCGGTTCGTTAAACTGTAGGTCGTGCTCTGCGCGGCGGTGCTGGGCTCGACGTCGGCGCTGTCGGCGAACAAGGCGGGCGAGGTCGCAAAAGCGCCGATGCGACTGACCGAGTCGGGCTTTCCGGCGGCGTCCCAGGCAAAGATGGAATGGTCGTCGGACTCGTGAATGATTTCCTCTTGCAGGCGGAGAAACGCGTTGTCGCCCTCGCCGTAGAGCATGGCCATGTTGACGCCAAAGATGCCGAGCAGGCAATAGGCCATGTCCTCGACCCTCGTCGTCACGCGGCCCGCGGCCCAGGCCATGCGCTGGGCGATGCTGGCAAATGGCCACTCGCCCGAGAGGATGACGTCCTCGCCGATGCGGGTGCGCGCCGAGATGCGCGCCGAGAGGTCTGCCTTGCTCCCGAGCCAGTCCCAGTTCGTGTCGAAGAAGTCGAGGTGGCGCGGGGCCAGGAGCTCTTGTAGGGTCCAGCCTCGGGTGAACCACCGGGCGCTCTCGAAGTCGGCGCCGACTTTACCTGCGGAGGGGCAGTTTCCTTTTCTTCATCCCCGGTCGTACGCTGCACGTCTTCTAGGACGGCGTAGCAGATGACGGACTCGCGGTACCACCGGAACATGGAGTTGATGGCCTCGGACAGCTCGGAGCTGCTCGTCTTGTCGATGCAGCACGTGTCTACCCAGAGGTACCGGACAGGCTGGGGAGTAGTGCGATGCGAGCCGCGAGGGCATCGCGGAAACCGACAATCTTGCGCCAGCCACGTTTTGTGCTGAGGTCCTTGTCGCGGTAGGTGACCTCCTGGAAGGTCACTTCGTCCTCGCCCCACGTGTGGGAGAGGATGGCGTAGGGCGGGATGGTCCCGTAGAGGAAGCTTTCTAGCTCTAGCGTTTCGATATTGATCAACCTCATTGCGGCCGGTTAACGGGACGGGTCACAGTATCAAGGGGGATGCTTCATAGGCAAGCCGTTTTTTTGTTCTTTTTTTCCCTCTCCTAACCACAGCGTGATGCGTACAGTTGTTTTTTGTCAATCCCGTTTGCGTGGAGAGTTAACTTGCGAGCTATTGTGGTTTGATGAGATTTTGCGTTTGCCCTTGTGCACTGCATGAGAAAGGGGTTCAAAAGCAGCCCCTCAATCGCCGTCGGTGAAATTCGGCCGTGCTGACATGAGGCCGAAATAGTCTTAACCCCGATTTGCGGCAGTCACTGGCGAAGCCTCATGACAAGATGCTTATCAGTGAAGGTTTTCAACATGGATGATGCAATAACAGATTCTTATTCTTTTCGTTCCGACAACGAAAAATAGAGAATCTAGGTTCAACTCTGGTGTAACACGGCCCGGCTCGCGCTGTTAACGCTGTATAACCCAAGACCCAAAGTCCAATCGTAGGGTTAGTGATCCACTTCATCTCCTGTCATCAACCGGAGACAATCCCTTTGTACAGTTCTCAGCAGCATACCGCATTTCAGGCATATATTGATGCATATTTTACATTTTGCCACGCTCGCCCAAACCCCTGAACAACTAAACTAGCCAACTCCTTAGCCTTGGTGTCGTGTATCCTTCAAACTTACGCGTATAGTACAAAACCCCTAGTTACGAAGAAGTAAATCGAAATCAACCTCCGGGACCCGAACAACGCCTAAGAAGACCAAATATACCTCGCTCACTTACTCACCATCTTTCCTATCTTCTGTTTACTCCACGGACTGTAGACCCGCCTTAGCCGGCCCGGTGAGACACTCTCCCTCATTACTAAACCGACTCCCGTGAACGGGGCAATCAAACGTCTTCTCACCAGGATTCCAGCACACAACACCCTTCATGTGCGGACACAGCGCGCTCATCTTCGTCACGTTGCCCGCCTCATCCTTGTACACAGCTACAGGCTTTTCAAAAGTCGGGTTCAGCACGCCGCCGCACCCGGGGGCGAGGTCCTCGATGTCGGCGATGTCGGATTGTAGGAAGCGCTTGTACTCTTTGTTGATAGCCAACACGTTTTGCACCACAGTCGGGGCGGATTTGGCGATGGAGACAAGGCGCTTAGGATCGTATAGGCGGGTCCACTCGTTAGTCTTGCCATCGATGCTGTCGGCAATCAGCTTGCCGGCGATCACGCCGTGTGTGAGACCGTTGCCGGAATCACCCGTCGCCACGTAGACCCTCTCGCACCCTTGGTTCTTGCCAATGAAGCCGACGTAGTCGACGGGCTCGTTTATCTGCCCGCTCCATCTGTAATCAACCGACCCGGCCTTGGTGAAGCGCTCTCGCACCCAGTCTTCCAGCTCGGCGTACCTTCCCTCGGGGGTATCCTGCCCGACTCTATGATCGCAGCCGCCAATGATCAAGTAGTCATCACGATCGTCACACTCCGTCAAACGCACGTACTTGTAAGGTTCAGCAGAATCGTAGATGAAGCAGTCCTCAACGGACCCCTTTGGCACGCGGATGGCGAGCGCGTAGGTACGAAGGTACGCCATCTCACCGACAACACTAAGCTTCTGCAGCGGGATAAGCGTAGTCTCGGCCGCATAGGCGCATTCGACGGAGAAACCATCTGCAGTCTCAACCTTGACGCTCTTCTCGCCCGTGCCGAGGAGGCCGCTGCTCGTCTCTTGCACGGACATGACTCTCGTATTGGTGAAGCACTGAAAGTTGGGCTGCGACTGCAACCACTGCAGGATGCCGGTGAGATACAACGTCGGGTGGAAGGCAGCCTGGTTGGCAAAAGCAGTTCCCCCTCGCTGGTCAGGCCCACTATTCCAGCCACGGACGGCCAAATCATCGCGAAACGAGACACTCAACCCAAGCTTCCGGGCAACCTCGGCCTCGCGACGCAAATCAAGCATATCCCGATCACGTCGTTCATCGCCGCGCGGGTACTGCGAAATCTCGTAAGCATCAACGTGGCGGTACTCGCACGCAATACCAAGCTCCTTGGCGATATCCCCGACACGATGAAGCGCCCACGTGTGGCTATCCGCAGCGGCCTGAGCGCCCTCGGCGCCGTGCTTCGCGCGAAGCGCAGTGTAGTGGTCGTCCAAGGCATTGGACAGGTGGCCGCTCGTCCGGCCCGTTTCGCCCGAGAGGACCTCGCGGGCCTCGAGAAGAACAACGTCGCGCCCGCGCGACACCAATTCATAAGCGAGGGAGATACCCGCGATGCCGGCGCCTACGACGCACACGTCCGTCTTGGTGTCGGAGCGCAGCGGGGAGAAGCGCGGGTGGTCGTCGAAGGGGTGCTTGTGCACCCACACGGGGTCGGTGGCGCCTGTCGTGCGCGCAAAATGCTGTTTGGAGGTGTTGGTGGAGGACATTCTGATGGTGGAGGAAAAGCCAGGGAGGATACGGAAGTTCTTATTGGAGATGGGTTTCACAAAGGGGGTGGGATATTTCCGTGGGAGAGGAGGAGTCGCGTTCTAGTGAGGGGACGCAGTGTTCTCATGCTACTGTGCAATGGATGGTTTTGTGTAGGATACCTCTTCCAGACGGATTGCACTGCCCTTCTTGAGGGCAATGGGGAAGAGAAATGATTAAATAGTACGCATTCCGCTAGTATGTCACCTTCTTTCAAGAGCGTAATCAATGCCATTACAATTCGGACTATTCTCATTGGGAGACCGCACGAAGACGGTGAAGGCCTCGCGTCAAAAGGCGTCATGGCGCCGTCAGGTCGGTAACTCAGCTAACAGTATTGTAGCCCGTATTGTTTTTATGGTTAATCGTTGCGGGTCCTCTCCGGGCTCCGAATAGTTTCCGTCCAAACCGTAGGCTCGTTTGTCGCTTTCTCTCCCTCAGGAGAGCCGGGGCGGACGGTCCGATGACGCAATGATGCGGGAGGGCGCCAAACTCTGGCAGCGTGTGCTCTGTGGTCCCCGACGGTCTCACACGGCGGGGTAACAGGGCAACACAACGTTCAGATGTGAATACAAGACTCGATCCCGACAGTTTCCTCCGCGGGGTCGACGGATCGAGCCCGGTTGGTGAGAGGTGAGGGGGGCTTCCTCCGTATACAACCCTGCTTACGGAGATGCACGCACTCCCCACGGAATGAGACCGGCCAGGTGGGTCCGATGCCGAGCGCGACAAGGGGCAATACATATAGAAACCGGATTTTGAACTGTGCCAAAAGATGGAGAAAAATAAATAGAAAGAACAAAAAAGAAGGGGCTCAATGCAGGAAGGCCAGATTCAGATGTGGGCTAGTACAATAGAATTCAATATACAAAAACAAATTGACATAGGCCGACCACAAGTATCTCCGGAGAGGGGACACGAACGAAATTCAAGCACGCGTAGCTAGTATCGAACAGTTTGAAGTATATTTACTCTTGGTGAAATAAAGAAAATGTGGAAATGAAGCAAAGAAGAATAGCTTACACACTAGCTGTCGCGACCGGATATCATAAACAGTCCTCCATACCTCTCAGGCAGAGGACACCACGCTTGCTCTCCTGGAGAGTACCTGGCTCTCTCTCTCCTCATGGGCGAATCTACCACTCTCACCTCACCAAACATCTCTCTTCATCCCGCCTTGCGTGCTCTTTTCTTCACCATCACCGTCTTCGCCTCCCCTATACCTGGCCAACCGTTCCAATCAACGGAATCGTCGTACCGTTCGCCCCAGGGATGGATGATGGCAGAGCAGAGGGCGCCGCAGAGGGCGCGGCGGGAGCGGCGGGGCGGCACCGCCACCAGGGGGCCGCCCGTATTAGTCGGAATGATAAACGCCGCGGAAGCGAGGGGGATCTCGCCGACTACGCCTCCCTGCACCGTGGTCCCGTCGGTACTCGCTGCGGTTCCCGCTGCTACCTTGTTCATGGCAACGACCTGATCGGTGGTGAGCCTATTTAAGAAGATACTTGGTTAGCTCCGAACTAGAAGAAAGCAAGAACGCTCTGCCCCTTGCAAGGCAAGGTCGTAGGCTTCGTTGCGGCGAGAGGAAATGAGAAACACATACGGGTTGACAACCATGACCTGGCCGTTTCGGCAATGAGGTCCCGTCGCACAGTAGAGGAACATGGTGTTGGTGTTGGTCACAAACATGTTGAAGACGCCGACAGTCTGCTGACCTTCCACAAAGGGGATGTGACCGCTGTGCACCGCGCCGGGAAGGGCCGCCTGCAGGGGTTGGCAGGGAGCTTCGGCGGTGCTCTGGGTTACCGTGTGGTTGCCGGAGCTGAACTGGAACTGGATGATGTCTCCGGGCGAGGCAGCGACGACGTTGGGGACGAAGGTGTCCTGGGGTCCACCGACGACGACGGGGATGACACGGGCAAATCGCACGGCGGAGAGAACTTTAGTGAATAATGTTAGTGCCGAGTTGGAAGCAGGGATTGTTGGTTTTGACGAGAATAAGAGCAAGACTTCACACCCCCACTAGACTTCTCTTGCATATCCTCGCACTCTCGTCCTCTTCGAATATGGGATAGCTTACTCGGGACAGTGGAGACAGGGGTTCCAATAAAAATTGAGGCGCGGCCTGCGCCGTCGCGGCGAGGAGGGTGGAAGCGAGGGAGAATCTCATTATGGAATCGATCAAACGGCGAGAAGGAGAAAGGTGTCGTCGGAATGGGTCCTTTGGCGAGGGCGTCGAACAGAAAATTCAAGTGCCGTGTTAAAAACGAGGCCGGCTCAGTGCTGGTTGAAATAACTACCAAAAAATGTAACGTGGTCCTGACCGTTCGCAAAGTAAAAGGATCGAGGGATCGAAATCGAAGATGCGATGGAAAAGAGAGGAAATCAATGCCGGTCTACAGCTCGTTCAGCCACTGCGCTCGCGCGAATATTTGAAAAAAAAGATTTAAAAGAAATGAAGAAAGAAAAAGGAAAGAAACACCAAGATGGAGAAAATGATAAGTATGTCGCTAGAGAAGAGAAGAGAAGAAGGAAAAAAGGGAACCAAGACTTGTTCGACGGGAAGGAGACGGGACGAGATATCAATGTCTGTGGTTCTCGTTGTGGTGGCCGTGTTCTGGAAACATCTGACCAACGAGGGCAGGGGCCCAGGGGCCAAGAGCGGACGAAACCTCTGAAAACTTGGCGAGATGCAACCTGCGTCGCCGCCGTATGCCATGCATGCGTGGACTGTCCACTCTTTTTTCCCTCCTCCTTCTCCCGGAAAAAGTCCCAGCCCACTTTCCCGGCCATGCCTCGTTCGGAAAAATGACCGACGGGAAAGTCAGGGAGAGAGGGAGAGGGTTAGCGTGCAGTGCTGCGTCCAGGCACAACATTGAATGGATCGGATTGATGCGTGCGCATATCAATGGTGTATTCTCAGCGCTTCCGCACCCTGTCTGTTCTGCGGCCCCACTGCGGATTGAGTCGAGGTCCAGACCAGACCAAGTTTCGGCTGGATGGGGATTTTACGTACACTTCTCATTGCGCCTCCTCTTCGCGATACCTCATAAGCAGCGCATTACGATAGGAGAGACCTTGTCCCTCTCATTCGAGCAAGTAGCGGTTTCCAGACTGAGAATCCACTTTGCATTGCCTGACTCGAAACCCACGAAAAGTGAATAACGCGTCACTGGTCCCTGTCTCCCCATCCCCACTTTTTCCAGTCTCGGCGACCGATCGTCAGACGTCGACATTGGTGACTGGGTGTACGTCGCTCCTCGAACCGCGGGGAGTCCCAGGTTCACGTCCCAGGTTGATGTCCCTTGAGGATGTACATGATCACCCTGGCGATTTGGCAGATCTCGGCGTACGCGGCAAGTCTTGGGACGGGGGTAGAAGGGACGGCGAGGAAAAGAGGAGATCAAAGGAATCTTTCCTAATTGGGGAGGGGGAAATCAGTGACGCTGGGAGCTTGGACAGTGGAAGTGGAGGTCGCGAAGAGTCTGGTTGCGATCGGGTTGGGTGGGGACAGGGAAGTCGCAACCGAATGAATGGATCGATCAACTCATGGCCCCCTTGTTTCGAGTCCCGACGCCATGCGATGCTGGCCACGACGATGCACGACCCACTTCGGCAGTGACGGCCATGGTCGGCGGCAAAAAGGTGGAATTGATGTTGGTTCATAGAGTAATTTTTTCCCTTGGTTTTGGGAATGGGAGAGACTGTGAGTCGTTTTTAAGAGTCGGGAAAAGGGACAATTGAATAGAAGCGAACTGGTGGGAAGGAGCTAGCAAGGCTATAAGCCCTCTTGCCCTCAACTCTGATCACCGTGCATCCGCTTTCAAGACACGGAGAAAAGAAGGAGAAAGAGCTACCATTCTCATCCCGCTTCAAATGAACGTAGCAGAGGTAAAATCTCAATCGAGCAGGCACGAATCCAGCCTGGGTTGGTCCCCCATGCGACACTATCAGCTCAACACGATGCGACGGCTCAACGCATGACAGGCGCCACCTGTTCACGTCAACGACAACCACTGCACTTTCTCAAGCCTTGAGCCCTGCTTCCGATCATCGCTCGTCCGTCTTAGCTCACTTGGGAAGAAGACAAGACAAGACCGAAAAAAATGGCGCCACTTGTCTCTACTCGTCATCCTTCCCGCGAAGGCTTTCCCTCCTTCCCCACCTCTGGTCTTCTCCTATTGATAAATGCCATTTGTATGAAGCGGGCTCTACTCGATTTTGATCTTTGCTCGGTTTCAAGACATCAAGAGGGTGGATCCCTTTGGAATCGATGGGCGAATCCGGGGAAGGAGCAGGACGACGGTGGGTTCTAGGTGGGGTGGGGCGGGCGCAATTCCTCGCCAAAAGCAGCAGTTTTTTTGTTTCATGACAGGGTTTGGGCCTGACAATGTGTGTCCGGTGCCAGTGCACGCGAACCGCCCGGCTAAACTGTCTCGTTTCCAACGACACACGGCGGAAGTCGAGACGAGACGGGCGGGAATTCCTGAGCAAAATAGCGGGCCCAACCCCCGTTTCCGTTTCCGTCTCACCGGCCGGTGTTGTGCGTCTACATGTAGTTCGCAATGCATCCACGGATGTCGCTTTCGTCATCGAGTTTGAGTGCATACCAATTCTAGTGAACGCACGGAAGACTCGTAATCGCCACATTTCTGAAGCCTCACGATAAATATTTCAATTATTTGATGGCGTAACACCCTCTTCCACGCATAGCCTCAGAGGGCTTCACGCAGAGAATGTATGCCTCGTCGCCAAAGGTGCCAACACAGAAGAACAAAAAATAGTGGCGTTAAAAATGGAGGGTATTAGTATTGACGTGTGGCGCTCTCGTGACAGAGCCTGGTGAAGCGAGAGGCCGCCGATTGTCGGAGCATGCATGGCAATTGACGTCCCTTTCTTCCAATGCTCTGTATAACTGGCCAATGTTGACAAGACCTTCGATTCGATTCCATCCACCGCCCCCAACCACACACTTGTGCACTACAGACTCATGAGCAGGCTCCATCACCAGGCTCTAACGTTGACATTTAAGGCGGGATCCCCTACCTGCCAAAACTTGCTCTTGTCTCCTCCTCTACACATCCTCGTTTCCTCTCTCCCTTTCGTACGTGTTGATTTGATACCTGAACTCGGACTTGCTGAGTGTTCATGACGAGCAAATAAGGCGGCGTGTAAATCAAGACGCCCGGTGATCCCCTGACATCATCGCAAGGCTACGGCTTACTGGTACCTTTGAAGTCGCGCATACGCCACCATACGGTCCTATACACACGCGGCAGGAGCACAGTGATCAATATTCTACACTTCTGTGACCCATGAGACCCGTATGGCTGCGGCTATGGCCGCGGCCCGCATTTGCAGATCCCACCACACTTTCCGTTAATGGCGTTCCGCGTAAGGCTACGAGGGCCTCATTCAACCACGGTGAGAATCCACTTGCTCTAGTCTAATCTCTCCCTGTTTTCCTCAAGCCGTCTCATCGTTTTCTTCGCTATAACGCACTGCCACCAATTCCCTTGCAATCCCTGCCTACCAACAGCGCCCTACGCCTCCACAGCAGGGAGGACGGGGGAAAGACCAAACCATGTTGAATAACTCGGGCCTCGGAGATACACATCATCCCGTATGCAAAACTTGTGGGGTAGAGGAAGCGGCTAGGGCTCGGCGCCATTCCCGCAAATGCCATCGTCAAGCCTCAACGCAGACGCCTTCCCGCCCGAGAAACCGGCAGCACCTTTGCCCCACGTAAATCATAGAGAACCTACTCATCGTTCTTCAGTTTCTCGTCTAGACCAAAGCTCCGCCACTCTTCAGGAGCCGCGAGACACAAACCAACAGCTAGGTGCGCGTCACGCCGCCGGTTCGTCCAAAAAGACGAAAAAGCCAGAGCACTTTGCCCCGGGGTGAATCAGATATGGGAAATGCCAACAGGCACCATCAGACGATATGAAGCGCATGGTGCAGCGTCCGCTCGTGAATACCTTCTGCGGGGCTGCAGATCCCATTATTGGGGGCGGGCGAATCAAGTAGACTCAGACTCATCCAAGATGCAAAAAGTCTAGCATGCCTTCATCCACGGAGATTCCCGAGCAGGATCAGGCGCGTATAGATCTATGCCTCGTGATGGCCCGTGTCTACCAGCAATAGAGTGCTGATCTCTCATCGCTTGGTTTAAGCTTCTATAGAAACTATTGTAGTAGCGGGTAGAACCGTAGTGGCGTAGCCTGACTCAATTTACACTTCCATAATCGGCCACCGGTCACACGGAAGGATATGTATATTATATGCGCGGTGGGGGCGGAGAGCTCGTGTGCTCGAATATAAAAAGAAAGAAAACTGAAAAAAAAGCCCCGAAACATCGCCCAAGGCGGATACCGAGACCCGTTTTGGGACCAGCACATCGTATCCTGGACAGAGATACAGAGCACGTCAGTACCGAACTCCAAGCCTGCCCACCCTAAAACAAAGCCACCGATGGCGGGCGGGCAGCCCATTTGCCTGCGCACATGCATGATCATTGACCATTCGTAGAGTCTGTACGACACAGTGCACAGCGATGCCAACGCAGAAATGGATCAACCGCAGGGTACTTTGATTCTACTTGATGCATTAGCAAAGAGGAAAAAAATAGGGCTAGCTCTAGGTCTGCCGTAGGCAGCACTGGCAAGTTTCGCAAGAGGGAGCCAGGGAAGGCGAACCCGCGAGCCTTGTGATAAGGGATAGTTTAGCATGATGAAATGTTTCCACCCTCTAATCTTCTCGTAGCTGAAATTCGCCATTCGGAGGGAGTAGCCTGGGAACTTGTACAAAAACTCAACAACTGGACGTCCTCGAATCCCGAGGACCAGCCGCCGAACTGCTCTCCACACGCCCCCTGGTTATCCGCCGCCTTACTTTTTCTCTTGACCCCTACCCGGTAATACCCAAAAACGACACCGAAACGAGCTAGACTCCATTTCCTTTTTCGTTTCTTTTTCCTTCGTTTCTTTTTCCTTCGTTTCTTTTCCCTACAATGTCAGTGAAGGTCATCATCGGGGTGGCGGTAGCCGTCGGGATTATCATCTGCTTCGCGGCCTGGTCCTGGGCTCGCTCGCACAACGGGAGGATCACAACCATAGCGGGAAGAGAGCGCAGAAGACGGGACAGGCGGAGGAATCGACAGATTCAAAGGACGCCCACGACTAGTTCCGACAGGGAGTCGACGCGGCTCCCCAGGAATCCGGTACCTTATCCACCGGGGCCGAGTTCCGTGCCCTCGTATCGGCCTCCAGCACGTCCGCAGCCCCAAGGTGTACCGCGGCGATGGCCCCCGGCGCCGAATATCCAAGGCGCGGGAAGTAGGGTAGGGCCAAACCCTCGCAACCCGAGTCCTGTGGACCCGCCGAGGCCGCCCCCGGCCCGGAGGGTGCCACGTCCCGCCGTACCACCGGACTTCCGCGAGCCGCAACCACCGCCCCCATATACACCAGGGACGAGGGCGGCTGCGCGCTCAGACGGTCCGGTTCCACCACCACCAATCGCGAGGGTGCCAGGTACGGCCCGGACCTCGAGGCCACTAAATACGGACGTGCCAGCGAGCACCCGCGCATCGCACCTACCATCCCGAAATGAGCCAGTGAAAAGAGGGTCTGCAGGACCAGCAGGTCCGGGCCCGATACCGCCAACCCCAGCGGGTGCCACCGCGGCGAGGACCGGGAACAACGCCTCCAGGACTGTGCCCACCCGGCCCGCCCCACAGGCCCGGCGCGGGGCATCGCCCCCGGTCTCTAGCTCGAGCTCCGCATCCGAAACCTCGTCAGAGTCGTCGGAAGACGAAGAATCAACCACAGATTTTCAAACCGCATTCTCTCACGCGCCGCCGCAGGAGCGCCCGAACCCAAACAATAGAAACGGCTCTGCCAACCCTCCTCATGTAAGCCGCGATGCGCAGCCGGGTTATTCAAATAACAATCCGACCACCAATCCTACAAACCCGAATCCTACAAATGGCCATGCGCATGACCGGCACTTCCGCCCCGGCCCTCCTCCCACTACTCGGCCGCAGCCCGGAGACCCACCCCGACACCCACCCCGAAATCCACAGCGTCCCCAGGATCCACAGGTTTCATGGGCAACTTATGATACGCCTCAAGGGTGGGACCAGCAGCGCTTCACGCGGGGTCAGTCGTCCATGCACCCGGATCTCGAACATGGCCTAGGCCCGCCCGAAGGATACGGAGGCGAATCCTGGAGAAACGAACAGGGTCATGCGTCACGTTTCCAGGAGCCCTATTACGGGCAAAATGGCAAAATTCCGCCCCCAAACCAAACCATCCACAAGGTCAACGCCGGCCAGCGTCACCCGGGCCGCCTGATTTCGGAGATGATGTCCGCCCGAATCGCGAACCCCACCGTCATAGTACCGAGAGAGCCCCTGAGAACAATTCTTACTACGGAAACGCGCGCAGTGGACAATATAGTAATGGTGGGCCTAGTGGGTATCGTGACGATGGGGATGGCGAATATCGCCGTCGTGAGAGTGATGGCAATTATGGAAACAGCGGTGCACATCATCCTGACGGTGATGGGTGGAGGGATTCTCGAGAATTCCAACAGACTCGCCAACAGCAGCCAAACAAAGAGGCAAGAGAGTCAAAGCCAGGCAAAGAAGATAGAAGCGCGTCGCGATCAAAGAAGTCGACGCCGAAAGCGACTAGGGAACGGGGAGAAGGAGGACAGGGTAATAATATGCGGCGCAGGGTGTATGAGGGACAAAATTTGGGTCTTGGTTCTTTTGTTTTTTGTTTAAGCAGGCACAGCGTGTACATTAAAACTTGAAATTGTCCAGGCCACCAATTTGATGCATAGATAGAGGCATCCCGGAGTTAGGAAAACAGAGGGAAAGAGTAGCATTGACGCTACCTAGAACGGATTATTATGAATTGATGAAGCATTTATTAATCGGACGACGAAAATAATTAATGGACGAGAAAAAAATCAAGGTAGGAAGTACGTGAAGGAAAAATGAAAACCCAAAAAAGAATTGATGTGCCATTGAAGGCGCATTGGGAATTGAGCCCAATGCGGGGGTCGAACCCGCAGCCTTGAGATTAAGAGTCTCACGCTCTACCGATTGAGCTAACCGGGCAGCTATTGATTGTTGAAAACCACTTGACTTATCATGACATATAACACTAACCTCCCCATCGCCGCACCTTTGTCAGCCACCAACAAGCTGCACGAATCTCATGACCGAAGAGCTCCCGCACTCCCGCACTTCCGGTGCTGCCTGTACATTTGGCTATTAACACTTGCACTGATTGTATTTTTATTTTTTCTTTCTCCCCCGAATCGCATCAATCACAAGGAAATGACCCTAGTCAATATACCCTTGCTGCAACCTTTTGTGATTTTTTTCATTCCAAATTCCCAATGTCCCTCGCTCAACTCGCACCCGAAGTCCTCGTCGACATCATCGCCCACCTCGGCCCCGACTTCTTCCACCGGGACATCCGGAGACTAACCCTCTACAAGCGCTGGTATCAAACCGCCTGGCAAGTCTTTGTCCGCGACGTCCGGCTCTCCTCCGGCTCCCTCGGCAAGCTCCTCCGTCCCGGGGTCCACCCCCACCCCTCCGCCGCCGCCGTCCTCGACGGCCTCGCCCTCTACACGCGCGAGGTGTCCATCGACCTCTGCGGCTTTCAGGACTGGGAGGCGGCGCGGCACCCCGCCTACGATGTGCTCCACGCCCACAACAAGGCGGACGGCCGGGCGCCCGACCACGCCGCGCACAAATTGTCCAGCTATAAGACGGAGCGCATCGACGAGTGGACCGCGCAGCTCAACGAGTCCATCGGCGCGCTAGCCGCCGCCATGCGCGGCTGGCGGAGGCTCCACTCGGTCAAAATTACGGGAAATTTGGAACTCAGCCCCGTTCGGCCCCGGACCATCCGGTCCTACCTCACCACCGGTCCGCTCACCCGGCTGTTTTCCCTCGCGCAGCTCACCTCCCTGACCTCGACCTCGCCGGCACCGAGATCGTGGACAGGGAGGAGTTTCCTGTCGGCGCGCACCTCTGCTGCGCCGTCAGCGCTTTACTTCCCACCCTCCACCGCTTGCGCTGCCGCATGCGCCATGCCTGCGAGCGCCTCCTCGAGCTCGCTCCGGATGCCGACGCCCCCATCTCAAGGAGGTCATCGTCAATCTCAGCCTCGGCAAGTTTCAGCGCTACGGCTTCGACGTCGTCAACGCGGAGCGCTGCCACCACGCGCCGCCTACCGAGCTAGCTGCCGAGCGGGCGATGGAGATTCAGGCCGCCAACCTAGCCGAGAGGCTGACGCTGCCACGCATGGTGCGGGTCATCTACCGGAGCAACGTCTACAGCAATACCGTGGCCATCGACGTTTTAACAGGCGCGAGGTCTATCCTTCCCAAGTTCCTGCCCTGGGATGCGGAAGATGATTCCGTCACCGACTTATTCCACGCAGGGAGACGTCGGATACAGCAGCGCCTGATTGATGAGTTTGAGACGGGCCAGGACTTTTTGATCATTCGTATGACGACTTCTTTCTTTGAAGATAGCGATAAATGCGTGAGGAGAACTTCCCATCCTCACTACCACTACCACCCCTTCACCTCTACCCCAGGCTCCTCCCGGCCCTTGACAACGCACGATGACGGGCCTTTGTGAACTGGGTTCTACGCCCACTAGGGTCTCGCTCTATTACAGACACGCAAACCTTGCCGTTGGAAGGGCCGGTGCTTGGATTTCAGCTCAAACCGCCCCCAACTCAAGTCCTTCCGTCTATAAGTGCGAAAATCTGTTCAGCCGACCCACCTCTGTCGCCTAAATAGTCCAACATGTGCAGGTTCGCGCGTAGAAACGAAGAATATCCAGCAATGCTACGTCCCCAAGGACTTCGTTGCCGATTCTCTACCTTTCATACCTCCTTCGGCTGTGCCCTCATCCACTAGGACTAAGATACCCGCAGCTATCACCCTGGCTATGAGTGCTGCCATCGTCGCTTTCACACCACACAGAATATCATGTCCGAAATCCACCTTATAGTTCGCAAAGTGCGCATGAGGAATCAACCCAGACGAAAAAACCTCCCAAAAAAAAAAGAACGGTAAAATTTTGCTACATCTAATCTCTAAATATCCGCCCTCCAATCATTTTCAGATCTCGGCTCCCCAACCAAACCTAAAAAGAAAAAAAGAAAAATGTGTTCATACATGGTATCTAATCACTCCGTCTTGGCGATCTCGTGCTTGATCCAGTTCTCCAAACCACCCTTGGCGATAATCTCCTGCAAGTTCTCGGCAAACTCGCCCACCTTCTCCTCCCACACCTCGCCACCCTCGCCTTCTTGCACCCTCACCACGCTCTTGGACACGTCCCACGTCAGCGTCCAGCCCGTTCGCCGGGTGGTGATCTTCTCGGGGAAGGTGGCGCGCAGGCGCTCGACGAGGCGAGGCACCTCGAGACCGAGAAGCGCGTTGTTGATGCTGTTGCGGGAGAAAATGTTGCCCAAGCTTCCCGCTACAACGAGGGGATCTTCTTGGCGAGGATGGCCGTCGCGGCCTGCTCTCGCGAGGATCCGCAGCCAAAGTTGAAACCGGAGACGAGGATGTCGTTGGGCTTGGCAATCGTCCTGAATTCGGGGTCGTAGTTGGACATGCACACTTCGGCCATGCCCTCGACGGTAATGTCGTCTTGGTATGTGTATTTACCGGGGTAGATATTATCGGTATCAAGGTTGTCGGCATCGCAGAACACAATCTCGCCCGTAATCTTCTCGGGAAGCCGGGGAGAATCTTGGTAGTGCTGGTGGCAGCATCATCAGACACAGAGGACTCGACGCGGTCAATGAGCGACTCGAGCTGCTCGAGAGCGCTGGTAAGCTCGCTTTCTGCGGTCGCTGGCGCGCCAGTGCCATATCCGTACTCTACGCCATTGTAGTCCTCAGGGACTTGATAGGTGCCGGGACCCGAGATCACACCGTTAAGCGCGCTAGCAGCCACGACCTCGGGGCTAGCAAGATACGCCAGAGCATCTCGAGAGCCCATTCGTCCCTTGAAGTTACGGTTAGACGCCGAAATTCCGACCTCGCCGTCCTCCAAGAGACCGGTACCCAACCCGATACAAGGTCCGCAAGAAGCCGGCAGGGGATGCTGCCAGCCTCCAAAAGGGTCTGCCAGGCACCCTCATCCTCGGCAGTCTCCTGCTCGCGGGCCGACGCGGCGGCAATGTACATCTTGACACCATCGGCGACCTTGGGGACCGTGCCGCCGTTGGCCTTGGCGGCGTCTTGGAAAACCTTGGCGGCGGCAGCCAAGTCAGACGCACGGGAGTTTGTGCAGGACACGATATACGCCCTGTTGACCTTGATGTTCTGGGAGGCGAGGTCGCTGAGAGGAGTGGAAATCTTGACCGAGTTGGGACCGGAGACGTAGGGCGAGAGGGTAGAAAGGTTAAGATAGAGTTGCTTGGCGTAGTGCGCTCCAGGGTCCGCACGAGGGGGTTGGCGTAGAGCTCGTCAATCTTCTCGTGTGTGATTCGCTCCTTGGTGGTACGTTCGGGGAACATGGCCGCCTCGGTGGCCTTGTACCGCAACCAGCGTTCGAGTGTGCGATCGATAGGGAACTATTTGTTGGGTTCAAACACGCAAAGTTAGCTTCCAAGTTCCCGTTTCCTAGGTCGTGATTGATCGGGGAGAACAAACCATAGCGGAGAGGGCGGACCATTCGGTCGACATGTTGCTGATGGTGAGCCTGTTATCGACCGAGATGCTAGCCATAGTCTCCTCAGATCCGGCAAACTCTACGGCGTGGTTGAGCACGTCGCTGTTGAACAGACCGCACAGCGCAACAATGACATCCTTGCCGGTAACACCCGCGGGTAGAGTCCCCGTGAGGGTAACCTGCGCAACAGGAGGCACCTGGAACCAGCTCTTTCCCGTTGACCAAATCGAGGCCGCGTCAGTTCGTACGAGCGCGGTACCCAAAGAGCTAATACCGCCGTACATGTTGCTGTGGCTGTCGGAGGCCACGCACAGTTTTCCCGGCCATACATACAACTCTTCGACCTAGAATTGCAGTGCGTCAGCGAAAGGTACGTGCTAGATCGAATCCTTCCACCTCCTCATCATGCTTACCATAACCTGGTGACCAATTCCATGTCCGGCAGGGTAGAAAACAATGCCGTGCGTCTTGGCAAACTCCTTGATCTGCTCGTACTTCTTCAAATTGGCCTCGCTCTTATTCTGGACGTCATGATCAAGAGCAAAACCATCTGGCCGGGATCGTTGACGCGCGTAGCTCCAATCGACATGAACTTCTTGGCAATAGGCCAAGTATTGTCGTGGGACATGCATCGGTAGGGCTTGATTTGTACGTAGTCGCCGCTTCGCACGACCTTGTCCTCGGCAGCCCAATCGCATGGCTCTGGACAATCTTCTCGGTCAAGGTCTGGGGCGTCTTCTTCTTGTCGCCGAGGACATCGGCAAAGGAGAAGGCGGGCGCCTGCTCCGCGGAAGGCGTGGCTCGGTCGGCGGTCGTCGTGCTTAGGGAACGTCGGTAAAGATAGGGAGAGGCGGATGTGCGGGGAGGTGTTGAGTCAAGAGGCGTCGGCTGGAGACAAGACCGCTCGCCCTGCCGAGCGATCGAGCCCAGGGGCGGCGACGACCTAACAAGGAGACGACGTCAGCAAATAAAAACAAATATGCAATAATATTTATGACATAAACCCGGCTATACACTACTCCCTAAGAAGCCGGGCAATTAAGGGGAACACTGCACTCACTGCTCTATGCAACATGGCGTGCGAAGAATTTTGGAGCGCGGGGCTCTTCAATGGATGCGAGGTCGGTGATAAGAAAGACAGGATGCCGAACCAAGTCACTTCCCTTTTTTTTTTTTCCTATTGCCAGCCAGCGCTGACTCAATTCCCTTGTCTCAGTGGCTGTTGTTGCCCGTCACGTGTGCAGACCCCAGAATCGGAACTTGGAAGCCGAAACCGAAGCCGTGGACGAGCAGGGGAATACACCAATGAGAGAAGGGGCTTTAGCAACACGTTTGAATTTGCAAGGGACTAAGATTAACCGGGCTTGAGCCAGAGTGATGGCTGTGAAATTGTGTGAAAGCACGACATCGCTGGTGCTCGGTGCTTAGTCACCTCAATTGGTCTGTGGTGCTCCACTGCCGTCCCGCTCCACCCAAGAAACAACGACAGGCTTGATCCCGGAGTTGACTTACACGACAACTTCACCCATTTGAACCCAGTCTAAATGACGGGTCATAGACGGCCTTCCATCTTCAAATCCATTCACATAAGAGGCTTTAATATAGTATAGAAGGAAATACTCGACTAAGTCTTACAAGATGAAAAATAAGCTAATACTCACTTTGAGGGTAGCTCAGCACCCTTCGAGCTACCTCAACCTCAAAACTCTAAAGACTACAAAATATCAAACGATATGCCCTCGCGTCCCTTTTTTGGGGATGAGGGTCGCAAACCAAATCGACTTGGGGGACTCAACCCCCAGGTCGAGATCCAGTTCCAACATGTTCTCTGTGATCGATGCCTCCTTCCTCAACATGGCCCACGAGGCCCGGAAATTTTCTCACTAGAAGCCAAAAGATGTGAATCTCCTCGTGATTTCCTCAACACTAGTGGTTGAAAAATGTCCTCCTTTGATCTCTGTAGATATCTCCTTCCCTAATATAAACCAAGAGCCTAACACCAGTCAACCACAAAAACATCTCTTCGCACCCCTTACTAGAATGCAATCCTCTCCCATCCCTCCCAACATCTCTTCACACGATTCAACCATCTCTAAACCCTCAACCCCAACACGAACATCAACATCAACATACAATAATCCACTTTACCAGCCTCAAATCCCCGTTATCCCCATTTTAAAAGAAAATAAATAGCAAAAGAAAACGACATGAGTCAAGACAATTCCACTCAAACCCTCGACGAGGACCAACTCCTCCTCCACCTCATCGACCGCCGCATGCAGCGCCTCCACCACACCCGCGCAACAACCAGCACCAACCTCACACGATTCCCCACAGGCCCATGCCCAGAACGGAGACTCCTCGACATCCTCCAAGCCACCATCGTCAACGAGAGATCCCCCATCCCCGGATCCATCGCCAGCCCCACCCCCACCGACCGGCCCCTACCCCCAACCCAATAATATCCCGGTTCCAAGCCATCCCCAACTTCTCCCTCAGCGACCTAGGCCTGGACCTGGACCCAGACGAAGACGACGACGACGACGACGATGACGACGATGACGCACCCCCAACCCCCAAGTCTCGTCAGCCACCTCGAACGCCTCCCTCCCGAACTAACCCAAATGATCGCCAACTTCCTGCCCCCGCCAGCCGAACCTCCCTCGCCCTCACCAGCCGCTCCATGCTCTCCAGGATCGGCATCCCCTCGACCGCGGCCACTGGTGGGAGCGCCTCGAGCTCCTCGAAGCCCTCGAGCGCGACGGCGATCTGCCCCGCCACATCCTGTGCTGGTCCTGCACCATCTTCCACCTGCCCCGCCTCCCCCGATCCTGGATGCGCGAGCGCAGCGTCAGCTGCCCCCGGTGAACCCCTGGGACCAGGCCTTGCCGTGCTCGTGGGTCGGCCGCAGTTTCCCCTTACCCTTGACGTTCAGCACCATTTCCGCCCTCAGCCGTTCTGCCCGCCACGGCTGGAGCGTGTACCCGCCAAGCATCCTCACCGGGAGATCCAGTTCACTCTCACGCACAAGCTCGTGGCCGAGTTTCGCTGCTTCCAAACGGCCAGGATCACGGACAGGGGTCGCGTGATGGTCAGGACGGAGAGGCGAATCCTCGCTCGCCGAGACGCCAATGGCCACGTGGACGATGCGTTCGGGTCCATCGAGATGGTGGAGGAGTTGTTCGGCAACCACGACGACCTCTTGAGCATCTGCCTCCATAAGAGGTGGTATGATCATTACAAAGCTAGGCCCCTGAATAGCTTTCAAGTGGCAAAGCAGCGGGCGCTGGCTCACGCGGATTGCGTTCCGTCTAACGGCCTGACGCCCACCATGGCGATTTGCCAATTAGCCCACGATGTATTTGACAATTACGAGGCCTGCACATTGTGCTTCACGGATTCGGAGGTGCGCGCCGAAGAGCCTCTCCCCGGCTGCCTTGCGCCGCCAGTCGTGACGCTGACGACGTGGCATGATCTTGGCGCGGGTCAGGAGTGTAATGACCTTGAGTGGGGAACGTACAAGGAGGCCCTAGGGAATAACTCAGTGGAAGTGCGTGATTCTTTGATGCAGGCTCAATTGTTCAACTATTCGAATCAGCAAAATTTAGATGAGAGGTCTGCGTACAACGCTGCTACGAAACCCACCTGAACTGAAGTGCCGTGGCGGGGAGCAGATCCCATTTGCCTATCAAGGGGTCCGTACCAAGTTTATATACGCAGCACTAATTCAAGGCTCTTTCACTCGACGGCCTTTATTTCTTTTCTCTCCACATCACAACCCAATTTCTTCAACCATCTTACTCTCGCTTCTTGTTGATACGAGGTAAACACAACCACAGAATCAGGAGAACGGTCAACAAAGCCAAGATTATGGGCTGCAGCACCTGCACGCCCTTTACTTGCGCAATGGCGCCGACGGCAAACGGGAGCACCGCGGCGCCGCATCCGCCAAACGCAGCAGCGAATCCGATGACAACAACGTGCAGGTGACGAGGAAGAATGGCGCTCGCAACGAGGACGACGCCCGGAAATAAAGGGCCGAGGAAGAAGCCCTGGAAGGAGACGGCAACGGCAGAGACATAAAAGTTGGGGACAAGCCAGAAGAGAAGCTCTAATCCCATGGTAATGGCGATATAGATCTAGGGAAAAGAATTCAAGGTTAGTCGAGATTATGTCTCAGGAGCCTGGCCCGGCGCAGATCAAACTTGACAAATGAGAGACTTACCGTCATGGCCAGCTTGACCCCGAAGAGGGGCGTCACGAATCCCAAGATCGCACGGCCGACGGTGATGCCTAGCCAGAAACCTGTGGCTGTCATACCGCTGGCAAATGCCTGTCCGTTGCGGACTTGAATCATGAACGTTACAATCCAGCCACCGAGAGCGACCTCGACACCCACGTATACGAGCAGGAAGGCGGCGCAAAGCCAGGAGACGCGGGCGGCGGGCATCTTGAGCAGGGCATCCTTCAGGCCCGTCTTGTTCTCGGTTCCGTGTTCACCATGGTACAGCCTGCGGTATGTTTCGGCATTGCAATCCCAGAAGGCCCAGGTCAATACAACAAGTTCGATGACGGCGAGCCCGAGCTTTTGAAGATTAACAGGTTAGGAAGGCTCAACTTTTGATACGCAAAACATACAACCAGTTGAAGACAAGACAGAGTAGAAAGGGAGGAACAGGAGGAGGTCAAGAAAAGCTCACCATAACATAATAAAACGAGTACCACGGCAGATTTCCTTTGGTAATCATCGTCGTGGCAATAAGCGGGCTCAGCACGCCACCAACGCCATAGAAGGCGTGCATGATGCCCAACACTTCGCTCGCTTTGGCTAAGTTTCCGATCCAGGCGTTCCACGCAGCGTCACCGATCCCGTTTCCGAAGCCGGCAAGGATAAAAGCGACGACGAGGACGGCATAAGGGGGTGCAGGCAGATGATGATGTAGGCAAGGGTGTGACAAGTTCCGCAAATGATGCCGATGCCGCGTTGGCCTATGGTGAGGTGGAGATAGTTGTTGAGAATAGCGGAGGCGACATAACCGACAAACGGGGAGAGGAACACGAGGGATACGATAGTGTAGTTTAGGCCATAGTATTTCTCGAGCTATGAGAGTGTAAGCGGGCATGATCGGGGTCTTTTCAACCCTAGCCGACAGAAAGGCGAGACTTACATAGGGAATGAGAGCCTATAGAAGCAAATGCGAGTAATGAATCCTTCAATTAGCAACTTATTTCAATCCGTCTCCCATCAGATACTATGACAGGAGTGTCCACCAACGCGATGGGGGTAGTACTCACACCGTAGGCAGCATCGTTCGCTCCCATGACAAGCAAGCTCCAAAAGGTAGCAGGCACACGATATGCGTTGATTTGGGGCGAATTCCATTTCTCTACGACCATGGCAACATTTCCACCGTTGGGCTCGCTTCCCCCAGACTCTACCTCATCTGGTGTCCGTGGCCGGCTCGCTAGGGAGCGTGAAGCCGGGCTCTTTCGGTCCTGGGCCGGAGCTGCTGAGGCGTGAACTTCGGAGTAATCCGAGAGCTCGAGAACGCATGTGTTGGATCCGGATGCTGCCATGATTAATCCAGTTGGTCTTATTCCTGGCAAAAAGGGTTTCTTCCGCGGTTAGAGAATAAAAGGAAAAAAACCCTCAGGAGAGAAAAAGGCAGGAAGGAACGAGTGTCCCAGGAAATTTAAAGAAGAAGGAGCGGGGAGGGCAGAGGAGCGGACTGGAATCCCGTTCACTAAAAACGAACCAACGCCGCAAGGGGCCCAGTTCCGAAAGAACTTCCGATGAAAATCCGTACGGCGTGCCTTCCCGCCGCCCAAAAACGACCGCTTTCGCCTGCCTCTTTTAGTGGCGAAATCCCGCTGAGAGTCGAGGGACGCTCCACTTCCCCACGCCGTCCACCACAACGCATTTCAAGTCTTTGCCTTGTTTGCTTCTCGGTTGGGGCGGGCCGCTTTCCGTATGCCGTGACCGCGTGGAGAATTATGCGTTCAAGTGGAGGAAGGTGCAGAGTTGGGCCTTTTCGATTGGGTTACCGGGTATTCCTCGGGTCGGTGTGACTAACAACTGAAGAGCGGTCAGCCTGAGAGACGCCAGGACTGTTGGTTTGCAGCGAAGAATGTGATGCATAGTTGTGATAGAAGTCCTAGTTTTATGGATGTTGAGGAGAGTTCTGGAGGGAGGGACGCTTCACTTTTCTTACCATACGCCTAATAGTTGGGAACTTTGGTAGCATAAGTCAAGCTTGAGGGTCCTGTGAACTTGGCGGAGTAGAACGACGTTGTAAGTAGTAGAAGCACCCATGTCACGATTCGAACATATTGATTTTCTGTTGAGGACAGGCAGGCCTCCGGTAACATCTGGCTCCTCCATGACTTTAACATGTCACTCCCCTTTTGACAGACCGAGGAAGATATGTCTCGATGGCCCTCAGTTGTCACAAATACAGCAGATGGTGTTCCTAGGTTGCATTGGTTGCTCGTCAAGCCTCCGATAGATTGTGAATTCTGCCCTGATCACTGTATGAGTCGCGTTGATCGCAAGCTGATATCGTACCAGATCTTCAATTTTAACAATCAAGGCTAAAGGTAGGAGATTGTGTCAGACCTAAAGAGACATCATATGTCCGAACGAGTTTTCGCAGTATTAAAGAAGGATATCACTCGAGTCCAGTGCGTTGTGTGCAGAGAGCTCGCCTCATGGAGAATCTTTTCTTCATGATATACTGAGACTGGAGATGAGTTGAGGCTTTGTGTGTATCGAGATTGGGTTCAACTTCAATCCATGCCCAATTCACGTGCATATGCACAGCCCCGCATTCCGTCCCCTTATAGCAGCCCAGACCGCGGGGTTCTCCTCGCTCTCCCTGGTGTGAATGTGATATAGAAGACGACCTTGGGAGACAATCAGATCATGGAAACAGGCAGGTATTGCTATTCACCGCTCAGCCCAAAAGTAGAGATCCGGCTACTCAAGCTCAAGCCAGGAAATGCCAATGATCCGGTACAATGTCAATTGGCCACGGAAAGCCTGGACAATGGGCCCTTCTACAGTGCACTCTCCTACGTATGGGGTGATATACAGACAGCCCAAGATCCCCAGAACAGCATCATACTCGGAGGACACAACTTCCCAGTGACTAGGAATCTTTTCCTCGCTCTCAGGCAGTTGCGGCCTTCTCTGGACGGCCTGCCGCTCACTCTCTGGATCGACGCCGTGTGCATCAACCAAGTCGATTTAGACGAGCGCCGCGACCAGGTCAACATGATGCGAGACATCTATTCGTCAGCGGAGCGGGTTATTATCTGGCTTGGCGAAAGCTGCGACGGGAGTGACGCGGCATTCGATGCCTTACCAACCATCAATGGGGATGGCACGGGAGACGATGTCTCTGAAGGCGAGAGAGAGACCTAATGAGACGCTGCAGTGGATTTTTATCGGTCTCGCTGATACTTTTCCGTGGTTCACCCGCGTCTGGATTCTCCAGGAGCTCGCCCTCGCCAAAGAGGATCCTCTGGTTCTCTGCGGGTCCAAGGCCGCGTCCTGGTCCCAGCTTGTCGGAACTTGGAGAGCCATCGCAAAGAGCATTTTTACAGAGATTGGAATGGTGCGCGTAAAGCCAGCGGATGTGGAAACCCCAAGTCAAGCTATGCCCGGCGCGGACGGAGCCCAAAAGTCCGAAGGCAGCGCTCCAAAGGAAAACAAGGAAGGCGGCACGGAAAAGACTGTCGAGGTTCTCGCCAAAGTCAAGATTGATGTTCTCGACGACCTCAGAGTCGCAGTCAGGAGCCAAGGCGGTGATAACTTGAAGCGTCTCCTCCTTATATCCGCAACATCCAGCGCTACCGACCCCCGGGACAAGGTATATAGTCTTCTCGGGATGCTCAAGCCAGCCAGTGATGATCCCACGGCGCCACTACCCGTCCCGGTGGACTACCGCAAGCCAACAGCGGAAGTCTACGCTGATGCAGTCGCACACATCTTCTCCACTGGCGAGGGCCCGTACTTTTGTCGGGAATTTTCTACCCGGGAACCTCCTGTCCAGCTCCTCACATCCCGTCCTTGCCCCAGGCAAACCAGCCTTCATTGCCGTCGTGGGTTCCTGATTTCTCGCGCCACAACATACACTTAGTGAACAAAGGCCCGCCTCAACCCAGCGGTATCTCTTTTCATCCCCTGCTGGAATAGGAGCCTCCGGAGTCGGCGCCGACTGCAAAAACGGCAAGGTGCTCGACGACAAGCGCACGCTGAGGGTGGAAGGTCTCCCAGTTGACCGGATCGAGCAAGTCATAGCGCTTCATGACCTCCTGGACGAAGGATCCTCGAAGCTTCAAGAATTGGAGCAGCTCACTACCGCTGCCATGCATCGTAAATGCAGGCTGGAACCCAACGTAGCGCCGCTCGTTGAGAAATTCAAACAGAGCGAACCTCTTTGGAAGATACTAGTCTCGAATAAAAGCTTTCTCTCCGGCTACGACGCCGCCCCTGCATCCTACCAGGACCAATACGAGGAAGTAAAGGCTCGACTTCTTCAAAGCCCCGGAATTGATGACGGTGATCAGGGCACATCTATAAATAGCTACGAGAGATGGCTAAGGCAAAGCATTACTCGCCAATCAGTTTTTATAACTGACTCTGGCTTCGTGGGTACCTGTGTTCCCGACGCTCGAAAGGATGATGAGATTGTGATTCTATTCGGGTCGCCTGTGCCGTTTGTTCTCCGCCCGCTAGGAGTTCGGCAATATGAGGGTGCCGATCGCGCGTTCCACGCGCTTGTGGGAGCCTCATATACTGGCGGGATTATGAATGGCGAGATGGTAGACTATCTTTACTGTGACGATCTGGCGGACTCGGTTACATATCTTATCGAGTAAGGTACTCACGACTCTTCCAGATTCCGTAGGGTACTTTTGGATCGTAAAGTCTTGCTTATTTGGCATTTACTGAACTGTCACTCTTATTCCCCATTCGTTTTTGAACTCGGGAAGGAAGTCTATAGCACATCGCTCAACGTGTTCAGCGAGACGCCTCGCCAGCTAGATCTCTCTCCAGTTCCTCCCATCATCCCTTCGGAACCACTGCTCATGCCGTAATGGATACCTTTTGGGGACCCGCAGTCTGCCACGTCAAACCAGTGCCCCAGCTGCTGATTTCGATTACATTGGGCCCGTCATCCGTCGTGTCCCGAGCTAGGAATGTGAATGTTGCCGAGCTTCCGCTAATCGATGATGACAGGTAGAGCACATCCTAGGTACGATCGTGAGCTGTCTGCAAAACGTATAGAGATAAATTCGGGGTACTTACCGTTCCTGTGATGTCAAGATCGAGCGGCACGATATCATCGGGCTAATGAAAACAGCGTTAGTTTGATCCGATGGCTTGTTTCCTTTCTACCAGACAAAGTGGAAGAAACCTACCAGTCCGCTCACTGTAGCAGTAAATGTCTCGCCGACGCTATAGCTACCCGACCCGGACATGGCGACGGAAATGTTCAGGGGAGTGGGCGCCGGCAAGCCCGCAATCATGTCCGACAATTTCTGAACGTAGGAAGCCAGCTCGGCTCGGGAATCCATGGAAAATTGGATAAAGTAATTGTCCTGCTGCCACAGAGCAATCCCCGAATCCGCATCGGCGGGCGAGACGGCACGATAATCCCCGTTGATCCTGCTCGCAGGCAAGGCCGTGTCGAGGTCCGGGGGAAATTTGTCGAACCCGTCACCAGCGCGACGTTCCCCAGCTGCTCGTACTCCTTCATGGCCTGGGCGAAGAGCTCTTTCGGGTCGTAGCGCGTGACGGCGCTCGCAATCGTCAAGCTGGCGGGCTGGCCGCCCAGATCCAGGCACCACTCGGCCGTGACGGCGTTCGCGTCCACGCCGACCCTGGGATCGCAGCCGGGGCAGCTGCCAAAGATTTGCTTGACGCTGGCGAGCACGCCGCCGGCACGGTTCTGGGGATCGAGCAGCGTGGGGTGGAAGATTTCGGGGCGCGTGTATAGCTTGTTGACGCCATCCCAGTTGACGGGGTGTTTGGGGTCTGTGTCGCTGAATTTCCCCAGCTGGTAGCGGAGGTCATCTTCACCGGTCAGCTTCGCGTGGTCAGCCCGCCCGCCTTTGCTCAGGAACTCGGCTTCTGGCATTTGATAAAGGGCAGTCGTGTCGTCGATTGACGCCTTGAGGTAATCGGGCACCGCTTCCCTACCGTCATGTGGCCCGACGTCCAGTGGTCGACAGGTTGCGTCGAGGACACGCTCGGTCTGGTTCTTGGCATCCGCTATGGTCATGAAGACATGGGTACCGAATGCGGATCGCTTGGGGTCGTTGACATCCGTGACCAAGTCGGGTCCAAACGGGCTGTTGCAATCCCCCAGCCGATGAGGCGCGCCTTGTTGATGTAGCCAAAGGGTTTCATGAACTTCATCTGCAAGACATTGGCGGAGTCGTTAAGACCTAGTGGAAGGATCACATCCATGAGGCCCGCAAGGTCATAGCAGTTGAGAACATGCATGTCCGTTGTCGCAGTGTCGTGTACCCAAAAGTCTAGCCTGATGGGCGCGGATCCACCGTTGAAGTAGTGGGAGGAACCGCCCCCATTGACGTCATACCGGGTGCTCTTTTGATAATGCAATTTATCAGTAACGTAGGTAAGCCATCCGTCGCGGGTATCTTGGATATCTCGATGAAGTGTAGGGGAATTGAAGGCTCCAATGTCCGGGTCGTTCTGCATGAGACGAAGCGGGAGTAGGAACTTGCGGAAAAGCTCAACGGGCACGCCGCGGAACAGGAAGTCGGGCATGTCTGCTTTGCCAATGAAGTAGAGTTCGATAGGGGTTTGGCCGAGCTCCAGCCGGGTGCCCCCGTTGTCCAGAGACCAGTGAATCGTACCATGAAGGCCCCACGGAAGTTCCTGTCTGGCAGGCGCGAGCGTGGCCGAGAGGCTGATGCTATCTTTGTTGAGCAAATTGACAGTTCCTTGTGCTGTGCAGGGCTCCGTCTCGATTGTGTCGCTGCCATCAGGTTGGAGGTAGCCTTGAACGACGGCGCTGGTGGTCCCTGCGGGGATCTGTTCATACCAGCTCACGGCTCCGAAAGTGAGAGAAATATCGTATTGGCCGCGTTGTAGTACCCTGATCACCGGGAGGCTTCCGTTTGGGTCGATATCCTCGTCCGCGCCGCCCCAGAACATCCGAGAGTGGCCGTCGGACGTGTCGTAGGTAGGCAGGGCAGGTGCGCCGAGCCGTATGGTCTTGATGGAGCCCGACATTTTGATTATCTTGGGAAGCACGGATGGGGATGAAAGGGGTTAGAGCTGGAAGTCTTGCCAAGTATGCTGTGTTCTTGTCTTTGGTCTAGTGTAAGACCTTGCACTCTAGCCTCTTTTTCTTTCAAAAGGGTGGTTCTCGTCGACCATATATATGCGTGCTCGACGACATAGCTTCATCTACCCCAACTATTCAACTCATGGCTGGCTAAGACGGCTCTTTGCGAGAGTTGACAAAAAAGATCACCTGCCTCCTCCACGCTCCAATATTCAGTAATAGAATTCGTAAAAAGAACATGGCGCATCCATACAGACAGATATTATCATGGCTCAGCCAGCCGCATACCTTCAGGACTCGCAGAACTGGGTGTCAGTTGCATCAATCCTGTGAGGCGACTATCCGCTCTCAGCGAGCCTCAGCTGGAGGGGCCATAGCCCTCTGCACGCCAAGCCAGGGTTCGAGGTCCCAATTCGAGCTGGCGGCAACCTAATGTGGTTAGGGCGCTGGATGCAACCGGAGCTAGTTCTTACGCGCCGACCCGAGCCCCCGCAAACTTGCAGAGTGATATTGGTTGATATATTCTCTCCGCGCAGCTATAGTTTCACTGGTCGGGCGATGGTGAACGCTGCGCGCTATCTCTGTATTCTTTTGGAAGGATATCGATTCGCAAAAAGACGCTATAGACAGCAACGCGTCTTTTGAGGGGGATATACGCCCCGTGCAATTATTTCACCGATTTGAGATTCTCGCGGAGCATTCCGCGTTCGTCAAGACTGACCAAACCGGTCTTGAGCTCGAGCTCAAATGCACTTTTGTAGAATCTGCTATATTCGGGCAAATTTACCGATAGACCACCAGAGAAATTACCGCAAGGGTGCTGCTCGTCAGATGTGTCTAAAAACACAAGCTTTCGTCGGGGCGGGGGAAAAGACGCTAGCGGCACCTGTACAAGGAAAGCGCATGAAGAATTAGTGGCGAATGAAGATATTGCAAGGGTACCCTTCACCACTTGCGAAGCTTGGTTCGCTTTCACCGAGCGAATTAAACCCCAAGGGTCTCCCCAATGCTGAAGGTGAGCTGCCAGGGGCTGAGAGTGTGAGCATCACGGATACTTACGGGCTTCCACTTAACTCGCACGACTGGCTCAGTCGGGAGGACTCCAACTTGAATCAGACGTTTCGGTATAGGGGCGTGACGAGATTCGCTTTCCCCGACATGACGAATATCTCCTCTGTTGATCAGAAGTCGAACATGGTTGCCGTAGACGGCATACTGTCAATCGGGTTGGACGGAATCGCCCGACCCTACCTCGATCCAGTCCCAAGAATAGGAGCTTCGCGTCTCCCGGGGGTAAGGAAATGCGTGGTATAGCTTTCAGTGTTAAATAGAGTGCTGGTCAGAACGGACAATGCGTATTTCGGGACCGGGGATACGGTACTCCGAGCTGGTGATGCCGTTTTTGATATTTCTAAGGCGAAGGGTGCAGCTACCAATGCTATTGAGGCCGACAGGGGAGACATGATATAGAATCATGGTTTGCTGCTGGCCATATGGGATGGCGGGATAATATCCGTATATAGAATCCGATGCGAGGCAGGCAGAATCCCTTGTATGTCAATGAAGACGATGTCCTTGAGGCATAACACGCAAACGGAGTCCACCACATGGGGTGAGTGTTTAGAGTCAGAGAACAGAATCATTGACGGCCGTGTGGAGAATACTAGATCAACATGACGAGCTTTTATAGAAATCGGGGATACGTTGTCACAGTCGAAATGGGCGTTGATTGTCCCGTCATGCCTCGAGTCGCCGCTATAGTCTGTGGCAAACGAATCGTGGACGCCGGTCGGCAGCCTGCGCGGGCCTATCATCGCACCAACGACGGCGATACCATATTGAGCTCGCCATCATATATGCCCTGTAGACGTTCGAGCCTTGATCCCTTTTCTTTGCTATATACACCGTTCAGATACTGAAGAACTACTATTCTGGCCTAGAGGAGAGTAGAGAATGGGCTGTTCTAAGCAGATAGAAATAGACTTACTCTTGAATCAAATTCAGAGAGACCAAGCCAACTGAATGTATCTCTCGCTGACATTAGACGCACATCAACAGATACATAGTACCAGCCGCCAACCGTGATAAACCGCATTGAAAAGTTCAACCAGCTGATTGACAAACATGGCCGAGCCAAGAACAGGCTGGAGCCAACAAGAGGGCAAATATATCAAAGGGCGGGCAATCCCCGAGTTTGTGAAGTCTTGAAGTGAAGCAGTCTGATTATCTCTGGAGATCTCAGGAGATACTGATATCTCGACGATTATGCCGGGTTTGAACAGCAGCAATACTTTACGGCTCGATCTTGATTCACTAAAGACGGATGGTAGTCTTGCATGCATCGTAGATGGGTTAATATCTGCAACCGCACCCTATGGACTAATACGCATGGCCATATAGAGCGTAATGAATGTTGCACGAGCCCTTGCTAAATCTACTGCTAGATGAACGAGGCCATCGGGCGGGAATATGCAAGATGCCTTTAGGCAATGTCCTTTATATGAAGCTATCTCCATGAATCGCTAGGGGACAGCGAGTGAGAGAAAAGCGCTGAGCACGCTTTCGCTTCGCGAACCTAAACGTTGCGTCAGTACTCTGTCATAAGCGGACGACTTCCGCAGCAGGCTCACGGAATCTCCAAGGTGGAATTGTTGGCTGCAAGAAAGGGGCCCCAACATCTTTTTCCTTTCGCTGGAGGGCTGCATACTTAATGTGCTTCCATCTTTGAAGAAGAACTACATGATATAGTCTCAATACCCCCTGGTGTCTCCAGAGAAGAGCGATTCGCACCGCATAAATGGCTTGCGTTGAAAGTCGTCACCAAACAAATATCAAAAAGAAGCCTTTATCAGTGAATTCCAGACATCAAACAATCACATACGACCATAGCTCGTAGAATACTGAGGGTCCCGTCCGCTCCCCTGTACATAAGCTGCGAAGCGCCGGACTAGTAGTTGGGTCGGTGACGACCAGCGAATCCCCGGTGTTGTATGTTTTTTTCTTTATTTTTTCCCTCCTTCCCCCTGACGGCGTATTCTTTAATTCGTGCCGCAACTTTTTGCTGCTGTCCTGGCCATTCGGGGTAGGACTTTGGCCAAACCAAGGCGTGTTGAAGTTGGCGAGCTCAAAGGACGTGCCGATATTGCACACCAGACCCATCAATCCACTCTCTCCGGGTTAGGATCTATCAAGCAACATAACTGTTTTCCTAATTATAGAAATTCGAAACCAAACCTACTAGATATTAAACAAAAGGTCCTTCAACACTTTATGGCGATGATCGAAAGAAACGACCCCTGAAAAACTCGCAATATCAGGTCGAGATAGACACACGCGCAGCAAGAGCGCACTCTACACAAAACTTGTGAATGCGCAGGTCAACAAGTCATCGATTTTCCCCCTTCCGAGCCGCATCCCAGCACGTCGGATTGAAGAGCTCCCCCTCCTCTCTCGTAGTTTCCATCGTCCATATTTTCTATTCCGCGGCCACGTTGCGAACCTCGAATTTGGGAGGGAGGGGGGAATCCGAGTCTTGGCTGCTCCGGAACCATATAAACTCCACGAGTAAAACTACCGTTTCCCAGGCGATCTTTCTCGGTTGCGCATGTATAGCCCCTCTTCTCTGCGTGAAGTGTAGAAAATTGCTGCTCTGAATCCTGGGTTGCACTCGCAGTCTCCCAGGTGGACATCAGCCAATATCAATATCAATTTTCGGTCACAGAATCGTCTGGAAGGGCAGTGTACTAGAGGGTGGAGATGGGCGACGATCTCGAATTTCCGTCCGGTCTTGGTACCCAAAGCAAGGCGACCGTTGCAATGTGGAGTCCTTATTCCATGGGTGCGCCCGTTCTGAGAAAGAGTAATAACAAGACGTAGAAAAAAAAAAAGAAACCAAATGACATCTTGGAGTGGCAATCTATAAATAGAACATGTCTTTAAACTTGTGGGGAGGATCGGGAATGGTGGGCAGGGGTGGAGCCGTGATCGTCAAGCTCAACATCGTATTCGCGCGCGCCCAGAGACTTGAGGTCATACTAGACAGCGTGCGCATCCTAAAAGCAGCCACCCATTCCAACAACACAAACAAACACAAGTGAAGCCCAACTTACAGTGATAGCCAGGCAAGCCAGGCAAGGGATGATCTGAGCTGGGAGCTCGGGCTTTTCGGCCCAACGTGCACTGCACAGTATGGGCCACCAGCGTAGACTCGACGGCCTTGGCTTGCTTGGGTAGCATGAAGAAAAAGAGGAGATGGATTTCCCGGGGACCGTGACCATATTCCCTCGCCACGGATCGGCGTAAGCATTCTCAATACCGAGCCGGGGTGGATACCTTCCTGGACACTGTTTTCAACGTCCAACTCGGCCGAAGGCGGGTCGGATAGGAGAGCGTGGGAGCTTTGTCGACGGGGAGGAAGGATTCGAGTTCGGGAGAATTGGACTTTAGCATATCCTATTCCCAGCCATCGCTCCATTGATTCTGTTAAACACACAATGTAGAGTTAATAAGTTGAGTTTATAGGTATCCAAAAATAAGATGTAGATTGCCAGCAACACCATCTAAAGGGGAGTATCGGTGAAAAGTAGGGACGAGGGTAGAAACGAGACTCCGCAGACCGTCCCCCAGCCATTGAGAAAAGAAGCCTTCGGCAACACAATGACGGCTCGCCTCCAGGTTTCGGTACGTTCTGGGTCTTGGAACGGAGTAAGCCCACCTCGCGCATCTCAGGTTCCTAGACTGGGCACGAAAAAGAAAGAAGAAAACAGGTCGCCGAGATGAACGCACCGCCAAGTCTCAATGATGCTCTACCACATCTTGGCGCCGGTGAAGAATGCTCACCTTGAGTTACCACGGGCCATTGCCACTGCTTTTTTGTGAGTGAAATACGACTGCGTGATGCAGTTGAGCGGAGTCAAGTAGCTCAGCAAGCTGCCGAGAGCAAACCGCATCCGAATAGAAAAGTGAATTCTAGCATCAGATGCATGCCCTCTCTCCCCCTTCACGGTCTTAGATCCTACGCTGCGCCCGGTTCAGCGCCGAGTTCCCCCTTCTTGGCTACTCGAGTTTCTAGCCTCTCGCCGCTTTACGGGGATGTATGTTGCGTAGTGGCTCCTCTCGGCGAAGGAAACATGTCGTAGAGGGGAAAGAAAAACAGAAAAGTAGCTAGAGGGCCCCCGTTGTCGGCGCTGCGGGCGCCGTCTCCAGACATGCAGTAATAGTCACCCTACCATCCGTGGAACGCGCCGAGACTCGGGCCCCCTTCTCACGGCAGCATCATACTCCTCATGTCATCAGTAACCTGCTCTTCCCCAGCTCAGTGCGACCGATGCACAAGAATGAACCCCGCTGTCAACGACTCGTCCCCCTCCCACTCCCTCGCACAAGAGCGTCGTCATCCTACTCGAGAGTTACGAGCAAGGGCCGCGGGGTTAGAAAGGTAAAGGCCCAAGGAAACACCACCAATCGGGACGGTTTGAGCATGTTTTCTTTTGGGGTGAAGCGTAACGGACTTTTGGTGATGTCTGGTTATGAAGGTGTGTGGCGGCTGACGAGACTTACATGTGTGGGAGGGGTCATGACTAAAAGTGAAATCCTCACTCTTGGGTTGACATCATCAACAATACCGTCACTGACGCCAAGTTCGCGAGCGTACCAGCGGTGATTTTTCTGCCCTTTGATGATTTTCTTGTGAATAGGAACTCGAGTCCACGCGAGGTAGAATGTTTAATGCGATGCACGTCTTGGGGCCATGATTCATCCAAGTCATATTCCACCAAAGCTATTTTTATGCGAGCACAAAACACGAGGTGCTCAAGCACCAAACGAACATGCAGACTCGCCGTCGTCAACGGGCCCAATTCAGAGACTTGTTACTCGAATCATACTCTTGCTTCTTTCTTTTCTTTCGGTCCCCCTCCCTCTCAATGTGAGGAGGAGTGGTAAGACAGGGAGGGATTATTGTCCCGAGTGGCGCGTCACCCTTTACCGCTCCCCTCGCAAACACGCCTCCAAGTGCCACGGCTCGTAGGCGAGAATCGGTTTCTGGAGATTGGGTTCCTCCTTTTAGCTCCCGAGAAGCCTGACGTCGCTTCCGTGGTGTATTTTTCTTTTCTTTTCTTCTTTTCTCTCCCTACTCCAAACCGTTTGTTCCTTCAGGGTCCCCGCGCGCGCATCCATGCCTCCCGGCTGTTTATGGACCTCAATAGCCGTCCAATGCATGCACGCCCCTCCTTTGTGTCCCGCACCCGATCCTGTCTGCCTTTCGTTTTTCCCTTTTTATTTCTTTTCTTTTTTAGATTGCTTTTCCGAGACTGGTGGAGCCGAGGTGGAAGAAAGAATGACTTTTGGGGGGGCATGACTTTTCAACTTCCCCGGGTTTCTACGTGGGCCAAGTACTGCATTGCAGATCATGGCCGTGGTCTGAGACCAAAAGGGAAAGAATCCACATACTTGTTCTGGATCGGACTCGGTCTCCTCACTTTCATCTTTTGGGATTCCCGTTTGGAATCTCTTTTGTAGGTTCGTTTCCGCCCATCAACGTTTGCTCTTTAAATTGGGGTTCTTCCTTCCTCTTTCTTTTTAGAAAGTGCCTTGGGGAGCGTTCATTTGAGAAGAAGAAAAAAAAAAAGAAGAGAAAAAGAGAATCAAAAAGAAAGCATGGGGTTTGCCAAGTAGGACGATGGATGGTCTTGGCAGAAACTGAAATTTAGCGAGAGAAGAAAAACATATGATGAGATGCAAAGAATTAAGATGAAAAGAGTGACAATTTGGACCCCCAGGATGCAGTCGCAAATAAGGGACTGGACTATAGGTTGGGCTCCCTCTAGTCCATGTACCTCGGCCACTAGTTGTTTAAAACGAATCGAAACGACGCCGTCGAGGGCGGGTTGGGGTCGAAATCCAGCGGGGCGAAGCCCAACTTAGACAATGGCAGAATGCAAGGCAGGAAGCAATTGATCAATATGAGAGACTATGTTTATCTCGGGGGCCAAGGGAGCAGCAAGGCAGGGCGATTGACGCTATCAACGGAGCTTGCTTGCCACTATGCATCAATTCGGAGAGGAGTGCCAGGGCTGATTTGTGGCTCCGAAATGTTTCACCACGATAAATTCCGATCTCCAAGCCTCCCCAGTCGTCTCTCCCCTTTATTCGGCCCTCGTACGGCGGGGAGGTTGCATCAATCTCGAGGTCGGGCGAGACATGGTTGGCACGCACACATATGCAAACACACACACACACGCACACAGAGGTTACTTGGTGCATGGCCGGTGGTTGTGCGGAGGTGGTCTGCCTCGGTAGGAGGTGGGTTTGACCCCGGAGCGTCGTATGGACCTGGAGATCATTAATCAAGTTGAGAGGCTAATACATGTGATACTCTACTGCAGGGTGAAGAGAGTGGCGTACCACTTCCTCTCTTTTTTTTCTTTCTCTTTTCCTGGTTGGAGGGGAAAAAAAGCTGAGCGATGTCAGACTCGATGCTGGAAGTTGCGGTTCCTCTGGCGTAATCGTCTTCAAAGGGGCCTCCTCGGCAGAAAGACCCCTGTCCGGCCTAACTTGTCCTAAGCCCTGTGCTAGGAGAAAAATCGAACCAGGCTCAAATGATCCTTGGTTGGCAGGCCTCGAGCGAGATTCGCAGGTCGCTGCATATCCCCTAGAGCGCATCATCCTTCTCGTTTTGGAAGAGAAAAGCATAGTAATACTCGTGACATCTAAAAGGGAACTGGTGAGAGGTCAATGAGGAGAGTGATGTGAGGAGGCAAAGTCTCGTCAGCCCCCTGCCTCCTCTTCCCCGTTGTCGGCTTTTAGCCAGTTGGAGGCGGAATGAGATTCCCCAGGTGCGGGTGGTCCGAAAGCGTATATGGGTGCCTCTGGTGCTATTCTACGCTAACGCTGATTTCTCGTTCGGCCCGGACGCCTCGTGGGGCTGGGGCTATGCGTGCGTGAGGGGGCTCAAGACAAAGCTCCGGCGTTGAGGGCCTCTCTGTTTTCCTTGACAAGAAACCAATCAACGGAAAGAGTCATTCTCTGGGGGCTGATGGATTGCAAAAGCCAAGGTACAATGGGGATCCGTTCAAAGATTCATCGTAATAGGCCCTGACACAACACTGACGCGGGAAGTTTGCACGTGGGGGGCTCAGGTCTGGGTCCCCGACCCCAATCCGCGATGAGACTGAAGAAACAACATCGAGGTTGAGTCAAAGTTCTTTTCCGAATCCAAAGGTTTGGGAGGCATAATACATGTAATCGCCAAATGCGGTCAATTGATCGAGCTGTCCAGTCTCAAGGGCCAGTGCTTCTCTTGTTTCCCCAGCCCCATCCTGTCAGCTTACAGGCAAAAACAAACCCCCTCGGCAGAGCTGAAGCTAGAAGCTTTAAGCAGGAGTGTGATTTGACGATGTGAGGTTGGAAGAGCAGGAAGGATCAGGGGAGGGGAATTGATGGCCTGGTTCTTCAAGTTCCCTTGGAAAAGGCGGCGCTCCGTTTGGCTAGAATGCGGAAGGTACGGTGTGAGAATTTTGGTTCTTACGCGGGTGCTGCAAGGTTGCAAGGGTAGGTCCGTCTGACAGTCGGCGATATCCACCACACACTGGTGGTTGTTTTTTGTTTTCTGATTTTCTCATCAATCTTCCTGCAGCTAGCGTAGTAAAATGGGTGGCTCAGTGCAGTGCTGGGTGTGCCCAACGCGATGCAGGTCCCGCCCGTCCCTTTTTTTCTCGAGCTGACTTTATGAAAGAGGGAAAGGGAACGGGCCGTCCTCTCGGTGTCTTTGGTCAAAGAGGGCGTCAGCGTGAGGTTCGCACAATGGGCGAATGGGGAGGCACGATGATGGGCTGGGGGAAGGAGCTCCCCGCTGCCGGTTGAGCATTTTCTGAGCCTGAGCCACAGTTGGCGGTGGAGACGGAGCAGACCGAGCCCAAGTTCACATCAACTCTATCAGCACATCCATGCATCTCATGGAAACTTCATCTCGAAAGGAATCCAGAAAGAAAAAGAAATTGATTACGAAAAGATGCAGCTCTGAAAGACAAACTTTTGCAGTCAGCTCACTATTAGCCTTACTGACTCTCCGATACCTCCAGCTCCATTGGAGGAATTTCCGCATATCGGTTCCGGTCGCATTCTCGGCGGACGTCATCGCTCGCCTTCTACTACACCTCTTTTTCCCCGCGCCTTGCCCCAAGCCATGAACCTCGTTTACAATAACTAAATCGTAACGTTGTTTTTCGCTACATCCCCCAGAAAAAGAAAAAGAAAGAGCGGGGATGGGATAAGCGGCGTCTTACTTTTGGCGAACTGGCCAGTTTCGATGACTACATGTAGAGATTGGACACGAAGCGATCGCCCGCGTGATTTCCTTGTCGGGAGAGCGTGCCCAGGCTTTTGGAAGGGTGCCACTTACACAAGGGAGGGATAGCCAAGGGATGGCGAGAATGGGACAGAAGGATCGAGGGCTGTTCAACGTACGTGTGGAATGCTGTTTGCGGCGATCAATTGGGCTGACGAGAACTCGTGGTCTTCAGAAGAGAGAGAGTTGCCGAATAGGAGGCAAGAAAGGACGGGTTGTGCGTGGTATGTCATTGATGTGAGTCGAGAAAGAGTATGTACGGTGTCGACACAGCCAATGCGTTGTCATTGTCTTCCTTTTTTTTTTTTTCTACTTTGTCGACTTGCGGATTACTGACGCTGCTTGACCTGTCTCTCCAATGTCTCGCTTTGCCAGCCACGCCAGCCCGGCTTCTTGCCCAATGGTAAGTTTTTTCATTCTTTTTCTTTTTGGTTTCCTCTTTTTTTATTTTTCCCGTCCATGTTCCCTCTCCCGCGTCCCGCACTCGAATCCCCGTAGGTTGGGTGGTGGTGCCCGCTGCACAAAGAGTGACACTCAACCCCTCCGGTACCTGGCTTTTTGCATCCTATTCTTAGCCACCCACACCCATCCCATCTCACCCCATGGATGTCAACGGTTCTTGTTTATTAATTTTTTTGTTCTTTCCTTTTCGTCACTCCTTCTTGGCTCGCAAGTACCTTTTCCTTTCTTTTTCTTTTTTTCTTTCGTTTTTCTTTCCTTCCACCCCCGCCTCATCGTGCTGAAGGAGGGGTGGGAAGGGGTGTGAATACAAGCCATGGGAGGGCCAAGCCAAGCCGGAGGGTGTGTGGCTCGTAAAAGGACTCGCATCGCAATATATCCATGATTAAAATCGTCCATATACGGCCAAGACCACAAGAATTGTCGCGAAGAGCCTTTATTATAAAATCACCTGGTTTCCCGCTTCCCATTATCCTTCATTCCATACTCCCACGATCAACACTCCTCAGTCAACCATCGACTCGAGCTCCCTGATCCGGGATACACCACACACAAGTCTCGAGAGTTCACCAAAGGGATCACTACATTCCCTCACCAACTCTCTCCATTCCCCCAATTTCTCATTTTCTTTGAAAAACACCCAAGATATTCACCCGTCCCCCCGCCTTTTACATTTGCACTTATCCCCACAAACCCATCTAGAGGCTCGTCGTCATGCTCCTTCGACGCCTCGCCCTATCGGCCGCCCTCGCGGCCGGGGCCGTCGCCAAACCCCTCGCCGCCGCCGACACCGCCGCCGCCGGATCCGCCATCGACCCCTGCTCCGTAGTCCGCTGCGGCTGGAACACGGTCTGCGTCGTCGTCAACGGCCGCGCCAAATGCCTCCCCGCGAGGAGGAACCCCCGGCGAGCTCCCCGTGGATCCCCTCGCGTGCGGGCCCGTAACTTGCGAAAAGGGCCTCGTGTGCTGCAACAACACGTGCGGCATCTGCACCAAGCCCGGCGAGGGCTGCACCATGCAGCTCTGCTACCCCGAGGGGGTCCCCAGTGCGGCGACGTCCAGTGTCAGGAATCCGAGGAGTGCTGCAACGCGAGCTGCGGCATCTGCACCAAGCCCGGCAAGGGTTGCATCAAGAAGCTGTGCGCCAAGGCCGTCCCCTACGAGCTGCTCGAGGAGAATAATAAGCGGGACCTCGTCGACAGGGCCGACGACCTGACCAGCATCGCGGCCAACAGGAAGTGCGGCAAGGTTACCTGTCCCAAGGGCACGTCGTGCTGCAACTCGAGCTGCGGTATCTGCGCGGAGCCCGGCGGCGCGTGCCACCAGGCGATCTGCGAACCTAAACCCCCGTGATCGAGGAGCCCGAGCCGCCCGTGGAGCAGGAGCAGTGCGGCAAGGTCACTTGCGAAAGGGCACTTTGTGCTGCAACTCGAGCTGCGGTATCTGCGTGCCTCCCGGCGGCGCTTGCCACCAGGCGCTGTGCGAGGGCGTTCTCGAACCCATCCCCGAACCCGAGCCCACCGAGCCCGTTCAGTGCGGCAAGAACACCTGCGAAAAGGGCGAAGTATGCTGCAACGAGTCCTGCGGCATCTGCACCAAGCCCGACGGCCCTTGCCCTCTCATCCTGTGCCTCGACGACGGGCCCATCGAGCTCCCCGAGCCGGTGCCCACCCCGGGCCAGTGCGGCAAGGTCATCTGCCCCAAGGGCACTTCGTGCTGCAATGCGAGCTGCGGCGTCTGCACCCCACCCGGCATGGAGTGCACCCAGCAGGTATGCGAGGAAGTCGACGCCATCCTCCCCATCGCCGCCCGCGCCGAGATCGCGCCCAAGCCCCTCCCCGTGCCCGTCCCCAACGGTGGCAAATGCGGCAAGGGCGTCTGTCCCAAGGGTACTTCGTGCTGCAACTCGAGTTGCGGCGTCTGCGCCCGCCCGGCGGCGCGTGCACCCAGCAGATCTGCCCCAGCCTCGACTCCGAGCTCTCTGGTGTGCTGCCCCGCGAGGATGTCCCCGAGCCCTCGGCCGTGCCGAAGCCCGAGCGCGTGCAGTGCGGCAAGACGACGTGCCAAAAGGGCGACGTGTGCTGCAATGCCAGCTGCGGTGTTTGCACGAAGCCTGGTGGCGCGTGCACTGCGCAGTTTTGCTCCGATGACGATGTGCTGCCTGTTCCGGAGCCGGAGCCTGAGCTAGAGAAGTGCGGCCCTGCTACGTGTGGCGAGGGGCAGGTCTGCTGTAACCGGAGCTGTGGGATTTGCACGCCGCCCGACGGTGCCTGCGTTGATTTGTGGTGCGGACCTGAAGAGCCCGAGGAGCCTGAGGAGCCTGAGGAGATTCCTTGCGGACCCAACACTTGCTCCAACGGTGAATACTGCTGCAACGAGAGCTGTGGATACTGCCGAAAGCCTGGTGAGCCTTGCACCGAGGAAGGTTGCATGATTGGTGAGCCCGCGCCCGAGCCTGAGCCTGAGCCGGAGGGTGAGGCTTGCGGTCCCAACACTTGCGCTGTCGGTGAATACTGCTGCAACTCGAGCTGCGGATACTGCAGGGAGCCCGGTGATGGCTGTACCAGGGAACTTTGCCTTCCCGAGGAGACCGAGCAGCCCGAGCCCGAACCCGAGGGCGAGTCTTGCGGTCCCACCACCTGCGCCGTCAACGAATACTGCTGCAACTCGAGCTGCGGATACTGCCGAGAGCCCGGCGAGGGCTGCACTAGGGAATTCTGTCTCCGCGAAGAGCCCGTGCCGGAGCCTGAGCCCGAGGGCGAAGTCTGCGGTCCCAACACGTGCGCCGTGGGTGAATACTGCTGCAACGAGAGCTGTGGATACTGCAGGAAGCCTGGTAAGGGGTGCACGGAGGAGTTTTGTCTTCCTCCCGAGGAGCACGAGCCGGAGCCCGAGCCTGAGGGTGAGGTGTGCGGGCCCAACGTCTGCGCTGCGGGAGAGACTTGCTGCAACTCGAGCTGCGGGTACTGCACTGGTCCTGGCGAAGGGTGCACCAAGGAGTTCTGCTTCCCCCGATGAGACGGACCCCGAGCCCGAACCCGAGGGCGAGCTCTGCGGCCCTAATGTTTGCGGCGCCGGAGAAACTTGCTGCAACTCGAGCTGTGGTTATTGTACCGCACCCGGCGAGGGTTGCACCGAGGAGTTCTGCCTCCCGCCCGACGAGACCGAACCCGAGGAGGACCAGGAAGACTCCCCTGCGGTCGCAACACGTGCGGAAAGGGCCTCGTGTGCTGCAATGCCAGCTGCGGCATGTGCACCAAGCCCGACATGGCGTGTCCGATGATTGCGTGCCTCGACCCCGAAGAGGAAGTGCCCGAGGTTCCTGAGATCCCCGAGGTCGACCAGGAGGACTCGGAGTGCGGTGGTGTCACGTGTGGTAAGGGGCTGGTGTGCTGCAATGCGAGCTGTGGACGGTGTGAGAAGCCGGGTGTGTCGTGTCCGATGATTGCGTGCAACTAGAAGAAGAGAGGATCTGAAGCCTCGCTTGCGCTTTCTCTTGCCCATGATTTCTTTTTTTCCTATTGTTTAGACGAATGGACTTTGAGAGTCAATGATTATGTTTGGAGGACTGGGATTTACACTGCATTGTTTTTTATCATTTTGGTTTGTTGATGCTTGGGAAGACTGGATCAAAAGCATCATCTTGGGTTCCTCTTTCTTTTTTTTTTTTTTCCTTTTCCCCTTTTCATCCTTTGGTTTCGAAACTCTGAAGGTTCGCGATCACTCGATGCGTTCAGCTACGGATCGGGCACACATCGCGCAATCTTTATTTTTCTTCTTCTTAGCTGTATATATTTATAACTTTTGCTGTTCAATCCTTTCGATGAAACATATCTTTCTCAATCTTTGCAGTCATCGGTGTCCCACGCCCTTTTTCGATCTATGTACGTGCACTTCAATTGAACCGGATCCTACTCTGCGATATGCAAAAAGCTGCATTGATCGAGCAATGACTTTGGGATTCCGGTTCTGGTGCGGATCAATGTGGGTTCTCTACTACGTCCGTCCGGGCCCATTGTCCCCCGATGGGGCCGCTTTGGCACATCCGGAGAGAGTGGACGGACTGGAGTGGGAAAAGCTTGGCGCACTCTAGGATGGAATGCTGCACAGAGGCCAGTCTCATCTACGTGCATGAATTTCGTCTGCTCTCAAGTGTTTGCGAGTATGGTCTCCATCATAATATTTTTCGACCAAGACGGGGAATTTGCTTTTCGGACCTCGTGAGCGGAGCGGAGAATTAACATTGGTACATGTATCTTGCATCGCACGGATCAGAGAGTCTAGACAATGAATTGGTAGTGTTCAGGGGTTTACGAAAACCCACGTTTTCTCCGCCCCTCCCACAAGGCAGAGAGAACGGCACGCAGGAAAGGAGGGGGCGTGTGCCGAGGCAGACAGAGCCTGTTGAAATGGTTCCTGGATATTGGGATTCAGCGTCTTTACCCGCCTTTTCCTAAGAATAGACGGTTCGATATTGGCACCTTGGTACCTCATGACTTTGACGGCACGGCGCAACACACGATGGAACGGGAACGCTTCGGATAGGGGACGCTAGTTTGTGCTTGCGGTGGTGTGGCTACGGAGAGTGGAAACGAGTCGATAATTACTCATTCGTGTCAACGCATTCATTCAGTGGCCTGGGCTTGACATAACAGAGCACTCTTTATCAGATTTGCTTGCTACCTGACTTGTGATGGGATAAGCATATAAGCATATCATCGACGATGGGATCTCACAAAGAATTAAGTGGTTAGTAATCAATAAGTTTGAGGCGGGTAAGCCACGCATCAGCCACACCCTATTTCACAGGAGGAAGCTGAGGGATCAATGATGATTTGGCAAGAGTGGGGCGTGCACGTGATCCAAATTTCCATGAAACGGTTACCCCAGCAACATAACCCAGTACCGACCGGGGTGCGGCTTCCCGGCCCCAAATACAACACGTCAACAAGTGCCAGGCTCGACCACAGGCAAGCGCAGCTGGCCGTGGAAAAAAGTCTCTCTGCTTCTCAGATGCACCCGCTCCTCCTGCCTGCAGCGTTGATCATTGGCCTTGCTCCCTGTTTGCCCGTCTCCATCCCCGAGCATCCAACGAGGCGAACACGCACAACCGAACCGCCACCCCTTGCCCGGAAACAACAACACCTCGTGCGTCCGCCCAGGATCTGACCCGCCGAAAGCAAAACAATGTTTTGCTTCCCTTCCTCATCGACACTGACACTTTTATTCTAGCCTTTTCCCACCTTTTTTCTTGTCTCTTTTACATTATCTCAGAGACCTCTTTTTTAAAACCACTTGGCCAGCTCCCAGTAGTAGTGATTTGCCGCCCAGCTCTTTCCTCTCGTGTTCATTCGACCTGAGAGTGCACGCCTCTCCACCCAACCTTCAACAACCTCCGGCCTCGCCTTGTGCGCGCACGACGATATAGCACTCGAGGCGAATCCACCATGGCGCCCGGTGCTGGAGCGTCCTCGATCTCGGTCACTGTTCGTGTCCGTCCCTTCACAATCAGAGAAGCTGCCCAACTGTGAGGACTTCACCGCCCCCGCCGCCCCGTTTACGTTCACGTTCACGTTCACGTTCACGCCGCCCCAATTCCCTACCCCTTATTCTTGGAGGGAAAAAGTAGCCTCGTTCCATTCGTGATGCAGCCAAGCTAACCCGTATGACTTGCAAGATCACGGACAGATGATAGCACAGTATTTCTCGGCGATGGCTCGCTCGCCGCCGCCCCTAAACTCCACCAAAGAGGATTACGATCCGTGATCAAGGTCGTGGACGACCGGTGCCTGTGAGTACTCGACACCCAACTCGCTCAGCGTCTTGGCTGGGCGATAATGCATAGCATTTAGACAACGGCCCCTTTGCTAACTTGTCCTCCCCAGCGTATTCGACCCTCCCGAAGATAACCCAGTCCAAAAGTTTTCACGATCCGTCGTGCCCATGGGCAAAAAGGTCAAGGACCAGGTTTTCGCCTTTGACCGCATCTTTGACGACAACGTCTCCCAGACCGAAGTGTACGAAGGCACGACAAAGGGCCTGCTCGACAGCGTGCTCGACGGATACAATGCCACCGTGTTCGCCTACGGCGCCACCGGCTGCGGCAAGACGCACACCATTACCGGAACCCCCAGCAGCCTGGCATCATCTTTCTGACGATGCAGGAACTCTTCGAGAAGATCCAGGATCGCAGCGACGAAAAGGTCACCGAGGTGTCGCTGTCCTACTTGAAATCTACAACGAGACCATTCGCGATCTGCTCGTGCCCGGCGGGAGCAAGCAGGGGCTCATCCTCCGCGAGGACCTCAACCACGCCGTCACCGTCGCCGGCCTGACGAGTCACCACCCCAAGGACGTCCAGGAGGTCATGGACATGATTGTCCAGGGCAACGAGTATCGAACCGTCTCGCCCACCGAGGCCAACGCCACCTCGTCCCGCTCCCACGCCGTGCTCCAGATCAACGTTGCCCAGCGGGACCGCAACGCCGACATTAGCGAGCCCCACACCATGGCCACGCTCAGCATCATCGATCTCGCGGGCTCCGAGCGCGCCTCGGCCACCAAGAACCGCGGCGAGCGCCTGATGGAGGGTGCCAACATCAACAAGTCCCTGCTCGCCCTCGGCAGCTGCATCAACGCCCTCTGCGACCCCGCAAGCGCAACCACGTGCCCTACCGCAACAGCAAGCTCACCCGTCTTCTCAAGTTCTCGCTCGGCGGCAACTGCAAAACCGTGATGATTGTGTGCGTGAGCCCGAGCAGCGCTCACTTTGACGAGACGCAAAACACGCTGCGCTACGCCAACCGCGCCAAGAACATCCAGACCAAAGTCACCCGCAACGTGTTCAACGTCAACCGCCACGTCAAGGACTTCCTCGTCAAGATTGACGAGCAAATGGCCCTCATCAACGAGCTCAAGGCGCAGCAAAAGGACGCGGAAAAGACCTTCTTCGCCAAGTTCCGCAAGCAAAACGAGAAGAAGGACGCCGCCGCGCGCGAGGGCGTGCAGAGGCTGCGGGCGGCGTACGAGAATGCGCAGCAGCAGCGCCAGGAAAAGGTGGCCAGCCTGAAACGGCTCAAGGCGTTTGAGCGGCGCATCAGCCTGCTCGAGGCCTGGCTGTCGTCGTTTGACGCCGTGTGCGAGTCCCGCGGCGCCTCGGAAGAGGACATGCCCGGATCGTTGCGCGCCATCCAAAAGACGGCCAACGGCATCCTGGCCGAGCTGCAGACGAGCCGCCACCACCTCCACCAGAAGCTGGAGTCCTCCAACTGGGAGCGCGCGCTGGACACGGCCCTGCAGCACAGCATCCGCTTGCTCTCGGACGGCGCGGATGGCTCCGCGGACGGCAGCTCGCAGGTGGCGGTCCTGCAGCGCGAGGCGGAGATGCTCAAGACCACGTTTTCCAAGGAAATGTACCGCGAGGTCCTGGAGCAGGAAAAGGGCGCCGACAAGGGCACGATGGAGGTGCTCCTGACGGCGCAGCTGGAAATCATCTCGTCCATGTCGGACACGCTGTCCATGAGCCCCGCGGACGCCGTGACCCACGCCAAGGCCATTATCCACAAGATGCTCGAGTCGGGCGTCGCCGCGGCCAACTACGCCGTCCGGCCCGACAGCGCGCCGCCCAAGATTGAGCTGTATGCGCCGAGTAAGCGCGGGACGCCCAAGAAGAAGCGGCCCGCCGCGCGAGACGTGTCCGCCGCCGAGGAACAGCCGCCGGCCTTTCTTGGCCCTCCGAGTAGTAGCACCAGCATCAACGGCATCAGCGGCATCGACCTCGCGGCGGCGACCCAGCTCCCCTCTCCCCATCAAGGGCTCGCCCAAGCGACGGAAAGCGCCCGTCGCGGCGCGCAAGCCCCTCACCTTCACCCCGAAGAAAAAGTCCCCTCCAAGCGCTCCGTGCGCTGGCGCGACGACGAAGAGGACGGCACGCTCGTCGAGTTCCAGAGGACGCCTCAGCCCTACGAGTCCACGCCCGAAGTCGACTCCCCGCGGCAGCCGGCGGCCTCCCGTCCGTCCGGCACGCGCCTCCTCGCCCATCGCCTTCCGCCCACAGCCCGTCCACACAATCCCCGAAGCCGAGTCCGACGCCGAATCCAGCCCTTCGCGCGCGGTCGTCCCCGAGCCAGGCGCCACGGCAGCCACAGCCACAACCGCGTCCGCAGCCGCCGGCGCCGCCGCACCGCTCGGTAAGCCTAACAGGTTCCAGACGGGCTTCCTCTCCAAGTCGTCGCGCGGCCCCAGCAACTCCCCGTCCTCGTCGCGCCCTCGCTCTCCCTGCACCTCGGCCGCGCCGGCTCCGCGTCGCCCGCGTCTTCGGACGCAGAAGAGCGCCCCCTCGTCGCTCTCCGCTCTCTCGACGTCGCACGCACCTCCAACATGTCCCCGCCCAGCAGCGCCGCCCTTGCCGCCGCCAGCGGCCGCCCTCTCGCATCGCGAGCCCGCCCGTCGCCCGCCGCTCCCTCGACGAAAACCACCCCCTACCGAGCACACCAGCAGCGGCGGCGGCAACGGCGGCCACCACTCGTCCGGATCAGACTCCGAGTCCCCTTCCAACCTTGACGCCCGCAAAATTGCGTCTGCCATGCACTCTGCCAAGCGCCACTCCGTCTCCGCCCGCCGGCTCTCGTCCCTCTCGGGTTCCATTGCCCCGTCGGCTGCTAAGCGGGGCGTCCTCACCGCAGACCACCACCACCACCGCGCCTCCTCGGCGTCGGCCACCGTCCGTCGCTCTCGCTCCCTTCCGTCTCTTCTAATGGCATCTCCCGGCACCGGCGCAATAGCGGCGACCGCCGCAAGAGCCCGCCCATCACTTGCTCCCCGCCTGAAAACCGCACCTCTGCCTCCCGCGCCTTCACCGCTGGCCAGGCGCGCCGGATGAACCTCGGCGGTAGCGTCCGCATCGAGGCGAGCCCGGCTCTCGCGGAGGGGGTGGTGCCGAGCATCATAGGAATAGGCGTGTCACTATTAGCGGCATGGCCTCGAGGGCAAGCCGGCCTAGCCTCGCGTGGAGGTAAAAAAGAAAACTAGTTGGAGAGAGGGGTGAAGTGATGTGATTTGATTATCTCGTCTCTTACATGATCCCTGTTACGCGTTGATGATGATGGAGTTGCAAGCCTTTCTTTTCTTTCCATGTTGCTCTTTTTTCTTCTTCTCTCCCTTGGGGGCCCTGGGGCCACCTACGTGATGGGATTGGATTCAAGGCTTTCGATGGTGTGGCCGTCTTCGGTGGAGTGTGTTCTCCTGCTTCTTTTTCCACAATTATTTAATCATGGGCTTCGCAAGGTCCAAAGGGCCCCTTGTGTCTACACTACATTGGCGTCTGGGTTTCGTTTTCCGTCTGCCTCTTTTCACCGCTTGGTATCACCCAAGTAGGGGTAAAAAGGAGGCTTTTCTTCTTCTTTCGTTTCCTTCTTGAAATTGTATAGAGTATTCCATTTCTATATTTCGGGCGGATCCGCTGTATTAATAACTCCAATTCGCATTTCATCACGATCACTCGTTGCTAATCTCGATTCTCTCTGTTGACTCCGTACTACCAAAGTGCAATTCATGACCAGTTACGCTTGATGTTAATACACTCATTCCATGGCTCGCCGTCCGTCGTTGCTATAGTATTACATGAGGCGTTGTTGTCCTCGTCCCAATCCCTTGGATCTCTTTCCTTTGCGCACTTGCTATAAAATCACACATGGCTACTTTCTACAGTAGAAGACATAATGAATAATGAAACAGGGAAAAAAGTCCTTCCAGCCTCGGAACCACAAAACCGCATTCGTAGATCTCTCCCTCCAATTCTCGTGGTGGAGAATCTGAAACCTGTCCATCGTTGCGGACATACTTTCCATCGCCAGCATTGGTGTTATCCCTCGAGTGGCCACGCTATCAAACTTAGCCCCTACGCAAGGTTCTCGGCGGCCTCGGTTGTGTCCACGAGCGCGCCCTGCCTCGGCCTGAAGCCCTGCACCAAGACGGATCCCACCTGCTCCCACCTCTCCTGCGCGTCCCCTCCAGCACCACCGGGGTCACGGGGAGCTCGCCGGCGGGAGGAAGCCCCGCAGTCCAAGCGGACGGCCGGACCACCATGTCGGTGGCGTCTGTGATGATGCGCTCCAGGTCGAGTATGTACTGGACCATGCGCTCGCGCTCGCGCTCCACCTCTTGCAGGTAGCCTCTCCGCTCCGTCCTCCCCGAGACGCGGTCCGTCACAAAGCATTCCACGCGCGCCGTAGTGCAAGCCGAGCAACCTTCGGGAAGGGCATCGCACTTGATTTTCCGTACCTAACCACTACGAGTTAGCCAAAGCTATTCTTTGCGGGGAGGGAAGTATTCGTGGAAAGTTTCTCCAACGGAGAGAAAGGAAACTTGCCTTGCATCGGTCACAGGCCTGCCCCGTCCTCGTGTATGACTGCTGCCGCGTTCGGATCGCATGGGAAAATTCGGCGGGGGCCTGGGGGCCACGGCGGGACCAGCTCTGCGCCCTCGATTCTTAGTCGCGGGCGATTGTGACAGCGCCGTGTGTTGGGGTGCCTGTAGACCTAGTTGGTGGTGCTGGTGCGGTTGGGAGTGTTGTACTTGCTCCTCGTCTAGCCTATGGCGCTTCTGCCTGTCGAGGTCGAGATCGAGGTCGGGATAGCTCGACATCTCATGGGGAGGTGGGTCGGTGTCGGCTGCTGCTGGACTTGCTGGTCGCGGATCCCTCGGCGCGCCGCGCGTCGGCGGCAACGGCCATGAGGAGGGCAGGGTCGTGGTGATGGTGGTCGTAGCTATTCTCGGGTTCGGCCTCGTCTCGGCGGCGTTTTTCCCCGACCACGGCCTGCGGCGCGGGTTCTTGCGGATGGTCCGGCTCAGACGGCCTCGGGTGCTCGGGCGCCAGGGCGGCGGCGGCAGCAGAGGCCATTAGCTCCATGTTCGCATCGTCGGTACTGCTACTACTGTTGTTGTTGTTGTTGTTGTTGTTGTTGTCGTTGTTGATAGTGGTGTTGGTGTGGGTAGTGGTAGTGGTGGTGGTGGCGGTGGTGGTGGCGGGAGAGCTTTCGCTAGCGGTGGTGGGGAGCGGAGGGTAGCTCGACGACGGGCCGTCCAAGGCCGGCTCGTGGTGCTCCGCAGACATGGTTTGGCGCGCGCGCGTGGGGACTGAGAAAGGGCGCTGGGCGTCCGGAAAACGCTACAAGGCAGTGTTGGTGGACGGAGGATCCCGTCGTCGATGGGTGGGGGACAAGACGCGGACGGCGGGCTGTACCTGGATGGGAAGTGCGGGACGTGGACAACTGATCATGGTGCGGTGGGGGCGGGGAGAAGAAAAAGAACGGGCCGGGCAAAGGGGGGTTCGATTCGAGCGATTACTGGGCTGATTGATTTCGTAGCGGAGGGAGAGCTTTTCCTCGCCAGGAACGAACCGGGGGAAGGAAATGCGTGTGAGAGTCGTCTCGCTTGCTTGCTGGTTGCGTTGCAAGCAAACGCATCGCGCGAGCTTTGAGCTTCCACACTGTGCAACGTCAGTGGCTCCATTTTTCTGATTTAAAGATGGTGAGACGCACAGACCTGGGCTGGGCATCTCCTACTCCTAGGTGAGTCCGCAGATACTGATAGCAACACCCCAACATGAGAGGATATGAAGAAAAGCTACACACACGCACTGTTTTAAAGAAAGAAAAGATTTAGGCCGATCTCGCGGTCAAAGAACGAATCTCCCTTGAGCAAAGTCCCACTGTTTAGGCCACTGTACCTCAGGACAGGACATCGGAGGTCCTGCTATTCTTACGTGATCCAGCGCAAAAAGGCCGGGCGATTTGCACCTGCCTTGAGCGTGCTGAGCCCGTGGCGGGGGCGGGGTAAAACGAGCAAAGGCAAGCACGAGTCTTGCACATGCAAGAGAGAGAAAATAGACACAGAAAGAAAACACAAGAAAAAGACATGGAGGACAATTGTTAGATGGAAAAATAGAGATTGAAATATAAAAGTAGAAATATTATAGACCGAGGGATATCTCGGCTTGAAAACAGGAAGAGAAATGAAAATCAAAAAGTAGTCAAGCCCGCTTTCCACTCCAAGAAAAGTTGTCGGACTTTTTCCTCTTCGCCCAAGCAAATTTATTCACCTTAATCACAAAACCTTCCCTGCTCACATACAAGAAGCTCCTCACCCAGATTCATGTCCATAGAATAGCGCAGAAAAAAAGGACTTACTACAACCGCGGGTTTATTCGTTCCCTCCCCTTCCACCCTCGTCAACCACACCTCGCCCCATGAAAAGGAAGAGTCCCACCAGCGCCATGGAGACCCTCACCCTCGAGCACCTCCCCGTCGACTACGCCGTCCACCTCGCTCTCTTCAAGAACGTCAAGAACGCCGCCTTCCTCCACGCCCAGCTCCTCGCGCGCAACCCCGAGTTTGAGTACGCATTTATCGACGCGTCCATCGTAAGTCTTCTCTTTGTGCTGACTTTGGTCCAACGGCCGGCTCGATTCGGGAACCTTTCGCTCTCTCCCCTCCTGCGAGGGTGGGTGGAAACAGCATCGAGGTCCAACTCAAGGAATGAGATGTGGAAGAGACGAAACTCAGTGTCCGCAGCCTCGTGACTAACAGAGAAAACCCCCTTAGGTCGTCTCGCGGAGGCAGGTCCTCGCCGTGGCTCACAAGTCCATCAACGCCCTCCTCAACGACAGCCTGCGCACGCCCAACGTGCACTCCGAGATTGTCGTGAACCTAAACCCTCCACCAATGCAAGTATTGCCCTTCAAACCCTTTTTCTTTGTGAAAAGTTCAAGATGCCTCTCTGCACATTCCTCGCCATTCTCTAACTAGCGCAAACCTACAGATCACAGAGTCTTATCGCCGCTTCGGACTCAACCCACCAACCAAAGACGTTCTAGTCCTCAAGGTAACCCACCCTAAAGCGCCAGTCCAGCTCTCCGCCTCCGATGTATGGGAGCACCTGTCAACTCACGTCGACGGAGAGTCCGTCCCGGCGACGGACGAAAACATCGCCTCCGTCACAGACTGGACCAAAGTGAGAAAGTACTACAAGCTGAACGGGATCGGCTGGCTAGACAAGATGCCCGAACCCGAGAAAAAGGCGGAAGCCGAGGTGCTGGTGTTGGGCAGCATTGCGCTGCGGGGTGTGTAACTGTTACGACATCAAAGCGAAAAACAAAAGAAGAAGAAAAGAAAAGACTTTAAAGACTTTGCCAAAAAAGAGAGGCGCAACCGGATATCAAAGCATCAATTCTATACCAAATCATACAATTCTAACTTCATAATGTCATAATATCATCGCCTACCCTTCCGTCCTGCCTTCTTCATTGTACGCCTTTCACGCAATCCCAAACGCCATCTTGAACCTCCTGACAAGCTCAACCCACATCGCATCCCTGCCCGCCTTTGTCCTCTGCACGGCGTCGCGGTTCTCGTATGCGCGGCGCAAAAGATACTTCATGCATTCGCCCGTGGACCCCCATACTAGGTATTTGTACGCCTGCACGCCCCGTCGGTCCGGAACAGAAGCGAGGCCCGTCTTCCCCGCCGTGGGAAGAAGCTCGCAGCTAACCTCGTCCGCCATGCCCATTAATTGCGCAAACGAAACCTCCGTCTTGGCACCCTCGTTCTCACTGATTTCTCGGGCCTTTCGAACGGAGTCTGCATTGTGCGAGGCGATGATGAGACTTGCTTGGGGAATTTGCCAGACCCGGAAAGGGTGTCGTTCCATCGCCTCGCCAAGACGCTCTCGGCGATGCCATCGTAGCAGGCATCGGTGTTGGCCTTGGTATCGTGAATCAAGTGGCGGGGGTCCGACCCGAGATACGCGCCGCGAACAAGCTTGACACCAAGAGTGAAGGAATCGGCCTCGGCCGCTTTTAGGTGAGTGGCCAAGGTCTTGGGCGCGGACTTGAGGTAGGCCTGGTAAGTACCGTAAATGTAAGCGTGGCCCGGATCGGTATTGTATTTGCGCATGTACGAGAGTGTCCAGTCGTCGATTCCTGGCTGTATGCCGGCTTGCTCAGCATCGAAGAGGAGTCGGACACCGCGAGAGACTGCGCGCTCGCAGATGGAGTCTATTGCGCTAGCGAGAGCAGGCGAAGGGGGCGATCTAGTTTTAAGATCGGCCATGGCAAGTCGGCCTGCTCCAGTAAACCTGATCGCTTGTTAGCCAAATGTACCTTGCACGTGCATGGATCAATCCCGGAATCACCTACTTGAGAGCAACAAAGTCGCCGGGCTTCGCCAGGTTGACTGTGTCAATCGTGCCTTGCTTCCACGGCGTTATCTCGGTTCTGACGCACTCCTCTACGTTTGGGCCGTCGCAAGAGGAGAGAGCCGCGAGTTGCTGGTCGGTCAAGACAATCTCCCGGGCATAGCCGAGAATAACACCGCTAAATCCCAGTTCCTTGAGGCTGTCGATGGTGCGCTCGGCCTCTGCGTAGGTGGCCCCGGCGCAAAATTGGGCGTAGAACGTCTTTTTGATGAAGAATCGAAGCACCGGGTTCTTGTCCGGGTTCAGAAGGGAGATGTGGGTGGATGCAAGGAGAGACATGAGGGAGAGGGAGGGTGGTAGGAGGAGCCGAGAGGAGGAGATGGATGAGATGACGAGGGAGCGGATCACCATGGTCAAAGGAAGGACGGCTAGAGGTGGAGATGCCTCTTCTTGAGGACGTGAAAGGCGCCCCAAAGCTCCTATCTCAGAAGTCTCATTCTCGTGGCCGGCATCGACGGCATGGGTATCGATTACGGCCATCTTGAATGATAGGGAACCACGCTAGGGACTGCAGGTCGAGAACGTGGGAGGGACTGGTGATGGTTCCTTGACGGAAGAGAAGAGATGCATCGGATGAAATAGGGCGCGGGTGAGAGCTAACCACGCCGACGGGGTGAGTGGTAACACTGGTTCGGCATTTTGCAAAGTGAAGTCGCCCGGTGTGGATGAGGCGATGGGGTTGCAGGGACATCGGAGCGTCGCAGTTCGATTTAATAGGGTTCACGGAGCTGATAGAGTTTGGTGATCGATGGAGAGAAAGTCCCGATGGGGATTTGGGAGGGTGGGAAGGGCAGGTTATAAAGGGAAGCATGGGGAAGTCAGAGAGGGAAGGAGGAACCAATACATTGGGTAACAGGAATCAGAAACGGATGGCGACTCCAGGCTCGGCTCTACGTTCTAATTCCTGGGCTATCCGATATGGGAAAGAGGGGCCCAGACAGTCCACGATCCATGAGTAGGATGGACTTGTGTGCGGTTGTCACGGCTTACACGAATTATTGACTACGATACTTCCAAGTCCTTCCCAAAGGAGGGGGAAAGGAGAGCGAGCCCCAGGACGCCCTCTCCCCCTCCAATCCGACGTCAATAGGGTCGCCGTTCTCGGCGCGAGATGGACAATAAAAGGAAATTCAATTGAGAGTTGGCCCCCGTATCTCCCCTATCAAAGTCACACAAAGGTCACCTGTATACGGAGGGTGTGTATGAGTGTGTGTTATTGGCGTGCGTGGGCGTTTGGTGGGAGATAGCGCATCGGTGACCTCGGTGGCCAATGCTGATATGAGACGTAGATGGGGCGGGTGATGATAAGGTTGAAGCTTGATGCGTCAGAGCCCGTCATGCGGCCTTCTTTGTTCGTTTCTCAGCCAAAAAGAGAAAAAGAAAAAAGAAAGAAAAGCCGCCGCCAGGGTTGAGACGGCGTTCACGGCAGGCCGCGGCTGCCCCCGTGTAGGCAGTGGCTTATCGGACCATCACGTGGACGGTTGAGGGGGCAAAAGGCCGAGACTACCCGTCGCCCACCACGAACCACAGGAAGCCGCAAGTCGTCAGGAACGACCAACCACCCCCCTTTCCCCGTAATACCATTGACCGACGTCGGATTGGCAAATCAAGAATCGAAATTGGCTGATAGTACAAGAACGTTAATTCCCTTTTTTGTTATCACTAGCGTTCTAGTATATTGTACAGCTGAGCCTAGCTCTCAGAGGAAGGAGGGGGTGCGTATGAGGAAAAACAAAACTGTATGGGTTCAATGGTATAGTGGGGATATTGGCCCCTCCCCTCCCCCAACAAAAGAGGAAGTTTCAGTAACGGCGGCTACCCCGGCCACACAAGGCAGAAGCAGAGAGATCCATTTCATCCGCCGGGATCGGACTATGTACGGGCTGCCCGTGCCAGAAAGCCTGTGGGCCATGGGCTAGCAACGGCAAAGGGGGAGTATGCAGGTCGACATCTCTTGCTTTCCCGCGACAGCCCATCATCGTATTGATGGAGCTAGATGGATGAGTCGCGGTCTTCCTTCCTATCCGACCCTGCCCTACAGGTCCGGGTGTTCGTTCCCCTGATGCGCCAGTCAGGGACAGCACGAGCAGAGAATAGAAAAGAACCCAAAAAAGCGGGCTGTGCCTTTTTTTCTACGCCCATGTGATCCCACCCTCCTTCAGTCCCCCTTTAGGCGGCTTGAATTATTATGCGTTGCCAAAACGCCATCTCACGTCTTTTCCGCAGCCGGGCGTGCAGGGGATTTTCCTAGCCGCCGCTTCGCGAACTCGACGTAGCTGATCGGCTGGCCACGTAAGAGCCCCAATCCGTCCTGAAGACCGCCGAATATGAGACCGAATGCGAGGGCTTGCTTTGTTGTTCGCGCTGCTGTCGTTAAGGGGAATCGGTCTAATGCGAGAGAAAAGAAAAGAAAAGGATTACGGTTAGCCAAAGTGCCCGAGCTAGGAAAATCCTACGATGGCGCTGCAGAGAAGCCACCATCCCTCCCCTCTCCTGCGTCTCTCCCCTCCTGCTTTCTTATGTCCCGTCCACCCCCACTACCACTTTGCTACGATGTAAAAACTTACTCCACAAACTGAAGCCGCCGGAAACCGTCAAGCTAGCGATAACGGTGCTCAGCAAGTCGGACTTCCCCGGTACCGGTCGACGGTGTGCTCGAGCCAAATCATAGCAAAGGCCCAGAAGCCGAGCTTGCTGCCCATCTTGAAGCCCTCCTTGAGACCGCCGTAGGCGGCGTGGTAATTCTTGCTGCGGTGGTAAAAGTACCAGTCCGTCGTCGTGGTGGGCATCTTGTGGGCGTGCTCGGCGCGGAACCGCAGCTGCGCGACCTTGCCGCCGTGGGCTCCGCCGAGGGTCATGCCGAGGCCGAAGGCGCCCAGGGAGGCGATGCCGAGTCTGGCGGGCGTGCTCATGTCGAGGCGGGGGTAGTCGAGGGGCTCCATCGTCGGATTTCTTCGGGGTGATGTCGTCCGATGGGGACGGGGGTGATAGCGCGTCCATGGCTGGAGGGCGGGAGAAGGGGGGTGGGAGAGAAGAAGGGAGGGCGGAAGGTTTGCCTATAATTTCTCTACTGCCATGGGAGGATCTCTTTTTCGGTGTGAAAATTATCGTTGCTTGAGCTCTTGGCTTTTGTCTTTGCGATCAGGAGCTCTGTCGCAAAGTGGCCTATGGAACGCCGAGTTTTGTCTCGGCCAAAGAAAATCCAGAGATGTGCCGGAGCTGGCTGGTGCTCTTGCTCTACGTCAATTTTCTCGCCAGCCACGCAGCTCCAGAGTCAGTTCACAGTGTGTACGCGAAGTCACCTGATTTCGCAAGTTCCGGCAGGCCCCTCCCCCACTAAAACTTTGGGATCCGACGCATTTTGATGTGTAGGCTTTTGAGGAGGCGAGCGCGAAGGCTCCATCTATTGATCCCTTCCCTCACGCCGAGTAGCCGCCTTTCTACAAAAGCCCATCCCCTATTGCGACGGTCGCAGACCTACTCACAATATCAAGGTATGTCTTTTTCTTGGCCATTTAGCAATCGTCTCTTGCTAACAAGGTATGGACCCTTTTAGATGGACGGAAGCATGCTCTCTCTGCGCCTCAAGCACGGGGTGCACACCATCTTCCTCTTCGTCGACGCTCTCGAGCCCTTTTCCAGCCTCGATGCCCAGCTCCTCGAAGTTCTCCGCGAGCGCTACGCCGACGGCTACCTCACAACCTCGCAGGGCTCCACGCCGATACCCTCGGGCGACGCCACGGTCTACTATGCGCGGCTCAAGAACTCGGTCGACCCGAGCGAGGGGTGGAAGAGGCTCGACGTGCTAGGCAAGGATACGCCGAGCAAGAAGGGCATCGCGGACAACAGCGTCCTCGCGTTTGCCATCTACGAGGAGGGACAGGAGCCGGATGAAGTGGAGTTTCTGGTGGATTGGCCGAGTCTGGACGATTACGAAGAGGAGGATGCGGAGGGCAATGGTTACGAGTCATAGATTTTTTTCTTCTTTCAACTTTTATGAATAAATGACCATGTGATACCAGGAGGAAAGGTGAATAGTGCTGGGAGGTGAAGCCCTTCCTTGGACTGGCCTGATGACATGAAGCAGATGGTTGCTTCGAGATCAATTGATGGAGAGGATTGTCAAAGCGCCTTCACCAACTCTGATGATGGATCTATCCACTACAGTGAAGGGTCGACTCAGAAATGTCTCCAGCTCCTTTGCTACAACCCTCCCCACTTGAAGGGTGAATCAATTTCTGGATGGTAAATCCATTTGATTTGATTGATTTCAATGATGGACGCTGCTACTGGAAAATCCCCGAGAACAAATTGATCCAAACACTACGTCCCATCCAGGGCCCTCGGCGCCAATTAAACGCCCCACTCCACTGGGACCTTGTGAAGTGACGGCACATGAAGGACCCTTTTGTCCCTGAGCCCCTTTTGCGCCACGCCTTTTTCAAGGGGCAAGACCATTGAAGAACAATTGATGAACAATTTTTCTCTTTCGCGTCAGTGCGCCTTCCCCTATCAGCTGCCAGAATTGTCTCCCTGCTTTTCCGTCGCATGGCCCCCTAAACCAGGGAAAGAAGAAGAAAAAAATACCCCTTCCCGTCTTTCCTCCCTGCATCGTCATCCCCCACCGTCTCACGCATATTCCTTTTTTCTTCTCTTTTTCTTTGTCGTTTTTTTGTCCAAGTTTTTTTTGTTTGCTCCTCTTCCGTGCTTCAGAGCCGCCAGTATCTCTTAGCCCTACGGTATCCCACCCGCGCGGCTCCTCGCATTCCTCTCGTCCTCTCCCTACCTCTCCCCGAAATCGAACCGCATATGCCGCTATTATAGATGTTGATCGCGGTCCTCCTCCGCCATGGGCTTCGCCTGCTCTTCCCCGTCCTCCTCCCCGTCGCGCTAGCCACCACCCTCTGGCTCTACCTCTACCCCATCTTCCAAGGCTGCGCGTTCCCCTCCCCTCCTCGCACGACAACGCGCGCTCCGCCTTTTTCGACACCGCGGGTCGCCATGTGCCCCAGCTCGCGCCCGCGTTCGCCGCCCGCGCGCGGGCCCCTTTCGCCTGCTGACCCTCGGCGACCCCCAGCTCGAGGGCGACACCTCCATCCCCAACGTGTACCTGGGCGTGATGCCGCACTTCAAGAAGCTGGTGCGCCAGGTCACGGGCAAGACGACGCACTACTCGTTCCGCCAGCGCCTGCGCGCCATCGCCCACTCCGTCGTCGACATATACCTCGAGGACCTCCCCAACGAGCTCGAGTCGCTGCGCAAGCGCCTCGACCACTTGGGCAACGACTTTACCTCGCCCATATTTACCGCACCCTCGACTGGTGGACCGTGCCGACCCACGCGACCGTGCTGGGCGACTTGCTGGGCAGCCAGTGGATCGACGATAGAGAGTTTGAGCGCCGCGGCAAGAGGTTCTGGGAGCGCGTGTTTGCCGGCGCCGAAAAAGTCGCCGACGAGCTCGCGCACTACCCCGCCGAGGAGTACGATATCTCGGGCTACCTCGGCGACTACCAGCCCGAGATCGAGGACATCAACGGCAGCGGCAGCGGCAACGACAGCGGCAGCGATGATGCCGCGGCGGCCTCGGGCATCGGCGACCCGACCGCCTGGCGCCGCAAGCTCATCAACGTCGCGGGCAACCACGACATTGGCTACGCGGGCGACCTCACGGAGCAACGGCTCGCACGATTCGAGCGCGTCTTCGGCAAGGCCAACTACGAGCTCCGCTTCGAGCTCCCCATCACGGACCCCGTCGTCAACGCCACGCTCTTCGACGAGGACGCCAACGCGGACTCGGACCGCCTCGTGCCCGAGCTCCGCATCGTCGTGCTCAACGACATGAATCTCGACACCCCCGCCGTCAGCGGCCCGCTACAGGACGCGACGTACAAGTTCATCAACGACGTCATCAACACCGCTACCGCCGTCGAGTTCAACGGCCACTTCACCCTCATCCTCACCCATATCCCCATGTACAAGCCCGCCGGCGTCTGCGTCGACGCCCCCTTTTTCGACTTCCACACCGAGGCCGAGGGCGGCGGCGTCAAGGAGCAGAACCTCTTGTCCGACGTCGCCAGCCGCGGTATCCTCGAGGGCATCCTCGGCCTCAGCGCCAGCGACCTCGCCCCCGCCCGCGGCATGGGTCGCCGCGGTCTCGTCATCAACGGCCACGACCACGCCGGCTGTGATACCTACCACTTCGTCAACCAGACCAACGGCACCGTTGCCTCTGACCGCTCCTGGGAGGTTCTTCGTTTCCCCGAGGCCCATGCCCTGGGCGTCCCCGGCAAGGACGCGCACCCGGGCGTTCGCGAAATCACGGTGCGCAGCATGATGGGCAACTTCCACGGCAACGCCGGACTCTTGAGCATGTGGTTCGACGAGTCCGCGTGGACGTGGCGGTACGAGTACGCCGAGTGCAAGCTCGGCACCCTCTGGCCTGGTGGCTCGTCCACATCCTCGACCTGGTCGTCGTCATTGGCCTCGTGCTCAAGCTCGGGCTCGCCGCCACGGGGTTGAGCCTGGAGGATAGGAGCACGGTAACGAGCAAGACGAAAGCGACGACCACGAATGTGAAGAATGAGGCGAGCAGCCAGTCCGCTGGTTGGACGGAGAAGAAGTTGTAAACATGAACACTGAAAGAAATTCAAAAAAAAAAGAATGCACGCATCTATCTCTTTGTAGAAACTATACCGCCATACGCATACCAATAATATCATTTTCCTTTATATCTCCTCTCAAAGTACTCTCTATTCCTAAAGTCGTCCCGCTATCCCTCTCATGTGCCTCAGAAGTTGCATGAAAGGAGCATTACATCGTGACATTGATCCTGTCTCTGCTGCATCGTCGGCTACTACGTCGCACCCGCGCGCCCGAACCATCCCCACAAACACGGGAGGCAGCCATGTCTGAGACTAACCGCTCGTTCTGATAGATGACAGCTTTTTCCTTCTCCCTCTCCTTTGGCCATTTCCGGCCCCAGGGCCTATAAGTTGGGCCCGCAAGCTCGCCCCTCGCCGAACCACACGCGATTCCTCGTGCTGTCCCTCTCCAGTCTCCCATCTTCCGGTTCTTGCTCCATAGTAGCTTCCATCTACAGCTCATACACCGCACGACCGACGCACCCACATCATGTATCCCAGATTCGACCATCCAGTCAACACCGCGCGCGAGGCACGGTTCCTAGGCCCCTACGAGACGCCAGAGAGTTGTGACTGCACTTTGCATGCAGACAGCCACAGGTGCAGTCATCCCCAGCCCCCAAATGCCTCTCGTTTCTCTCCACGCAACGCCCCGCCCGTTCTTTTGACGCATGGCTAAAGTCCTCAAATGCTCTACCAGACGGCTTCAGTGCGTGATCGACCCCTTTGCGAACGCTGCGCCCGCGAGTGGCCTTGCTAAGAGTTCATTACATCCAACACCCAAATCACCACAAAGACAATGGGGACACACCATGCAAGGCGCCGGAAGGAAAGGGAGAAGCAGTCCGCAAGCATTAAATCGAGTCAACTTGAATTTTCAAGAAAGTCTAGTGTGGTAATGCTACAGTATTAGTACAAATATACGTTTCTCTATGCCGGAATATCCTTCTCGAGCAGGCTCCCCCCCTCCTCCTCCTCCTTCTCTTCTCCGCCTGTACCAATCTCCCCACCACTCGCGCCCACTGAAAGCAAGCCTTGTTATTTTTGTTGGAAGCCATCCCACGCCCATCCCTATGCGCGCATAATCAAGTAAAAAGGACATTAAAACATGCCAAGAGGGAAGAAAGGGAACAAGAAAAAGAAAAGAGAATGTTGCAAGTCGTATGAGGGGAGAGGAGGGGGTTGTGTTTTAAGTTCGGCATCACCACGGCCAGGACGTTTCGTGCCAGACGCTGGTCGCTTTTTTCTTCTTCTTCTTCTTCTTTACCGCTTTCCTTAGTTTTACCTTGGGTCGTCTTCGTTTTTCAACTTCTTCAAGCCTTCTTAGGCTCCTCCTCGCCCTCCTTCTTCTCCACAAACATAGTCGAGAAAGAACCCATCATGCTATTCATCATCTCCTGCTGCTGCTGCTCCATCATCGCCTGCTGCTCCTTGAGGTACCGCTCGCCATTTTCGCGAATATCCTTCTCGAGGGCCTCGACGTAGCGCTGGCCCCTCTCGCGCGCAATGTCCTGAATCATCTTGCCTTGCGCGTAGGCCTCGCTCAGGTTCGGCTCGCCGTCGGGGACACCATCATGCTCATGTTGGACGCCTTGAGGCCCAGCATGTTGCCGAAGAAACCGACGCCCGTCGAGCGGCTCGTCTTCTGGTCCTTGATCCTCTTCTGGAACTCGGCGCGGGCAATGGCCTCGCGACGGGCAAACTCGGTGGGGATGTGCTGGCCCTCGAACGACTTGAGCACCTTGCGCACGTCGTCGTACTGCATGGTGTGGATGTATTCGAGGAAGGGGATCAGCGAGACGAGATCGGTGTTGTGCTTGTCGCCGGTCCACTTGGGGAGAATGATGGCGTTCTCGGGCTGGGCGCTGACGTGGGCCGGGCTGGTGTCGAGAATGATGACCTTGGAAAGATCACGGTTGAGATAGGAGAGATCCTGTCGAAATCGAGATGGATTAGCATATTGTGGATAGAGAAAAAACCCAAGGTAGAAATATAACGCGGGCTTACCTTGACAAACTCGCCATCCTTATACTTGGTAGCCTCCCGGAACAAAGGAAACATAATCATCTGAAACGGATCCAGCTTCTGAATCACCGGCAGCGCCACAGCAGACGGAATGCTCGTAAACAGCACCAGCTCATAATACTGGCTCAAGTACCGCAAAAGTAATCCACCCCCGGCCTCTTCGCCACGCGCCACCCGTGCTCGCGCGACCACTCGCTATGCACCAGCATATCCTCCAAGCTAATACACAACGTGTACGGCTTCTCCAGCATCGGATCCAGCTTCGGCAACAACGTCTCGAACGCCGGCTCGCTAAAATACGTCACCATCGTGTTCGACCGCGCGCTCGCCCGCTTCCACCACGCCGCCGGGTTCCACCCGTTCGGCGCGTCCGGGTGCCGCCGCTCCTCGTCGGCATCCTCCCAGTTTCGGCCCAGGTACGCCACCGCGCCCACCATGCCCGCCAGCGCCGAGATGAATGACCACTTGGCGAAGCTCTGCCGTTTCCTATCCGACGACGAGACGTACGCCGAGTCTGGGAGCTCTCGCTTGCCGCCCTCGCCGCCGTGGGCCGCCGTGAGCGAGGATCGGCCGGCGGCGGCGGCCTGCGCCGCCTCGAATTCAAAGGTCGACGGGATGCCCTGCGTCAGATCCGGCAGCGGGAAGTTGGGTTTGGTCTCCGATTCGGCCGCGTTCGCATCGGCCTGGGAACTCTCCGACGCTTCTTCACCGACATCCGAGGGCTTTTTCGATGAATTGGGCTCGGGGACGTCGTTCGGGTTCCGGGAGGTTCGGTGTTCGCCAGCGTGCGTGTCCACGTAAATGTGCGTGGACGCGCGGCGTAGACTGCGAAGATGGGGGACGCCCGAACGGGGCTCGTGCGGACGAGCCGCAATGCTACTCTCGAAAGCATGGTGAATTTGTGTCGTCCAGGTGGGGGATTCACCACCAAGTGTTCAGGAGGTGAGGCTGGAGAGTATTGGGATTAGGATTGCTCGATCAGAGCTGAAGAAATCAACCTCGCATGACGAACTTTTTTCCAGAAAGCGGCCCAAGCTCTTCTGGTTGCTTCTCCTATCCGTATTTCCGAGATTTTACCGCGACCACCCGATTTCGATTGGCTTAGTCAGGAAAAACGCCAAAACAGCCCAGAAATACGTCACAGCACGAGCATGGGAATATGCACAGTATGGAGCGCGCGCGCAGTGCAAAGATCAGGAATGGCAAGGTCAAAAACTTCGTTGGCATTGGAGTAATAATATCAAGTTGCGTTACGGTTTAGCAACTCGGAATTGAGTGGCGTTTTGTCATGAGCACACTAATAAGTAATAATAATAAGAAAAGAGTTAAAGAACAATACGTAATAAATGGTTCCATCAGGCATACAGTGAGCGAGGTAGAAAAGTGAGCCGTGAACAAGAAGGAGGAGATACAAAGCCCTGAATACCAGATCCCAAACCCGCACTAAGAAAGGAGAGGCGAAGAAGGAAGAAAAAAAAAAAATAAAACGCAACATGGCCATGTAAAGGAACATGCGCAAGATGAGAAAAGTCCCATACTTTAGGCGACGACAGACTGGACAAGAGAAAGTTGTTCAAAGCCGAGGATTTCGTTGATATCAGAGGGTTCGATGTCAGCGTGATCCAGACTGTCAGTCCATCCCCTTTCAGGGCCCCAAGCAAGGAGGTAGTGCGGGGCCACCGACTCCAGCAGGCCCCGCATCATGGCGCCCGATTTTTCACGCTCTCCCAGGCGTCAAACTCGAGCACCTCGAGAGAGGGCAGCTCTTTGAGAATGTCCTGCAACAGGTTGCGTGAAAAATCTTCGTAGAATCCGTCGGCACGGCGGAACCCATTGAAAATGGTATCGCTGGGGTCGCACTCGACAAAGACTTTGAGCTTCCGAATCTGCACGCAATCGCGAAGCCCGAGGGCTTCGTTCACGACCCAACCACGGGGTGGCCTATTCCAGCCAGGTCCGAGCCGGAGTTCCAGGGTCGTCAGGGAAGCGCGCTGAAAGGGCGAGAGCCTGGCCAGCAACGGCTTCTTGGTCTTGAAAAACCGACCGGGATGGGTCGGGAAGACGCGGAAAGTGCTGCTGCTGTAGAAGAAGGTCGAGGCCTCGTAGTAGACTTGGCGACAAGTCCGCAAGAGAGCCAGTCTTCGGTGGATCCGCTTGTAGTTGTCCGGATCAAGGTCGACAACGTTGCCACATTCGGCAAAGTGGTATCCGTATATGCGGAGTCGGAGCTCAGCCGGCAGGTCAAGGAACCGGAAAGGAACGGCCGGCTTCTTTCGCGGCTTCACCACGGCGACCACGTCGCCTTCATCTTCCGAAGGGCAAGCCGATGGGTACGCCGAGCTCAGGGGCGTAGGGTATGCCGAACTGATAGGTGTGGGGTAGGCCGAGGGTACCGGGGTCGGCCGGCCCCTCTGCAACTTGGATCGTCTCGCCATGGCGATAGACGGGAGGGAGGGGGCAAGGCTGCGGACGGCAGGTCGCGCGCTCCGCAGCTTTGGGGTTTTGTGAGGGGGGTTTCTTGGAGGGATAGTCAAGATTAGGAGAATTTGGTTGCGCGCTTCTTTCTTCTTGTTGGTAGGCGGCAGTCGCTAAAGTGAGCGAATTCAACACACGGGGCACGGGTAAAGAGTGAGGAACAGTCTCTCGCTGGACGAGTTGTAAGCCAGAGGGTGGTCCATTGTTGATTGCCAGGTAATGGGGGAGTCCACCCTCTAGAATGCAGCATCCATCGCGGGCATCTTGAATCGTGGTTGCTGGCTAGGGAAAAAGGGCTGTGAATGTGTGTGTGCAAGTGTTGGTTTGGGGGAAAAGGGGGAAGGTTGGGAGTGGAGGCGACAAGATGGATGGATCGGGGATGTTCTTCGGAGCGAGCAAGAGCGACTCGAATCGGACGGGGCGAGAGTGACCTCAATCTTGGGAAGGTGGGCTGGACGGACTCAGCGGACGGGATGGGGCCAAATTCCCCAGACTGGCGCAGAATTGGGTCATCCAATTGGGACACGTGAGCTCCTGCCGCAGGCTACCACGGTTTCTGCGGTTTCTGCGGTTTCTCGACACACACTTGGCAGACTGGCGCCGGATAAGGTGTGGCCTGATTAGGCCTAATTCGTGCGGAGAACAGTATGAAAGAGGCTTCGGTCACGGAAACGCGACGGTGTACTTGGGCATTGCGCGTCATCGCTGAGCGACGAGGTAGTCACCAAAGGTCACTCCCTCACCCAAGTCGCCGATGAATGGTGTCTTTCGGTCTCAGACAATGCGAAGCCGAGGGGAAAGGGCGGAGGCGAGAGAGGGGGCGCTTTCGTTTACCTTTTGCTACCACCCATCAATGCATCAATGGATCAATCAGTGGCATCCTCATCAAAAACACAGTATGCGAGGAAGTACGAAGTAAAAGAGACATTGCGTGAACCGGACCTGGTACTAACATGGCATGGTGGAAATGCGACAACTGTGGAGGGTGGTGTCGAGCCACCATCGCTTCATTCATCTTATTTCCCAGATCCTTCAAGTTCAATGTCTTTTGATCGCCCTCCTCGGCACAAGGGGAGCTCTACGACTGCTGCCCCTTGCAGAAAACGGGCTGGCGCAACCGTTCAAACGGATCAATCGGATGCTCTTGAGACTTGCTCGGACGGTTACTCCTGCCCGCTTCCCGCAACCACCACTACGAGGGAACACGCACGCGCGCGAGCCAAGGGTTGCGAAAGGCTTGGAAAGGCCGCCCGCGGATCGGATGGTGTTCCCCGTCTCCAAGTAATACCCCACCACTAACGGGTCTTGGAGAGACTGAGACAAGCTCCCAGCAGTTAAACAGAGTTTCCCCAGCTTCAGACTCAGTTGAGATCTGGGGTCGACTTCCTCACTAGCTTTTATCCGCTGCGCAATGTTTGTTGAACGGCCTGTTTGATCATGATGCGGCCCTGATCACTCGCGCCTGCTCCTGCTTCTACTTGTGTGCATCTCTGACTCTTGCGTAACAGAGCATGCGTCTCAGGGTTTCGTGTCCCAAACATCATGCGCGACAAGGTCGCTCCCGATCTAGTCGCCTCTATACATATACTTTCGGACAATGAAGAAACCCTCCCACCTCCCAAAGCTTCTCAGTCCACCTGATTTCTGACATAAACCCTCTTCACTTACTTCAAATTCAGTGACCCCAATGCATCATGGGAGACTTGGAACGTTCGTCTTCGTAAAACCCTACTGTCTGTATCTTAGTACACCTCCATCGTAAACAAATAATACATGTTTCTCTCGCACTCGGAAACATGACATCGGCCGAGCTGATTTCCCGACGGTGACTCAATCGCGGCTCATATTTTGACTTGAACTTTCAAGCATGCCCCAAGCCCGCCGAGGCCTCAAGCATGCTGCTGGCATAGGAGTACACGGGCATGAGAGGTCTATACGGGCTTGGCGTCCAGCCTCCCACTGTCTCTTCTTCTCGAAAAACATCCGCTTCAAGGGCAGCAGGGGGTCGCTCAAGAATGAAGATCAAGGGTACCATCTTGTGAGATTGCGCCCTTCCCAAAGAATAGCTCTAGCTCATAGTTTGGCGCTTGCTCCTAGACCCTGACTCTTCCATGCAAGCGGTGCGAAATCGCCGCCGTTGATATTGCTGAGTACCCCTGGCCTTAAGGCTAGATTAGCAGGAGGGACGACAGCAACTAAGTCCCGTCTATCCATGTTTAATACTAGAAGAATACCCGAGTTTGCAAGCTTGGTCCTTGTAGACTTAAGAGAGCACCAGTGTAAAGCTTTAGTGAACCGCTTATATGAAGGCACACTTCTAGAAGCAACAACGGATAGACTCAATAGATCCATGGATGGATGGATGGATAGATGTCTCCACTCCCGTCTAGGGTGGATATAGGGTAGGCTCCAGCCATGAGGAGGATTTGATTACCCCATATAGAGTAAGACCACTTTTGTCGCGAGCTCTCCACCCTCCCTGCTAGAACGCGTCAGAAACAGAACGCCTTGCTTGTGTTGGCTCGGTCCGTTGCTGTCCTCCGATATCGGTCTTGCTTTCGAGCCTGGAATCAAACGACTTGGCGCCCTTTAAGTGACGGAATCCCGTCTCAGCGATTATTCCCCAAGACGGGAAATAGATAAAACGGTTATTTGAAATGTTGCTATCGGTGCTTTGGGGAGGTTTTGGGACTATCAATCCACGACGGGGCCTTCTTCGGCGTGGTGGGTCCCTGGCCTTCGAATATAATCCAGACGATGCCACAGCTTCCTCCACGATAGGGCTCGTAGCTTGAGCACCGTAGGCCAAATTTTCATTCAAACCCTCGAGAAAAGAATGTTAGGAAAATAACGAAAGATCTCCAGGCTTTCGAGCTAGAGAGGTCATTTTCCTTCAAGTCATTACACTGCCCAGACTACAAAGGAAGCTCGAGGCGGTGCACGGGATACCGGAACCCGGCCGGGTTCGGGGATCGGACCGGCCTCCGCCGATAGGGCCGCGCGCCTGTTTTGGACTCGGGTTGGCCGCGCAATTGATAGGTTGAAGGGCGCAGCACCAAAAAGGAACCAAAGGCGGTGGTGGTCGATGGCAAATCACCAATAGCCCTGCAAAGGCAGTGTGGGGCCTTCCTAAAGAACCAGTCCAGGAACTTGATCTCAATACAAAACGGGCTTTTCTTAGATACCGCCTGAGTTGCTATCCAACAATCTCCAATGTGACCTAGCCCGAAGTCTGTAATATTATCATATTGGCAATCCTATAAAACGCGGCCCTTGCTATCAGCACGTCCTGCGCTTTCGAATAAGACAATGTAGTGTCAACCAGTGTTCGCGATGGCGGGGCATTTCTAGTATCACGTGAGAGACAGGGCGGACCGTGGACGACTCGACCGGGGTCAAGAGCCAAGTTCAGGTGTTGCTGCTCCCTGGCAAGAATAGTGGGGCAAGTTTCTCTGCGCGAGCTTCTTCAAACGTTCGGCTTCAAGATCGAGAGCCTCGATACACCAGCAACACGCTCGCGCAAACGGCAGGCAATCGTATGGTGGACGAGTTTACTTGCCAGCCACTTCAATTGACGCTCAAAACCAGCTACTGGCCCACAAAACAACCTCGACTTGGGCCTTTCTCACGAGTCGGCAGAGAGCAAACGAACCCAAAAAGTCCAGACCAATTTTCCACCCCGTCAAAAAAAAAACCTACAAATTCACCACACCTCACCGAATCCATACTCACCCCTCACACTGCGAGAATAACACACACAAATGTCCCTCGACACATCCACATACTCCCTCGCCCTCCTCCGGGTCGACGGCCGGCGATGGAACGAGCTCCGCCGCCTCAACGGCCAGATCCGGACGCAGCACGCCTCGGACGGCTCGAGCTACCTGGAAATGGGCCACACCAAAGTCATGTGCGTCGTGACGGGCCCGCACGAGGCCCCGCGGAAAGGCGGCGCGTCCCAGTCGAGTAACGCCGTGGTCAACGTCAACATCGTCGTCGCGGGGTTCAGCTCCGTGGACAGGCGGAGGAGAGGCAGGAATGACAAGTCAGTTTAACTTTCCCTTTCCTCTCCCTTTTTCCTCCCCACTACCCATGCCACCCCCTTATGTCGGCGCAGCAAGAGCACCACCAAACTAACTCTAAATCCCCTCTCTCTTCCCCAGACGCAACCAAGAACTCGAAACCACCATCGCCAACGCCCTCACAGCCTCCCTCCACACCCACCTCTTCCCCACAGCACAATCAGCATCTCCCTCCACGTCCTCTCCCAAGACGGCTCCCTCCTCGCCGCCCTCATCAACGCCTCCACCCTCGCCCTCGTCGACGCCGGCATCCCCATGACCGACTACATCGCCGCCTGCACCTCGGGCTCCACCTCCACCTACGCCGCCGCCGACGAGGCCGCCGACCCCCTCCTCGATCTCAACCTCCAGGAGGAGCAGGAGCTGCCCTTTCTCACTGTCGCGACCCTCGGCGCCAGCGACAAGGTCGTCGTGCTCGTGTGCGAGAGTAGGGTCAGGTCGGTAGGCTCGAGGGCCTGCTGGCCGTGGGCGTCAGCGGCTGTAGGCAGGTACGGCAGTTTATGGACCAGGTTGTCAAGGAAAAGGGAAGCGCTATGGCGGCGCAATAGCGCGGGCGGTGAGTTCATGTCTGGGGCACAAGGGTACGGGGAGGGGAGGAGAAGAGGGCGAGGGAGAGAACGAAACAAGAAGACGATGGAAGAATTCACACAATACCTAATGTTTTACGAATCCAAGGTTGGCGTGCTAGGCAAGAGGGAAACGGAAAAGAAGAAAAAGGGGAGCAAATTCAAGGCCTCGTTTCTTATTTGTTCAAGCGCTAATGATACACATCATGGAAAGAAGGAGAAATATAAAGGCAAACTGAACCGCCTACAAGGCAGCTCTTTTCTTTTTTTTTTTTTTTCAAATTTGTTTTATTTTCCTTTTTGGAGGTCTTACCTCCGTTGGCTTCTTCGATTGGTAAGATTGTACAGCAGAAAAATTACAACTCGTCATGCTTGTCCTCCACAACGATGCCCTCGGGCAGCTTATTCTTGGCACCCTCGCCCATGCGAATGGCATCGACCCAGTCCATGATGCTGGCCTCGGAGTAGTCGCCCTCGTACCGTCTCCACCAGCTGCGCTTGGCGTTGATGGCAACGACCTCGATGGAACCGGTGACCTCGAGGGCCTTGGCGAGCTGGGCGTGGGCGGGGTTAAGGCTGGGGATGGTGTAGAAGGGGAAGAGCTTGCGCTCGGCCTTGGCGTTCCTGTGCACAATGTCGGCGAGAGAGTCGACGAGGGCGTCGGCGGCCTCATCCTTGGCTTCGGGTACGAGAGCGAGGACGCAGGTGCCAGACTTGGGCTGGAAACACTCCTTGGAAACCTCCTCCAAGGTCAGGAAGGTGGTGATGGGGGATTTCCTTCTTGGCGGGAGGGGCAGGAGGAGTCTCGGCATCCGCCTCGGGCTCGGAGGGCTCCTCAGCCACAGGCTCTTCAGCGGCGGGCTTCTCGGCGACGGGCTCCTCCGCCTTGGGCTTGGGCTTCTCCTTCTTGTCCTTTTTCTCCTTGGGCGGCTTGGCATCCTTCTTGGAGGCGCCGTCGGAGGCCGAGTTGGGATGGGCGGCTTGAGCGAGGAAGTCGACCATGGGACCCCTCTTCATCTCGCCCTCGAAGAGAATGGGCTCCTGGTCTCCGCCAGGAAGAAGGAGAAGGGAAGGGAAGGACTGGATGTTGAACTTCTCGACCGTCTTGGTCTCCTTGTTGCGGACTTGGCCGACAACGATGGAACCGAGGAAGTCAATGGCGATGCTGCGAATGACAGCGCTGGTCGTGCCCTTCTCGGTGAAGAGAATCGCCTTGGGCGTGTCCGGGTCGGCGGAGAGGAAGGCGTCGGCGTCGGCATCGGTGATGCGCTTGACGTGGTTGTTGATCTTGTCGGTGACGGCCTGGACGATGGCGCTGGCGGTGCGGGCGCCCTGATAGTCCTCGACGATGGGGTTCTTGCCCTTCTTGCTAGGCTTGACAATCTTGAGGGTGGGGAAACCCTGCACGCCCAAGGAGCTGCAGAACTGCTTGTTCTCCGCGGCGTCGCAGTTTACGGCGGCGACATTGGCGAGGCCCTCGAGGCTCTTGGCGGCCTTTTCGTAGGCGGGCTTGAGGTTCTTGCAGTGACCACACCAGGGCGCATAAAACTCGACAATCTGTCAAACGTGGCGCGGCGTTCAATTAGACAAAAGTTCAAATGAGGGTTTACCGGGGAAGGGGGAAGCCCTTACCGAAGTATGGTTGGATTTGGTGATGAGCTTATTGTAGTTGGAGGAATCTACTTGGAGGACCGCGGAGCTCTTGGAGTAAAGGCTGGCTTGGGCGGAGCCGGCGAGGACGAGGCCAGCCAGAATCTGGTGGTAGTGCATGGTGGCGGCGACGGTGGGGAGAGTGTAACAAATTCTTGGGGGAGCAAGCCAAGAGAAATCTGTCAAGTGGCACTGGAATTGAACCCTTGCGAGAACAGTCCTACCAAAAAGACTAAAGTGGTGGAGGAGAAGAGGAAGAAACAATTTCACACGAAGCTCCTGGGAAGGTGTAATGGGTGGTGGCAAGAAATATGTTTACTTATCAACGTCGAGGCGTTGGTTGGAATGGGGCGGAGGGGGATGAGGAAAAGAAAAGAAAAAAGGCCACGGTGGAATAAATTGAGGTTCAATGTATCAGCCTCTTTTCTGAGGTGTACCGGTGATATTGGATATTAAGCAGGCGCGATCCGACCAGATCAAGCAATTCCACAAGACAGTTGTTCACAATGAGAGCTCGGGTCGCGCGGCGGGAAACAAGGCTCAAGCTCCCAAAAAGACCACGTTCGACTATTTTCCCGCCGCCCGTTTCAGCGCTATCCTTTTCCACCTTACAGTTCCCACATCCCGCCGCGCCCGGTGCGTATACTATGTGGGCGGAATGCACAGTGCAGATAGTATCCCCGATCATTTGGCATTGCGGGGACAGCTTGGATAAATCACCTTATGAAACCTTTCGTACTGTGTGCATGCAGGAACCTCTTCTGCTTCTGGCTGGAAGGGGCGACTTGACTTACAAAGTGGGATATTATAGCTTTGGCCACGCTCTGGAAGATTCCATCGAACAGGAAACCTCGAAAGCAGAGATGAGTCAATAGCATAGAATACCCATGTCCAAATATCTAAAGACCGTCTTTTTCTAAGTAGCTCTTGAACGCAGGCATTGTGCTAACGCCATGCAAAGCGCCCTGACTTTTACGCAGTAACGGCATTCATAAATGACAGCACATTCGAACAGCTCCCAAACGTCTGGGACAGCATGCGCCATCACGTGCAAAGCGTGGGTACCTTGAGGGAGGTACCTTGAGGGAGGTACCCTGATCCTAGCGACTCAAGCAGTCAAGTCCAAGGAGGATAGTGCATGTGGTGGCGCTCGGACAATGAATGACATAGCTCCCGATGAGGTCAGACAATCCCAACCCCAATTATTCTATTCACCTGCCTGGAGCCCGCATCAACCTTGCTCTGCTCATCGAAACACCACCACCGACACCTCTGCCAGCGCCACGATACCCACTCGCCGACAAAAGATGGAAACCATCCCGGAAGCGCTCAAAAGGCCGAGATAGCTCGGTTTATCCACAGGGCCAACCAGCTTCGACAGGTCAAGCCTGCCATCACATATTGGTGTATGTCGCTTACCCCGCCACCAACAGCTTCCCCTCCCCTTCCTCCAAACCGCCTTGGCGCAAAACGAAACCCTGCCAACGACGCGCAACGGTAGATAGCTGACTTGTGAGGTTCGCAGGCGAGTACTGGGCGGTAAAGCAGATCCTAGCGAAACAACTACACACTATCGACGATGAGTGCCTCTCGTTTACCACGGGTCTCATGGACAAGCTGGAGCAGGTACATGCAACCCTCTCCCATCCCCCGGTTTCCCCAGATCTGCGGCTCGGACGCAGCTGCGCGCTTCGCCGTATAGATAAACTTGAAAGACTGCGAGATTAACAGAGCATGTGCAGACAAAAACCAAGTTTCCCGATGACGACGCCATAATCGACGACACTGCCGGTCAAGCCTATGTTGAGCAGTTTGCCCAGCAAACCTTTGACCGATGCGAAAAGGTCCTCTATGCCGACAAAGTGACGAGGTATGTAGATGGACACTGCGCTCGCCCCAACAGATTCTTTTATTGTCTCTCCCTTCCAGCCTCTCACCTCACTTGGGTCATTGCGGAAGCACAACTGACACTGAATATTTTTGTCGCACAGGCAAACCGCCGACACGTTTGACGCGGCCGCGACATTCTTCCAACTCATCAGCATCTGGGAAACCCCCGACGCCGAAACGCAAAAGAAGATCAAATTCGCCAAGTGGAACGCGGCGCGCATACTCCGAGCCATCAAGGAGGGCCAAGACCCAAACGAGTCAAATCCCAAACGTCCCACAGTGGAAGAGGTGGAAGAGGGCGCCGAGGGCGCAGAGGAGATTCCTACTTTCGTAGACCACCCTAGTCCAGGTGTCTCGCCAATCGATCACATCCCCGACCGGCCCTCGCCCCCGCCCCGGCTTCCCTTCGACCCCGTCGCCAGCCCGCTGCCTTCCCACCTCCACCAGCAGCAGCCCGACTTCACGCCCCCTTCGCCGATGAGCCAAGGCTCGCCCGTCAACTTCCCGGACCACGTCCCCTCACCCTACTCCCGCACCAGCCTATCGCCCGCCAACGCGAGCCTTTCGCAGCCTCCCATCCAACCCCCTCCTCCAACGAGCGCCCCGGGCCCCAGCCACCCGACGGCAGGCCCCGGCCCCGGCTCCCACCCGCTCCACTTTTCCTCGTCGACGTCTTCACACCACGCGCAACCGCCCACGCAGCCTTCATTAGCCTTCCCCGGCCCGAGCGTCATCCCAGCGCCGTCTCCACAACCGCAGACCCCACCCTCGGCCCCTTCTTGGGCTCCGTCCGCGCCCCAGGCTGGGCATGCGCCGGGATACCCCGCGCACCCCCACCCACAGGCCACCCGTTGGCGTACGCGCAGCAGCCGCCCGCACAACCGGTAGTGGCACCGGCAGCTGTGGACGAGGTGCAGATTTCGCAAGCGCAGAAGCATGCCAAGTGGGCCATATCGGCTCTCAACTTTGACGACGTCCCTACAGCGGTGAAGGAGCTGAGGAAGGCGCTAGAGTCCCTTGGCGCCCAGTAAGCTCGGGAGACTTGGGAAACGAAAAGAAAGAAAAGTGTTGTGTGGGGAGAGACTGAAAAACCTGTATATGGGAGTAAGGGAATGAGGTGAGGTAGGCAACGTGATGGTAATCGATATTGCGCTTAGTTTTTAGTTTTTATTACTGCCCCTCCGCGCGAGCCGTTATCGGGTTACAGACACCGAGCGATCCCGACAGAGTGAACATTGGATATATTTAGCGTTGAACTGTCATTGCTTCGGCAAGGCAACTTGGTAGAAATGCAACCCTTCAATACCACACTAGACGAGTATTCTTCTCTCCAAAAGAAATCTCATTCATCCTCGGTGATAGATGCTCAACCACCAAATATACAGCTTCCTCATCTCATTAGTGGATGTGGTCGCCACCATCACCCAAGCCAGGAAGCTCCGTGAGCCCTAAGGAACCAAACAAGCGCACGAGTCAGCATAAGAAATCAACAGGCGATTTCACAAAAGGGGCAAACAGAACAATGTGTTGAGAAACTAAAAAGAATGAAAGGGGCCGGGAATCCAGGTGCAGAGAAGAAAACTCACAGCCGTCGACATCCTCCTCCACCAGACGCTGAACCGCGCACTTATTCCCCTCCGCCAAACCCTGACTCTTGAGAGTAGGGCAGTTGACATTGCAATTCGCGTCCATGGCCCTCTGCAGCGCGTCGCCCTTCCAACCAAAGACGTAGTCACCGTGGTTCCCGTAGCCGGTAGCGTCGCCGAAGCTCCAGACAAAGGGCTGGGCGCTAGAGTCCTCGGGCCAGAGGGCCTGGTCGTTGAAGGTGCGGGTGTCCCAGATGGCTTCGAGGAAGACTTGGGGGACGCGGACGGGGTGGGTGGCGGGGCAAGGGCCGTTGGATTCGAAAGTGCCGGATTCGGGGTAGGAGACGTGGGACATGTGGTCGGGGCTGTCGAGGTTTTTGCCGTCCCAGCAGCTGTGGTGAGGATACAAGTTAGATGTTTGATGTACAAGCGGTAAAGTGTATGTAACCCTAGTAGATAAGAAATAAAGGGAACAGAGAGAAATGACTTACGTCGGGAAGCGGACGTTGACCATGATGCCGTACGGGCAAGGCTTGGTCGGGAAATCTAGAGTCTCGCCGCTCCGTGTGCCGGGCGTGGTCAGGCAGGTATACGTGAGTTGGCGGAACCTACGCGCCTCTTCCTCGGTGCGGTAAGTCGCATCCCCGATGAGCATACGGTAGCCCTGTTTAACGACACGAAAAAGAAAAACCAAACATATCAGCGCACTTTGTTCCATCCTTCTAACTTTCAACCCCAATTCTGAAACCCCCAAATGCGTTGTAGGCAACTGCTACTCACCGGCTGAAACGCCGTAACCTTTTCATTGCCGCGGACGCTATTCATATAATACACGGTCACGCCGCCGTTGGCCTGCTCGAAGCCGACGTTGCCGGTCAGCGGGACGCGGCGGTACGTGCCGTTGCGGGCCTTGAAGAACATGACGGCGGTCCAGTAGTTGGACAGGTCCTCGCTGAACTGGCACGTCGTGCACGTCGCCGTGGTGGAGATGTCGGTGGTCGGGTCCATGGTGACGTTGAATGCGTTCTATACACGAGCCCGGGCCCTCTGGGGTTAGTATTCTTCTTGACGTTCTCCGTCTCATGGGGGAAGACACAAGAGGATAGACTATTTGGTTGTGTGTAGAGATGTAGAATAATAGAAAAGAGCCAAAGGTAGGAGGGGGAAAACTAACACCGCCGACGATTTGATGTAGATGCGGCGAGGGCAACTGGCCCGGGTTGACGAGCGGATCGAGGCGATCAACCACAAGCTGGGAGCAGGAGAAGCGCAACACTCCGGCCTCAACCGCGCAGAGAGTAGCTGCCGCCACGAGGAGATTTCGTAGATGCATCGTAGCGTCTGCTGTACGGCAACGGACACAGAGTCGTCGATTCGCTGGGGATGAGTGGCCGTGAGACTCTGGACAAGAGACTAATAGAGCGTAACCAAGATACCAAGAGTCGGGAAAGGTAATTTCTTCTTCCTTGTCCACATACGCAGCAAAAAGCCCTGGTTTCCTTCCATTCCCCTTCCATCCAACATCCACTCACCTTCGATGAGCCTCCGCGGCTCCCTTTATACATCCCCCTCTTCAATGTTCCTAGTTCCGTCGCCCTCGCGTCGCCCTCATTTACCTCCTCCCCAGCCAAGCCAAACAACCCGACCTACCGACAACCAACCCGACACTCTATTCCACTGCCGCAACCCTCCCCTCTCTTAACAAGTCTACATCATCTAAATCCCCCAAAGACTCATTATTTGTCCCTGCCCTGTCCACCCGTCACGCCCAATCACGCCCCCACCCCGCCGGGTACGTCGACTCTTTAAGTGCCGGCACGGCCACTATATCCGCAATATACTCCGGCCCCCCTCTTCTAGCCTATCAGACTCGGTTTCGACCCTTGAAGACGCCTATCATTCGCTCCCTGTCTTTGTGCCGATATTCCTTCTCTTTGTCAAGCCGGTTTTCGTGTAATCAAGTATCCTGCGAAATCTATCTCATCACGGATTGGGAAATGAGGCGTGTAGGTGCGGGACCCGTAAGACCCGGGGTACATACGCGATCCGCAAGCCGTCTCGTTTCGTACCCACGTCGAACCTCTTCCGCTGTCTATTGCCCCACACACGGCAGAGGCTTGACGGCGCAGTGACAGCGCGGGAGGGCCTGTTCCCTGGGCTCGGCACGCGAAACGATAATGTTCCCTTGTTGGACTGGAATCTTTCCCGTTCTCCACGTAGAGCCGTGGTTTTGTGCATAGCATTCCCCTACCTTGACCTCTCCTGCGAGAGGAAGTATCACCAGCAGCAGCAGCAAGACGACACATTCAAAAGCTCACGTCAAGACAAAAGCAGGAGGCGATACACGCACGCGATGCGGTAAAACAACTGGAGGAGCAGGTAAAAAATGGGTATCGCGTCACCTGAAACCCTCCCCCAATCAATTGGTAGATCCAAAAGGAGAAAACAAAGGGGAAAAAAAGTACAAAAAAGGAGCGATATGACAAGATATTTAGACCGATTGTCCGGTCAGCTATGCCACCCAGCTAGATTGCAAACGAGCCCCACAGAGTGGGCCGAAGCCGACTCTTCTCCATGTGTATGCCGTCGACCCTTCTATCCTCGAAGCCGCCTTCTTTGGCGGGTTACCTGAGGCCTTGCCCGCCCTTTTCTAGAATGAACTGGACCGGCTTCCTCGCCTTCCTCGCTCGCCCAAATCCCCTCCCAAACGGCCTTCCCATCGTCACCGCCGGCAATAGCGGCGGCGAAGTGGACGCGTCCTTGCCGTCGGCGGCCCCGCGGCCGGCGCCTCGCCCCTCCGCCTGGGCCCGCTCATCGTAGCCCCAGCGCGAAACGCCCCCGCCGCGCACCCACTGCTCCAGGTGCCGGCACTGGCTCGCATCGATCCACCTAAGCGACGCGCACCCGTCCAGCACGTTCTCCACGCCTGCGCCCGTGACCCGCACGCAGCCGCGGACGCTGAGCCCTTCGAGGTCGTTGAGGTGAAGCGCGATGCAACCCAGGCTCCCGTCGCTCACGGCGCTGCCGCAAAATGCCAGGCGCAGCTCACGCAGCCGGGGCAGGCCCAGCGCCACCACCTCGGTCGACGTATCTGTGAGCGCGCAACAAAACGACAGGTCGAGGTGCGTGAGATTCTTGGCTGCGTTGACCAGCGCCACAATCGCATTGTCCGAAAGGTAGGTGCAGTCTGCGAGGCAAAGCTGAGTAAGTTTGGCAAAGTTGAACGGCGCCCATGCTTGGAATCCCGCATCCGTGATCGATGTGCAGCGGGTGAGCGAGAGTGACTGAATCCGGCTCGAGGCATGAGCTGCCAGATGCGCCATCGACCGGTCCGTAATGTGCTTGCAATATGACAGGTTGAGCCGGCTCAGATTCGGGCACCCAATCACCGTCCCGGGGCCGGCATTGTGGGGGCACGATTTTGTTGCGCCGCGTTCTGCTGCGGGAGCCGTTGCGGTGGATTAGCTCTCCCCGGAGCCGCCGAGGATGCCGCTGCCTGTTGCCTGTTGGCAGGGGTATCCGGCACCACCCAGCCAACGACGCGCACGAGAAGGTTATCCCCCACCTTACGGCAGTTGCTCCAGTCCACTTCCTCGAGACCTTTAGCGTACTCGCTCATTTCCAGGATCTGGCTGGCCGAAACGTCCCAGACTGACCGCATGTGCCACACCCTGACGTTGCTGCCGCACATTTTCCATAGAGCCCCGAACCCCTCGTCCGTGATGTGGAAGCAGTTGCTAATGTCGATGTAGTCTGGCCGTGCCCCGATAAACGGCGCAAGGATGTGTGCCAGCACGGTGTCATTGATACTCTTGCTATACGGCGTCAGGTCCACTTGCTTGCACAGCTTGTCTGAAGTCGTCGCAATGTTGCGCCAGTGCGTGCACACCTCTCGGAGGCGCATGAGCTCCACCGGGTCCAGAAACTGCATCACCGCTATCAAGAGGTTGTCCGGAAGAGCGGGCTTGCCCTCCGGCGTCGTCGAGCTCCGCCGCGAGGATTGAGGCAGGGTCCTCGCCCGTTTGACGGGCATTTCGGATTCGGTTGGAGAGTGAACAAAGGGCATGATGAACTTGATCGGCGAGGTTCCCTCTGACAACGGAGACCGCATGCCCGTCGTCGTAGGAGATACGGCCCCGTCCGGAAGCGTCGTTGACGTCGTTTGGGGTGCCGGAGGCGCCAACGAGTTTCTCCTCCGATTACGGAGATTCTCCATGTCAACGCTGAGAAAGGGGTCGGGATCGCCGGGCTCCATCGTCTCTTCCGACACGCTGTTTGGTAGCGATTGTTTCGGTGCCGTCGTAAATGTGACATGCGGTACGGATTGCCGCGAGCTACCAGGTTCTTTTGGTCCGGGAGAGCGGTTGACGGGGGCGTCCTTCATGACCGAGTCTTCGTCCTCGCCAGGCTTCCGGTACCGCTTCCGCGCCGTCTCTTCTACCTGCTTTTTATATTGGGTGGGCATCTCTTCCACAGCTCGTCGAGCGCGTCGCCACCAATCATTAAGCACTCCACCGTCGTGATGGCTCGGACAGTCGCCGTCCGGCCTCGAGATAGGCCCAGGCTAGCCACCTCGCCAAAGTACTGACCTTGACGTAACCTCGGTCGTTGGTAAAATTTCCGATGCCGCGACGGGTTGTCCGTGCCTTTAGGTGGCTCGTGGATTACTTCTGCCTCGCCGCGCACGATAAAGTAAATGTCGTTCCCCGTGCTCCCCTGCCGGACAATATCGGTAAAGGGGGTAGGTCTTGGGCTGCGCGCTCAAGCCTAAGAAATGGAGTATGTCCGCCGGTAACGTCGAAAATAGTGGCAGCTCTTTGAGCGTTTTTCGAATACTAACAAACCCGCTACCGAGGGCGCTGCCCGCGGTAGGGTCCTCGATGACGCTTATGCCAGGGCTGGGCGATTTCCGCTTCTTCATATTCACAACGCCACCTTCTTTGATGACGCCCATGTCTCCCGTCGAAACCTCCCCGGCACCGGTTCTCTGGGGCCATTCGCGCCGATAAACCCACTCGCCACGCCCCGCTCCCGTTGTTTTTCTTGAGAATATTCAGTCTTTCCTGGGCTTCCTGTCGTATGGCCTTTTCCATCTCCGGGAACTTGGGCAGCTCGGCGTGGAGATCCTCCTTCTTGAGAACAAGGACTAGGCATTTCGCCCGCGCGACAATGGTTGCCGTTCTTGGCATATCCATGAGCACGCCAATCTCCCCGAAGAAAGCACCTGGCTTGAGTTCGGCGTATACGGCCTCGCCGTCCCTCGATATGACGGCTACGGCACCCGCACAAGCCAGTACATGGCTTTCGCATCATCTCCCTCGCGCAGTATCTGGTCCTGCGCAGCATGAACCTGCGGCCGCAAGTGGTTTCCGATGGCGAGGAGAAACTCTTCGGGGGCGGACATAAACAGGGGAAAGGATCTGATGCGGTCAACGAGGTCGAGCGGCATGTCTCGTATGGTTGACGTGGTGAGAGGAGAAGGCCGGACGGGCCGGGCGGGGTTCGTTTCGACATTAAAGGACCGGACAACGGACATGGGGTCGGTGCGTTGAGCACCAGAAGCTTGGTGGTGGGCAAGCGCCCTGTAAGAGGGCGAAGGAGAGCGGCTGCGCCGCATGATATCTATTCGACGACGGATGTGGGGACAAGGGTAGTTTTCGCAGGCACAGCCTCGAGGGTCGAGCCGGAGTTCGACGATTATGCGCTATGATTCTAGCGGAAGATCACCGGCTAACGTCGTTCGTCCTTTTGGCGTGGATATCGTCTCCTCTTCCTTCCACCGTCTCCCACCCCGAGCGCCGAAGAATGTGTTTGTCGTGTGCCAACGAGGAAGACTGTGGGGTAAGGCCGCGACGCATCAAGATCGGAATTGGGAAGATCTACACCTCAGACAGCCTTCCGCAACCACGGAGTCATAATCAATATATCTGCTTCTATTGTTATGTGCCTGGTTGGAGGTATTGGCGAGACAGTGACGTCAAGGCTTCCTCTTGCAAAGGATAGCGCCGTTCCGATCGTCTCCCGCCGGGATATCCCGAACTTCCCGACAAAAATGGCCGACGTCTAGAACAATCTAGTTCGAAAGGAGAGAGTCAAGTCGTCCCAAGAGAGGGGTCCTTGGGTACCGATACAGCAAACTGTGATCGGAAAGGACGGGCGGGGTGCAAAGCTGAGCGTCGAAAGGGAATCTACTCGGATCTAGAAGATTAGCTCCCACGAAACCAGTCGCCCAAGGGCAAAATGACAAAATACGGAATGTAATCCTTACTATTTTCAGGTCCAAAGGGGAAAGGTTGGTCTCCTGGACGTGTGCTGCACTATTATCAGGCTCGGACAGCTCTTGCGCGGGCAGCACGAGGGAGCTTTGGGCGGGAACAAAAAACCCTAGAATGGCACGGACCACGGAAGAAGAATCTCAGGAACAAGCGCTGGGGGTTTCGTTGGCGTCTTGAAGGAGGCAAGGTGGTGCAAAGACCCGGAGTTTGTTTGGTGGCAGACTCAACGGTTATGCTTGGAGGAAACAAGAGCAAACAAAAGCTGGTACACAGGGGAGGGCCACAGAGGGTGGCTCGTCAAAGAGCGATTGCGCGGGAGCCGGCTCGGTCAAGGCCCAGTGCCGCTACCACTCTCGGCCGCTTATCCTGTACTAAATGTCTGGTCTTTGATGCCCAGCCGTCTTGAGGTTTCTCGCGAGTTACCGTCGGCCAGAAAGAATGCTGCAGGAGCGGTTCCCTTTATGTCGGGAGTATGAGGGAGGGCGAATTGTACGTGCTCTGGGGTAAAGCAAGGGTGGGTTTCGCAATCGTAAAAGTCTGTCTGTGCCGTCGCGAGGAGGATCGTGGATGTAAAGGCGGGAGGTTGAGATTGGCCGGAATTGGAGGATATGGAGGCGGGGAGTGACACGATGACGAGAAGAACCCAGACTTCGAGATAACGAGGAGGGGAGAAAATCAATCCGATGCTTTTGTCGAGCAAATCTAGAAAAGGGTTGGTGAGGTTGATCTAGTTCGTCTTTGCGCTCAAAAGGTTCGATGAGCGTGCCTTGGTGGGGCACTGGCCACACACAAAGTTGCTCGGAAGTTTGAGCAACTCAGCGCACGCACGTCCTGCTCTGCACTGACTGCTCTGCACTGACTGCTCTGCGCTGACTGCTCTGCTCTTGCCTTCCATGACGAGGGACGCTGGAGGCTCACGCTGCTGGCCCACAGGTACCCCAAGTACTCCCCGGGCTGGTGGGGACGAAGTGGTCCGAGCTCTAGGGATGAAGAGTACCTTGCAGCGACTCCATCCTTGACACACGGTCGTGGAGAGTCCGAAGTAGTCGGCGAGTTCTTTTCCAGGCGCTGAGGTCACTCATTCAGTTCCTCATCTGGGGATGGTACCTGCTCGGGAAGCCCCTCGACCTCTGGCGTCAATATGAAGTCGAACAGCTTCAGTTGATGCGTGTTGCGTGCAGGAGCAATTGGTGCCGTGGCAGGAGCGGAGCGACCTCTCCTAAATTTCAAGGGTCCAAACCAAGAGCTCACACGCCCACCAATTTACGAAACAAAAGGAAACACCGCGTAATATTCCCGTACTCTACGCAGAGCCGCTTCGAAGCTTCTGTAATTATTCGGCGGGAGATTAGCCATCGCCTCCCCGCAAGTCTGTCGAGACCCTATTCATCAAACTTTTTTAATCTCGATGATTCTCCCCTTAACCCTGGCGGTGAACACTCCGGAGTCCCTCTTCTCGTCCTCTCGTTCTCCCGTCCACCCGTAAAAGTGACGTCCCATTCGTCGCAGACGGTTCGATTCCCACCCAAGAGTAGCCGCGCCGCATCCCTAGACCGGGAGCGCCCCTCTCCGCGGGTGGACGCCCCCTAGGGTTGTTCCTCAGGGTCCACAAGGTAGTGCCCTCGGTGGCTCCTCAGGACACAGCACCGAGTCTTCACCGGTGTCGGGAACCCAGCGCCACTGCTCGTTCACGATCTTCCAGTGGCGTAGATGCGCCAATCCTATCCTCAACATCGGACTGTTGGGGCTCATCTGACTGTGTCTGACCGCAGCACTGACCATCTCGTCTCCTACCAGGCTCCTTTGGTGTTTTCTTTGTCCAGCCAGCGCCACGATGTCCACCTCCCCTCTCGTGGAGAGCGCACCTCCTTTGTTGTGCCAGTTCTTTCTTTGTAATGTAATTGTCCCTCTCCGCGCGCCTCTACATTCCTCATCCAATCCCTCGACCCTTTGTCAAGGGCGGTGTAAAGAAAAAGTTGGCGTGCGCCTCTAGCTCCAGCACAGCAGACGGGCCAGCCCTAGGGAATTGTTTCAGCCCGGCCCTGGCAGCTTTCGAAACATAGCCAATCATTACGGCGAAACCCGAGTCATCTCTGCCACAAAAGCAAGAAGAAAAGAAAACCAAAGAGGGCCGAACCCGAACACCTGGCTGCCACGGAAGAAAGTAAAACTGATAACCTTGGCTGCTGTGCGTCCCTCCCTCGGTGCGGGCTTGTGTGGCCTCGCGCCTCAACTCGGGTTGCGCAGCGCAGGGGAATGGCATGGCGGGGGACAGGATGAGGTAACGACGACGCGGGGGATGGCAGCGTCGTATTTCTTTGTGTGATCCAGCTTGGATGCCACTCTATTCCCATGTTGCATCAGGTTCAACGTTTCAACCACTTCGTTATTATGTGGTGAGCCACTGAGAAGTGTCGCGTGTAAAGGCGACAAGGCTCCGCGATTCTCGTCGTCCATGGGAGACCACATGCATCTCCTCTAACCGTTCCAGCTTTTCGATATCTCCTAGTGTCACCCTTGATGTAGCCTTGATCGGAATTTTTGAAAAAGCTCGTTGTCGTAGCGTCCCGTTCCTCTGTCAAACCCCTAAACTCTGCATCGTCTATCCAGACAGTCAAAAACAAACGGGATTAATGATTTCATATCATGTTCGCGTTTCATCTAAGCCTATCCTACTTCCGTCCTCGACTCACCGGCCCTTTGTCAAGACGACGAAACACGCGACCGAGGAAGGATTGGCCTACGCGATTACGCGATTCGTGCCCGCCTACATTTTTAACGTCGTATTTTAAAGTTCGTGCGAGTCTGTCTCCTTGTCGCCTTTAGTCCGGTCAGTGTGAAGGCAACATGGGACGAAGGGGCATGAAAGCAAGAACCCGGGTCGGCCGCCAGAACCTTATCCGCAAGGAACCGCTCACCCTTTGGCGATCGAACGAGGCCATGGTGAATGGAGTTTAGTAGAATGGGGAATGGAGAGGGTTTCTTCGACCGCCGTCCGCGGATGGCGAGCTCGACAAAATGGTGACAAAAGGACAGCGGGCACTCCCCTCTGTTAGAGCCCCGTGTGAGGAATTTGCCAAATATCCATGATGGCCAGTTGAAACCTGTACCGTGGTAAACGCTACGCCATCCGATGTGGCCTCGTGCCGTGACGTCTGAAATATAAGCCGGCCCTGCAATGCGGGAGGCATCGTTGATCTCATGTCCCTCATTCCGCGAGGCCCCCAAATGCAAAATGGGGAAACTATTCACTATCACGGAGATTTTTGACTTGTTCGAAATACATGAAGACATGACATGCCACATCATCACGTACGTCGCGTCGTACCCAAAGGGGAGAGAACGACGATACATTGATATATGATGCGGACGATAACAAAGAAACCTGCGAGATAGTATGCGCGTTCTTTTAACCGCCTTGTCTATATATGAGGGAGTTATTTACATAAAAGGATTTCCGTTGATCAATATCTCGTTCCAGACCGTAGAAGAAGGCGTGCGCGGAAAATTCCATTTCCCCGGAACATGGCTGACGCCTTGTACGCACCCTAAACCTGGGGATCAAGAGAGGAAAACAAAGAAAAGCAACCCGTCCGCGTTTGATATACCTAATTTCACGCCGAAAACACCAAAAACACCAAAAACACATGCCATAAACCCAGTACAATGCAAAGCTCACCCAGGGACTCAGACGCAGGTGCCCATGCAAGCCGGGCCCTCTGGATAATCGCAACACAAGACACCGGAGCCACAATAGCACTCTAAGCTAGGCCTTGCCTGGGACGAACTTTCGAACCACTGCATGATGGTTTTGAGATCCTCGAGTGCCTTGCTTAGCAGGGGCCAGTTGTCTGTCGTGCCAGGAAGAACCGGGGTAATATCGCTATCCTCACCAAGACCGCCGACGAGTTTTGAAGTTCGGCCTGGCGCTTAGATCGCGCCAGAGATAGATGGCCGTTTGTGGTGGGGATGGAGGAAGCGGATACAACTATGGTGCCGACGGCAAGTTGAAGAAAGAGGCTTGCAGATATCCTCATGGTGACGGAGGTGATGAGGCGGTAGGGGTTGGTAGTACTGGTGCGCTTACGACGGCGATATCGAGTCTTGGTGGCAGATATCTTTGGAACCTAGGTTGAAAAGTCGATGCGTTGGGATATAGCAACAGTTCTCGAGAGACTGGAAAAGTTCCCGTCACGATGACGAAGCTTTCAGGTCGGTCTGCGTATTTTCGGGATATCTGGGTTTCGATTTAACCTGCTCGACGATGTCGGTCGAACTGAGTTTTCGTGGAGAGGTTAATGACGAAGCTTTTTTCTTTCTTTCTTTCTTATTCTTTCCTCTGCTAAGTTTGAGATTTTACAGTCCCTGCAGACGGGCGGGCACCTATCTATCCTTTATACGACCGACTGCCCTCTCCTACCCCGAGTTGAATATAGCCGCTGCGCCGGCCAACTTCTGTTCCGGTCTGCGGGCTGGACCCAACCCAGCCCAGGCCAGCCAGCACGAGCAGCTAACCCCTCCTTTCGTGCCATTGATAACGAACATATATATTAAATATAGGCAAAGCGTGTGCCCTGTAAATCTGGCCCTCTGGTTCGATCGGGCGGGTGCCGACGTTGTGCGACAACACAGGGTTCGGGCGAGGATTTCACTTGTCTGACCCTGGCTGGCCTGGCCAAGCAATATCAATCCCTACTGCGCTGTCTGTTGCGGCTAAATTGCAACCACATGGCGGCCGATCCTCGTGGTGCAGTGGGGTAGAACGTGGCTCCGTCGTGGCGTTGCTCCTTGTTGACGCACGCAAGCGCAAAAAGAATGATTCTATTTTAAATAGATCGGAGTTTTGCAGGTGAATATCTTGAACCGTTGCCCATTCCCGAATGAGCAAGTTCGCAAGCTCCTTCTCTTCTTTTTCTTTTTTTTTTTGTTGGCTTGGAAGGGCTCGTCATAGCTCGATATGGATCGGCTATTAGCGTGCGTTCGAGGCTTGATCAGGAGTCAACCGCCTGACAGGGTGAACGTGGTCCTGCGGCCGAAGATCAGACCGGCGCCCATTGATGGCTAATCGGCTTCTTCTTTTAATTAAGAGACCACCATGCAAAAGGGACGACCACCTGAATAAAAAGACCACCTGCCAATCACGGCAGCACCTTCCTTTGCACAAAGCCAGAGTTATCATGGGCCCATGCTGGGACCTGGAAAGAGTTGATTGAGATAGCTTGCGGCTACAATTGAGACCCGTAAACCGAGTTGCTGTATCTTCCTCGCAGAGCGTTCGTGTTTGCCCGGCGTCTCTAACTCCGGGTCTCCTGCTCATAATTCCCCTTCTCGGTCTTAGCAGCCAACCTCCGAAGACCTGTGGATCAGGAAGATAGGACCTGTTCGTGCTTGTCTTAACTTTAAATTCCTGAGCTCCAATGAAAGTTTGGAGCCAACCTCGTAGTGGCACGGGATGAGCACAATTTTCGCTGAGTCATCCCCGGAGACAAACACTCATTGCTTGTCCCCTTCCATCCCAGGATAGCTCTCTGGGCGTTTCCAGCTCCTTCCACACGTGATCCACCCATTACTAAACATCCTCCCGAGCACGAGAGCTTCCGGACCATCCAGGCCACCCCCAAAGACGTCACCACAAAGATTTCACTCAAAAGCCCCCTCAGGCCAACGCCCACCCGTTCCCCACCCTCGAACCTGATTCTCTTTCTCGAATTCAATTGCATTCTTTACAAACACCGCTCGATACAGTTTTTCGATCAAGAAACAAACCACTCCCCTTCACAATGACGCTCGTCGGCCCTCTACGCCAGAGCACCGCCAATCTGGCGCGGACGCTTCCCCGCCTGGCGAAATGCTCCTCCACCATACCCGTGCGAGCCTTCCACTCGGCTCCCAAGCCTACGAAGGCCTTCTTCACCTCCCGGGCGCCGCGGGTCACCGCCGGCGGCCTCGCCTCCAACCCGATGATCAAGAGCTCGTTTGCGCGCGCCCGCGACGGCGCGAGGTCGTACATGCAGGACCAGGGAACCTACACCTATAGGCAAGAGAACCGCGGCAGCACTATTCGCAGGCTCCTCATTGGAGGTGCCATTTTCGGCGGCACCCTTGTGGCCATCAACGTCGTCTTCAACGGAGAGACCCGCGAGGGCGCCATGCCCAAGTATGAGCGAGAATACCTCAACAACACCTTCCTCCATACCGGCCTCGGCGTCGGCATCATCGCCCTCACGGCGCGCCAGATGGTTCAGTCCGGCTTCGTCTACAGGATCATGGTGACCAACCCCTGGATTGTCGCTATCGGCGGTCTCGCGCTCAGCTTCGGTACCATGATTGCAACTCGATCCATTGACCCTGACAAGTATGTATCAGCAGCCATTGTCGTTCGCTAACCTTTTCCTTGATATCGCAGGATTGCAATCGCTAACCTGTTCAAACAATCGCAGCTATCTCCCCAAGTACGCTCTCTGGACCGCCTTTAACGCTACCCAGGCCGCTTTCATCGCTCCTCTCCTCGTCTACGCCCCCGGTCCCCTCATCGCCCGCGCCGGTCTCTACACCGTTGCCATGATGGCTGGTATCTCCGTCGTCGGCGCCACCGCGAAGCAAGACAAGTATCTCTACATCGGCGGCCCTCTCCTCGCCGGTGCCTGCATCGTCGCCGCCTCCGGCTTGGCTCCTCTCATCATCCCCGCCACCGCCGCCCGCGCCCTCGCCTTTACCGAGAGCATCTGGGTCTACGGCGGTCTTGCCGTCTTTGGCGGCTTCACCCTCTACGACGTGCAAAAGGTCCTGCACCACGCTAGGCTGGCACAGCGCGGCATCATCAAGGAGGATCCCGTCAACGAAAGCATCTCGCTCGAGCTTGACTTCCTCAACATCTTTGTCCGCATGGTCCAAATGTTGATGATGCAGGGCAACAGGAGGAAGTAAACGTGCTTTCACCTCAAGCAAAGTGTGGACAAGAAGCTTCAACACCGAGATAAAAGTCGGTGAAAAGAAAAGAAAAATGAGGCAGGCGAGAAAGCCTCAATGGCGTATGTACATGACATAACATATCTGCGCTCTGCATGCCTCGTCGACCCGTTCATATGTTGACGTTGGCATTTGGGAAGGCATATTGATAGCCGCCCGTGTTTTACTATCTCCTCTCTGCATTATCTATATAACTCGAGCAAGAGGTTTCCTCTCTTTGTTTTTCCCCTAGCCTCTTAGCCTTAGAAGAGTCCTGCAAGGATACTATTCCTTGGAGGTTGCTTTTTCAACATGTAAAATAATAGAAAAAAATTGGAACATAACTTGAATATCATGGAACCTTGTTGAGTAGTGCTTACACAAGTAAGGATCTGCCTTCCTTTACTTTCTTTTCCTATATACAACTTAAATTGTCACCCCTCTACCCCGTCCAAACGTCTGCGCCGAAAACTGTCCCCCGTGTTTTCAAAGATCCGGAAAGTCCCTGATAAAATGGCTCGGACACTCGTATCCATGCGGGTTCTTATCTAGATACAGCTGGTGATACTCCTCCGCATCATACCAGCGACCGGCGGGAATAATCTGCGTCGCGACGGGGCTCTTCCACCAGCGCTCGGCGACGGCGGCGGTGACCGCGCGCGCTTCGGTCTCCTGCTCGGGCGTGTGGAAGAAGATGGCGCTGCGGTACTGGGTGCCCGTGTCGGGGCCTTGGCGGTCGACTTGCGTCGCGTCGTGCATGCGGTAAAAGAAGAGGAGGAGGTCGCGGTACGAGACCTTTTTCGGGTCGAATATGATTTGGGTGGCCTCGGCATCTGCGAGTACGACGGGTTAGTCTGGGTCACTGAGGAGGAAGCGCTCTCTCTCTCCTCTCTCTCTCTCTCCTCTCTCTCTCTCTCTCTCTCTCTCTACTCGCAGTGAATGGCGAGAAACGATGCGAAGCAGTATGTTCAGGAAGTAGGCAAAGGAAATGAGCGCCGTTCAAGAGGAGACGCAGGCATCAAGCGGTAGGAGCATGACCAAAGAGAGGAAGAACTCACGCCCAGTAGTCCCGGAGCACACGGCGCGGTAACTCGGGTTATCCGTCGCGCCACCAATGTAGCCGACACGAGTCTCGAGGACGCCCTTGCCGTGGCCGAAATGCTTGACGTAGAGGTGCTCGACGCCCCAGAAGCAGCCAGCAGCCACGGTCGCCACCTCGGCGCCCTCTGGCACTACGGCGGGGGTCGCAGCCATCTTTGCAGTCGTCAAGGTCGTAAAAGGTCGGAATACACGGGATAGGAACGAGCTCATCAGTGCGCTGAGCAAACAAAAGACGTTCCACGAAAGCCCGTCTGTTTCGCGCCGTTATTTTTGTATTGTCTGTTTCCCCCTCACTCTGTTTCTTCTGCAAAGACGAGAAATGGCCCTGTTCTTCAGCTCGATATTAAAAACAAAGATTTAAAGCAATTCGCAATGGGAGCTATAAGCTTTTCCTCGTATCGTTTCACACCAAGGAAAAAAGAGGAAAAAGAGAAGATCGTTTTGCTGCCCCTCCCAAATCCTCCACGTTCTAGCGGTCCTGATGAGAAGCTCGTCACGACGAATGACGTTTTCCCTCGCTCGACCCGCCCCCAATCGTCTCTCGCTGCTGGTGGAAGGAGGGGCGTGGATGACAAATCACGGCCGAGGGCGAAACAGCCAAACAGCCTACAGTCTTTGTTTCCCGCACCTGAGGCAAGTAGATCGAAATCCTTTGTCAGCTGTTCTTATGCTCTGGCGCACATCTTTTTCCGCCATTTGTTCAAAAAGTTTGGTTGAGTCTCGGCATGTAATGCAGGGGCCGTGGCCGGTCCGGTTTGTGAACGGGACAAGATCGTCGGACAACCTGAGAGCAAAGAGGCCCCGGACTCGAAAAACAACGGGCACCTATCGTCAGCTTCTTGGAGTCGCACCCAGTTCAATTTTAAACCTCCATGATCGATGAGATCTCCAGGAGCTTTAGTGAACAGTCGACGCCCGAGGATGATCATGGTAGGAGCGGAGATCTGGGTCTCAGTGGTGGTGGTGGGGAAACAAAAGCCAAAAACCCACTGGCAAAGAGGGCTCGCGGTACGCATCCTGGCCCCAGTACCAAACCAAGTGCGCCGTGCCATCCATGGGTCTTTCATACAAAGGCTGTTTCTCATTAACCTTTGCCCACGGATCTGTTTCCTCTCTCTTTTGGTTTCTCGGGGAAGCTGGGGAAAGTATGGGGGATGGATAAAGGACGTCGGGGACAGGAAATTTTTGGGCAGGTCTCGTGAACGGGGACGGCCCCAGAAGAAGAAAGCTCGGCCCACGGCTTAGGCGATCGCCCATGCTGGCATGTGTCTGTCTAATACTGTCCCGCGCCCTCGGAGCAGGAAGAAATCCTCCCGCCCACTTGACCTCAAATATTGAATCGGATTCAAGAGGCGCCAGGCCGGCCAAGGAGAGGCTAGATAGATCGCATCTATTGTTCCAGATGGAAAATCATGAACACCCCCAAAAAAACACGCAAAAACCAATCTCCGTCTCAAAGCAACTGGTGGAGTTGCGCCGTCGAGTGTGCATGGGAACAAGAACGCAGCCTTGGCACTTTGGCGGCTGCCCCTCATCCCCCACCCCCACCCCCTTTCTACTTTTCGTCGCAAGTCTGATAGCTCTTGGCCCGCGGTTCATGAAGAGCTTGACTAGTCGTGTGGGTTGCCCCAGGCAAGTACGAGCAGAGAAACCGCTTTTTGACGCCTTGGCTTTGCCTAGGATAGAGCGCGTGCCCCGTCTTGGAATCTTTATTTCCCGTCCCGTCAATACCAACCCTGACGATGCTGCGCCGTCGATATACACGCCAAGAGGAGGCACAAGAGTGAAGACGGCGAAAATTTTCGACAAAAAGGAGCCAAGCCAAGCCAAAAATGCATCAGGGGCTTTAGACGAGCTGGTCCCGCGCGCCCAGTTCTCCATCCACATCGAAACTTCGGCGCCGCCCGGGGATGGTTGTGCCCAGCCCACTGCCAGCTATGATTATGCTCTTTCGCTTCTACCCATGCTGCATCACAAGCGCAGGACGGCCTTCATCTGCCTGCACTACACTAGAGCAACCTCTCGAACAGCAGTGCGCGACCCTCGAGGTGCGACGTGTGTATGGTTCACCCTTGGGAAATGCCTGCTACCCCAGACTCACCGTCAACCGACACTGCAGGGCTAGTTGAGACGCAAACCTTGCGCCATCAATTCCCATCAATGAAAAGCCTTGGTCTGTGTGCTGTGCTGGCCCCTCTCGCTAATCTTATGCCTTTGTGGCAGCACGAACATGGGAGTCGGTCGTTGCACCCGTAGTGGGGCCCAGCTGCTCCTTGTCGACCTTGGCGCCATTTCGTCTCGTAGATTGGATGCCCATCGCCGTCCTTCCCCCTGGTCTCTGCAAAGTGGTGTGGTCGAATTTGGAAGTGTCCCTCTCTCAGCATCAGAGCACAGAGAGTCGGGTGGCGACGAGGTTGTCAGCCTTCCACCAGTCTTGTCTTTTTCCTGATTTCTCGTCTGGTGATGCCCTGACGGCGCCTCACCTCCCTTGTCAATTTCACCCACCCCCTTCTGGCTCCATGCGTGGCGCTACCAGTGGTTAGAGGACGTGTCTGTGCAACCGCGTCAGGATTGGATCGTGTGTGGGGAAAGGCGGCGTCTGCAAGAACCTTCACTGCTGCATGTGGTCCTTTCAGACAATCCATTGAGCGAGGGGGCACACGGCGCTTTGCCTCATCCGTTTGTGGCGGTTGGTCCTGGGAGGGATGCAGGGACTCGCGTGGCTTCCACTTGCAGCCATTGGGAGAAGCCAAGACTCCAGAATGCCAGCTTCGTCGGCCCTGCGATCCGTCGTGACCGTGGGCAGCCTTCCCTCATCCTCCCGAAAGGGGGCGAGCTAGATCAGCCTCTCTGGCTGTCTCACCTGCTCTCGAGTATTGAAGCCAGTAGCGTCTGCATCGAGCGTTGCCATGGCATGATGTGATGATATTTGAGAGGGAGGGAGAAAAAATTCGACCCCGGAAGGATCTGATTCATTCATTGATCAGTTGGGAGTAAGGAAGGGATGGGGGTGGGGGCTTTGTTCATAGCCAGTGCGCCAGCGTGGGTCCATGATCTGATCTCAAATCGTTTCCACTGTGTCTCCCAATTCCCCTCATTGAATATGAGGAGTCTTGAGAATTAATTCAGTTGGGCGCTTCTGCTGCCTTGGTTGTCCCCGTGGCCTCATCAACCCCGGGTAGGCATGGGCCTTGGATGGCTTCCGCGGCCATGCGCCGGCAACTTTAAATAACATTCTAAAGGAATAGATTCCACTTCCAGGGCATATCGCCCACTAAATCTGACGGATAGATCGTCTATCTGCGCCCGCTCGCGCCCTCCATTTCCAACCGGCTGGGCCAAGATCAACGGCAATCTACCATTCCATGTGCCTCGTTCCTCGCTCAGTCCAACCCTAAAGTGATAATAAAGAGGAGGCATTCCAGAGGATACTGGGTCTTGGGTCCGGGAGGAAAACTGGAAAGCGGAAATCTGCCAAGCGCGGAAAGGTATTGGATGGTTGATTGGTGGAAACTTCATATTGCCATCACATCTGATCCACTGAAGGGATCGCATCAGGGGACCCCTTCCCCCAATCCAATGCATTACTGCATCCACTTGGTATGAATCCGTTTCTAGATGAAATCCATTCGAGGCGCATGATAGAATGCTTTGCTTGTCGGTAATAGCAGCTGCTACAATTATTAGAGAATGACAGCAAGCTTGGCGCTAGCTTGAAAAGAACGAACAGAAGCATGGCAATCAATGAGCACACTCGACTGAATGAAGGAGGGAGAGGGAGTCATGGGAGGGGATGGACGCTCCGCCCCGAAACGCCCTAATAAAACCTTGCCTGTCTGTCCCTCGTTGACAATGACATTGACATTGCCCTGCTCAAGCCCCAATGGGTGAGCCTAGGTCACACTCGCAGGCTCCATGGAGGGGCGGCTCCGGCATCCCCAGTGTCGCGATACCCAATCGAGATGCTACTCCATTCCATTTCCGGAGACTTGCCCCGTCCGTACAGACAAAGCCCAACACCTACATCTTATTGGCTAGCCAGCTTGACCTTACCAGGTGCTGGTTCGCGCCCCACCTCCGCACAAAGCAATCAATCAGTGTCAGTATACTAGATGAGGGTGCGTGAGCGCGATCAAAAAGCGTCTGCCCTTTTCCCTTACATTTTAGTTTTGATTTTCTCCCTCTCATGAGAGAAGAAATTGTGTGGATCCTGTCATTAGCTTCTGACCGGGGCGTGTTGGCTGAGTCCATCTGTGCGCACACCAGCGAGGATTTGAACGTGGCCTGCGTACGTCATGAAGGGGCCAGGCGCTGTAGTGCAGGACTATTGCAAGTACCGTTGGCGTTGGGGTTGAAGTTAGGGACCACGGGGACGCCACGGAACCAGAAGGGCCGTGTTCCGAAAAGGGGAGGTCAAGGTGTCAATCTTGCCCTTGCACCACCATTCCCCAGGCCAGGTGTGGATTGTGTACAAGGGCCAATGAACTGCCTGGCTGGAAAAAGAAGAAAAAAGCCACCAAGGCTCAAAAGGCAAATTTGTCTCCCGCTCCACCCCCAAGATCATCTGGGTTAGGCGAAAGGGATGGGATACGCCTAGGGAAAAGAAAAAGAAAGAAAAGAAGGAAAAAAGGTGGTCACGTTGGGAACCGTGAACGGGGCCAACTTTCCGGTAAACGGAACTACAGATGTGAGGTACGCGAGATGGCAAGAGGAGACACTGCATAGGCGATTGAAACAAGATGGGTTCCTTTCCAGAGGGCCAAGGGAAGCCGAAAATCGCGGAACCACAGCATCCATCCCGATGAGGGGTGGAGGAATGCGGCCTTAGTTCGTTCTCTCGCATCAAGGCTGGTTGTGCTTGATTCCCCCTTGTCAAAAGTCATCCACCATCCACGCACGGAGCGTTGCCCAGGCTTGAGCAGCCAAAAATACGCTATTACTTCGATCACTCGTTCGGATGGCACAAACCAGGTGGTTGGCATCCACGGCGTGCTATTTTTGACGGTGAAAACATCCAGAGATTTGTCCAACCCCTTAATGCTACTCGGCTATCCCCGCCGGCTGGGATGGGTTGAGCTGGGCCCAGGTTCGCCTGAGCAGTGGTAGCATCGATGGAATGCTGTCAAGGAAAGTTAGATGGAGCCCCGAACGAG